TATAAAATTATAGGGATTAAATATAACTTAAATTTATAATATATTTTTTTTTTATTTTTCCCTATAGACTTTATTTTACGCTTTTTAGCCTTTATTTAACCTTATAATTATATACTTTATAAACTATAGGCTTTTATAAGCTTAAAAATAAAACCCTTAACTTAAGTTTAAACCTAAGACCTTAAAAAATAAGTTTAATTGTAAAAAAATAATCTAAAGGGCTAAAATAATAATTAACGCTTTAGTTCTTTAATAAAATTACTGTTTATTAATTATATTATAAATAGTAAAAAAATATAAATTAAATTTATTAAAAGCTATAAGTTTAATTAATTATATAAAATTTATAAAGCTTTTATTAAATTATAAAAATTAAATATAGCTTAAATTTATAATAAATATTTTATAAAAATTATTAAAAAAATTTTAATTTAAAAATAAATTTTTTTATAAAATTTTAAAATTATTATAATATATTACTAAAATTTAATTATATTTATTTAAAATTAATAAAAAAATAATTTTTATAAATATTTTATATTTATTAAAGAAATTTAATATTATTTATTAAAATATTTAAGTAAATATTATTAATTATATTTATAATAATTTATTAAAAAATATATTTTAAATTATTAAAGTTTAAGTAAAATATTTTATAATATTTATATTATTTTTATATTTTTTTTATATTAAGCCTTAATTAAATTATAAATAATTTAAAAAGTATATATTAAATAATTTATTAATAAAAATTTAATAAAATTTAAAAAAAAAAATTTATATTAAAAAAAAATATATTAAATAAAATAAAAAAATTTCTATAATATTAATTATTAATATTATATTATAAATTAATTATAAATTTTTAAATTTTTAAAAATATTTTTTTTAAGTTTAAAATTTTATAAATTATTTAATATATTTAATTAAAATAATTCAATATATTATAAAAATTCATTAAAACTATTATTATTTTTAATTATATTTATATAATTAATAAAAAACTATAAAATATTTAATTATTAAATTAATTAATTAATTATATATTTAAATAAAGTTAAAAGGTTAAATAAAAATAATTTATTAATAAAATATTATTAATATATTATATTTATTTATTTATATATAAAATATAATTATTTTTATTATAAATATATTAAAATATTATATAATATTTAATTTAAATTAAATATAAATAATAAAAATAGAAATATTAAAATAATTTTTTAAGGTTTTTTTAAATTAATTAAAGTTAATATAAAAGGTAATTTTAAAATAATATATATATAATATTATATATAATATAATTTTTATTTAATAAAAATATTTTAATATTTTTTTTAATAATATAAATTAAAAATATAATAAAAAAATATAATAATATAAATAAATAAAAATAAAGTTTTATTAATAATATATTAAGAATTTATTATTTTATTAATAAAATATTTATATATTAAATTAAATTTAAAAATAATAATATTAAAAATTTATAAAAAAAAAAAAAATTATAATAATAATTTAAAAAAAATAAAATAAAATATTATTTTTAATATATTATAAAAATAAATATAATATTTAAGGCTTTAATATTTTAATTTAATAATAATTATTATATATTTATATTAAAGTTTTTTTATAATTAATAATATTAAAGTTTAATTTTATAAAAAAAAAATTATAATAATATTATATAAATATAATTATTTTATATATAACTTTAAAGTTTTTTTTAAAATTTTTTACTTTTTTATTAATAAATTTTAAAAAAAAAAAATTAAATTTTAATTTTATAATATAAAAATATTTACCTTATTATTATTTATTTAATTTACTTTATATTCTATAATAAAAATTTAATATATTTATTTATTAAATATATTTATATTAATTATAAATTATTAAATAAAATTATTTTAAATAAAAAATTAATACTCATTTTTAACTTTTAATAATTATTTTTAATATAATTAAAATTAAAATATAAATTTAATATTATTTAATAAATAAATAAATAAAATTAATTAAATTATTAAAACATATTTAAAAAAATTTAATTAATTTTAATTAAAAAAATTTAATTAAATTTTTATTTATTATATAAAATATTTATTATTTTATATAAATTATAAATTTAAGTTAAATATTTATAAATTATTAAAAGAATATATATATATATATATATATAAAACTATTATTAAAGTTAATAATATTAAAAAACTATATAATAAATTATAAATATAATTTAAATTTATATAAACAAAATTATTAATATATAAAAAATTAAAAAATTAATTTTTTTAAAAAAAATATAGTTTATTTATTTTAATATTTAAAAAATAAAAATATATTAAATATTAAAATAACTTAATTAAATAATAAATTTAATTATAAAAAACTTAAATTATATAAAATATTAAAAAAAATTAATATAATAAATTTTAAATTTAATTTTTTATTATAAATAAAAAAATAAAAAGAATTAATTCATTTAATATTTTTATATTAATAATTTTTTATAAAATATTATAATATAATTTTTTATATTAATATTTCTTTTTTTTATAAAAATATTTAACTTTTATATTAATAATATATTTTTTTTAATTATTTTAAATTTATTTTTTAAATAAAAATAATAAATAATAATATATTTTAATCATTAAAAAAATAAATTATAAATATTATAGTAAAATTTATTTAAATAAATATATTTAATATAATATAATAAATTAAAAAAAAATTAAAAAATATTTTTTATAATTATATAATATATAATAAAAATAATATTTATTTAAATAGCTTAAATACTTAATTATTAGTATAGTAATTAGATTAAATTTAGCTACTATATTTACTAGCTATGTAACATTAATAAGACCACGCCTGTAACCGACCTAACCGCTCCGCTAATATAAACCTAGAGCCTAGAGGTTTGTCCCTTGGGAACAGCTAACCTATACTACACATAGGACCGGTTCGTCACAGATACCGATATCGGTATATGATCAAAGGAAGATTTTGTAGTGTATAAAACGGTACAGATGTGCTCCGTTTTCACTGTAGGTCACAATACCCGTAATAGCGGGGTTGCCTAGCGTTCGGATGGTTGTCCTTCGAAAACGGAAGAAGAGGACTCCAAAACTGGATATCTGTAGCGCCAAAAATGGCAGACATTGAACTCCATATAAGATCTTGACGGGACCCCGGATTTTCCACTACCTATGGTCGTATGTGGCAGCCTTGACAGCATAATTGCTATATAATAGCTGATACTGTACAGATGAAGAGAAAAGGAGGAATAATGCTCTGATCTGCCGTTGGCTTTGTGACCGACAACAGCTGTTGTCTGTGCCTCTAGGTTCTGTAAATATCTCGTGATGCAGCCTTCATCCACTGTTAAAATTTCGGAAGTCTCATAACCTCTCATCGTAACAATTTCTTCTTGAAGAGAACAGCAGACTGGGTTCGAGGCCCTATTTTGAAGACTTCTCTACCTCATTCTTCAGATCAGCGTTGAACTTATCCCAAGGGCCAACATCGAACTTCCTAGAGTTCCACCACGGCGAAGAGAGCGTGATCAAGAGTCCTCGAAAGTCCTCTCCTTGTGTGAACGTAGTGTTTCCTGGATTTGTTTCGCTTGGAGCAAAGTGGAACTGATGGACGCCTTTTGCAAGCCCAAAGAGTGATCCTTCCCACTGGAAGGATTCGGGTGAGTTTTCCTTGGACAGCTTAGCAAGCATACTGCTCCTCAATCTAGTTGCATTAAAACCTACTACTACCACCGGATGGTGAACATTTCCGTTCATGTTGACTTTAAGGCTATCGCCCGGTTTCAGGTCAAGTGGCTGCTTGTTAGAGTCAGACGGCTGAATGATCCAGCCTGGCTGCCATTGCGTGTATCGAGCGAAGTCTAGGAACTACACAGGAGCATTTAGTACAGGTGGTATTCTATCTCGATGTTTATCATGGATAAAGCTGTGATTTTTACCTACCACTGATCGGACAACAGCTGGCGATGCCGCAATCTCGATTTTGGTAGACACGCTTAGTATCGGGCTCATGGCGATGTCGATGACTGAATACCAATGATAGTTTAGTAGGTGGTGGCTTGGTTGGCAATAGACTCGGGTTGAGGATAGAATGAGCGAATTAAAGCAAGCCCAATCCGCCGTGAGGATTCCATCACGGAAGGATTCAACATGTGTAGAACCCCGGCTTTTAATAGTGCGGCCTCTTTAGCTCCTTTCAATGCTGTCAGCGGCGCCACGCAAGCCTAACAGCCCTATGGTGGCGCGTCATGCCGTGAATGGGCGTTGGGTTGTCTCAAACATGCATCAAAAACGGAAAGGTTTGAGGACTTTGACGGGCCAACAGACAGTAAATCCACAGTATGTTTACAGTACTCTCTTTATTAATCGCTCTGTAATGACGCGGATTAGATTGCGAAGACAAGATAGCATAGATTCCGGATAGACCAAGGTATAGCAGCCTTTATTAAGTCGGTGTATTTCGGCGATTAATAACGAATCGCTCACTTACTCAGTGCTGGTGCCTCAGCCACTTCAAACTCCCTTGAAACGCGCTGCTGAACAAATCGAAAGTTGCTCTCTATTAATGACTAAATACTGTTGCATTACTCTCATTTGTGAAGCAGTCGTATCCTAGGTAGCATCGGGTCTATACATCAGAATGCATGTACATGCAGGGTGATCTGGATGCTAAAGAGCATTAACATCAATACCTTGTACTTATCCATGCAAATAACGTCAATGGCAACGTCCAAATAATACAAGATCAAGATCTGACTGAATGTCTAATTCCGGCTTCCGACGCTTGTGGAGACTCAGGATGTACTACATACATACATGTAGTTAAAGACAACGACCCCCAGAACAAGAGCTTGGCAGTATCTCGTATTTGTTTTCTTGCAAGGCACAGCAACGAATAGTTGGGCTCACGAAAGTACAATTGCCCCATAGATACGGAGTAGCGCAGTCCTTCCCCATCTACTAGTCCTCGGGGGGAGCAAGATCTTGCAGTAGTTCGCAAAGCTAGACGTCCAGACTCGCCCATTCACTCAAATCGCATGACATCGCCAAGAAGAAGAAAAATATGATGATATTCGTAGAGGCATTATTATCATTAAGGTCTATTTCAATATGTTCGCGTAATGCAGCAACTCTTCCTCTTAGCTTTTCTCACTAGCCGCGGGAATCGCCACAATGTGCTCCTCATCTGTATACTTCACCTGGCTATAAGTCAGCTCCAATGTGTCCAAGTTGTATGTTGCATAAACGCTGCGGAGGAAAGGCGTTCCAAAGTTAGTTGCAATGTCCGTCTCCCCAGAGCCACCAATTCCGTTCAGTGCATAAGTGACACATTTGCCCGACTCAAGCGTGGTGACCAGGCGGCCCACGGGAATTTTGATGGTCCCGTTACCTGGGAATCCGACTTCAAGGATTGTGTCAACAATGTCACGGTGCTTGCAGTCCACCTCGTACGGATCTTTCATCGAGGTAACATTTGCAGGGAGTTCAAGAACGGTGGCAACAGCGTTAAAAACAGCGGTTGGCAGGCCAAAATAGGCCGCACCCGTGTCCCAACTGACTGTGGTTCCGGGTTCTATGTCCCACACCGTCTTCTCTCCACCCTTGTCCAGCGCAAAGGACGAATACTCAACCTCCCATGGACTATCTAGCTTTTGTGTGAAGGCCGGACCGTCCCGCTTGGCTTCGTCTACACCGCCCAGGAGAAGATGGCCAGTCGCGTCCGGTTCGTCCGGGCCCAAATAGATGCTGAACGCACGAGTTTTCAAAATGTCACGGTCCGAAAGCTGCTGAACCAATGTCGGGTAGACATCGCATTGCGGTCCGGTGAAACACAAGGCGTTCAGGCCCATGATGCCTGCAAAGGGGTTGGACTGCGAAAGCCGTACGGCGAGGTTGAAGCTGTCGGTCGAGCCAAAACAAAAGTCATCAACGGACACGCCTACAAATCGAAGCGTGTCATTGACAAAGATACCTCTACCGCCGTCAAGCAGGCCATCGTTGTAGTTGGGATAGCTGCCTGGGAATGCCACCACAGCTGTTGACGAGGTGAGATTATCGTAGGATCCCAGAGGATCACACGGAGCTTCCGGTCGCAGGCACATGTTGCTGCGCGGCGAAATGAAGCCGATCGTGGGGCTGCCAGTATCGATCTTGAGGAATGATCGCTGAGGAGGGTTTCCAACCTCAAACTCCATGCCGTAGTACTCCAGGTTCATGATCCGCGTCAGGGGAACGTTGAATACATTGTCGGGAAGATTGCTGATGGCAGCGTGGCCAGCAAGCAGCAAGGATGCTGAGATGTCTTTGAGAGAAGGCATGATGGCAAAAAGTAAATTTATGTATTCAGGCTGCAGTTGTCAATTCTCAAAGTCAGTCTGTCGTCGCCGGGAAGAGCGTATCTGAAGAATATTGAGAGAACCCAAACGCTTGAAGAGAGGCTACCCATTTGTTCGTTGAATCACGAACAGCTGCTCCGTTATATACACTTGGACCTTGGGTGTGTGCACTGCTAGTGATCGCTGCTAGTTCTGCTTATCCCGGCCTAAGAGCGGATTTCTCGTGTGTATTCGTATCCATGTAATACGGAACTTGGGCTCAAGGCCCGCCCCCGATTTCCGCAGCGCATTAACACCAATACCAAACGGTTCCCCGACTACTGCAATCCTCTGGGCTCGTTTGTAAACAGCTCGTATTGATACAAGACCCACCATAAAGATTGCAACGAAAATATCATATTATTACCCTAGCTATATACTCCGTAAATCATACCCAAACCTATGTTACCACTCCTCGCTCGCGGCGTGCAACCGAGCTTACAATCGTTCCTGCAACTGTTCCTGCAACTGAGCCTGCAGCCGTTGTGACCGGCGCCGAATTGGCGATGATGATGCCATAGCTGCAGTACAAGATCTGCGGCTTGAAGACTGCCTTTTGTGAGAGGCTGAGTTCGCATTTGTCTGAGGATGGGCCGTTTGGCGAGGTGAAAGAAGTTGTCGCGCGCTCCCTTTGAATGTTGCCGCTTTGATGGAGTCCTCTGGCCTTTCTCGAGCTGGTTGTTGAACAGGATCTTGACCCGAGTCACTGTCTTGTTTCGATCTCTTAACGCTGCGCCCGCCCTCTTCAACACTGGCTTCCTGATTCTCATTTTTTCTTTTCTTGCAAGCCGGCGACTTGCGTTGGTCGGGGTCCCCAGTTGTGCCTTGCTGCGCGGTCTCAGCTTTGATCACACGCAGTTGTTCCCGAATCCATCGTGTTAGGATGAGCTGGTGGTGAATGGCCTCCTCCTTGCGTCGATGACGCGCAGTGTCTCGGATGAAAGTATCTGTCCGCCGTTGCAGAGCCTCAAGGCTACGTCGCGTTTGTTCCAGCTGGAATTCAAGGGGTAGATCTTCCGGGGGGGCATCTTTGTAGAATTCCTGTCTTGCTCCGAAATTCGCAGAAGGTTGTGGCGTGTCTATTCGCCGAAAGTTATCCCAGGCATCGTGGTAACCTCTTTCAGTGGCCCCCAGCGAGGCAGTAAGCCTATCTGTCTCCCAGTACTCAAAGTTGAGATACTCAACCCACGTTGTCCAGGCATCTTGCTTGCGCGGGTCAGCTTCTAATCGGAACTCCTGAGTAAAGTGGTGCGATGCCAGACGTTTTTTGACTGCCTCTTGGTACGCCGGAAGGCTTGGATCAGGGAACTCGAGGCGCTTCATTTTCACCTCCCACATTCGCCTAAGTGAATCTTCTAATTCAGAACTCTGTGACATATCGGTTGATAGTGAGAATCTGCGCAAATGTGTCGCCACGTAAGCAGATACCCCATAGTCTCCAGCCTCGGGGCCACGGTTATCCGCTTGCCATTTCATAAAGTCCCACCAGCGATCTGCTTGTCTTGAGAAAATTCTGGGCACTTCTTCCGTGAACAATGGGTCATGTACCCAAGGGAGTCTTTTTCGCTCCTTCTCAGTTAGCGACGTTAGCGACGCAATGTCGCGAATCACGGGCCTGCCGCCGTGCTGAAGGAGCTCCTCGAGACACATCAACTCCAATTCTTCGAATTTAGGCGTTGAAGGAGACATGGTAGATTCGAGATCTTCACTCCACTCCGGCAGTTTATATTCACGGAGGTCGTTCGGGCCGTCAGCAACGCTGGCCAAGCGTTCCATAAGTGTGTCGATATCGAGGGGGGCGGGGGTATTTGCATTCTCTATCTGGTCCACGACGGTCCTACTCAAGAGTGAAAGAGTTGAAAAAAAAAAAAAAAAAATTGGATACTGTAGGTGCCAAAAGGTATTTTCTTACGTTAACCTTTTGCAAAGCTCATTTCGTCTAGACTCTAACATTGTAAAGAATCCGGATGCGCTTGAAATATCGTATCCACCCGTAGGACATGAGCAACGCTTCAGAAACTCAACGAGCTGCCCATCATCAAGGGAGAGTAAATCCTCTGCAGTGTACGTAGGGGCTTCACCCCCAACTGACGATGTGGCTGGCATTGTGCGTACGCGTGCCGGAAAAGTGCACGATGGCTGGCGTGATGTCCAGAACTGGGAGGATGGCTGGGACGTCCTGGTCTTTAAATACTCAGTGCAAGGTGTGGAGCGCCAAACACCTGACGTTACACAGCTCGATACAAGAGCCAATGGGAAGGATCCGAGCTTCGGGAAGTCTTTTTTGACTTGAAGTCTACACAAAGAAAAGGCTGTCCTCTTTATTGAAAAGGTTGGGAGATAGATCCAGTCTTTGTCGTAACTGTGTACTTATTCAAGTTTCTTTGACTCCTATTACTCTGCTCTTTATGCCGAGACGTCTGGAACCAGCACAATCTCAGATAATGTGTATCTCAACAAAAAAAAAAAAAAAAAAAAAACAGCCAAAATAAATAAATAATCATTACTATTAAAACCTTGCGAAATACTTGGATAATCATCTTTTATAATGGTAATATCTCGGGAAGCATTCACATGAGCTTCTCGCATTACATAGCAGGGTCCGTAATGCGTTTGCTTTTCACCGCACAATACATATCTATTCGCCAGATGCAAAATGTAATTCCGCAAAATTAAATAGGTGCCTTGATATCTAATAACTGACTCACCTACGGCAAGTACGGATTACATTGCTGCATAGATCTAGTGGCAAACCGGGACGTGATCCCTTTTTTACGTGTATTCACACAGTACTCCGTAAGCTTCACTCAACTCTACCGAGCCTCATCTTCTTGTGCGGTCTCTCTTTCTCCGAACCTTTGCTCCCTTAGTCCTCATCTTCATTCTAGTAACCGCCGAAAAATTGGCGGATGCGCGCAGGGAGGCCCAAGCTATTAAGCACTGATCCTAGGCATGATCTGCTCGCCGACCCAGAGGCCACCTTCCATAATGATCGCAACAAACTGGTTGGCAGTGATTTGGGCGGAGTCAGGAGGTGGCTGGTATGAGAGCTTAAACGTAGCCTAAGAGTCTTCGTTGTCATCGCCGTCGCTGTCGGACGGATTGACGATGGAGTCGATCTTGGAAGAGCCCCGATAGCCGAGTTCCGCGATTAGCGAACGGAACGAATCTGTGCGCTCCGATGGGGCCGTCTTCGACCAATCCAACTTGGGGTTTCGAGAAAGTTTATTCAATAGTTGGACCGCCTTTTCGTCGCAGTACGATGCTGTCTTTCGCGAATTCGGATTGATATGTAGCATGTTGTCCATAATGAACGACATTATCTCGCTGCCTCCTTGAGATTTGTCCCGGCAGTGCTTCCATACAGCCGTGCTCCAGGCTGTTGGGTTCAAATCATACGAATTGGGGTGTTCCGGGAAGCCATTTTGCCTTTCAGCAAAGACCACAGCAAGAGACCAGACATCGACGGCTGGGGTGTAGAAGTGTTCGTTTGTCCTCTCTGTTTGGCGTTTGGCGCATATCTCGGGGGCCATGTACGCTGGCGTGCCACAGTATGTCTCGAGTTGTTCTGAGTTTTTGCCCAAGCCAAAGTCCGCAAATTTGACGCTCATAGTGCCATCGGGAGAGAAGAAGCACAGGATGTTATCGGGCTTAATATCCCGATGGACGATTGGCGGACAGCGTTTATGCATAGCAGCCATAGCGGAGAGCAACTGACGCATATATCGTATTTCTTCGAGATCCGAGATAACCGGGTGGTAGCTGAGGGAGCCTCCATTGGCATACTCAAAGAACAGCTGTGGCCAAGGATCAAACTTAGCGTCCAGAAGCGCCACAATATTGTCCTAGATTTGTCAGTAGCCAGCACTTAGCTTCATTAGGCGATTCAAATTGGTACGCGACGCTGAGTGCGTACTCACATGTTGAATATCTGAAAGGATATCAGCTTCCTTTTTCCAATCCTCCAGTCTGTAGCCGTTCTTGGACTTATTCTTGGGCTCCTTTACAGCGTACTCTTCTCCAGTTTGGACCATGAACATATGTGTCATGATACCAAAAGCACCCTCGCCAAGCACTTTCGTGCAGTGAGCCGGGTTTGATGGCCTTGTCGATGGGGGGGATGTCCCGAGTGCGGTGAGAAGCTCAGTTGCCGGATAGCTCCGAACCTCGATCAATTGGGCTAGATCTACTATGTCTTCTGTCCCTTGGCGGAACTTTGCCACGTTGTCGATGTGTTGCTGCGATTTGATATCGTGGTGAGGCACAACGAGCTTGAACTTGACGTTTTGGCTGATTTCGAGTACTGGCGTCTTGTCCTTGACAAAATCAACACCACCAACTACCCAGTCCATCGAGAATCCAGGCTCCGCCTTCTCTCCATCATAGGTGACTCTCGTTCCACACCTGGAGCCTAAGTCCCTGACGACCAAACAGTTATTCTTGTTGAAGGTCAGGGCCGCGTGGTACCTACTAATACCCCTTTTCTTAGACAAGACAATGTCACAATTAGAGCCCCATCCTATCACCACACTGTTGTTTGTCTTGGCACCATCACTAAACTTGAGCCCAATACAAGGGCTGTCCAAGAGATAGTCGTACTGCTCTGGCTCCTCCGTTATTTCCCGGTCTTCACGTCGATGGGCGTCGCTTTCCTCAACATATTCCTAATGACGTCGAGGCATCACGTATCGTCGAGCATTTCGGCTGGAAGTAATCGCCCCCGATGCATCGTTGTTAATCCGACCTCCACTGGCGAATAAGTAGGCGTAGAAATCCTGGTTAGACATTGCGAGTCGACGTAAATGGATATTAAAGAGTAGAAAGCAAGAAAATAAGGGGGGGGGGGCAAAGAGGCGCTGAGGCAGGTGAGGCGAGGGGAAAAACCAAGAACACATCAAAGCCAGCGGATTATTCATAGTTACGACAGGCTCTCAGCAGCAGCCACCGCGGCCCCAGTTCGGACGGCCCTACAATCCCTATCATTATTCCAGCGACAGACAAGCTTCATTCGACCTGACTGGGCCTAGTTTTGTACAGCACATTGGTGATGACGACGTGCTATAGGCGCTTGAATACATGGCTGGACGTAGCCCCTCATCTGATGGCTACTTGTGTTACACCCCTGAGAAATCAGCACCTCGGAGGAATACAGTGACACAGTAATTTAATCCCTTGTTGTACGAATTACCTTGATGGCTTTTGAGGTATCAAGTCCACTCAGATTTCAGAAGATGGAGCAGAGCAGGGCAGGTCCAGAGCCGCGACATTCGCCAGAGTTGCCATGTCTTGGTATGACAGGCCAAACAAAGGCGGCCGTGGACGACTGCGTATGTGCGAGAGGGCCCGCCCAAACGCACGCAGCCGGATTAGTGAAACCTTGGTCATGCTGGCCATCTGAGTAACAAGACAGAGAGTGGTACTAAAAACTGTGTAAGAGGAGGAGGAGTGGTGTTAGTAGCAGTTTAGTCGAGGTGGCAACCGTACCTTTATTATTGTGACAATCTTGAGATTGAGTAATCTGTTGAGGCTATGAATGAGGGGGAAAGTTATCTGCTTGAAGGGAGGATAAGCAAACAGGTTGATAGGCTGGGTCAGGGGTGGTCACACAGATCTACGTGGCAACATAAAGTCAACAACAAGCAATATTAGGTAAGGATACACTTTTTATCACCATTCAGCGTTTATAGGACAATTAGGGGCCAACTCAGCGGGCGATTAACTTAATTAGGTAGCATATTTGCTCTCTACATTAAATTCGTGTGCTGTGGACTCATCAGACGATATCTCTACATTACGGGCCGGATAACTGCTCATCACCTACGGCTCTTGTGTGGTCAATGCGTATCCAATGTCTCCGCTCCAACAAGTTGCTTTGAAATTGGCACATTTTAGAGGCTTTGTATACCATGCTGCCTGTTATACTAATTGGACAACGACTCTTACACCCCCCTCTTTCGCGCGGCACCCAATGTCAACCCTACCTTTTCGCGTAACTTGACCAGTTATGTCGCTGAACGTATTTATTTCTATTTATATCTCCCTGCCGATACGTCGACCTTCATATGTGACCCGTGCCAGATTCCTCTCCGTGAATTAAGGCTGGTGAATCTGCCAATGTCAAACCCCTTATACATATGCGACGGCGTCGATCTATTAAGGAGCTTGACATACCTGAGGCTTCTATACGCCGTCCAAAGGTACTGTCTCCTACTGAGGCATATATATCTACGTATATGCGCGGGCGAAGAACTTTTTGGGGGGCTTCCTTTATGCTATATGAAATGAATGGAGGTAAGACCACCTGCATGTTGGCATATCAGGAGAAGAAGACAATGCGGTGTGGCTATTCATAAAACTTTCAGGAGTCATCATTTATACACCCTTGCTGGCCAATCCTATGGTGGTCAACCTGACAGATGGGACGATGGCAAATGTTATGTCGTAACGATCCGAGGAACGAGCGTGAACCCCATAATTGCCGCCAGTTACTGGCCACTAGAGATTTCATTGCCAGGATTACCTACTTAACAGCCCATTCTCACACCAGATAGATATACATAAAGCCAATTCGCCTCATAGACCAGTCCATCTTGCTCATTGGCTTAAATATAGGTCCAGGGGGTCTTAAACTAAGATATCATTGAACAAGTCGATACATAGCGTGCGAGACAGAGAATCAAGTAAGCAGCAGTGCGATGGAGAAGCTAAGTATACGGAGGGAAGAAACTTAGCTTGTGAGCTGCGAACGGAAGCATTGGTGATCACTCGCCTGTGATCACTCGCCTCGTCGCTTTCCATCCTCCGGATCGCGCACGATGGCCATAGAGATGTCCTGACATCTCAATGCCCCAGAGGAAGCCTCCATAGCTGAAGAGGAGCATGAGAGTATGAGAAATGACATGATGAGAGGGCTGCTCAACGGGAATATCGTTGGTGCAACACCCCGTGCCTGACGATGCTCTCGTGCTGTCAATTCTACCGTCTCATACTCCGGCTCGCTGTTCAGGTTTGTAAGTTCTGCACCTTTATCCAAGATCCACTAGACTCCCATTGGCTTCGAGTCATGCTCGCGCAAGAAACCAGAAATAGAACACTTACCTAGCTGACCTAGGATTCACTGTCTCCATCCTAGTTGGCTCGTGAGCCAAAGCTAGCGATGCCCCCTTTAAGTGATGTCTGCCTATAAAAAGGGAGGCAGGAACTGTGCAAATGGACCATGTTTAGACGTTAGAACATTCCGAATGAAACGATCTATAGGAGAGCAAAAAAGAAAAAACATACAACAGCCGGTGTTCGCCAATGGTCACCCACTTGACTACTAATCTGCCGGTTAGTGGTTTGTCTATGGGGGAGCAGACGGGACCCCGAATTCTCCACTACCTATGGTCGTATGTGCTTGGATCCTTGTGAGTTTATCTTATATCTCCAACATCAGCTAGCATGGGGAGCTACCAGTCGCACAATGCCCTTCTAACTGCTAACAAAGATCGGTCGCGCTCATCTCCATTCTTTGGACTGATATTAGAGCAGTACGCTTATTGTCTCTCCATTCCGGCCGCATTGTATAGCGCCCTCAACAGTGGCTTGAGAAAATGTAATACCAGTTTGAAGGAGACTCTTCCGAGGTAGCCAATCGGATATGGATGCGCGCGGCACCGCCACTACAAAGCTGCGCAGGATACATATATTGATGTCTCTCAGGTCATGTAGCCTCTACCAAGCAGAGAGCTGAGAGTGTGGTGATGAGTGAAGCCATTGTATCATGGAGTTGCGCCTGACAGCGTGAACCACGATATATTACATATTTAGTAGGTGCAGGAAAACACATCAGACATGGACGCAGCGCTTATCTTTGTGGAAAATATGAATAAGACATGCGACCTGGGAGGACGTCTAGTGCATCCGAAAATTGTATAATAGATGGGAGTGTCAGGCAGCTATTAGTTCACCCACGCCTCACCACTGGTGACGAAGATGGAGAAGGCAAGATTATTATCAGAGTTTCTATCATTGATTTCACCCTCACGATACTTTCTTGGTTATGAAATACACGCTTAATTAGTAATTAATTTCGGCATCGGGAAGGCTCAACAGAGTCATTTGTTCTATAGATTTGATGCAACCTTCAGCCACCCACTATTACACTCTCAAAGCTTAGAAATGGCGTTTAGTTAGTACTTTAATTGCAATACTATTCAGGGTATCCGTTTATCTTGCTTCTATCTTTTACTTTCCTCATAATTATATTCAGGAGAGGCTTTGCGCCTGCGCCTCTGGTTTACTTTCCACGGAATACCATATAAGAGCGTCTTTCCGCATCATCGAGAATTTTTCTCAAAATGCAATTCCCACATGTCTTCAATCTAAGCTGCACATCATCCGTATTAACTTCGTGACACTCAGGGACACAGAATATATGAATGCATATGCCTATCGACGTTCAAAGAAACACCCATATCATTTCATTCCAACGTCGCTTTACCAAATTCTACTCGATACAGTACACTACCTATTTCCAACATGATGACCCCAGTGATTCTACTGCTAGCAGCCGGTTTAACACTATGCTTGCAGAACCCTTATGGTTTCATCGGCTCTGCCATAATCTGGAGCTTCATTCAGCATCCAATCGCTTCTATCCTGACATCAGCAATTGACGGGGAACCCTGGACCCTCCATCTTAGGCATCGGCACAGATTGGGAAACATTCATTGGGCCAGAGCAACTTTGTTCTGTTGGTGGCTGCCATGCGTGAGCATGTATATAGCCTTTGTCAACAAAGCACTAGGCATAGGGCCAGATCTAGAAGCGGCGATTCTCAGTTCTGTTCCCCTTGTTTTGCCTCATGAGTTGTACCATGGCAGGCATTTGGCCACGATGGTCTTCTTGGTGTGCTGGAAAGAAGTTTGCATTCGAGGACTCCATTTGTGGCTCAAGGATGGCTTTCATTGGCCTTTTTACGGCCTATTCATGTAAGTGCATGTCGCATTTCGCCGGCAATTTCCATTCTGATGCATAATAGATTCCGTGTCATTGCTACACATGTTGCTGTATCTGTCAGTGGGAGGAGATGCAGACAATGCAAGAAGATGGAGGAGGAGGAGGAGATGGAGGAGCTGCTGGAAATGCTAGAGAAGGACATATGAGAGAGGCAGCAGATGATGGAGATGTAACAGGCCGACGAGAGAGAGAGGGAGACACGAGAGACACGAAGAGCCCAAGACGGCCGCGACGAGCCAGACGATGACGACAGGCATTACAAGAGACACAGAGAAAGCACAGAATACGGCAGACAAGAAGGTCAGACGCAACTACAAAGAAAACATTGAAGGGACGACAACAAAGAGACGAGGCAAAAAGAAACTAAACCAAAAAAGGAAAACATACAACAGCCGGTGTTCGCTGGTGGTCACCCACCCAACTACTAATCTGCCGGTTAGTGGCTTGTCTATGGGGGAGCAGACGGGACCCCGAATTTTCCACTACCTATGGTCGTATGTACCAGCATCACATTTACAATGCATAATAACACTGCAATGTCTAGTCTTGATACCAAAAACAGAGCGCGCAATGGGTCCGCAGCTTCACTGTTACTGGGCACTCGCGATGCGAGACAGCCTCCAATCAACCTCTTCATATCTGCAGCTATGCCCTGATACTTGCAGATCTCGAATTCCTGTCCTGCAAAGCGCCCAGATACTCGCCCTGGGAATGATCTGAGTCTCTGCAATGGCGCGGGCGAATGAGCCGGAGCTGGAGCTGGAGCTTCTAGGCGAAACCGAGCTCCAGACAAAGGCGCCTGCTGGACGGCGATTCCCTGTCGGCTGTCCGACTCTCGACCTGGCGGCAACCTGGGACCAGGACGATAGAAATTTGCTTGTGTATCGACCGCCGGATCAGATCGTGTCCAAGATCCATCAGGTTGCTGCTCCCGGCGAGGAGGCGCCTGAGGTGCGTGCCGTGACTTGGCGACCAGATGGTAAATACCGGCCCCTTGACTGTTGCTTATCGGATGTCCGTGCCTTTTCAGCATGCTAAAATCATCTTGTGCCCGGAAATTACAGGCCAGTTTCTCTCTCTGGGCTGGAGTGACGGCGTTGTGCGGCTGATGGGCCTGGAAAACAACAAGGCTGCTCATCAGATTCCGGTTTGCGACAAGGCTGAGGCTGTAATCACGCACATTGGCTGGTCGACCGCCAACATCGCCAGCAAGACAGACAACGCCGTCTCTAGCAAGCTCGGAGACGAAGTCACCAAGGGATGGACAGAGCCGGGAGGCAAAATCCCGCTCAATCTCCCACAGGAGCTCGCCTTTCTAGAAGTCGAGACGGCGCTGCCCAAGATCAGCCCCTTGCCGATGAGCAGTGCTGGCGCAAGGTGGGTTCTTCTCCCCTTGTCTTATTCCAAACTGAGATGTCGACGAATACTGTTTCTGACTTTTAAACAGCGAGGATGCCACCGTCTTCACACTCCGCAGCGGCATCGACTTTCTCTTTCGAACCCCCAAACGGGACACTTATGACCAAGTAAATGTCATGATCGTGGGGACCAGCGATGGCAAGCTGCAACTGAGCATCTACGATTCTTTCATCATCGGCACATTCTCACAGCCATCACTTGATCTGTCAGCATCGGAATCATCTAGTATGATTCACATGATACACCACGCATCTCATCCTCAGGTATCGACGCATGCTCTGATCTACGCAGAAAAGCAAAATGAGCCCAGAGAGCTTCACCTTGTCCCCATGGACTTGCCATTCATATCCTTTTCTCCCATCAACCTATCCCTCTTGTCCTCCAAACTCACCACGCTGCAAGCACTGCTACGGTACTTGAAACAGATATCACTTCACATGCAGGTGGAATGGAAAAACGCAAGAGAGCTTCCGGCCCGTTTCCTCCGCAGCGTCCAGGGCGATTTGGAAGAGATGAGCAGCGGTCCAAGAGACATCGTCTCAGCGCTTTTTCACACTGCCATAACTGGCCATGCCTACCCAGCCGTGAAAGAGTGGCTCGTCGACAGTCTAGCAGAACGAGTGCGCATACATCTCCCTCCCCTCGATTCTCGTATGCTAATAGAAACTCCTCATGTATAGGGCCATAAACGCTGGGATAAGGCTGTGGTATCCGGTCTCGAAGCCCTTCGCAGCCTCGTCCACCAACATCTCCTGCCTGCCCTTGAGCGATGCTCCATCATCCTCAGTCGTCTTCGAGGCCTAGCTCGCTTTTACAGCGACCGCGAAGATATCGGCCTATCCATCCCCAACCTCAACCGCGTCCTCGACATCGTCAGCTGCCTCACCCTGGTCGGACACAAGGTCCTCATCTACACAATGGACGAACTCCAGCATTTTGCTGCCTTTTCAGCATGGCTCCGCTTTCAAATCGATCAGCTAGGAGGACCCAGTACGGCCAACGAGGAGCTAACCGACAAGGAAGCCATGATGGATCATTCCAAAGTCCTGACCTACATTGAACGATACCTAACAAACAGCCCGCTCGACATCTTCCTCAACGACATCGCCAAAGAAGATTACGATTCCGATTGGAAATTCATCGATGACGGCCCAATGCCCCTCGACGTCTTGGACAAGCAGCTGAAGAAGCTCGAAGCTGGCCAACCTGGCATGAAGGCCCTCCCACACGTTGACTTTCTTGTAAACTACGCCACGTCATGGTCCAACAAAATCTTTGGCAGCATCGCCGAAGCAAAGAGGCGCAGCGTTCGCTTCGGAAAGCCGGTGAAGATGTCCATTGGACATCCCATTACCAAGATGGACATGAAGATGTGCAGCGCCAACAAGCGATCGGGCACTGTCTTCACGGCACTGGCATCGCAGCAAGAGCCAAACAAGGTGCATCTTTTCCAGGTCAACATGACGATTATAAACGGCATCAGTGATAATCATCCCACTACCACCTGTGTCATCGACCTCGCTCCCCGATCGCTAGTTGACATGAAGTTCCTTAACGACAAGACGCTTATTCTTTTTTGTACAGATACAAGTACGTACACTCCCATATCATATTGCCCTCTCATTCAATCGTTTCCAAAAAAAAAAAAAAAACCAGCAGTTTACTAATGCTCTCTGTCACACAGATAATACTCCTATCATCCTCTCTGTCCCCATTCAAGACGAATCAGTACTCTCCTACAACCCTTATAACGCCGCAAACCCTACCCAGGTCTCCTCTGTAACATCAGCCGAGCTCTTCCCCAAGTACAATCTACCTGCCAGTCACCACGCTCTCCGGCCCATTCGAATGGAAGTTCACGATAGGAGCCAGGTTAGAGGGGACCTGCCTGGGCGGGTCTGTCTATTAGGGAACAACCGCACAACATGGCGGGCGTATAAATTCCCGACCGAGAGTTAAACTCCTTTAGCCCTCTTGTTCATCTAATTTAAGAAAGGGTTTGTAGCCTTGTGGCCACTGAGAGACGAACAGGAGAATCATCAGTCGTAGACAATGTCGTATGACAAAAGAAAACATATAATTCAATGGGAAAAAAAAAATTAACTCTGCTGAGAATCATTTACTATGAGGCTATAAACATTGCCCTGCCTCCAAAACAACCAATAAAACGCCAGACTACAGCCATTGTCCTAGTCCCTATACAGCCAACCAGCTTCATTTCTTGGGTTTCGTAATGTCAAAAAACTCCGTCAGTCCTTCCACTACCGCCTCGACATTCATGTTGACCAGCGGCATCCTGTCGTATGAATCATCCGTCATAATCGCCACCAGCGCAAGATATCGGTCCACTTCGCGCAGCATGATGGGCTTGTGGCTGTCGTGTAAGACGAGGCAGCTCTCCGCCGTCGAGCAACCGACTTGGTCCTCCAGCTTGGCATTGAAAGGCTCGCCCTCAAGGCGCTTACGACCTTCATCGCTGCGCTGCCATGTCCCGTAAATCTCGGTGATGTCAATGATGACATCAATGTAGTCGCTGCAGATCTCGTAGCTGGCCATGTCAGCGGTCGCAGAGTCGGTGGCAATGTAAATCTTGGAGAGTACATCGAAGAGGTAGGCTTTTTCGAAGCGGCATGTGCGGCACAAGTTTGTGAGCATGGACTCGAGTGTTCCAAGTCGGGGAATAAGCTTCTGGATGACCTTGCTAAAGGCTTCGAAGATGGAGTGGTTGTAAATAGAGGTGAGATGGAAAGTGACTGGAGCGTTCTCGAAACCGTGGTCAGACAGCTCGTCTTGAATGCGAATAGTAATGTCTCGCTGTATATCTAGCTTATAGTCGTCTGAAAGCCCATCTACTTTGTGAATAAAGACCTCAATGTTGATGTTGGGATATGTGCGTTGTAGAGAAAGGATGGTGATGTTGAGGCGAGCGACGGCCTCGAGATAGTCGTCTTGAGCATCAATGACCCAGATCAAGGCACCGATTTCGCCAAAGATGGCCTCCATGTCGAAGCTGGGGTTGTCAAAGACGTCAATTTGACCAGGGAAATCCCACACTTGAAAGTCCATGAAGGATCTTTTATCCTCGACATGTCAGCTAGGAGAGTTGGCAACTCGGAACGGATGAAAAGCACTCACGCCATAGTGTCCTTTTGTATCCGAGCGGTTGACTCGAGAAACAGCGTCTCATTTGGGGCAAGTTTGTGGAAAACCACACTGGAGATGGACGATTTTCCGCTCCTATGAATTCATTCATCCGTCAATAAGGCTTCCCTTTGCGATTCCTCTGACGAGCCGGCTTACCGTCTCTGGCCCATCAACAGCAAACGCGGTTTCCCCTTCTCCGGTGCGCCGCCAGCTGCGTCCGCCGGTTTCAGCGCACCCTTTTTTATCGGTCCTCGGTTGCTCTGCTCGTAAAGAAGTTGAAGTTTTAGCCTAGCTGGACTCATAACACCTGAACGAACGGGGGAGCGACTGAGTGCATCGAGCTCAGCAAGCTGCTTGTCTGCAGGCGAGCCGTAGATGGGGGGGCTGAGGGACATGGTAGATGATTCGCTCTTGATGATAACACGTTGTCTGCAGCTTCAGGATATGCACTCTTGCTCCACGCTTGTGAAGGAGTTTGGCTTGTGCAGTTGATATCACCCAATGCAGGAAATCCTCTGCAGTAATATCCAAGCTGACTGATGGTTGCTGGCAGTCAACTAATAGTAAGCTGTCTCGCTCTCTCACTCCCCCTCTGACACACACACACACACACACACACGGCAGCAGCAGCAGCAGCACCAGCTACCTCACCGGTCTTGTCTCTGCGCAGCCGTGGCTTGCTTGCCTCAGCACATGCAATGCACAGCGCAGCACAGCACAAGCCACCACAATCGCAGAGCTCACGCCCGGTCACCAGAAAACAAGGGCCAAAGCCTCAACCTCCGAGCACGGTTGCGGTGCAATCAGGCATCAAGGTGACACGAGCCGTCACACGGGCTGCTCGGCTTTTGCATGCTGGCCTCCTGCTGCCGCGGCCCAACTCGCCGGCTGCCCAAGCGAGTCGAGCCAGAACCATGCTCGCCGGTGCCCACTCAAGCTGCAAATGTCTCTGTCATCCCACGTCAAAGAGGGAGCAAGATCCGGTCACGAGCCAGGGGGGTCTCAGGTATCCGGTATCAGATGTTTGCTTGAGACTAGGCCAGGGAAGAGCAGAAAAAAAAACGAAAAAAGAAAAAAAGAAAAGGTAAAAGGTCTAGGGCAAAGGCAAAAAAGGCAGCCTGTGGTTCGCCATCAACAAGAGACATTGTGGGTGACACACAGCAGCACCGCGAGAGCTCACTGGAGCAAAAGCAAAAGCCCTGCCCTTTTGCGTGTGACGAGGCGCTTATCGAGACACACGCATGCAACCGGCAATCCTCTCGCAACGACTGCTGAGAGGGCATGTCGAATGGACGAAGCAGAAAATGGCAAATCTCACCTCCATACTGTAGTGCCAGGAAGTCGGACAAGGCCAACGAGCCAATGGAGAAGCGCGGGTCAGAAGCCGGCCAGCCCCGACGTGCAGCAAGCAAAGATAAAAATAAATGCCAGGAAAACGGCGTCTGGAGCCTTCGCGTCGTTGTCGCGTGTCGCTGCCGGGGTGGGAATGGCCTTCGCAGGGGAGAGGCTTGGAGTGGTTACAGCTGCATTGGTTTGGTTGAATGGGATTTGATGATTGAACGGATCGACACGCCGGCTGATGGGAGTTGCTGCGTAGGTAAGCAGCCTTTAGTGGCTGGGCAAGCTGGGGCAGAGCATCGGGTGCGCTAAAACTGTTCCAATGTTTGCTCGCACCCACTCAAGCCCACTGTAGCGTCGGTGCTCAAGCGCTGTGGGGGCTGCGGGTTAGTGCATGATGCTTCTTTCCCAGGTGCGGCTGGGCGCTAAAACCGCTCGCTGTGATGGCAACGGCATAAGCTTGATCCTTCAGGTTCAGCCTCACGGGATGAAAGAGTCTGTTGAATGGACTGACGCGATGGGGATGATGATAATGGCTGCAGGCGTTTGTATACTATCAGGGGGGCGTAATTCAGAAGGCCAAAATAATGGGAGCACGTTTAAACAAATCATGATTTAGGACCCTATAAAAGTCAGAGTAGCATACACATGGGCGTACGTTAGTACTTGGATGTACACCAACCATCATCACTCATTCACAAGTATCTGCATCCTCAACAGGGCTATAGAGGCCAACAGAAACTTCATATCACATTCATGTAATTTTATTGATAAATACCTCTCTCAGTTAGGCATTTCCTTCTACCTGTCTAGGCAAATGCCTCCTATATCCCACGCTCATCTGGCCACAGTGGCGGCTGGTTCATCTACGTACCTAGCGGGCTTCCACCACGTTGTTCAAAAAAGAAATGCAACGCAAAAAAGAAAGGTCAAAAACAAGCCCTCCCAATGCCTCTTCGCCGCTCTTTGTATCGTTTAATCAATGGTATACTCTGCAAGTCTCTCGGCTGAACGGAAATGAATTGTCCGCAGAAATAGATTCATGAATCCGCAATGCATCCAAACGCCATTCCATGTTGGTTTCCCATGTGCTTCGGCCAAGGTACATGTAGACAGTCCTCGGCATCCCATCCCTTGATGCGGTGTAGTTTGTTCGTTGCTGGCGCCTAACAAGCAACGCCCCATTTCGGCCGAATAAACAATATGCCCATGTCGCTATACAAACGTCTTTTGTACTCTAACCTTGGGCGACGTAAGGCCCGTTTCTGCTTTTCGCTTTCCCAGCACCGGCTCTGGCGTGCGTCGCGATAGGCCTGGCGTGGATTCTCGATCTCTCGTTGCCTCGGCACGGCACGAGGCATGATATGCTCGGTTGCCCACCAAGACCGTGTCAAGCCACACCCATTCTTGTACAGTATCGAACCACTTGTTCTCAAATCTCTCCTGACAGATTGGACACACATTATTGATACCGCTGCTCGAGTCTGGCACGAGGATGTATTTGGGTCCCTCTGAGTCCTTAGAGGCTTGGGCTGACTCCTCCTTGGAGGACACGTCGTGTATCGCGTCGACCGCTTCGCGAGCTTTGACCCAGTCCTAGATATCAAGTCAGAGTTTGCCTCTCTCTGTGGTAATTAAGATTTGGGGAAAGAAACTTACCTGCTGGTCCACATACCAACTCCGATGTGTGCCTCGCTTCTCCGCCTCCGTGCTTCTTTGGTGTACTTTGAAGTGCCAGTCCATGTGAGCCGTCTTCTTCCGTCTTCCCTCCTCATCAGTCTTGAATCGCCGCCCACACTGCGTACAGGGGGGGCCCAGATCATCATACAACGCGGCAACCGCATCGGGGTGGAACCTGAGTCGATTTTGTGAGTAAATCATGCATACAATCAGAGCAAGGAACGCCGTTTAAAAGGTCGACTTACTGTAGCTTTAAGGCGGCCGAGTCCATTCCAGTGGAGCCACCCAGTCCATCTGCACTGGATCGGCCAGAATCCGGCTTGTGGGCAGCCAGCAAACTGGCAATGCTCGCTGAAAGGCCCGGAGGGAACAATGAAGGTGGTGGAGGAGGAGGAACCGGCGCCTGGATTGGAGCTTGCACGTTTGTAGGCGTTGCAGGTGGGAGCATACCCGCTGCACGAAGCTGATCTAACAGTGACGAGGCACTTGAGGCTGGGGCCCCGGGCATAGCCGGCGGCATCACCGCTGCCTTGGGTGGTTCGATGTGGTTCATCTGCGGTGACCGTATGGGAGCACCAGCAAACGGAGGCTTGGGTGCCGTATTCTGAGGATTTGCCGACTGCATGCTCAACAAGGCCGCCATCGCCCCCTTTCCCAGCAATGAATCAAGGGTCACTGGCGCAGCAGGCTGGGCTGCCGGCACAGCTGACGGAGTTACAGAGGTTGAAGGAGGATGCACAGGAAGCGCCAGAGGTGGCGCCGTCGCTGGTGCTGGAATAGGGGGTGTAGAAGTCGCAGAGTTACGAGCCAGAGGAGCCCTTATTGTCACGGCAGCAAGTTCTGTTACTTTGTTCTTTATGAGCTCAAGCTGGTCTGGTGGCAGATTCGAGTGTTGTACAACGCCCTGGAGATCCAAAAGAGCTTTCAATCTGCTCTGGACACCGCCATCATGTGGGTTCTGCGAGAACTCGGCCCTCATAGCAACAATCAGGTTTTGAATGTCACTGCTCAAGGTCTCTACGCTTATTCCAGACGGCAGAGGTAAGCCCGAGCCGAAAGCCGGGTGGAAGGGGACTGGGGTTGAGTTGTAAGAGGCCGTGGTGGATGGTGGGGGGTAAGGGGCGGGCTATACACAATCTTGTTAAACCAATATCAAACACATTCATGGCGAGAGAGAAAGACTAACCTGCTGCCCTAGGTGTGGTGCGTGGCCGGGAATTGGCTCGCCAGGGTGTCCTCCTCCATTGGAGAACGGATGAGGCTGAGGTGGAAAGTTCCCAGCCGGGCCAGGATATCCACGCATTCCCGGTGGCGTCGGTGTGTTTCGATGAGGGAACATTCCTGGACGAGGTCTCCCAGGTATGCCGCCCTGGCCCTGTTGCGGCATGCTTGCTGCTCTGGCTTTCATCAAAGCATTCTCGATCGGCCGTACCAGCTCGTGTGAAAAGACGGGCCGCGTGTCCATTGATCCAGGGACAGGGTCCTTCCATGTTTTGAGCATCTCTTCCATCTTCCGGCGTATGCCGTGATCAACCACCGCGTATGATTCCATGAATATCTTGAAGAGGGATCGACCGAAATAGAGCGTATACGGAGTGCCAACATTCTTGACAATTGAATCCATGACATAGAGGGCTGGAAGTTTCTTATTCGGTGGTGCCTAGTTATGTATAAGCATGTGTACATATATTCAACTAGAAGGAGAGGGGGGGAGAAAGAGAAAGAGAGCATCGCTTTGCGTCGCATCGCATCGCATCGCAAAAGAAACTCCCATCCACCAAACACACTAAATAGAATGTCCTCCTACCTTTAAAATGTGCTGCTGCAGAACATCTGCGATAGCCAATGCATGTTCAGTATTTTCTCTAGCAATGACTGTCAAATTGCTGATCTCAAATCGCATGTTAGAGGAGAGATCCTCCAGGGCAAGACGATAGTCCTCCGCCACTTCGGCGCCGTCAGATGACATTTTGAACTGCTTTGCCGGTAATGCAAATAATATTTTTAAGAAAAGAAAAAGAAAGCCTCGTGACAATCAGATGCGTTCAGGGGGAGAAAAAAAAGAGCAATCCAATGGTATTTGCGCAGGGCCTCCCAGCAGGCAAAACAAAGGAAAATGCTGCCGCCTTGAACAAAGATATGAAGCTAAGTTTCGTATATCAGGCAACCAAATGAAAGCGGACACAATAATCGCACGATCAGGAGGAGGCGAAGATTACTCCAAGAGATACTGATCCTGGCCTTCGCCGCCCCCAAACACTAAGCCCAGCCACAAACTATCGTATAGAACCTTTGTTAAAGCCCTCTTCCGCTGTTTCTTGATACCACCGAGTTCACTCGCCGCGACTTCAAACACTATATCCGCAGGCAAGCCTACGCTAGAATGACCCTCTGAGGTCTGCTGGATGCTGCTGGAATATCGTGACAATAGCTACTTTCAATGGTCGAGTTGAATGCCGCGTCGATGTGCTGGGAAGATGGCTCCTAACAAACAGGCGAGGCCCTCACCAAAGGTTGGGCGTGGACAGGCGAGGAAGGGCAGGTTGCCCGTCTGGGAATGAGAAAGGCAAAGGTTGGGGTGCGTAGTCCGGTTCCCTTCCGCAGAGAGAAGGCTCACGCCGACGAAATGAGCCGCTTCAGGTCGCCAGAGCTATCATTGAGGAGGGAAAACAAACAGAGCCGGATGGGCAAATGAAGCGATTGCTTAGAGGTTGATGCTAATCTTGGACCACGTGACTTATCAATTATCAGACGCCGCACGGACCATCGAGGTGAAGTACCTGGTGTAGTACCTGAAATTCCGTTTGTAAGAGACAAATGTTTCTCAAGGCAGAGATCTAAACCAAGAGAACAATAGGCGCGTGAGCACATTGTTTCGCGAGATAAATAGACTGTAACGGTTTATTTCCGTTCATCTACTTTGACAGAAAATTCCAGATGCCACCTGCGTTTACTGCTTGAATTAGTAACCGCGTCTCTGCTACTATGCTTGATCACGTGTCCACGCGACTTGGCTCGGTACGTACCCAGGATGAAGGCATCACCAAACAAGGGCAGCGAAGATGAAAGACAGTGCACGGTATCTACAAGTCGCGCTTCTTTCAAGGGTTTTTCATTATACAATGTTATTTTCGCATTGAACCATTGCTAAAAAAAGCTCTCTAAAAAACTGCACATGCAAGCAAATCGAAAGATCATGTCCAGCCCTCTTTGGGGTATCTCAGTATTATCAGCCCTTGCTTATTCCAACCTCCAACGCCCTTGATCCATCCATCCAACTGCCGGCCTCTCTTGGCCATCATGACTGCCATATTCTCATTTTTCGAATTTTTTTTTTTCTTTCTTTCATTTTTCCTTTTCTCTTGTTTTAAGAGAAAGAGGACCCAGCCTCCGCCTGGGCAGCAATCAAAATCGTGACATATTGGCCTCCGAATACCGGCTGCTGCGGCTGCTGCGGCTATTCATTGGGTGCAAAGCCGTGTCGGGGCGCTTTAGTCCAGGAATGATGGGGCTGTCGCTCTGTGCTTCGATATCACGGGCATAGTGGCTGACATAGGGAGGGCTGATGTCTGGCTGCCCGTTCACGAATTGCTCCTTGTCCTTCTTCCAAAACATGGAGGCAATTTTGCTCCTGTACTTTTCGTTTCTGACAGGAGATGACCGGCCATTGGTATCGTAGTCGGGATACTGGCGTTGCGATTGTGCCAGCGAGCCATTCGCGCGAATGTCGCGAGACGTAATGCCCTCCTTTCTATCACACCAGATAAAGGAGCAGACGACGTTGAGAAAGCCGAAGATGAAGGCCAGGATGCCCGCGGCCAGCACCAGCGATGACAGGGCAGAGGACATTTTCAGGTCATGATTAAGCATTCCCAAGATGTTGCAACCGATGATGATCATTCCAAAGCCCAGCCAACTAAGTCCGTGGTGGTCGGACAGGACCGGCCACATGCGCCGTAGGTAAACCTTGATAAATTCTGCAAATGCGAGTTCCGAAACAGCGAGTAAAGAGCAGAAAACGGACACGAAAAAGAGCGTGAAGCATTCGAAGATGAAGTATGGCTTGTTCTTCTCGACGTTGATGATTAGAATCCAGCAGGCGGCGCCGGCAACCAGGAGGGTAATGACGGTGGCCACTCGAAGAGCCTGGAGAACGACCAGTCCAGCGCCTCGGAGGGCTGGTGAGTTCATGAAGCCAGCCATAGTAATCGCTCGTTAAAAAAAAAATAGTGTATTGGAAGGAATGCTATAGACAAATTGTCAGTCGGGGGAGTCGGACGTTCTGCCAGAAATACTCACTATGAAGAGGCTTGAACAGGCTTGAACAGTAGACGCTGCCCTTCAGTGAATGAATGTGGAATGCAAGAGTTCAGGCAATATTCTATGTTCAAGTCGTGTTGATGTTGCCGACAGAACAAGGTCTAGTTGATGCACAGAGAGAGAGAGAATGAGGGAACCAGCCCGGTAGCGATGAGGATGATGGTGACGAGTATGAAGAAAGGAAGGAAGAAAAGGAAAGAATGTAAAGCTACTGGAAAACGATTGGAAAGCAGCTTCAATATCGTTTCACACAAATACCATTGTTAGGAAAGACAATAGGAAAAAAAAATGATGGGCAAAATCCGAAAAGCACGCTGGGAGAAAAGGTGCGGGCAATCTGAGAAGAGGCTCAGCACTTCTTTATTAAGACTACCTACGCACCACGACACAACCGCTTGCCGCCCTCACGAGAGAATCAAAGCACAAACCCCTGCTGCTGAAACAGAGCGCTGCTGGAGAAAAGCAGCGCTGCTCTGACGTGCATCCAACAGATCATGGGGACGCTTCGCAGCAAACAGCCGGCCATGGTCTCATTCACAGCTTCAGCCAAACACTTGCCTGCCTCCAAGGCCAATCGTTCCGCAGAACCACTTCAGCAGGCCAAGGGCCAAAATAGAAAACATTAGCCGCGCCGAGAGCAGCTTGTTTCATCAGCAATCCGGGCCCCGTCAATGGCCGCGCTTGCGCCAGAATCGCAACACCGGTCAAGCTCAAGAGCTCCTGATCAGAGCCGCGATCCCACCTCACCTACATGTATGAAGGCCCTGTCAGAGGTTGTAGCCAAGCCGATGGCCTGCTAATTGTAACATTGCTCCATGATGAGGTAATGCACCGTTTGACGGAGCCCAATGAAGTTGCGGCGGCAAGAGGCCGAGAAACGGGCCCTTAGCTGGGAGTCTTTGGTTCCATCTCAAAGCCGGGATTGTGAGGTGGGTTGATTGGCTGCGGATGCGCGTGTAAGTGTTTCAGCAGGTCTGCAGGTCCTTTGTTGAAGCGCTGCTCTAGGTACGTACCTGCGGCGCAAAATGCTAGCGACCAAAGTGCATTGACCAAGTACCTGTACTTGTCACAACCGTTTTCATCCCGGAGAAGAGCGCGACCCAAAAAAAGATACATGTACAGAGTAACATCAACACACACATTTTCGAGACCCAGGAAAAAAAATTACATATTAAAAATAAGCTTTATCTTATCTTTCTCTTTTCCACTATTGGTTGCAGAATCCAATGTCTCAGAAGCGTGGAGGTGCGCTGGCCACAAACAGCTTTTTGGCACTGTGTTGTTGGCTCGAGATATCATGTAACGGCCGGAACATGAACCGAAGTCGGTAGACCTCCTACATCAAACTACAGGTACCGGCAGGGACTCTTGAAGAATTAATAAGACCCTGCATTGTTCAAAAAGCGTGTAGCTTTAATTTAACATTACCACTCTTCTCATTTAGTCGTAATGAGACCGGATGCACATGTCAACCGATCTTGGTACAATCTCTGCTAATGTTCAGGCGCCTTCGGCAAAGGCTCAAAATCAACTTAGCCGCCAAGGCTGATACCGATTGTCCGGGTCGCAAACAGGGTTCGCGTATCGAATGCGGAAGTACCTGCATATGGCTGCCCTTTATATTGGATGGATATATAACATCGCCAACTCATGTAGCGAGACACGGCAATTGTCGAGGGAGCACAGACTCAAGTACCCCCTCGTAGATTAAAGTATGATGAGTTACAAGGCGGAATCTGTTAGCGGCTTAGATGGAATGCTTACGGGTCCTAGAAGCCATGGCATTCTCCGATTGGCTCTAGGATGACTGCCGCATGTCCACGTCGAAGTTAGACGCGAGCTAAGACCTCTTCTTCGTCCTTCCTCACATCCTCATCTGTATCATTCCTCATCAGTAGCAGTACTACATACACCACTGTCACTACCATGGCCCGCGGGAATCAGCGTGATTTGGCGAGAGCCAAAAATCAGAAGAATGCAGCCAAATCAGTAAGCCAGATTTGCATAGAAGCAGCCGCCAACAGTAAAGGGGAAATAACTAATTGAGTGTCACATCTTTGCAGAAAGGCGGCAATAACATGGACGGCTACCAGCAAGCAAAGGCATCCTTGAGCAATGCCGAGATCATGAGACAGAAGCAAGCCAAAGGTCCGAACCCAACAGAATCCAACTATATCTGCTGCGAATCATGGAACTAATTAAATACAATAGCTGACGCAAAGAGAGCCGAGGAAGAGAATAAAGCATTGCAGGAAAAGAGAGATGCAAAGTCGAAGAAGCAGACTCTGGGAGAGTAAAACTCCTCAATGACGGACGCTACGTACGAATACTCCAATAGTACGGCAAAGGGACGAGGAAACACGGTACGGCGAAATCGGGCGCTGCTTGACATTTTACAACACGGCGCAACTTTGGGACGATTTACGTGAAGAGGGGGGGATATTTTGGCTTAGTGCTACCCAGGTATAGCCATGGATGAGGCGAAATTGATATTTTGTAGCGGTATTGCTATTGCTTTACAACACCTTCAACTTTGGCTCAGCGATTTATTACTTATTATAGCGCTATGGCTTGCTCTCTCAAGGCTAAGTCGCCATTTATACATCATAAGTTACAGGAATTTCTAATTCCAGTGTGAATTTCTGCAGACGTTACGACTATCTGTTTGCTATATCGCCAATGCTGAAATTGATGGATGCTATTAGCCCTAAGGCTGGGAGAAAAGGGGAGTACACGGGAGTACTTAATGTACACCTACTTCATATTACAAGGATTGCACAATGTCCATCTTAATAAGAGAACTCAATCTGATTGAGAATTTATATTGCAGCCTAGTATATCAATATTATCCCACTCTTTTCCCTTTTGTTTTTTTTTGATGTATGCTGGTATTCTCACGTTGGTAGTCTGGCTACCTGTATAAAAGTCACACCTACAGACTAACGGGGCAAGATGTATCCGGAGGTGCTCAGCAAGTATTAAATACGCTTAAAACAACTACATAAACCTCCTATTCCTTTTTGACACAGCCTTCAAATTCCCTCTATCCTGATTTTTGTAAGAAAATACTTCTTTTATTTGTCGACTTCTGCTCCAGGGTAGCCGCTCAACCGCTCAATTTTCGCTGCACCACGTGAAACTTTTCTCAAACTCAAACATTTGACTAAGCCTACCTAGGTAGTTAACAGGTAAGAGGTTATTGGAAATATGCCGTGCTTCTAATTGGCTAAATCGCTATCGCCCCATACAAGCTTAGATAACAGCACAAGGCTGCACCTTTGTTGACGCCACCTTGACTTTTAAGCATCTCAGCCTCGTCGGCCTCTGGCCACTTTGCTCTTTCAACTGTTTACTCATGTTTGGTTAAGCAGCGCAGCGTTCAAAATGGCGATCTCTTGGGATTCGTAAGTTAAACACTGATGAATTAGATGTCATGAGAAAATACTAACCCTGTGAATCATAGCATCCGCGCATTTGTCCTCTTCTTTGGACCGATGCTTCTTCCAAAGGCCATCTCCTATTATCGCAGCGTACGATCAGCCCCCCGACGACATGGCCTTTCCGTGCAACCCGTCCCGCCGACGATTCGTGTAGCCGTCTTTATGCTCTCCTTCTTTGCGTTCATGCTCGTCGTCAAAACGTTACCGGCCGCTTCCCCAGAAAACATATTCATCAAAACGCAAAGCCGACTTCAAATACCGGTCGATGTGCTGTTTAACCGTGTTTCAGCCCTACGATCTGACAATGTCTTCACGGCATGGGATCACGCATTGAGATCCAAGTTTGTCAATCTAGAAAGTCGACTGTTGTATTTCCAATACGGCCCAGAGGTATTGGCTGAGTGCATCTTCTGCAACGCCGACGAACCAAAGAGCTACTTCTACTATGCTCTCCCCTCAATATTGTGGCCACATATTGGCAACTTAATCATCCTCGCCATTGTTACGAGTCCGTCGTTGACGGGAAAGTACGGCTCTCAATGGAGAACACTGGCAACAATCTCTTCCGGCATTCTTGCTGGGCTGGAGCTGTACTTTGTTAGCTCGTACAATTATCAGGCAAACTCGCGGGCGCTTCGGCTTAGCGACTTGGACTTCTTTTACTGGACGATGCGCAGCTACCGTTTCGTCGCTCTTGCAGCCCTGGATGCTGCAATTGCATATGCTTTATACCTTTCATCCACCAATCGTGCGTTTGTGCAGCCTCCATCTCCGGCGGAGCGCATTGAACTTGTCAACCGAGCACTTGTGGTAGCCAGGAGCAAGGTGAATGCGGTTGGTATAGTGAAGAACACAATTATGCGTGACGAAGATTTACGGTCACGCTCTCAAGGGTACTGGCAACACGAGGTCCGGCTCATGGGCGAGGTGATGGAGGAGCGAGAAGTCATTGATGGGGTAAATGACGCCTTGAGCAACAGGATTGATATCCAAAACATAACCAGGGACGCAGAGACATACACTCAAAACGTCCTACGACCGATGCAACAAGAATAGACACTTAGCATAACATAGCATAGCATTTCACAAATATTGCATACCTCTTTCACCTTCACTGCATTCGATGTTTTGTCAATTTCGAAGGTATATTGCGCTGTGAAACATCTATCATTGTCTAATAAAATACATCAGGACCTGGATTCTGGACGCCCTATTGTAACACCTGCAGTTGCTACGCTACTTGTGCTGCCTTTTCTTGACGGGCCTTCGCTGGTTCCCTCTTGTGCACTACGCTCCAGAAAGCCAGCCCAGAGCTCGGCTAGGGATTCCCTGTCTCTTGCAGATGAAGGCTCGGAGAATATGTCGGCACTCAGCGATGGCGAGCTGGGAGTGCGCTGGAAGGGCGAGAGGGGGAGGCGGAGGCTGTTACTTGATCCTCCAGGACGAGCAAGTCCAGCTTGCTCGCGTTGTTCGTCAGTCCAGTTCAGGTACCCGGCCATGACCTGCAAAACCTGGAAACGCTTGGCGTCGCCTCGGTCTAGTGTGAGGAAATGGAGTAGATGATTTGTGACAACTTGTCTGTGTCGGTATATGTTAGCTTGATTTTCTTGTTTTCTTGGAGAAGTGATGGTGCGTACCTATCAACGTTGTCTTCTGGCTTTGTCTTTTTGAGATATCTTAGGGCCTTGGTGAGGTGATCATTTAGCACGATAGCCTCATGCCGCAGCTTTCCGATGAGGAGATTCTTCTCCTTCACCTCCTTTTCAAAGGGAGCGGTGCGCTCGAGTTCCTTGACGAGCTCGGCCTTGGCTTCCTGAGCATCTGTAGCCTTCGCGACAGCCTCTTGCACCAATTTCTTTTGCTCTTGGAGCTGGGCTTCACTTGTCTCAACCAAGTCGCGAAGCTCCTTCTTTCGGGCATCTTGGATCTCCCGTAGAGCATTTTGAAGGTTGTCGATCAATGTCGCCTGGCTATCGCGCTCAGCAGTGGCCGCCTCATACCCTTCTCTTAGCCCGACAACCTCTTCCTCCAGCTCGGCAACTTTGTCTCCAAGATTCTCTTTAATAGAACGCTCTTCCATGGCGATGACTTCCCATTCGCCCATCGCATTGGATGTAGTCTCCATCTCCTCCTTGAGATGCTGGATGGACCTAATGAGCTCTTCCCTCTCCTTCCCCCAATTGTTTGCAGACAAGTTGTTGCGACTTCGGAGTGTCGTAAGCTCCCGCGTGGCATCTTGGAGCTCTTCCCGGACCTTTGCCAAGTTTTCGCTGGACGATTCTGCTGCACTTCGAAGCTCCTCGTTTTGCGCCTCGAGCTCTTCAATGTGTTCCTTTGCTTCCTCTAACTCGGCCTTGTCTCGCTTCAGTCTGTCGCTCAGAGTCTCTTTGATCTTCTCGACTCGCCCAAGTAGCGTCTGGTATTGCTCCTCGGCGGTTTCTCTTGCGGCATTGCTGTCTTCCAGCTCTGCCTGCAGCTGCGATACTTCAGACTGGTGATTTTCTTGAATGCTTTCCAGCTGTTTCCGCAGCTGCTCAACCTCGACCCGGAGAGCCTCTCGCTCCTTACTCATGGCTTCTAATTTGGCCGATGTGTCGGATTCGCCGTCGGGTTGTTGCGCAGGCGGCTCAGTATGCTCGTGGTTCGGCGGTGCTACTGGGTGCCCGTTGGTCTCGCTCTTAGGCTCTTCGGTGCTGTCGACATTACTCGGGATTTCCTAGCAGCGTGATTAGCGCGATTATACAGGAATCGAAGCTTCGGCACAGGCTTACGGCGGTTGTGGGCGTATCTGGTTCGTCATCTAGCTCGTCCTTGTCAAGCCTGGCATCGCCGTTGCTTGTCTGCGCCGGCTCTTTGGTCTTGCTCGCATTCTTCTTTTTCTTGTTGTTCTTCTTCTTCGCCGCTGTCCCATTGCTAGCTTCAGCATACGACATCCCGCCAGCTCTCGTGGAAACCATGACTAACCTGAATTGGACGTTAGGCTGGGCTCCGTGGCCGCCGTCGACGACATGGTAGGCAGGTGTTAAAGAGGTTGCATGCAGCTCGTTGCGATGTCTCTGAGCGACTCCAAGGCTCTTATATGGCGCCCTCGTACGAGAATCTCGGGCGCAAGGGAGAGCCGGATTGCCAAATCAGCGATCGAGCTCCTCTGCGGCGTCGACTCCGATTCGTCTAATTGATGCTTGCGGATACTCGCACAGCAGCGGTTTGGAGTGGCGATGCGGACTCGGCTTGCTGAGAGGGCAATTGAGACAGCGATCCAGGACTAGAGAGACAGGCAAGGGTTCTGAACCCTTCTAGAAGATCTTGACACGCGTCAAAGGAGCGGCTTGCAGAAGACAAGTGTTCCAAGACGGACTATCGTGGGATACGAGGCCCTTGTGCAGATTGTCGTACGTATCCCCATGCCGCATTCGGTCGGCGGGCTTAGTCATCACAAATTTCCTTATCAAGTCCTCCACCGCGGCCTTTTCGATTTTTTTCTTCTTTTCTCTTCATCTTACAATCATCTTCGCCATCACACTATTGAAGGAGATCATACCACTAATGGCTTTTTCACAATCTCGCGCGAAGTAGATAATCTCGCCTTTTATAATCCCGTTGCTTGCTCAATAATCTCACGAGCGCGATGGGTTCGCTTATGTGCGGACATGCAACCAGAACGAAATTTTTTTTGGTGCTTTTTCTTTCACTGATGAAGAATGAATGAGTCGATCAAGATAAAAGTGCACTTGTATTTTATTAGACCACTGCGCCGTAATGAACCTGCCGGGTGTAAAACAAATATATGTATAACAATCGCCAATCAAGAGAGTTAAGCCTTGGTCTTCCTTGTCCTAGGTGTCGTCGACTTGGCAGTCTTGGCCTTGGTTGCCTTCTTGGGCGTCGCAGCCGACTTTGTCTTCGCCGGGGTCGAAGCCTTCTCTGCTGAATCCGCTGCCGCCTCCGTCTCCTCAGTCGGCTTTTCTTCCTCTGGGGCTACCTCCGGAGCAGCCTCAATTGCCTTGGCTTCCTCGCCATTCTCGATCGCTGAGGCGCCGGGTGCTGGGACCTTCTTGAGCTCTGGGGCCTCAAAATCATACCCCAGCTCCTTGAGCTTGGCAGCCTTCTTTGCCCGGTTATCTCGCTCCTTTGCAACCTTGGCTTCCCAGGTCGACTCGGTAAGAGGCTTTTCCAACTGGATGCCGGCCATCTTATTCCATGGCACCTTCTTGAATCTTCTGTTGGCTCCCTTGAACAGGTCGTCGTGTACCTGCTCCTTGGAGAGAATCTTGCATTTCAAAATATGTCCAAACAGCAGATAGTTGTCCATGGTCTTTGAGACAATCTCGGCAGTGCTAGCCTCGGTAAATTCGACAAAGGCAAAGTGCTTGCTGGCACCAGTCTTCTTGTTACGCGAGAGGCGCAGTCGGGAGATGGGGCCGAATTGAGACAGGTATTGCTTCATTTCGTATTCGTAGAAACCATGGGGTATTCGGCCAATGTAGACAACGCCGGGCTCTTCCTTTGAAGCCTTGATCGACTTCTGAACATCCTTCGAGACCTTGGGGATCTTGCCAACGTCCTGGCCGGGCTGGAATTCTTCTTCGTTCACTGCGGCCTCGTCTTCCGGGTCAATGTTGACGGCCAAAACCTGCAGGTTTTCCTCATCATCTTGTCCCTCAGACTCAGAACCTTCGTCCATCTCAATCACATCTTCTTTCTTTTCTTTCTCCTCAGGCTTGGCCTTTGTCGCCTTTGGCGCCTTGGGTGACTTGGTCTTGGATGACTTGGTCTCAACAGCCTCCTTCTTGGTGGATTTCTGCTTTTTCAGTACGACGGGGGAAGCTTGTTCAGCGGCTGTAATGAAACAAATGTCAGCATGAGGCGGACGAAAGCCAATTCCAGTCGGTGGCCATACCCTTTCTCTTGCCCTTGGGGGTCTTGTCAGGCTGTGCGGCGTCACTCGTCTTCGGTGACGCAACTAAATCCAATTAGATAAAGATCATTTATATAGAGTCGTGGCTCTTACCCGCTCTGCTGCGAAGCATTCGCGCCATGATGTAGTCTGTGATTCTTGGTGGTACCTTGAAGGCGATATGGGCGAATCGTCGCAAACTTGCCTCAAAAAAAATTACTGGAAAATTTACGATTCTGCCGTTTTCCTGGGGCGGTGAAGGCGCGATTGGTGGGGGTTCTGTCCACTAACAGCCGCTACGCCACTTTCAGTAACAAGCTCTGTTGATAATCCAGGGCACTTTTATCGATGATTGTCCAGGGTATCCTCTAGATTGTGTCGAAGCAGGATATCAAGAATGATCGAAAAATTAATCGTCGATTCAATGATGTGAATTGCTACCTTACTATTACTATTAATTCACTTAATATTGATATATATAGGAGCTTTAGTTTACTGATTAAGAAGGTTGATGAATAAATTGTATTTCTCGTAGCGCTCAACTAGGTTTAGGTCGCTGCGATTTGGAAGCTCCTTCTTCCCTTCTTCCCTTTCACCTCTCTACCAACCTCAGTATTCACAGCTCGCAATTTCACCACAATGAATATCGACGACTCTGATCCTCACCACGAAGAAGTCTGGGATGACTCTCTCCTTATCGATTCCTGGAATCAGGCTCTGAAGGAGTACAAGGTAAGGCCCTGGCAGGATGAGAGAGGATCATCGCCTTAACTAGAATAGAAATACCACAGCATCCACGCGAAGGGCGGCAGCATCCGAGATTTGGAAGAAGCCGACGCCAGTTCATCCAAGTGCGTCTACTTACCTTACACCAGGCCGGACCATTATCTGCCTTGTTACTAACGCGGATACCAGGGCTGCCGAGACTCTCAAAGTGGATGAATCAGGCAGTCAACCGGCGACCGAGACCGAGAAACATGTCGAAGAACTGCCGGGCAACTATGCTGACGCAGCAATGAATGTATGTTTCAACGCACAGGCTGAGAAAATCCGCCATCCACCATCTGGGAAAATTTTGCCACGGTTTATTGGGAAATTCCAGCTTACCAAACACTGTAGGATTCTGCTGAGCAGCATAGCTCACAACCGGGGCACGGTTTAAACTCCATCCCCAGCGCGTTTCCGTCTCAGGCAATCCTTGGCACAGGTGAGTAACATGAGCAAGGCGATAACCCCTGGTCTTTCACCCGATGTTCCTTGAAGATGCCGCACTGACACTGGGGAAACTTTCCGAGCTACGATTGCCAGTGCGCGATGACAATCTGAAAAAGCTCCTCATGTCATGGTACTACGCTGGCTATTATACCGGCCTATTTGAGGGGCAGCAGCAAGCACAGCAGCAAGCACAACAGCCCTAACCTGACAAGCCTGGCCACGGTGAGCCAAGCTGGGTCCGTCGTTGTCGACTAACTGATCGCGGGGAGAGTGAATGCTGCGCCACAGTTGAATGGTGAAGCCGGGGTGGAAACACTGCGACAGATGGTGTTCCACAGCCCTGCTAGTACGGCAACGGTCGCGATGCTTTGGGCTTTTTGGCGTCTCAGGATGGCGCTGGTGGAAACAACGTGTCAGTGCATTTCCAATTTATCTCAATGCAAGTCGAGCTCTGCCGATTTCAGCCACGCTGCGAACCGATAGTTTCTTATCGGATCATTTGTTTCATGTTGAATAGTGGTCGGAATCTGCATTATGGAGCTCGCGATAAAGCTGCTAGAATTACGCGTTTGTTTGATCTCATCTCGAAGATGGCATTTGCCTTGCGGCGAATCGCTGCGTCTCACCACTGCATGTTTTTTCCCCCTCTGTTTTCTTTCTTCAGTCATGTCCGTTTTGAGGACTGCAAGTCGATTATTAACGCTTCTCGGCTATCAATGTGGGGATCCTGCGGACGCTCCAGGTTCTAGGCTCTCTAGGCCCCAAGCTTTGTCCTTGCCTTCAGGTTTGTAGCGAAGGAGTCTTAAATTGAAGGGAGAATGATCGCTAGGTTGCGTTTCGATAGATCCGGTGAAGGCAACCCAAGTTGGGAAGACCAAGTCGAGATCGCATTGACTCCTGGGATTACGAAAGCGACATGTTATAGATGGGAAATGCGCTACGGTCCATTCCCCGGCCCATCTGGAAGCCGTGTTTCACCTCCACAATAGCGGTTTGAGGTTCCTCGCGACTAGTTTGGCCATGAGCGCTTGACGATTGTTCTGACCTCAACCCCTTATGGCAGACGACTGTGACCAGTTCATGCTATTTCGGGCGTAATTGAAACTTGCGGCCTCCGGTGCTGATCTAGCCGCCAGCTGTGTCTGCTTCTGCATCGACGTTTGCTTCCTGACAGAGGCACGTTTCTAGGCTTACGGAGAGGCGCTAGCCGCATGAAACTAATATTACAATTGATATTGCGCATTACTCAGGCGATACTGAAAAGGAAAATGAATGGTCAACTCATCTTGGTATCTCTCTAAGAAACCTAGAAAAGAGCACGGCAATGCGCAGTGCCGTGCACACTTTATTTGCCGTATCCGGGGGTGCTCTGCATTGCGACTCCACCAGCTTCTCGCTTGCTGAGCATCATACAGGGGCTTAACGTGGCGACCGATAACTAAACGCAGCTGATTCACGGTTAAGAAAATGCTTCAATAGAGCTACATGCGCATCTGCCTCTCGAGAAACATGCAGCTTTCTCGTGGTCCAAGGCTCTAGCCGCTTGACCGGGGTTGGTGACTGGGCCACGCCAAAACATCGCCAAACGCCACCCGAGACAACTCTGTTACAGGTTTCTCCTTGACCCCCTGCAAACCACCAAATGCGCAAAACAGCACGGAGCACCACTGATTCGGATGCATCGAGCCCCGGAATACCACTCTTTAGCTCGGAAACGGGGGGTTCAAGGGTCTGGTTCCATCAGGAAGACATGGCTGGCCTATTCTTGGCCGCATTGCGTCTTGACAGATAAAATGTCTAGCTCTCCCCGAGTCGAGTAAAACATTCTTTCGTTTCTTCATCACTAGTCTCCAATTGTTTCGGCAGTTGCTCTCTTTCCCTCTTTTTTTTCTGTTTCCTTTCCATTCGCTTCACGAGCAGGCCCTCGCCATACCAGCCCTTAAACTTGGTTGATTCAAGTATTTCGACAGCTCTCCTTTTTACGTGTACAAGTCAGATTTTCAATAATTCACCCACACCGTCAAGATGAAGTTTTACTCCTGGTTAGCTTTGGCCTCTGCGCCTCTTGCTATGGCCAACAAGGTCCAGAATGCCTACCCCGACAATGCTGCCCGAGCAGTTGAATTGGAGATGGATGAGCGAAGCATCGCCATTGCCAGCGGCATGGCTGGTCACGGCATCACTGCCAACTCCCTGACTGAGATCATCATCATCTGGGCCAACCCTGGTGGCGGTGCTGCCACCACCACCTATAACCAGAAGGTCACTGTCACCGAGACTGTGACTGTTGGAGGACAGACCACAACCGCCGCCGCCGCCGGTGCTACCCACACCGTCACCGTTGGAGGAGCTGCTGGTCTTGTTTACTCTCCTCCTCAGCTCAACAACATCCCCGTCGGTGACACCGTCATCTTCGAGTTCCAGTCTATGAACCACACCGTTACCCAGTCTGCTTTCGACACTCCTTGCAAGAAGCTCGAGGGTGGTATGGATTCTGGCTTCCAGGCCAACCCCAACAACACCATCTCCCCTGCTCCCCAGGTCGCTATGCAGGTTATGGCCTCTACTCCTCTCTGTAAGTAGTCGGCTGTGAGTATCATGCCAATGAAATGGCTTCTAACAATGCCCAGGGTTCTACTGCCGACAGAAGGGTCACTGCGGTAAGGGCATGGTCTTCTCCATCAACCCTACTGCTGCCAAGACCCAGGCTCAGTTCCAGCAAATGGCTATTGCTCAGAACGGCACCGGTGCTGCTACTCCCATTACTGGTGGTACCAGCTCTGCTGCTCCTGCTCCTCCTCCAGCTCAGTCTTCTGCTGCTGCTGCTCCTCCCCCTGCCGCTCCTCCTGCCGCCCCCCCTGCTAGCGGAGACAACGCTGGTAGCATCACGCCCGGCAAGGGTACTGTTGGTGCTGATGGAAGCTGCTCTTGCTTCGTTCAGTGCTCCCCTGGTAGCTTCCCTGTGAACGCCGCTCAGGGCGTTGGTGCCCACGGTGGCTGGGGTGGTAAGTTTGCTCTACTCTTTCATACATAATACTTGGCACTAATTGAACACCACAGGTGCTCTTCCCATGAACATGGCTGCCATGTCATAAACGCATTAATATGAACACAATTGGAGGGAGACGGTGGCTTGGAGGTGTTTTAAAAAGGATTATTGTAGATCTAACTCATTTCTTCTTACATGTACTCATGAGACTGCCCAAGGGGCCTGACTCTTTTTCTTCACTTTGAAGGTATTGATATCATATGACTGGTTCGTATACATTTTATTTGCAACCTTAATGAATTATTTTCAACGCGTCTGAATGCCCCTGTGAAGTGATTACTGCTGCACCGCTGCACTGCTGCACTGCTGCTCTTGCTACTCTTATTTCTCATAGCGCTCAATGAAGGCAGCAGGCAAAGAAAACAATTTCTATCCGGGTGTCATGGTAAAATGCAAGCTGTTCGGCATAATGTAGTGTATTGATAGGCTCTACTGAATTATCAAGCAAGACCGTAACAGCCTTGTATTCTTCGTGAGAAACAATGTTGTATTATTACCTATTATATCTACCTACACGTATTGGACATACCTATACCTAACACATCTATCTATCCTTACCAGATATTTCTATGTCTACTAAGTCTACTATATGTATATATGATAAGCGCCATTTTAATGCGTTGAAGGGCTTTCGGGCGGGATGAAGCAGCCTTGGGCGGCAATTCAGTCATTTTTGGAAAGCGTGGGCGCCTAATAATCATAGCCACACCACGAGACAAGGATGTAAAAGGATCATATCATCAGGCTACCCCTCTCACGAGCTTCACATATACACACACATTCACAATCCGCATAGTTATGGGCCATGGAGCCTATAGGTCTAGCAGTCGGAGTTATAGGGCTCGCTGGCTTATTTTCGACCTGTCTTGATCTAATTGAGAAGATTGATAACTATAAGCACTTCAAAAATGACGAGCAGGCTTTAGCCGCCCAATTCGTATCCTTCAGGCTCCGCTTCGAGAAATGGGGCAAAGCCTTGGGACTGGATAATCAGACAGCGTTGTCAGAAGACCAGCACGAGGCTCTCGTCGACGCAGAAACATTAGAAACTGTGCGCAAAATAATCGACATCATCCGCGAAATTTTGAGTGATCAAAAACCGCCCCCCTCTCCGAATGCCGCTGTTAATCCGAGCCGCCTTCTAGCTGGGAGCCTGACAGAGCCATTTCGGATAAGTTTGCGACCCAGAAAAGAAAAGCTCTCATGGGCCCTGAAGGGCAAGGAAAAACGAGAGGCTCAAGTAGAGCTGTTTGGGAAATTGATCCAGCACTTACATCACCTTGTGCCCATAGAGTCTATAACTCGGACCACAACTGTGAATACAAATCAGTCAACCAACCCCACTGTCCAAATTGATAATTCTTGGACAACCGAGGTTCGTGATACTCTCCAGAGATTGGAGGGGAAAGCCCACACAGACACGCGCCGGGAATTGCATGCTTGGATAGTGCGACATCCTCCCAACGAAATATACGAAGATGCCATTCAAAAAAGACTTGAAGACACTTGTGAGTGGATTCTGGAGCGATCTGTCTTGGAGGAATGGCTGTCTTTACCGAACGGCCCCGAAGCACCAAGACTCTTGTGGATAAATGGACCTGCTGGGTTTGGTAAGACCATTCTTTGTTCCCGGATAGTCCAGCACCTCCAGCAAACAATCAAGAAGCCAGTGGCAAGTTTTTTTTTCTCTTCCGACTTTGAGAGCCGTGATGATCCGTACGAGGCTATCCGATGGTGGATATCTGAGGTCATAACTCGGAACCAACCTGCGTTTGACCATGTGCGCATCAAGCGGGAGAAACAAGACGAGCCTGCTGCAACACGTACATTCATCTTACAGCTATTTTCGGACATCGTCAACATTGTCCCCGGCTGTGTGTTCGTCATAGATGGGCTTGACGAATGCACATGGCTGAATAAGGGGAATAATCCTGGACGGAGAGATTCAATTGCTAGTTTTCTAGAAAATCTTGACCGGGCAATTGCAAATTCAGCTACCCGGGTTCTGATCGTGAGCAGAGACGAATCTGAGATACGCTCTGGGGTTGAGGATATGAAAAGCACCATCTTCGAGTACAACATACTTCCAGAGGATGTTGATCGCGATACTAGACAATTTGCCAGGAGCATTGTCAACAAGAAGCTGTCGAAAAAGAGCGAGGCGCTTAAACTTGATATCTCTGAGAAAATGGCAATAAAGTGTGGTGGCCAGTTCCTCTGGCTAAAGCTCCAAGAGGACTCCCTGCGCAGCTGGAAGAACCAGAAACAGTTACAAGATGCTATTGACAAAACCCCCTCTGGTCTTGACAATTTATATTACAGAAACTGGGTAAGATTGTCCAGACTCCCGAAGGATGAGAGAAACCGCGCGTTTTCGCTGCTTCGTTGGGTCACTTTTGCCATACGACCATTGACTGTTGCTGAGATTGCTGAGGCAGTGTTGATCAGTTTTGAGAACGAAGAACTACCTATAGACGAGCTTCCCGATTTCATTGATGACGATTACGTCAATAGCGAGATATTAGGAATTGGTGGTTCATTACTCAGCATCCGAAAAAGCTCAGTTGCGCTGGATCCCGGAGTTGACACTATACGGCTTACCCACTTCTCAGTGAAGCAGTATTTCCTTTCTCATGATCCTAACACAGGGGATACTCTACAAGCAAATGAGAAGCTGAGATCCTCTAATGAAAGGACGGAAAACATTACCTTGGCTCAACTTTGTCTTCGGTACATTCATTATGAGGAAATTTGGCAATTTGAACATGATGAAGACTCGGGCCAAGTTCAAGGGTCGTTTAGAGATTACGCAGCAGGCTATTGGCACCGCCATGCTCACAATGGTAGCCCAGAGGATGAGCTGGTGAGCGATCTCATCACTTCTCTATTCGATACAAATGGTACAGTCTGGGAGGCATGGAAAGAATGGTTCGATTGCAGAGAAAAAATGAAAGTGGAAGCCTACCTGGAGACGGTTGATGATGATGATGATGATGAAAAGCAGAAATGGCAGGCTGCCCTCTTCAAGTCAATGCCAAACAACCCTATCTACTATACCTCGAAACTCGATTTAACCTTGATCACTCTGAGATTGATCGATGAATATCGACATCAATTGGATGACAGATCTTACTTTGGGGAGACAGCCATTGCAGCCGCCTGCGAAAATGGCAACGAGGTGATTTCACAGGCTCTAATCGATGCGGGAGCGAATATTAAACTAGCGAGTTATGATGGAGAAACCCCTTTGCACATCGCAGCTAATGAAGGCCACTTAAATCTAGTTATGTTGCTGCTGGAGAATGGAGCAGATTATAATGCCATCAACAAGAGCTCAGCAACGGCTTTGCATTATGCCGCCTATGTAGGCCGTGCTGATATTGCAAAGATTCTTCTTCAATACGGCGCCGATTATCTGGTCCAGAATTTCCATGGCTTGATTCCTTTACATCATGCTGCTGGGCGTGAAAACTTAGACGTAATCCAGCTGCTGATCAGCCAAGATTCTGATCAAAAGAATATGACGGATAGGAATTCACAGACACCATTGCACACTGCGGCTATAAATGGAAAGGCTAAGTCAGTCCAGTTGCTGCTAGACCATGGATATAACATCTCTTCTGTCGATGAAGATGGATGCACGCCATTGATCAGTGCCTCATTTTTTGGCTTCACCGAGGTAGTTCAGATACTTCTTAATTGCGGGAGCGACGTGAATATGCCAGATCCTCGTGGCATTACAGCACTAACCTTTACAGCAAGAAATGGCCATACGAAAACAGCAGAGCTATTATTAGAAAAGGGTGCGGACATGAATCTTCTGGACAGTACTGTAGGATGGACAGCCTTGCAAAATGCAGCTTACTTTGGCTCTGTGGACATAGTTCGCGCTCTACTTCTACACGGAGCCGATATCAACTTCACTAGCAAGGATGGGTATGATGCACTTCTCTCTGCGACTGAAGGTGGGCGTACCGAAGTCATTAAAGTACTCCTAGAGCATGGGGCCAATGTCTCAACTTCACAGCTTAAGAAGACAGGAACTCCTCTAGGCATGGCCATCAGAGAAGGCCATTACGAAGTAGTGGAGCTGCTTCTCAATAATGGTGCGAGTTACAATGCAGTGTTGGAGACTGAATGGCTACCTCTTACTCTGGCTTCTTTTGAAGGCCAAGTCAACATTGCAAAGCTCCTCCTTAGTCTTGGAGCTGGTATAGACGAATCGACGGCAGTTGGGCCGACGCCCCTGCTGGCAGCTATATCAAATGAAAAAGTCGACATGATACAGTTCCTCTTAGAAAAGGGCGCTGACCCATCGATTGCAGACAACAGTGGCAATAATACACTGAGAGACGCCATCTATATAGGCAACGTTGAAATAGTCGAACTGCTGCTCGACAATGGTGTTGACCTTGCCGTCGGAGATGATCAAGGTTGGAAGCCTCTCAATCTAGCCGCACACAATGGCCATGTTGAAATCATCAAACTTCTCCTTGAGAGGGGGTCCAAAACCACTGAGACAGATGCCGACGGTTGGACACCACTGCATGCGGCTGCAGACGGGGGGCATCTCAATGCGCTTGACGTCTTCTTGAACCAAGGGGTCTCGCTGACTGCCCTTGATTGCAGTGGCAGAACGGCCTTACACATAGCTTGTCAAAAAGGCCATCAAAAGATTGTTGAGACGTTACTTGAGCTATACACATCAGACGAAGTTAACCGTCCCGATGGCCATCAACGCACACCCTTGTTCTATGCGGCTATGCGCGGTCACAACTTTGTATTAAACCTTCTTCTTTCAAAGACGACAGAAATCCACATCAAAGATTTTTGTAGTTCCACGGCACTTTTTGCTGCTGTGAGGAACGGTCATGAGGAGGTAGTCGACCAATTATTGACTATTGGAGGGATGTCTCTGGAGTCAACGGACGCCTTTGGAAAGACAGTTCTCTATTGGGCACAAAAGACCGGTAATGTCCATGTTATTGGACTTCTCAATCAATTTGGCGCTCTTCAAACCACGGACAAATCTGGCTCGGTCCTGGAACACAACCACATGCCCTTCAACAGCCGGGTGTATTGGTGTGATATATGTACTAGATGCATACCAATTGGATCAGAGTATTTTCAATGTTCCGACTGTAAAGACTTTCTCGCTTGCTTGGAGTGCGTTAACACGGGATTCAAATGTCTTAAGGGTAAAGAAATGCATCAATGGACAACTGCACCGGAGCAATTGGAATTTTCAAGCGATGAGGAGAGCATCTCAGATGAATAATCATGCTTCAAACCTACTAGATATAGATAGATCTACTGTATTCGATAGATGCACTATGTCATGGAAGGCTGTGTTGCTGCTAATGTTAGTCAGATCATAGTGGTGAACACACGGAAATATTGAGCACTCATAGCTCATGATTGGGTGCCTTGTTTAGTAGTTCTTCCAGATATTGAAGATTCTCTATGCGCATCTCGGTCTCAAAGACCGAAATTTCATGAGCTAACTGTCAGCGTAACACCCAACCGCATGTATCAGGGGTGAGTATATCGGGGTAAAAAAAGGCTCGGATTTACTTTATTGCTATGAGGACATTAATTAGCCTACTTCCCCGCCGAAAGCATGTATGCAGAGGCAACTAATCGTACGATTTCTCGAACCAAGCAGATGATACCTACTACACAGCAATAAAGGTCAAATAGAAGGTTCAACATCTCCAGCGGGCCTATATCCACCGATGTATTCTTGACTAGTTGCTGACGCTCTTTCTAGTTTTCTACTATGGCAAGGTTACTCGGAGAGGAGCCCTGGGATGAAGATTCAATTGACAAGTTATTTAAAAAGTTACTCGCAGAGCAGCCTCGCGATCAAGAGTATTATATCAGCCACTTTTGCATGACTATATATGTTGTTGCAGGTAAAGGCAGCAATCAAGTAGCGTTTCCAGTACGCATATTTTCTTTGGAACAATCACCGGTCATTAAGCAATGGATATTCCATCCGGGCACAATGCCCCTTTCCCACAGAAGTAAACTGTTGGTAGGGATCCTGACAACCAAATAGGACCTACAGCTCATACTAAACAGCCTGGCAACATAGGACAAGAAGTACCGTGGCATTTGGCATTTGAGGCACATGAAACCCATGCAGGATATATACTTCGAAGATCACCACCCCGATGTCGTCAAGGGAGTTCTTTTCTTCCTGCACTACAAAAGCATTTCCGAGGACCTTCCTAACGGTCCTTCATTTTGGGAGCATATATCAAACCCGTGCTATTTTGTGGAGTTCTACTCCTTTGCTTCCTATCTTGAGTATGTCTCTTTTACGAATAATCTCTACTCAACTCTTGTTAATTTGATCCATTCTTATAGAATGGAATGGGCCTGCCAATGTGCTCTCCGCGTTCTGCGTCTAAGAAAACCAGGCAGTGAATCATTCTGGAATATTCTTCAAATGGGACAAATTGCGTTTCTTGTGGATAAGAACGACTTTAGAGACTGGCTATTGTCATATTTTGCAGAATTCAAAGATGAAGTCGCAAACCCTCCTCCAAACACGGATACCACCGAAGTGATCCAAATTCTGTTTCATATTACGACGAGCCTAAATCGGAAGCTAGTGGAAGAGGAAGAGAAGAGTAGAAAGATTCGAAAGGTGCTCGATGGCGTTAGAGATGCCCTTGAAAATGAATGATGCACTGAATTCTTCACAATGTTGAATGGTATATAATAGTCTACAAGTGTCAAAAGAGGGATCGTTATTATTATCGAGGCATAAGCTTCCTCATCTATGCTATCAAGTCATATACTCCTCATCGCGTGGAGGTCTACCACGCTCAGCCGTGTCTTTGGTAATATCTTGCAAATATATGCAAGCTTGATTGCCAGTTCCATTCCATTATGTCCCAATCGTGCAATTATATATACCTACCTAAGTGGATTTCCCCTAATGATACGACGGGCTGGTTGCATTTCCATTCATACAAGCCCCTTCTGTGTACCTTACAGAATAGTGGTTATAAGGAATATTTGCTCTAAGCCAGGTACAAACGGCCATAGGCAGAGGAAAATTCGGGTTCCCGTCAAGCTCTTTGCCAAAATTCGGATTTACTATTTTAAAGACTTGGAGTTCCAAATTTGGAGTTAGAGGGTTCTATTTTCAAGAGTAACTGAACTAACAATTTAGTACACCAGTACTCTGCGCCAACTTAAAGTCTATATAACAAGAACGAATCAACTATTAACAGGTCGAATTGAAGCCAGAAGAATACTGGAGCCGATACCAGAAACAAGGATATGCTTATTTCAAAGGCAGCTTAGTTAAGGCACTGAGAGTACCATGGATTCTGTGTCTTGCAGGTGGCCGGAGGCTGGCAAACTGTGGGACCTGCCCAGCCAATACCTCCACACTGGCCGTAGAGGGTTTGTTTTTGTCCACCGCTGGATGGTGGTGTCGATGATGTCGCTGGCTTTGACGATGATGCCGCTGGCTTTGACGACGATGTTGCTGGCTTTGAGCTTGAACTGCCGGGAGGAGGTGGGCTAGTGTCACTACCAAGAACGGGCGTGGTATCTGTCTCTTGTATTCCGTTGCAGAGACAAGTTCCCCAGTCAGCAACAGCCTGGCCCGGGCAGGCAATAGGCTCAAAATCAACAACCACATTATCTCCAAAGACTTGATTCTCTGCCATGATATCAAAGTGGTAGCTGTAGCCATACTGGTTAGTACCACCAACGTTCGGGCACCACACTGCGTTTCCATTGTTGGGGCACAGGTTTGTAACCATCACGATAATGCTCTGACCAGCAACACCACCTGTACCACAGGTAGAGCAAGGCGCCTCTCCCGTCGAGGTGAGTTTATAGCATTTACCGCAGCCCGCGCCACACCATGACGCACCGGCCGTATCAAAAAAAGCCTGAGAGCCAGCAGCGGTATAGACTCCGTTACCAATACCAAGCTAGAGAAAACATGTCAATAGATTATTGCTTATAGTCTGGATAAGATTAGAGTCTTACCTGCCATGGGAATGCACCAGAGCTTGAGCCGCATCCGCAAGCACCCTCCTGCCCATCGTAGTAGTGCTAGACTTCCGATTAGCCGCGGTTAAGCAGACCTCATTAAACTATACTCACAGTAGTAGTAGCCTTATATGCAGAAGTAGCGCCTATAATGGCAGAGCCGATAAAGAGAGAGGTCCTCATGTTTGCAGTAGTGCTGGATCACAATGTAGAAGAAATGAAATAGAACGCTAAATCTGTAGCAGTTAAGTAACCAAATGTTAACTCAAGGCCGCTCTGTAAGTTTTATAGACAGATGTATTTCGGAAGATTGCTATGGCTGGTTACTATAAGGTCTTTTATAACCATTTGTAAGGGGCAATGCTAGTATGTAAAGGATCATTTGTTTTGCTAGAACGGTTTATTTCTCAGTATACTCGTAATACCCCCTTTATTCTATTTCACTATATCTGTGACCGTGTGGCTCCCCTTTGCCTGATTTCCCGCGCTGGCTAAATCCACCACATCCCCTGTATCTGTACCTGAAAGAGACAAGGGTATGGGGCTGCCGGCACTGAATGGCTGCAAACAGAGAATTTCCAGTGATAAATAAGGCTAGCAGCAAGTGATTAGAGGATATATACAATATTTATTGATTTCCATGATATAATAAGGAAGGCGAGCTCATACATAGTAAATATATATAATATAATGATAATAATAATAATAATACTACTACTATTAATAATAATCAATGATAAACTCTTATCAACTAATAAATAATATCAGCTCACACCTTGTAAGACTACCAGCTCATACCTTGTACATATACTCCGTGGGAATGTTAAAAGAGAGGTGTTAATTAAACAATACCATACTGAAACAGCGCCCGGAGAAATAAGCAGGACACGGCACATAGCGATGCAGGGATATATGTCGCTATGATTGGGCCGGGTATTTCTCAGGTATACCTAGCTGCCCTGGGCCACCGCACATGGGAGTGGGGAGGAGATCGCAGTAGGGCTTAGAGGGTGAGTTTGGCTGGAAAATGGGGGGTTTTGTTTGTGGAGATTCGGAATGGAAATGCCGAAACTGGTTACGCTTGCGAATGAGGAGGCAAATAAGAGAGAAGATTTGGAAGTTGTTGGAAAGTTTGTATTAACAAAGCACTACTCCGTAGATTTAGCCGTCCCAATTCGGGGGCCGGGTTTAGAACTTGCCCAAACAAACTAATACCACGCATTTTCTACATCAACGGAACATCTGATCTTCCAAGCAGAAGAATAAAAACGGCTCAGTTTTGGTTACTCGGTTTGTGGCTAGGTATCTGTAAAATATAAGTTGACCACTGAAACATCATGAGTAATAAAACGGCTGCCCATCTATTATCCCAAAATTTACCGATATTGCGTAGGCGACTCATGGAGAAACAAAGTCTGTATGTTTTCCTGTTTACAAAATCTCACCGGCATTCCACTAAAGCTCCATACTATTGAAAGGATTGTGTGCTGCAATCGAATCAGCAATCCTTATCCTTCCAGGATAAGCTTGAAATCACGAATCATCTTGCATATATATCTCATTGGAGAGAAGGCAGCGTCTACATACCTACAGCAAGCTATCGAATGAAGTCCTTCAACTCAGGCAAAAGCGACTGCCTCACATAGGCAAAACTTAAGGAACCTTGAAGTCTCGCGTGCATACCTCTTTTTGATGTCACGTCTACTTCTAACTCAACCATAACAACTTCTGCCTCGCCATTAATTGTCCCCTCCCACATCCGGCCGCCGAAGCAGTTGCGAAAAGGAAGAAGTGATTATATTTCTTTGGATGGATTATCAACATCTTTATTAATCTCGTATAAATACTCTATACATATAATACCAATGAACTCATAAACTATAGATGTCTGGATTTGAGTACAATATAGACAGTCTCAACGTGTTGTGTTAACACATACGACCATAGGTAGAGGAAAATTGGAGGCCCCGTCAAGATCATATATGGAGTTCAATGTCTGCAATTTTTGGCGCTACAGATATCCAGTTTTAGAGTCCTCTTGTTCCATCTTCAGAGGACATATAAAAATATTAATCATTTATTTTTTTAACCTAGCTCGCAAACGGATCGTCCCCGTAGATGTCGTGGTCGTTGCCCTCACTCAGTGACATCCGCCCTTTGCTGCTCCTCAGCAGCCCCCTGCTCGCATCAACCAGCGGGCTAGTCCACTTCCTCTGGTCGTCCACGTCGATCTTGTACGTCGTGGCACCCAGGCCGGTGGGATGGTAGTTGACAAAGATGCTCTCCCACTTACGGGCAGGGATCTGATAGACTTCATGCATGATGCTGAACAGGCGGCCCTCCTTCGCCTTGCCGCGGCCCATGATGTCGTTGTTCCAGTAACTCCAGGCCTCGCGGTGCACGCCGCCTGGTACGTGGCACCACTTGTACAGCCCCTCGTAGGTGCGGAAGTAGGCCAGGATCATGGCCTCGTTGGCCGTCGCGCGCTCGTTGGCCAGGTAGCTGCAGGCGCCGAGATAGTCGTACTGCTCGCTGTGCTCGTCGGGGTCCTTGATCATGTCTCGAAAGAAGGTGCTGATTTTGCGCATGTGCAGGTGGAAGACGCCGAGCGGGTGGTTGCTGCGGGCGGCGAGCTTGATGACAATGATTGGGTTCTGCGACGGCACCGTGCTGCCGGGGAACTGCGCGCTGACCTTTCCTGGCACGACGCCGGACATATATGGGTTGGCGCGCACGCCGCTCCAGATGAAGAGGCCGTCGATGAGGGAGGTGCTGAGGTAGAAGATGGACGGAATTATGGCGAAGCGTATGGGAAGGACCAGCAAGAGTGCTGATTGCAAGAGAGCGCCGATGGCAATCCAGGTTTGCAGCGGGAAAGCATCACGGATAAACTACAGCATGGATTTTCAGTCTAGATGTTCAGTCTGAGGCATGTGGGAGCAGCATGGCTGGAAGGGAGATGTACGTTGGCTTTGACGGCAGTGAAGAACTGTGACCGGGGCCGTGTTTCGGACGGCGCGAAAATTGGTGTAAAGGCTGCCATGGCGAATACCAGGCTGTAGGATGCTTTTCTTGTTTTCTGCGTTTGGTGGGTGGCTGTGGATGTGCTGCTGTTGAACAGCTAGTCGTCTTGGTGACAGTTATTGCATGCCGGATGAGTTGGAGGCGTGGAGATGATGTTGCTCCTACATGTCTGCGACTTTATACCATTTCATCATTCAAGTTCAAAGATTGCGACGCTTTTGGGAGCGACAGATCGACGCCGGGGAGGGCCGACTGGGTTGACCATTGGATGTAGTCATGTCAGAGCAGAAGCCGTATCATGCCGCAGCTGTAGAATTGTCCTGCGCCTAACGATTCGAGTTCCATGTTGGCGGGTATCTGCTCCCAGTTCATCATGGTCTTTCTTTGGAGTTCTGAGCCCCTGATTGTCTTCGGCGCAGGCGGCGCCGCAGCCGCCGAAGCGAAACCCGTTGCTGCTGACCATGCATCGCACGAACCCTAGTCAAGCACTAATGATGCAGCTAATGCCTTTCTCTGAAGACGCGGATTCCTCGAATTCCCCCTCCTCAGAGAATCAGGCGCTCGTGTTCGCCCTGGTCGTGAAGAGTCATGTCGGTAGGGCTGTAGACGTATCGTATCACAGAATGGGACAGACACTCCGCTCCGGAGGTGCCCAGGTGGTGAGACGGAGCGCATCCAGAACACGGCTTCCGGCCCCCTACTCGAATATAACACCGTATACGGAGTACAGGTAGATATGGCGATATTTATGTTTAGAACCACGTAGCTACTGGCCATTAATAACCGCATTCCAATCTGGTAAAAAAGGAATCTCTGGTATCAACAAATCCAAAGATGCAAAGACGCTCTGGTCGGAACTAGCAGTGAACTCAGGAACCCACTCGGGGACGATAGATGTCCCCGGGTCTATTGTGGGCGGGAGGATCTCGGCATCTGAAAAACGCTGGCAAGCCCAGTGCCTCCCACCGCCGGACGGCTGAACCCCGACATCTGCGGTGGCCGTAGATGTTGTCTGGGCTTGCTGTCTCAGCGACCACGCCTGATGTCGAAGCTGATTGAGAAACTTCCATATCCTGCCGTGTCCGTGCTCGTCATGGACCGCCGCCGGATGGCCCTGGAGACTCGGTCCGCGGGGGAAGAGTCCCTCGACCAGAGCCCAGGCGCGGTCTGCCTCGAACCCGCGAGGGCTCGGGTTGCTGCAGAGGCAGCGCAGAACGTAGGCGAGCGCGTACCACTGCGTGTACATGCTGAAGAGCCATGTGAACCGCGACGCAAGGCCCTCCTTCAGCAGCACATGACTACTCTCCAGGCCGTCGCAGGCCAGCTTGAACGAGGGCTTGAGCACGTCTGGCGTCGCATCGTCATCCTGCGCTTCTTTTTGCTTGGATATAGAAATCTCCTCTCGAAGCTGCAGCACGAACTCCATCTTTTTACAGGCCGTGGTGACATGCTGCATCGCAATGCGCGGCAGATTAATCAGTGTCACGGATTTCGACCCGGGCTCGATGCCATATTTCTCTGCCATGTATTGGACTGGATCGTGGATCGTCTTTCTTTTTTCTCGGATATCAAGAAGAGCATCGCCGGAATGCTGCTGTTGCCTGTCGAGGATTGGATGGATCACGCGGCAGGATTCGATCTGGATCAGGAAGAAGGACATCTCCGTCCAGCCGCGCGACTCTGCTGGAAAGTGCGTCATGTCTGGATAGATCTGGTCGTCGTTCACATTCAAGGGCAGCCGCAGCCCCTGGTTCGTGAGATCGATCGTGGGCTGAAATCCTTGGTCCTCCGAAGCACGCGATTCCAGCACACAAAGATGCCACCAGAGGCGAAGACGCATCTCCGACTCAAAGAGACTCAGTTTGAGGGAGGCGCCGTCTCGGTGCAAGCCAATCGACTGGGCGAGCCGGATCACGAGTCCGTTAAGGACCCATACTGGCCGGCCAAGTTCATTTGCGCGCGAGGAAGTCTATAGCAGCCATGGTCAGTTGAATTAATAATGGGATCGATTCCAGGGCAGCCTAGGTCCTCACCACATAAATTGAGAGAGCCTGCAGGCCCGTCACATCAGGTCGGCCCATGAAATCCGGCGTCACAAGAAGCCGGTCCAAGGCTGTCTGGTAGCGTTTCAGAAGGACCGGCTTCTCCCACGATAGGTCAACGGGCTCGTCGCAGTCGTGGTGACAAAGCGCCGTGACGGCGGCATAGTAGATGGAAAATGTCAGTGCCACCATGGAGGGCTGTGCGGACCGGGCGTCCAGAATCGTGGCCACAACAGCAGACTGGATCGTTGGTATGTGCAAGATCTTGAGGACCGGATCGACCGATCTGACGTACACATTCCATAATCGGAGGGCAAGTTGGGCATCGGGATAGACATCCAGCAGATCAGAATCCCTTTCTAGTGGAGCAGAGGCACCTAGCTGCGTAGGAAGTCTGTGATGCGAGGCTGTATTCGCCTTAAAGCGCGAAGTTGTTGTTTCTAGGCCAGGAGGTTGCGTAGGTTTGCTTCTTTCCTCTTGTAACAGTGGTTCGATAGTCGAATTGTTCATTAACAGCTCCCATGTCGATTTGTCTGAAGGCCGGTCGGATGGTTGTTGGCGACTAGTTCTGATAGAATTGGTATTGGCACTAATAGGTTGAGCCTGGGTTGTAATCTCGGGCTCAGCACAACCGCGACCGCGACCACTGCCACCATGGGCTGAAAATCCCGTAGAGACTTCGCTCCTCTCAACCAAGAGCGATAGTAAGCTTTCCAGCCGTTCCAGACGGTTGGAGATGTCTCGGAGAGTACGAGGTTTCTGTGCCGCGTCAGGGTCCCTTGTGTGATACACGCAGGTCATGCCATGTTTTGAACAGTTTGTGCAAGGCATGCCACGGTCACAACGGATCTTTCGCTGGTGGCATCCTTCACAGGACCGTGTCCCTCGACTGGAACTCTGGGGAACCGATTCCCGGAGTAGCGGTGCCGCGTCCTCTTCTTCAACCGAGGCAGCAGATCTTTTTGGTGCTCGACCCATGGTAATTGATGTCTATGCTAAACTGTATTCAGTGCTTAGAAGCCGGAGAAAAAAGCAGAAATTGATTCAAGGAGTACGAGTACAATGCTGGAGATCATGCTGGCAGCAAAGCTTCTCGGCCTCTCGCCGCCGAGAGGCCCGGGATATATAGAGTCGTAGTGAGCCAGGTGGATCCTAGTGCGGGTCTGGTTCCTTCGCACTCGCCCGGTAGCGGCCCACTCGGTCCGTTCGGCGGCGAGAAGTCCGAATTACATGGGACTTTCAGTTGTTTCTGAGTCTGGCATCGCGAGATATACTTGCTAACCGTTTACTCCCTATAGCTCCGTGGCTCCGAGCTGTCTGGGAGTCTGAGATCCCTGCATGCAGAAAATTAGAGCAAATGTACAGCATTTAAAAAAGCACCTATATTATTACTAGGTAGTCCAGCCTGTGAATTCCAGTAGTTACCTGTAGAATCAGCCATCAGACCGACTCAGGTGTACCACGAACAACTCGACTCCAGAAGAGCTTTTCACTTCAGTTCACTGCGCTTTGGCGGAGTTGTCCAGATCCTTTTCGCCTTTTCATCATGTCAGATCCGGAAATGCAGAAAGAGGTCGACAAAAGCGACAGCAGCAAGGCCATCAACGCCACAAGCTGGAGCCTGGGGATGAAGATCTATCATACTGCCATCCCCTGCTTCCTGGCCTTTTTAATGTAGATAGGTCTTGTACAAACGAGTGAGCGCTCCCGCTGACCAAGTCATGATCAACTGCAGAACGTTCTCCGCATCCGTCACGGTCCCTGCCACCTCTGCCCTCATGATCGAGTTCGCCGTCAGCCGCACCGTAGCGATCCTGTCCGAAACCATGTACATGCTGGGGCTGGCCTTTGGGCCCATGATCATGGCGCCTCTGTCCGAGTTTATTGGGCGTCGCTGGCTGTACATTGCAACCTCATCGAGTATCATTGCCTTTGCAGGTGGTGCTGGAGCGGCTCGGAATTTGGCCACTTATTTGGTCTGCCGCTTTCTCTGCGGATGCCTGGGATCAGCGGGAGTCGCCATCGGTGCTGGAACAATCCTCGATGTTTGGGGGATCGGCACCAAGGCGGGAGCCATGGCTAGCCTCCTTTTTATCTGCGGCCCGTTCTTCGGCCCCTCTCTTGGCCCGCTGGTCGGCGCATATATCATGGATGAATACCATGGCGACTGGCGATGGACGCAGTGGGTTGTGGCCTTGATCGGGGCGCCCATCTGGATCTTGATACTCTTCATGAAGGAGACGTCCGATTCGCGGGTCCGGGCTACGGCGAAACACTCGGGTCCTTTCAGTACTGTGCGGCTCGCCTTGTCGATGCTCAAGGCGGCCGTCTTCCGCTCCATGGCCATGCTGACCACGGAGGCCATCGCGTTCTCGCTGACCCTATACACGGGATACGCATACTCTGTAGTCTTTAGCTATTTTGCAAGCGCCACCTACGTCTACACCCTCGACTACGGCTTTGACTCCCGCTCTATTGGTCTCTCCTTCATTAGCGTGCTCATCGGCTATCTTCTGGCTTGTGTCACATACCTTGTGATTGAGAAGACACTCTATGCCCGCGCTGCGCGGCAAGCTCCCAACGGTCATCCAGCCCCAGAACATCGACTGTACAGCGCCATGGCCGGTAGCATATTCTTGCCCATTGGGCTGTTCTGGTATGTTTTCATCTCTTCCCTCCAGAACGTTCCGTTGCGCTAGAAAGCGGTTCTGTGCAGAGCTAACGTTCTTTTTGTGTCCATTGTAGGTACGCATGGGCAGCTCACCCAGGCGGCCACTGGGCAGTAGTAGTAGCGAGTGGCATCCCATTTGGTCTTGGTGCTTTTGTTCTCTTTGTGAGTATTTCATTTCTCCCTTGTGAAAACCTTAAATATTACAAATCTCTAACGAGGCCCCTCTTCATAGCTTTCCTCTATGATATACCTTGTCGAATCATACGGACCTGATGCAGCTGCGTCTGGTATGTTCCTACCCCCCCTTTTTTTGCTTTATATTGCGTTTGTTTTGCGTTTATAGTTTAGAGACTCATTGTGAACAGCTATCGCCGCGAATGGATCCTTTCGATACCTCCTCGGAGCGGTGTTCCCTCTATTCACGATTCAGATGTACGAGAAGCTCGGCGTTCACTGGCCTGGTAGCGTATTTGCCTTTCTGTCATTAGGGCTTCTCCCTATCCCGTGGATCCTCTTTAAATTCGGCCATCAGCTCCGGAAGAATAGTAGATTTATAGCATCGTCACAAGTGGAGGAGTAAGGAGACAGTTGTCTCAAATAATTAGCGATATCTTAGCGTTCATAGTTGTAGATCTTTTTTTTTTTACGTTAGTGGCTATAGGTCAAGCTATAGAAGCTGCTCCACGTCTAAATATAGGATAGGTGCGATGAACCGGGTTCCTATAGTAATAATACGGTGCAGAAACCGGCAGTTTAGGTTTATGTTAGCGGTCGGCCAGGTTGGTAGACAGGCAATCTTGTCACCGGTTAGTAAATATAGTAGCTGAATCCAATCTTATTGCTATGATGACAACTGACTATCTAAGTAAAGGTGAGAGAAAGGACTTTGTTTGTTGCATGCTCTGCAGTTGTAGAAAGGCTGTTTAGACATGATTTCAGCGAAAGGGCTCCATCGTCTTCGATAAGAAGACCCATGTTGCGCCAAATGCCATTTGGCGCAGGGGGGTGACCGATTCTCACAGTAAGGTATAGTAATGAAATTTATAAAAAATCCATTATTTGACAAAGCGAAATCTCTTAATAAGTATTATTTCTATTATTTATGATAATATTTCTTCCCAAAGTCTTGATGCCTCTGAGAAAAAGGCATTGTCTGACCAAATAAATTTTCTTATAACATCAAGCGTTCGTAGACAAGAGCTATCGATCATAGAGAACCTCGTGGTTATATTCGTCCGAAGAAGATCAATATACCTTGATCGAACAAACCCAGAGGAAGCAAATGTACCACCAATATATAGGAGCCAAAGTAGCAAGTCGGAGTTTTCATCCCATATAGCATCTTTTTCAGTCTTTTGAAGTTGATCAAGAAGCTGGGAGGATAAATGGGACTTCATATAACACATCAGCACAATTAATCCATAAAATATCAAACAAGATTACTTACCGGAATAACTAGGGCGCACCAAGTTTGGCAACATAACATAATAGAACATATATATGCCGCAGTATAGCAGCATTTCAGCATGGGAGAAGGCTTTTCTAAATTCACAATCCTCGATTGAATAGAAGCAGTATGGTTGTTTATGTAGACCATGACAAAAGGATCGCCCTTTGTATAGCCCGAACAGTTTCGTATACATTGCAGAGCGTGCAAGTCTTCAAGTATTTCGATAAAACCCTCACTTAACAAGTGTGATATTGTCTCAAAACCCGATGGAAGTTGGTAGAAACTAGGTGTGAATGAGTCTCGTTGCCAGAGTAGTTCCGAGAAGGTAGTGTGGTCAACTATTCGATCAGAACCTGATAAAATTGACGCATTCAAGTCTTGCCTATAATAGTGTTAGGTATTAGTCTTTCCCTTGCCATTGAATATATGATTCACCAGAATATTGCACGCTTAATGCCAACGGTGAGGTAGACACATTGGCTGCGAGAGATTTCGAGTAGTTGTCTCACTGCTGCCATATGAAGTTGGACTTGAGAGGTCATTCCCAGCTGAGCCTTGAGCAAAAGCACTTAGTATTCCTGCAAGCCAAATTCGAGATAGATGCTTACCTCTACACCCACTAGTAGAAGAATGGCTCCAATTGTGGACTCTGATACAGCACCTTTGATGCTGGCCACTTTGTCTCGAATACAGCCGATAACGCAAACCTTGTATCTGAGGCATTCAATGTCCAAATTTCCCTCCGTTACTGCAAACAATAGCGCAAGCATAACTGCATTCGAAAGAGCAGGGTCAGTCAAGCCCGTACGGAAGACAAGATGAAAACTTTGGAATGCGAGCTCCTCTGTGAGACTAAAGACCGGCTCAGAGGCTTTCCTAGCTCTGTCTATGTGGTTTTGTGTTAAGAAACCAAACTGACGTACTTCATGGTGGGTAATTCCTTACTGTTCCCTAAAAGCATCTGCAGCCGTGAGGTGTCCACAGGAAGCGTACCAAACGGGTCGATCGCGCTCGCAGATAAAGATGGTATTAATGTTGGATGCAGTACAAAATGAGGTTCAGTAACTAGCGTATTCCGCTCCTCTTTCAAAACTATTACTCGAAAGTTGTGTCTTGATTCTTGTTCGAGTAACCGTTTGGCCTTGAGTGCTTGCTTGACTGCATGTGACTTAGCCGAGCGATTCGCACCCGGACCCTGTTTACTGTAAGGGCCTTTGATAGAAATGAATTTAAAATCTTCGGCTGACGGTGTTTAGAATTTAGTTACTTCTAGATGAATCAGATTTGTATCGCCTACCATCTGGTTTGAGCGGTTGGGGAACCATAATGTGCAACAGCCGCCAATCAAAGGTACCCCGTTCTGGCCTAGGTCGTAAAGGGCGTATAGTAACAAGACGTGTCAACTGCGCTTCGCTTCTCTTCTCTTGCTCTTGCATCAGTCTGTATAGACTTGCTAGATGGATCTAGGGGCTGAGGCTTGGGAAAATACATTCATGTAATCAGTTGCGATGCTTATAAATCACGATGCTCTACGATGGCGCCAGCCCCACTATACTCTTTGGGATACACCTCATTGCCCGATTTGGAAGTACCTCAATCTCAATGGGCATCTCAGTCCTGCAATTGGAAATACGCTGAATTGTTTACTGAAACCGAAACCCGCCAATTCAGAATATCAAATACGCATATGGCTATCTCTGGCATCCTGTTTCTCTATAGATGAGAACTATAAAGCCGCAGATGCTACCTATCCGAAATGTTTATGCCTCTAGAAAAGACCACCGCTAAACAAGCATCTCAAACTCGAATTCTTCTCGACAATGGATAAATCCAATCTTTTCACACCATTGAAAATCGGCAATGTCATCGTGAAGCATCGAATAGGGATGGCCCCCTTAACTCGCCTCCGTGCAACAGACGATCGTGTTCCTCAGCCACTTATGGCCGAGTACTACAGCCAGCGAGCTGCTGTGCCAGGTACCTTACTGATTAGTGAGGGCACATTGATTTCGCATGAATCTTCTGGTGGATTTGCCAATGCACCTGGCATATGGAACGACAAACAGATTGAAGGCTGGCGAACAGTCACCGATAAAGTCCATGACAAAGGAAGCTTTATCTTCTGCCAGATCTTTGCCATGGGGCGTGCTGCAGATGAGGAGCTATCTAAAAAGGAAGGGGTTGAGATTTTTGGTCCCAGCCCTATTCCAATGGATGAAATAGCGCCAGTGCCACGCTCTATGACACTCGAAGAGATTAAGAAGACAGTCCAAGATTTCGCAACAGCTGCACAAAATGCGATGCTTGCAGGCTTTGACGGTGTGGAAGTTCATGGTGCAAACGGCTACCTAATTGATCAATTCAATCAGGATAATAGCAATCAGCGTCATGATGAGTACGGCGGGAGTGTCGAAAATAGATCCCGCTTCATAGACGAAGTTATGAAAGCTGTCGTCGCTGCGATAGGGCCAGAACGAGTCGGTCTTCGCCTTAGCCCCTGGAGCGTATTTCAGGGAATGAAAATGACGAATCCAATTCCGCAATTTTCAGACATCATCAACAGGGCCAGTAGACTGAATCTGGCTTATCTTCACCTGGTTGAATCTCGCATATCTGGCAGCAATGATTATGAAGGCTCCGAAACACTGGAGTTTGCTTATAACCTCTGGAATAAACCGCTTCTCATAGCTGGTGGGTTCAAATTGGACGATGCCGAGAAGCTAGTCAATAAGTATCCGCACAAAGATATTGTTGTCATATATGGGAGATACTTTATTGCAAACCCAGATCTGGTGTATAGGGTCAAAGAAGGATTGCAATTTACTGAGTACAAACGCGAGACGTTCTATACGGTCAAGGATGCGTTAGGATATATTGATTATCCATTTAGCGCACAGTATCTTGAAAGCCTGAATGCTGAGGCTTCTCCAGCATAATACAAAAGAAAGTCAAGCCACTATGCAGGGGGCATCAACATTTTTTGTATTCTATCATCAATGAGTCGTTCCGAACTTTTTAACTGAGAAACGCTGTGCTTGCCAAATGAAAAAGTTTGGCAGCAGCAACAAGAAGTCCGCCTACAGGCCCTACAGCAAGCAGGACATCGTGACTGCCGGGAGCGCGATTTAATTTTGCTGATCTAACTCCCCTTTTACTTTCTATAGCCTCTTCATAGATAATTGTTTCTATTTTTATAATTATTCAAAGTCGCGGAGTTTTAATAAACTGTCCCTGGATATAGTAAAGAATATTATTAACTGTCTAAGAACTATCAGTTGCATCCTATAACTTGTGTAAAATCTTATCACCCGCTGGTTCCACTTTCAGTTACTAGTGAATATAAGATGAAGGGTGAGATACTAGTAGAATTGAAGTCGATGAATGGTGTCTTTCTCATTGAGAAAGGATCAAGCCCCAGATCTCCTCAGCTTACTTTGGGACTGTTGCCATATACGGAAAAGCAATGTGAAAAGCAATCTCAATCTCGTCTAATTAAGCAGCGACGCTGTCAGCATTCAGTGTACTCAAGACGAAAGCAAACATGTAAGTTTAGCAAATAAACAGATATACGAACCTCGCATTCCGGCAATAGCTTCAAAAGAAGTGGCAAAATTGTTCATTGTCGCGATGATATCCTCCAACCCATGCCGGAGCTCGTCAATGAGGCGCTCTGTATCCACGGACAAGTCGCCTGCTGATATTCGTGGGGCATGGGGTGTGGCATGAACTTTATAGAATTGCATTAGCAAGACGTAACTGGCTTGCATTGCGCAACATGTACAAGTCGGCATCGCTCGAGGGCTGATCACTCCACCAGATATTCTGGGAATAGGCAATCTTTGTAACTGCCTTGCAATTGTTAGAGCAGATGCTACGCAAATTTCGGTCGACTGATCGTATGTGAAAGGAGGCGACTGGAGCATGGAATAAGCGGCCATACTTGCTCCCGTATCGCTGGCAGTACTGGCAGAAGCATTGAGAGTATTCGGGGTCGTGAGATCGCAATGATTCTCGCTGAAGAGTGGAGTGTCCGAGAAGGCTTGCAATCGATGAAGACGAATTCTTGTGCTGTAGTATTTGGGAATAAGTTCAAGTTCTACATAAATTTGGAGGTAAGAGTTAAAAGTACCTGGATAATCTGATCCGCGCAAGTCGTCGCATTACTTCTGCCGTCGTAGACTCGTAGGCAGGTTCAAGTTCCATTGAACTTGAGACAGGAACATAGTTTTCTGCCCGTGCGGAGACCTGAACTACCCACTTATCGAGTATTTTCATCTGCTCGAAAATACTGGACATATCTGCATGCGAATGTAGATGTTCACTATAGCTGGAAGTGAACTTGACACTTGCGACGCCGATTCGCAGGGCTTCGAGGAAAATCAACCATGCCTGAGACCTCAAGGTTAGTTTGCGGTGTATAAGTGCTAATACAAAAATTTACCTCTGGATCAGATTCTAACCGTGGGTACGGAGTTGTGAATTGGCTGTCATCATCCACGTTTAAACAGGCCTATCGAAGTTAAAAACCGGCCTAGTTCAAAGGTGTAATTGTTTACAACACTGACACTTTGTCGAACCACTGAGCAAATATGAGCACAGAAATACTACTCGTCTGTTAGCGTTTTGATATTTATCTAGATGTAGGAATTACAAACCGTCATCCACCAGGTTCTTCTCTTAGCTTCTGAAAACGCGTCGTTTTCAAGACCCATGCGGTGGAGAGACATATTTTTTGCTATTATCAATGCTTGGCTTGCTCGAGCCGTCATCTTGAGTAAATTGGCACGCTCTGTGTGTTCATAGTTGCTCAATACAAGCAGTGCTAAGATACTCTCCAGCTCCACCGGCGTTTGTGGATGCAATGGATCACGCGTTATTGATAGCTTCCCAACTGCGGTCATGGAGCCTACATGGTGATCCGAGATAAAGTCAAGGAATTCCGAATCTGCGTCGATACGTTGAAGGGCTGCCTGAGCAAATTTTTGAGCTAGAGCTTTTCGAAACGAGACACATGCACCAGAGGTACAGTTTGTCTCCTGTGGTAAAGGAATAAGAGCAAGTATGGCAGAGAGCGCAAGACTGAGGGGGGAGATTGATTGATGTGAGATTTGTTTTTCTGCAGCCGCAAGAGGCCATTGGATAGGACAATCGAGAATTGGGCGAGATTTCAGTGGAGGGAGTATCGGAAAATACTGGTGGATAAATATGTAATATGCGTTCAATCTTTTCTTTGTCAGCCCAAATCAAAGGCAAAATCATCACTGGAGCCTATTGGGCAGTCTCACTCACATCGCTTGTTCGCTATCATATACCCTCGCACAATGGTCAACGATCGTTTCCGTTGTTGAGAGTGTTTCGCTTTTCGCATATAATTGCTGCTGCTCTTCAATGGCTTCGGGGCGTTTCAGGCCGGCACCTGGGAAAATGAGGTGTTCGATACTCTCAAGAGTGAGTACTGCTGGGGTGGATTAGTTACCATTCGAAAAAGTTATCAACAGGCGGGGATGACAGACGCTGGGCTGAAGGAGATCTCGACGCCTCGCTCTCGTTGACGTGTTTTCTCTGAACGGGCCTCTTTCGTGAGCCGCCCCTTTTACTAGGAACATAAGAGCAATCCCGATCTCTAATCTTACACTAAAATAAGAGAAGCCATATTAGAAACCAAATCAATACTGGAAACGTTGCTGTGAGTATTGTTATATAGCTTACGTTGTGGCATGGTTGTTCACCATCACAACGTGTTCTCGATGCGCGACTGTGGCCTATTAGAAACAATCTCAAGAGGAGAAGGGTTAATGCATGTACCAATGCAGACATGCCACCTTTGCCGGGGGCAGTGGCATCTTCTTCCCTACTCTTTTTACTTGGGACATGGTGTAGTGATGGATCAATTGGCAGGGAGGAGACAAAAAAAAACCTTGCTCTCCAACAGGTCGTTGCCGTTTTGCACCAATCATGAAATGTATCTGCGTAATATTCACGACCGAGCTGGGACTAATGCCAGCATATCTATGGGTCGTCGGGTGTTTCGCAATGGCCGATCCAAACACCGCGGGGTTTGGTGTTCTTGTACTGTCCTAGTTAACAACTCAACCAACCATCTGACTAATTAAGGTGGCAAAGAAGAGTGCCGCAAGCTGAGCGGGCGGGAATACAAAGGCAATAGCACACGCTTTTGTCTACTGAGAAGGCTTCTGGCCGGAGATCCTTTTTGCGGAGAACATTTCTTCATACGCAGTAGTCGGCAGCGGCCGGCGGAGCCGAAGCGGCCGGGCCGGGGATTGATCTACTCGGTGTTTGATCCGGTGACTCAGCAAATACTCCTCATTGGCTCTCAGATACTCAGGCGTAATTTTTCTTATACGAAGTATGGCATTCCTTGGCCTACTGTGGAGCGCAAAATGTCTTCTAGTATAGCAAAATCTATAGTTTCCTGTTTAAGGTGAGCAAACAGGGCTGAGAATTGGTGAGCCGCTGTTCCACTTAGTCAGGAACAGCGCCCTGCCGGTAGCCAACGATATAATAAGCAGTCCTAATACTACATGGGTATTTATATATTGGGGACCTGTAAGTCTATGTCAGTAAAATCTTGATACCTTTTGGCACAGCATTCCATCGTTCACCTCATCCTACCGCTACTTTCGAGACGGTCCTTTATCTCGGAAGAGATACCACCATGGACACCACTGTGAGGAGGGCATCCTCTGCTGTTAATAGAACAAGCATTCTACCTGACCCAGGACACGTCACAGAAGGCGTCACCGCCTCCTCGACAACTCTATCATCACCACAGAACGGAATCGCCATAAATCCTACAGCTAATGCTCCCCAAAGCGAAACGGAAAAAATAGAGATCAATCTGCCTCCGTTGCAAAATCGCGAGAAGAATATTTGGATCGTTGTTCGCGCATTCACTCCAGCGTAAGTCTGCTCATCGCATCTTTCCTCTCCCCTTGTGTCTTGGCTGGTCATTTTAAGGGCGAGTTAAGATTGAACCTCCCGAGCTGTGGTGTTCTATGGGGAAAGCCTCTGATAAAACTTACAGATGGTTTACGATCAACATGGGTACTGGAATTGTTTCGATCCTCCTTCATAATCTTCCATACAATGGCGCCTGGCTACATTATATCTCCATCATCTTCTTTGTTCTCAACCTTGCGCTATTTGTTCTCTTTACCTTTATATCCGCTCTTCGATACTTGATATACCCGGGGCTTTTCATGACCATGATCAGGCACCCCGCCGTACCTCTCCTTTTGGGAGCATTTCCAATTGCTCTCTCTACAATTGTTGAAATGATTGTTTTAGTCTGTGTCCCCGCATGGGGTAGCTGGGCGATTACTCTAGTTAGTCCCAGTGACAAAACCATCACAAGACTTCATTGCTAATCAACTTTTCTTAACAGGCATGGACATTGTGGTGGATTGACGCTGCTATATCGATCATAATAACTTACGCGATACCATTCGTCATGTAAGCGACGCCCATTATAAACTCTTTACAAGGCTGGTATGAAGTTCGTTATTCTAATGGCATTGACAGTATGAATACTCACGATATCAAGTTGGCGGCGCTTTCTGCAACTTGGCTTCTTCCTATTGCTTCAGCTATTGTCGCGTCTGCAATCGGTGCAATTGTTGCCGAGGTGTTGGAAAACGAACAGCATGCTCTATGGACTCTCATAACGTCATACTTCCTCTGGGGTACCGCAATGCCTCTGTCCCTCACCTGCATGGTAATCTTTTACCAGCGGCTTTCAATGCATAATCTGCCACCCCCCGAGGCCATTGTCTCCATGTTTTTGCCCGTTGCACCTCTAGGTCAAGGCGGATACGCCATCATGCAGCTGGGAAAAGTCTCAGCAGAAATTTTTCCTAAAACCGGCACCCTTGGGAAGATGGGCACCCACTCTGGAGAAATACTGTACGTGACAGGCTGGATAATTGGCTTTATTATGTGGGCAAACGGCCTGGCATGGATCTTCTTTGCTCTGGCCAGCATTAGCCGGCGCAAGTTTCCCTTCAACATTGGTTGGTGGGGATTTACTTTCCCACCCGGCGTCTGGGCTGGGGCAACAATTGCGATTGGACAGGAAATGCCATCAAGATTCTTCAATGTCTTGGGGACAGTAAGTTACATCTTTCCATTGTAATTATTTCTATTTGGCATCTTGTTGCCTCGACTCCTCGTTGTAAAAAATGTAAAACAGGTACTAACGATTTATCAACTAGATTGCGTCGGTCATAGTAACGCTGCTATGGATCATTGTCGCTATTGGCACGATAAGGAAAGTTATAGATGGTAAAATATTCATGGCACCAGATTTTGAACAATGGAAGAAGAAGAAGAGCCAAGCCTTGGAAGTGGCGTAAGAAGTCGGTGGTGCGAAATTCGACGGCGTTAGCTTGTGGCCATGTTGAATAACAGCAATTGCTACTATGACAAAACCTCTATAGGAATAATTCAGTCTTGCCTAAGAAATAGATATCACGGGTTCATTGTTTGCAGGGGGTCAGTATATATGAATGGTCTTTAGGATAGAGACAGGCAGCCAGTCATGAGACATAATTTAATGAAGTAATATCAATACATGTACTATCAGTAATGTCCTAGATCTTTACTTCGCCATCTTCAACACGCTTTAGAACTGGGTAGATGTTCTCGGGTTGAACTCTATCCCAGAGGCCCCCTTTCCCAGAGCTCTGCAATATCTTGTCTTGCTGACGGAACCAGTCTTCTGCGCTTTTGATTCTGTTTGGATGAATCTCATCTAGAAGAGCATAGTCTATCTTGAAGAGGTCATGCTTAAAAGCATTCCAAAACCCAGAAAAGTTTTGTTTCACAGTCATACTACTCGGATCGTTTGGATCAGTGTTAGAGCCCACTGGGCGGTTTCCAATGACCGACAAGGCTCCATTAGTCCAGTACACATCCAGTGATACATCAACGTATTGTGCTTGATGGCCTGTAGCATTCTCAAATGCAGTGGCCAGGTCTTTGAAACTGATATGTTCTATCGCAGTTACGAGGTTCAGGCCGTTGGCACGCTCAGGGTTATCGAATTGCCAGCGGACATAGTGACCACAATCCTCGAGAGAACCTAGCGGTATTGGACCATTGCCTTGTGGAACACGCCATTTGAGAGTATCATTCTCGATGGTGGGTGTCATGGGCGTGTAAGAACCAATGGTCATATCGATATATGGACCAACAGCAAAAAGACTCGCGCCCATTCTATCTTTGTTGTCGATATTCTGGAAGAGAATCCATTCTCCAATTCTCCCTTTCCCGTTCATATGTCCGACTCGAAACTTGGAGTCGTAGCCTCCCGCTTTGAGTACATAGGGGATGTGGCCATAGACGAAGAATTTGATGCCTTCTTCGATAGCAATCTCATACGTGCGAATGGCCCAGTACATCTCGGCTTTCTCGCCCGTATTAAAGCCGTCGATGTTGACAAAAGCTCCATCGCAGCCGCGAAAGCCGTCACGAAGAGTTTGTTCATTTTCGAGTGTGCCTTGGAGTAACTCCACATTGCCGAGGGCGAGAAGCTCATTGGCGCGGCGAGACGAAGGATTCCGAGTTAGAATTCGAACGTGATATTTCTTGTCGCTCACAAGTGCTTTGACGATAGGAACCCCTTGAACTCCTGTGCCACCAATCATGAAGATTTTGGAGACATGTTGCGAGGCCATTGTGAGCTTTAGAAGAATATGGCGTAGAAAATGGAAGTACTGTGTGGATGAGTGTGGAATGTTGATGGCAGTCTCTCGTGAAATGGTGTATTTATATATAAACTAGATGTATGTCTGTTCCATTTTTACCAATAATTGTTTATAGGCTTATCAAGCAGAAACGGCATCTTAACTGGCACTTATCCATCTCCTGGTGGCTGCATCCATACCAAGGCATACACAACTAACCTGATACAGCCTATGTAGTTTCAATGAGAACTAGATTTGCTCAAAGCGCTAACTGTCAATGGTAATTTTGTGTAAGCAGACTAGTCATATGCATTATCATTTGTCTGAGACGCCGTTTACGTGGCATCTATGCTACAGAAAATCTGCTTTTGAGACCGTTGTGGATGACTAAGTCGCGATCGGCATTTTTTGTATTACTGATCAGCATTTAGATATTACTGATCAACATCTCGATGACCCCTTTCTTTGTCGTGAAAAAGCCAAGTACGATTTCATCCTTGGCCATCCTTCAAGGTGTTTAGTAATTATGGACGAAATATGAACACGTAGATGCCTCAGTATTATCTGGTTTCGACTGGTACATGTACCTACCCGAACGAAGAGCTACTTCTTCAGGCTGTTTTTTTTGAACGTAGTTCACTAATCGTTAGCTGTATATGTCGTCGCAATCCTCTGGGTATACCTCTGAACATTCCTAGCCGCAGACCATAACACCAAGATTACTCTTCATTAGATTCTGGAAGCTTCTTTCATGTAATGTATAATTCATGACGCTGCACTGGGCTTGATACAGTTTAAACATAAGAGATTGCTTTTGGACAAAGCAATAACATTTTAGAGCGAGATATATCCTGAGATTCTATTTTCAAGGGCTGGCGAACATACTATCGATACATAGACTTGTATTGCAGCCCCTGATTCCGAAAAGTTCTGTATCCAAAGATATGGCCTTCAATGCCCTCACTAAGTAGCTCTGGCTAAATTGGATATGGCACGTATAAAAGCTATCCAAGTATAAAATCGTGCTAGACCTTTTCGATGCCTTCGGAGGCCTCATAAAAGACTATTGCGGAAAAATGACGAAAAGTGTGTATTAATTGATGGCATATGCGTCAAATGGATTGAAATGCATAGTTCAAGAGACGGAAACTCCGGAAATACTAGCGAATACTACCGAGATAGTCTGACCATCTTGATGCTTAGACCCAACTTATTTGTTCAGTGAACCATAACTTATGCAACAGCGAAATTTCCCTGTCCAATTAACTAAAGTCAACTTTTACATACATGCTGCTAAACAGTGATTCATATCCAAGCAAGGACCCCCACCAGTAACCTTATAAAGCCAACGAATCCAGTCTAATTGGCATTATAGTCGGGCTATGAAGCCTAATATTAGCTCATCTTGCATTCACTACTTCCATACTTGTTGAAGAAAGTCCTCTACGTCAGCAAGCAAAACTTCTGGCTTCTCCATAGCGGCAAAATGACCACCACTCTCATGCTGGCGATAGAACTCAAGAGTTCCAGTCGTTTCAGCCCAAGCTTGAGGGATTGGGGCAAGTTCCTTCGGGAAGAAAGAGTATCCGAAATGCTTTTTGATATACCACTCAGGCTTCTCGTGAGCTCCAATCACGCCGGGTGTAAATAGCTATCAAATCGGTCAGAAGCTGCTCAATAAGTCTTCAAAGCGGAATCTATTTACCTGTCGATACGGGTAGATGGATCGTGGGAATGTCTCCGTCAACCAGTACAGGGTAACTGAAGCAAGAATCTCGTCAAGTGGCGGATCCTCATCGGTCCAGGCAAGAAACTTTTCACCAATCCTAATAAATCTATTAGCTGCCTTGCATCTTGAAATAGATTGTCAATGAGTTACATACCATGCAAGAAGCGCAATCGGGTTTGAAGCAAGTACAAGACCAATAGTGCTAGGTTTGGTTGCATGTTGAAGAGCATATGAAGAACCGAGTTTCAAGAAGGTATCGGCTCGCTTCAGTCCCTCCTTCTCAACATCACTAATCTGACTATCTTTGATACCCTCTGGCTCGGGCATGATGCAAAAGTTTACTGAATCAGAAGTTAGCATCGTATCTCCTTAACGTGCTCTAGTTTATGGCCTACTATGAACGGCCTTGACTGTGTCAAAAGTTGCAGCCATAACACGCGAAACTTTGCTGCCAATATCTCCTCCTTGAACTGCGTACCCATTGCCGAATCCCAGCTCAATCATCAATGTGTTCATAATGCTGGCAATGTTCTGAAGTTGAAAATCTCGTGCGAGCGGTGGGGGCGAGGAAAAAGCATAGCCAGGCAGAGAAGGAACAATGACGTGGTACGGCAGCGTCTCTGGGGTGTAGCGCTGGGTCAGGATCTCCAAAATGGAATAGAATTCCAAAAAGTTACCTGGCCAGCCGTGCAAGCACAAAAGTGGGATTGCATCGGGCTTTTGAGAGAACAGTGCCATGAAATGGATGTTGAAAACATCTCCGCCCTCCTTGATAGGGAGAGTGAAGTTGGGGAAGCTGTTGATGCGATCCTCACATTTGCGCCTACATAGTATACTGTGTCAGCCATGAAACAATCCGCAGGAGTTGTATGTGAGCTTACCAGTCCCATTTCTCCCATTCTACTTTGGCTTGGACTAGCCAGTCTCGGCTAATACCGAATTGGCCGTCTGTCATTTCATTTTCGTATGTCTTTGGTCCAATTTTGGATAGCTTTAATAGAGTTTTGAAGTCGCTAAGCTGTTGCTCTGGTACTGACACAGTAAAGGGAGCTGGAGTGGACTTTCTATTGGCAGGGAGGATTGCAAAAGAAGCCATTTTTATTAGCTTTGTAGCTTGGTGTATAGTCTCAGAAATATGTTCTTTGTTGTTGGCTTGAGGTTGTATTGATTGGTGATTGGAATTGATGTCTGATAGAATCCTCAGATGGTGGAGAGTCCAGGCTATCTTATAGTTTTCATCTTGTATCTATTTTCTTATATCTCAAAACTTGTTACAATGTTAATTGAGTTTCTTCTCTTGCATAGAGCTTCACAAAAGGGACATTCTCTCCATCTCAAAGCTACCCCGAAACCTTGATTCCATTCCCCGGTATGCCTATCGTGGCGTCTCACCTAACTGTCATTATGCCAAATACGGAAATACCATCCGCCTCCGGGAGACCATTCCGAACAGTTTTTTATGAAAGGGATCGCCTGACGTCATTCTTGTATTGAAATGCAAACTTCCCAAGAAAGGTAGACTCCAGACTAGGGCATTGTATAAAAGGCCTGAAATACCATTGAACTAGTCTGGAGAACAAAGATCATTATCAGCTGCCTGATATTCTGGTGATTTGGGGGGCATGCAGTGATACTATTACGAATATTAGCTTCACTGAGGAGAAGATTTGACGGTGAAATAGATATGACACATATTGAGCATGTTTATGTGGCAGTATAATATTAATTTCAAGCAATTATTCCGTATACAGCAGCCCGCTATTAAACAAAAGATAAATCATCACCCTTAACTCCAGTCATAACTTACAAACCCTCCATACAGATAGAGAGGGAGGCTGGCATAATCGATTCTCCTAAATTGTCCGCTACGAGTTATACTCGCGCTTCCTCGGATTTTTCATCCGTGAGCTAAGACGTAATGCTTCGTTTTCCTTCTCGAGAATGATGACCCTCTCTCGTAGGCTCTGAAGAGAATGAATTACGTCTCCCTGTCCACTGGCGCTCGTATCTTCCTCTGATAATTTGCCTGACGCTAGCTGGGAAGATGAACTTTCAGTATCGTCAGACTTAGTCATATCTTTCTTCAACCTGATGCTTCTGCGAGCCTCTAGATTTGGCTTAGGCTCCTCGGATTCGGCTGTGTATTTTTGGACGAGTTCATGGGCAGGTTTGTGATGAATATTGCTTGGTTTCTTGTCTTCAAATGATGGTGGCTGAACATTCCATCCCCTCTTCGTGCAGGCATCGCAGTAGAATTCCTTCTGCCTCTCTGGCACCTTCGGGACAACACAATTTTGGTGATACGACCGGCAGCATGTATCGCAATGCAACATGCTGCCAGGCTTGCGACAGGTATAGCATAACGGATTGTGTGGTGATCCGCTCTCTATGAAGCATTAGATACTAAGTTTTTTTTTCTCCCTCTTTTAAATATGCGAATAACGACCGTCGTTAGGGTGTAGATGATGCAAGCTCAACTGCTCTAAATGGGGACAAAGTCGTGAGGACAAACATTACAAATTAAGGAGATTGTGACCAAAGAAATTCTGCATTGGCATTCGCTCGCAGTGGAGGAAGTAAAAGTAGAATAAAATAGAAATGTAGTAATACTCACTCTTCCACGCGTGGTATATAATTTTCTGCTCATTCATGGTCAAAACAGTCCCCGGCGCAGCATAGGTAGAGATTCTGTACCCGGCGATGACGGGATATCTGCTGCTCTCAGCGGTGGACGTTCGCCGTCTTTTGGCTTGTGAGTTAGGAGATTCTGCCATGGCGCCTCTCTGAGAAGAAGCAAAATGGATCAGATACGATAGCGAGATTCAGGACCCGTACATGAATCAATCTGCAGCAAACAGCACGGAGGATTGACAGGCCAGACTCAACATGACCCAGCAGGCATCACTCAAAAATGGATGTGGAGGCAAGAGAACCGTGAGATTCCGCGTTGGGGAGATTTGCCTAAACAGGCATAAGACGGATTGTTTAGCCAAAAGCAGCAACGTCATCCTACCGACATTAGGCCGCTCAGCTCAGAGTGAGTGAAAGAGCTTCATCAAACCCAATTTGAGCATTTCCCTCTTCTGTCCTTGTGTGGCATGGATAAAGCTGTTACGGCTCGCAAACTCTTGATTCCGTACATATCCTGAGCTTGATTTGTTACCTCAATGGGTAACATCCTCCACCGGCCGCCACCAACACCACGCACGGCCGCCGTTGCTAGCTGAGAGAGGGGCATATACATGTAGATTGACTGCTATATGCACCAGTAACCATTGACTGCGAACGGCAATGTCCCCCGGATCAGCGTGTCAACGGTGTAGGCAGCGGCACATCAAGGTACGTCGATTTCTGGCGTCTCCCCTATTGTTTGCTTTGCGACGATGGCCCTAACTGATGGCATCAGTGTGATGCGACAAGGCCCAGCTGCAAGCAGTGTGTGTCTGCTAAGCACGAGTGTCCGGGATACCCTGAGGACTGGAAATTCATCAACAATGGCGCCAAGCTGCCTCGCAAGCGACAGAAGAGGCAGTCCATCCGAGACGCCAAGACGCATACTGCAAAGGCATCTGCTGGTCTGGCTGTGAAAGTCACCGAGATGAGTGAAGATGCTGTCATAGAGATCCGTCGCAACAACACGGCGTCAACTGGCCAAAGGCTAGAACCATTGGACATCCCCCCGTTGGATTTCCCTAAAGCTTCTGAAACCACCCTGCAGAGCCTGGACTCGTCTATGCCGCTTCAGGTCGAATTAAATTTCGATCTCGGCGATAACAATGTCAACGACGCAGGCGTTGCTGGCCTGCAGCCCGCTCACTTCGGAGCTCCTATACCCCCTTCTGAGGCATCCCCGGAATTGATGTCTTCTGGATCAACTGGCGAGTTTGAGATGGGGCTTGCTGCTCTAGCCTCGGAGTTCATGCTTGAGAGCGAGCAGGAGATCGTCTTCCTCCTCCGACACTATACGGATAACTTGGCTCCGTGGTATGTCCCCGCCCCTTGCCGCTGACCGCATCAAACTCTCTAATAGGCAATATTAGGCTAGACATATTTGGAGACAAATGCTTCTTCCAGACTTGTGTCCCTCGCCTTATTGGGACTCATCCCATAGTAAAATACGCGATAGCCGCGCTCGCTGCTAAGCATCTGAGCAATGTGGGCGGCTTCCGAGCCACCAATTGCGGCCCGATGAGTACCTTGGCCCTGACAGAGCTTTATCCTAGCGCAGGCAATGTTGACTGGGCATTCAAAGCTGCCAACTATTACCACCAAGCAGCTACAAACTCGCAGCACCCGTCCCCGCTTTACAGTGCTGAAGCTAGTTCGATCCTGACGGATGTTGCGATGGCAAGTAATGCCATCTTGACCGTTTATGAAATGATTGACTCAAATTATGATGAATTTTATACGTAAGTACCTGCTTTACGTCTTCCAGTAGATTACAAGAGTTGCCATCTTGATTTCATTTGACACGTGCATTCCACAAAAGTGGTCATTACCATCTCGATATTTTCCATATTGTTCACGCTACATGAAAGATTGCCGCTCTATATATTTTCCCACTCTTGGGAAGCAGCTAGCGAGTCTAACATCGACTTAGGCGGATCCGAGAGATAAAGAGCCAGCTAATAAGACACCCTAACGATGGTTCAATATCACAACCGATATTTGCACCCTTTAAATTTCACGGCAACCCTGTAGCTTTGGCTAGCTACTGGCACTGCATGCCCCACGATCTGTTAAACTCATATGATCAAAAACGGAAACCACTACTAGATTGTGAAACTCTGTATAATCGGGCGGGGGGCTCCGACGATGGCTTCAGTCTCGATGAGCCTCCATCCATCACTAAGGCACCCTGGGTGCAGTTATTCATGTTGATAGCCCAAATTATTGACAAGTTTACCGCTGCCCCTAGCCATGGTGATCGGGGGACCAAGGATGTGGACCGCAATAGCAGCTGGGACTATCTCTGGGACGCCCTGGATCGATGGCACGCCCAACTCGATCTGCACTTCGAACCTTATTCCTATTACAAGCTTTCTAGTCATCTAACACTTTCACAAGGCCTAGTGGAGCCAGTATTCGACGAAATACTCTTCCCATCGGCGGTATCCGCAGCTACTCTGTCCTACTATCACTTTGCTCGCATTCTTTTACTCCTAGCTAAGCCGACCGACCAATCAAACCCCCAAGCTATGTTACTTTACTACCGAGAGATATTGACGGATATAGAGGACCACTGTATTAAGATATGCGGAATTGCGGCTGCGCGGCCAGGTCCTGCCGCTCGGATTCACTCAGTTCAGCCGCTCTTCTTAGCAGGGCAATGCTTAGTGGAGCCTCGACTACGGACAGCTGTTGCACAGCTCCTACAAGATGTTGAGGCCGACACAGGATGGCCAACGGCAGGCCATATAAGCAGGCTTCACCAAGGGTGGAACAGGAACGCTCGGACTGGTTGAAGGTTTAGTGAGCAGGTTCTCTGTGCTTTGTATGACAGGGTATTTGGAGTAACGGCGTACAATTTTGATGTGGGGATCTTGTTGCTAGCCGTGCTACGATTGTCTTTCCTCAGCGTTTATTTTATATCCTAGATATGATAAAAGTAATCCTATCAATGTAATGGCAAGCCTATTCCGGATGCGTCAATATAATTCTATTCTTGTCATATCTCATATACATGGGGTGTAGCACTCCCCCTTTGGCGGCTCTTGGCTGCTGTTGACACACTACCTGTTGTAGTGATTTAGGCGACACTGGGATTGAAATCTTGTCGCAACAAACAGTAACAAGATTTGTTCAAAAGTTCCCCAGAGCAGTGTAGTATCCAGTGCCGAAAACCCGCAATCTCGGCTCTCTACCTAAACTTCTTCTATGACACTATCGACCATTAACAACATGCAAGTTAAGTTGCATCGCGCCATGCATTGTTTTCATAATCAAGGTGAAAGGCCCGGCTACGCGCGTATAATGAATTTAAGGATATATAAGAGCGAGGGTCCGCCGCTCTCAATGCAATTTCTTATCCTCTCCTCTTTTGCTTGCGGAATTCCCTCAACCGCAGCAATCCACTGCGAAACTGTCGCAACCATTTGCGACACGCATTGCTGAAAATCGCAGCCAAAAAAGCCCCTCAGCCATCGCATTTTCTTCCTAGCTTTACTAGCTGACAGCTCAGCAACTGGGGCCGTGTCTAGCACAGTATCACCCCGCTGGCTATCGTCTTTTAACTGGCCGGGCTCCCCGCTTTGGTGCAAATAGTTGCCGTGCGCCTTGACAATTTTATAATGGGTGTAAGTATGTTGGTAGTATGAGCGAAACGCCGAAGCCGCTGTGTGCAACTCGGGTCTCAACTCGGTGTTCAACTCGGTGCTCAACAATGGGCAACAACAAGTATATAAGTGCTCTGCTTGATCTGAGATGTAGCATTCAATTCAAATAGCATCACTCTCAATTAAATCAATAGCTCAATTCCCTTCAAACAAATATATACCAACTTTCAAGTCCACTCTCAGACTTACCAACTACTCTCTTTGCAATGGCCCCTACTCTCTATATCGCCGACGACACATGCTCTCGCGCCGCTCAGTTGGTCGCAAACGAGCTTGGCATTGAGCACGAACTGGTTCACTTTGATGTGTTCGGCAGGACCACATCCAGCGGCGAGAACTTTGCTGCTGTCAACCCTCTGCTCTACGTCCCTGCCCTGAAGCTGGAAAACGAGACCAAGGACGTCATCTCCGAGACCATCGTCATCTGCTCTTACTTCGCTGACCAGAAGCCTGAGGCTGGCTTGATCCCCGCCGCTGGCACCCTGGAGCGTGTCAAGTACGACCAGTTCCTCGTCCAGCTGGCCACTGAGATTGCTCAGAAGCACATTCCTCTTATGCGCAAGCTCATGACCCCTGAGGGAATCGAATTCCACTCCAACAAGCTCCAGAAGGCATACAAGCTCCTTGACGACCGTCTGGCTAAGACCCCCTACCTATTCGGCGACAGCCTCACTGTTGCCGACGCCTATGTCTGGGGCACTTTCTGGAATTCCCGCTCCGGTGTCGACCTGTCTAACCTCGAGAACATCGCCGCCTGGAAGACTCGCCTTGAGGCTCGCCCCGCTGCCCTCAAGACGCTCAAGGAAGAGGCTGAGATTGTCGCAGTCCACAAGGCCCAGATCGCGGCCAGCGCTTAAATATCTCGGACTTGATTTGTACCTTTTTTTCCCCTCAGAACCAAATCGTAATCCAGGGGAAAGTGACTTTTGGAATTAGCGAAGTTGTAATACAACACAAATAGAGTGGGGTGATTTCTTGGAATAGAGGAGTGCGGCTATAGAAACAATATCACGAGATTTATAGATTTACGGAGAGTATCCATAGAACCCAAATCAATTTAAAAAAATTTCAATTCTCTATCTTATGGGGTCGCAAATAAAAAACAAGAAGATTCCATTGATTGTGCATTTAACTGCGTAACATGGCGAAAGCCGAGCCAAAGCACTTAACAGAGCCAAGAGACGCCAAAGTTGCCACCATCCAGTAGCTTGGAACTTGTCTGAAAACTCGACCAAGTTCATCCCCTTGATTTGCACTGGGCGGAGTACCACCCATCAGCATTTAGAGTTACACTTAAGCTCTCCTAGACTAGTTCAACATGGATTGGATGAGCGATTTTGATTGGTTCGGAGTTGTATTCATGTATCCGTTGATATGCTTCAAGTGCGGAAGCTTGGCGTGCAAGGTCTTTTGATTACAACGGTTAGGCTATCGAGTTGTTGACACGAATACAGAACAGTAGAGAAATCGGCCAGCTGGCCTTTCTCTCAAACTTAAATTGAGAAAATTGCAACTCTTGCTTGAAGAGAACTTGTCAAAATTACGCATAGTTCTCACCTCTGTATCGAAATGAGTCGTGAAAGCGTTCGTTCCAGCTGGAGGTTTATCCTCGTTTGCGCCTTGGTTGCAATAATTGCGAGCCCGATATTTACCAAAAACTTGCCATTTCGCCATTTATTTCTTCAATCTACCAAATCTGAAATGAAATCAGGCAGCCTTAGAATCATATCCAATGCCAACGTGGTAACCAGACCAAACCCTGAGGTCGTCGGTTCGAACAGAGATGAGGTGGCTGATTCATCGGTCCACCTGCTCCGGAGCGCCTCCAAAGGTTGGACATATATACCGAACATAGACGCAGAGGAATCCGATATAGAAACAAACAAGCCAGCAGGCCCAGAATCACGCCATGTACTGCATCATTCCTTTGCGGATATTGATAACAACGATGGGCTGGCTGTGGTGCCTTATGGAAATGGTTTTGTCAATGGAATTATTCAAGCGTTTCAACAAGACCTTCATCTCGTCCTCCGTCCTGATGACATATGGTTGGCTATTACGGTCCAACTCAGCTTCTACATCAATGGCCATGCCGAAGAGATGCGAAAATTCTTTGTTGAACATGATGACAAGAAGGAACTCGTTGTCGACTTAACTCCACAGACCATGGAAAATCTGGATATTGCATACGCTGCAAAGCTTTTTGCCGGATTAATCCAGGAAAATGTGCGGGTCCCAGATCTTAAAAGTTGGATCCTTCCAGACTTTTCCACAACAACCGATAACGATATAAGCGTCGCGGCAATGGTTATGATGGCAACTACAAAGGCATATTTTGAATACATTATGTTGTGCGGTTGTGGATTTCCAAGCGTCACACTTCTCGGGGAGAGAGATGACTGGGTGAAGCTTTCTGAGAGACTACCTAGACTTGCGACATTTGGCGATGAACCTGCGGAATGGAGCAAATTACTCGTCAAAGTGGTCGAGAAAATGATTGAAACGTTTGATCACCCAGATGACGAAGCTACAAAAGAGTTCTGGATGAAGGCAGTCCATAGAACTGGTGCAGAGGCTTCAGGCCGGGGACTGGACACGTTATCTGGATGGATCACGGCATTCTGCTTCTGGAACGAGGAAGGCAGAATGATCAATCAATATTCAGATGAATATATAAAATTATCTTCATTCGACGGGGAGGGAGATGAAGACAGGAAGAGGCTCGTCATTGATGATGTCATCTTCCCGATCATCAGAGCAAAAAGTGTGCCACAGTCTGTGGTTCAAGTACCCGTCAAAGTTCTGGATGCATCGACAATGCTTGAATATGAAACTACCATCATAGCAGGCTCTGTAGGTATGACAGCAACTACGAGTGGGAGTGAAGTGGCGCCCGACACTTTCCAGCCCCGATCAGGTTGGTGGATGTTACTCGACGAGGTTAAACAGCTTGGTGCGGAAAAGCTGGAGAAGTATGTGGAGATTCTACAGGAGCGGCTCAATCTATCTTAAGGGTTTTATCGTGGCCTACTATATTATCTCATATTTCCAGAAAGAAAAAAAGCACATTGATGGCTTTCAACGTGTTATTTTTGTTTTGATTTTCCATGATTCTTTTCTCCCATTGGTTTCATCACAATTCTTGAAGCATCTACTCCCACATCGCAAAGAGACACATCTACAGCATTGCGCTCATGGAGTGGAGCTAGAATATATTGATGTTACATTTGACAGCATAAAATCGCAATAAAACCAGGCCCCTATGTCCATATTCATTTTATCAATAGCTCCTATTTTTCGTGTTTCATTCCGTTACCCAACTTGTTCATTTCTTGCACTCAATTCTCCATTTTATTTACCCCTCTTCTGCGGGACAACGTGTCACTTGCCAAACTAATTTTAATACCTTTTCCATCATGGGAAATAATCCCTTTTAATAGCACTATGGGCCAGATGAGATGCCTCGAGGAGCGGCCTGAATTTTGGCGCCTTGTGGCGCTCGCTGTGCAAACCTGTATACCTAATTGTTACTTCCGCAATCCGGTAACACTTTATTCTTTCTTTAGGCGACACGGCTCGCTTAGTCCCAATAATTCCAAGACACCTACGTGTACATCTAAGCTCAATCGGATATCGCAATGTCCTGTGCAAATGCTGTTGGAAAGACCCATCTTCGCCCTGCTGAATTGCCGAACTACGTTGGCCTACACGATGTAAGGGGAATGCAGATAGTATATTCCAATGGCGAATTTGAATGCCACGTATTAGTGCAGAAGCCCATTTACGCGCCCCTACATAGCCAACACAACACAATGCTAGGTCATGCAAGGGGGTTAAGTGCTAGGAAGTGCATCCGCATGAGACACGGAATAGTTCAGATGCAGTCCCGTCACAACCTGCCAATAGTATTGACATCTAGAGGCGCGTGGTTTTTTGACTAGCTTCAAGCGAAAAAAACCCAGCTGGTAAAGATCTCCGATTGATGGGACTAGGCTCGGATACCATCTAGATAGTCTACGAATAGAAGAGACCCTTTGCCTCTGCATTGACAAAGCAGCATGGTTGCAGCGCACCTTAGAGTGGGGAAGCAGCTGATGGCCCATCGACGCTATTGCTTCATCTCGATGCCGTCCACCCTCTGAGAATAGATCCGTTGGGCTACGAAGCACCAGAGATATGCTACCTTTGCACAGCATAAGTTTACAATATAGAATTCATTTAGTTTGACAAAAAGTTTCCTTTGCTGAGCAGTACTTGTTGGAAAACATCGCATAACATCTTGTCGGCAACTTTCGGCTCATGAAAGAAGATAGTTGTAGAGAGAATGAGCGTTTACAGAGTGACTCGTTAGATTCTCAAATAATGAAGCTCTTCGTGAATGTGACAATGCGAATACTCGATGCTTCTGTCACGGCCGATCACATATCGCATTGGCCACCGCGGGGACACGGCTGAGGTGCATGGAGCTTTACGTTCCTCTGCATTCACCGGCTGCACGTACCTTGTACCTGATCATTAGCTCCAAATGTGTTATAAAATCGCATTAGTAGACTCCCCCGGCACATCGTCTTTCTTAATGGCTGGAGCCGTCCACCGGTGAGACAAGTGCATGGAATAGCATCATACAAGCACTTAGAACATGTATTACCGAGATAGCGCCAAGGATTTTGGATGCTTCGTTTATGTTGACACATTGCTTCACATGGGTCTCGGCCTTGATGATCACTTGTGGTTGCGGGGGTAGTATGCAATGCCTAAGTGGGGAAGCTTCAAAATACCTGTATGTACGGACGTCTTTGCACTTAGTTCTCCTCTTTGGTCTTCGTAACACGTAACTGACTTTCAGCCCCATCTCAGATTCTAGGCCCTATTGTTGCAAAGAGGCTTGCATGTAAAGATGTGTGGAGAAGTGTGGCGAAAAGAGCAAGGAGCAAGGGGAGAGGGAGAGGCAGAGACAAATCAGAAGGAAGCTGGATCCTAGTTCAGCTGGGCACTCTTAGCACGTCTCGAAATTGTTATGTTCAGATGTTGGGTACCTTTTCGGTGGAAAACATAGTCGTGCTAGAATATCATTGTCTGCCACGATTAAAAGGGGCGACCATTTTCACTATAAAAAACACATCTCCCACCCTCCTCTTCTCATCGCGCTTTCTACACACAGAGCAAACAAGCAAATAATCAATCCAATTCTTCATACAAAGTACCTCGATCACACTATCACTCCCATAAAATGTCTACCAGCTATACCATCTCTGTTGAAAATCAACGCGGTGAGCACACTAACTATGCAGTCTTCATGGATCCTCCGGAGTTCACTGGGGGCCAACAACCTTGGATGAATGTATGGTACACGTCATTCGTCCCTTATCATGGAAACTTTGAAGTCCGCACCGGAGCGGACTTTTATGCTTGTAAGAAAGAAAAACTGCGAACTAATTTATAAATTTTTTTAAGGGCTAATGATCAACTTGATAGGGGTCGGAACTGTGCCTACGACACCAGCGCCAGGCGTTGTAGTCACCAGTGGCATGAGCCTGTTAGCTCGTCTTGGTACAACTAACACTCCTGGAAGTAAGTAATAATGTGCTGAAGATCTCAAACATGGCCTTCAAACTAACGGCCTTCCCAAATAGGCACTTTTGACAAAAAGATCATTCAAAGCTTCCCCACTATTACCGAAATCACCCCAAGTGCCATCCCTGGTGCATATGAGATCAAGACTGGTACCGACTTTACCGTTCCTAACAACACCTACCTTGTCGGACTTGCAAAGGTCAACAACCGTGGACAGGTTGCCCCAGTTGCTTCAGTATGCGGATCTGCTCAACCCAAGGTCGCGGATCTCCTGCTAATTTGGAAAACCAGATTGCCCCACTGAACAATATGAATGTTCAGATTACCCCAAAGATGAAGTTCTTCATCTCCGAAAGCCAACAGGTTGCCGGTGAAATTGTTGACTATGGCTCCATTGCTAGAGACGGTGCTACTATTGACTTTAGCAGTGGCGAGGGTCAGGGCAAGTTTTATGCTCGTGTAGTCCAAAACACTGACGGTAGATTTACTGTTACTTACTACGACAATTATGACTAGGAATCGAGAAGCGCTGGGGAGCTACATTGGTAGCTACCAAGGTCAGATAGCAATTAGAATTAGCTCATACGTCTACCTAGTATTGAACTAATCGAGTATTCCTGCGATTATCATGTTGTAGCGCTATGGGTATTGTGTTTAGAGGATATCATAAGCCTTCTCTATACCATTGTTTAGAATCAATGTCAAGGGGCATTGAAGAGAGAAGCGTAGTATGTTTCGAATCTTCTTCAAAGCCCACACATATGTCGATTTGGCTTATTTCCAGGCATACACGACAATTGATAGTGGAGAATTCGGGGTCCTATCAAATTCTTTATCATAGTTTAACACTTTCCAAATTTTACACTCCTAAATTCTGAAGTTTGAGCCACACAGTTCAGGTTTCTGAAGCCCGTTAGTCTACGTCAAAGTGGCATTGATCCGATTTTGGCTGGTTCCCAACTACTCCCCACTAGTCCATCTACCATACCGAAGTTATTTCTAAGCCTCCTACCTTGTAAGCGGGCTATTAGCAAAATAAGGCTTCAAAAACTCCGTAATAGTATAAAATTGAGATGCGTATATGTCAACGACGGCAACTGAAGGCCTTCTGGGTAACGGAACATCGGTTCATCACAATATGCGCTGCATATTCTGTTGGCTATTCCTCCTAGACATCTTACATATAATCAGCCCTCTACTCTAATTAAAATTTCCACGCCTGACTCTGGACGCTGTAGGTTTTTGGCATAATTATCTCCAAGCATCGCTGGCGTCATAACACCGCCGCCTCTCCGATGCGCCTCTGTCCCACCCTCAAGAAGTGTCACTGCCGCCTCAATCATTGCGATGCCAGTAAACTTATACTGGTCGCCTTGGAATTTGAAGTCCACTAAAACTCTTTTTGATGTTGACTCATCACCTGTATCAGCTACTGCCAGTGTCCGATGGCTGAATCGGTGGCCCTTGAGCTGTTTGGGGGATGAACTGTAGCCCTCTGGGTAGACAAATCTAGTGAGGAAAAGTCGCGAGAAGGAGAAACTTAAGAACAAGCTGAGACCGATAAGGGGTAGAACGCGGATGAAATCGTGCACAGTGCTGGATAGTCTAATTCGTACGGAGAAGTGAAAGTTGGGTCCATATCCGTCTGTGGTCGTGTTAGGATCATCTGGTGCATATAGGCCCCAGCTCCGTCCCACAATAGCTCTCTCATTCCCTTGCCCCAGATTCTTCACTACACGGCTGAGAATATCTGGATTCTGTATTCCAAAGAAACTGGAACCTGGAAAAAGGCTGGTCTTCGCCTTCACGCTTGCAGGTTTGCGAGGAGAGATTGCGAACGGCGCGGTCGCCTCTGCGTAGCGGCCCGGCTCGTATAATGTGTAAACAGAGGCCATTGAGCCAATAGTGCCGCTACCGATGGTACCTTCCATCTCCTGTAGTGAAACGATGATTTCGCGTGTCTGTATGTTGAAAGTTTTGCGTATGTGGGACACAGCAAGATGCGTTGTTAGATCAGCCGGCACAGCGTCTAAGCCACAGGTGATAATCATCTGGCACTGTAAGCAATTCTAGCTGCTGAAGGCTACCTAGATAAACGCAAGACGTACTTTTGCATCTGAAATTTGAGCTGAATTGTCGTGTTCTTTGATCATATTCTGTACCCAGGGCATATCCGCGCTGCTGGTTGGATGTTAGGACATATCGATATGTGACGTCTTTTGATCTTTTACCAGTCGATGTAGTCAGTGCCATTTTCAGCACAAACTTCGAATACTTCTGGCCCACAAGTTGTTGGGTATGGTCCAATTACGTTGATGATGACTCGCGTTGACTTTACAACTTCCTGGATCTCTGCTTCAGAGTTCAGATCCAGAACACTAGTGGATCCTAAATACAATGAGAATTGAGCGAATACTCATGGTTTTAAAGACCAATTCATCTCCTGCAGCTTCGACTTTGAACTTCCTGGACACTACTTCAGGTTTTGTCTTGTTCCGGGCCGCAATCTGCCATCACAAGGATCCTGGAAATGTTGCAGTCATATACTGTCAAGTTGTAGCTCTATATATATTACTTTCCTTATCTACCGGAATAGTTCTCCGCCAATCAATGGCGTCATAAATCCGCCAGTATCTAAATTATCCAAGCTATAGGTCTTATTTCTGTTATATCTGTACGTACAAACATAGTCCTAAAGCTATGGGTTTGAAGTTATGCACTGGCGGAACTGCAAGGCCCATAGTCCGCACCCGGCCCAATAACCATCCGAACATTGCAGAGGAAAACCGAGCATTCAATAACGTCTCACTAGATCTGTACATTGGGGAGATTTCTCTTAGTTCCTTATGACAAACCCCATCAAGGCTCGCTTCGGTTAATGGCAAATTATTTATCATTACAACTATACAGCTTCTTTGCTCTTTGTCACCTTGGTCACCCTTGCAAAGTCATTCTTATCAATGCCAGCCAGAGGAAGCATGTAGACACGACCAGGAGCCTAACATAAATACATAATAAATCTTGGATATATTTTGCAGAATTATTTTTAGGATTTTCAAATGGTTGCGGAATTCGATTTCTTGCGGAGCGGAGTGAAGGTGGACAACTTTCCGCTGTCCGCTGACCTCAATCGGAAATCCTTCCACTATGCAATTGTCTATTAAATTTGCAGCGGAACAGAAATAAAACATACAGGCATCTTATCTAGTGCACTAGGATGGTGGCACGTAGATTCTGCCAAAAGGGGATATTTTTTGTCAGCCAACAGGCTACATCAACTCCACCGAGGTAGCTCCTATGAACTACTATCCAACTTAAATTCCCTAAAATTTCTCGGTTCCAACATTAATTACTATCAACAGACTCTATATTGGATATTATTCAACGCTTATCAAAGCGTTTTGACCTGTTCAGCCGCCTGTTTAGTCAAATAATACGTTGCAAATCCCATCCTTCATGCCTATTTCACATTACGAGCAAACTATCTCGGAAACTCGCTTGATATAATAAAATCATGGTCGGGTTCAGCCAGGCACGAGACATTCCATCACTAAGCGGAAAAGTCTGTCTCGTCACCGGAGCAAACTCGGGGTTGGGTGAGGCAACTGTCACAGCGCTCGCCCAGCACGGCCCTGAGAAGATCTATCTTGCAGCTCGCTCTCAGGTTAGGGCCGAAGAAGCCCTGGAGCGCATCAGAGCAACCTCTGCGGCGGCTCAATCTGCCAACATTATATTCCTGGAATTAGACCTCTCCTCACTTGAATCGGTCAAGACGGCGGCAGCTAGAGTCAATGCTGAGGTTGATCGCCTTGATATTGTTCACCTAAACGCCGGTGTGGCGTCAGTACCGGCCTCGCTCACAACAGAAGGATACGAAGTGCATTTTGGAACCAACTACATAGGCCATGCCTTGCTGACGCAATTACTGATGCCCAAAATGCTGAAGACAGCGGCGTTACCTAATGCCGATGTTAGAATTATCTCTGTGTCATCTTCGTACCACCGACTGGAGGGTACTAGCGACGGGATCTCTTTTGACAAACTGAAGACAACCATGGAGGGCACTGGCGGCGTTGTCTTGTACGCGCAAGCTACGCTGGCAAAGGTACTGTTCGCTCGTGAGCTTGCGAGACGGTACCCCGGCATAACTTCGTTGTCAATGCACCCAGGCATAGTCAAGACTGAAATCTGGAAAGGGAAGAAGGATGCAGGGTTGTTGATGCGGGCTTTTGTCCGTCCCATAGTGAGCTTGATCGGCGTTACCCCCGAGGAAGGCGTAAAGACACAGCTTTGGTGTACCGTTAGTAGGGACGTGAAGAACGGCGCATATTATGAGCCCATAGGAAAGGCAAATATGCGCGGAAAGTTTACGGAAGATGATAAATTAGCAGGCGAGTTGTGGCGGTGGACTGATATGGAGCTGCTTGCACATGGCGCACCTGGCTGGGCTAAAGCATAAGCATGCACGCTCATGGAGATATTTAATATTATAGGTATGAAAAGTATCAAAGAATAGTATAATATTTAACTGAAGGTTATTTCACTTAAAAGAGGTCTGATTCGGTATGGCGTTCGCATATGCGGAATACCATATTGTAACATTTGTCCTAGTCTGAACAAAGGGCTATTGCGTACGATTAGCATATGATATTTGCCTTATCATACATAATGTTCAATATTATATAGGGGAGTGAGTGATAATCCAAACTTGGTACTCACGGCTAGCGGCATAATAGTAAGTGAATCATGTTTGCTGTGCAACCAACAACTTAACATGCTTTGCAAAAAAGTGTTGCTAGAAAAATTGGCCCCGGCACTGCTTCACTGCAGATGCCATTGAGTAAATAAATATTCTTCTATCGTAATACCCAGCATTATTTTCGTTGTTATGCGTTTTTTCCTACATTTGCTTTCCCTCCCAACTCATACCTACAACGCCACGCAAATACGAGAATGCTCATACCAAATTCAGTGATTATGGATTCGGATCAGCCACTACGTTCGTATGAATATTACTTATATAGCAAGCCGCCTGTCCAGGAGCATTGTCACCTTGGTCTCGACGATCGTCGTCTGCGATGGCCTGCTTTTCAGCCGTTAACATCAATTATGGTTCTTGACGATGAGGCAGACCCTAACAGCTCACAGAGTCCACTATTTGGAGACGGGTTCATTCATCCCATCAGCAAATCGCCTATATCAAGACCGCCGGTATCATCAATCAAAGTGTTTGCGAGAGACCTATCGGATTATGCGGAATTTACCAGAGAGTTCTTCTGCGAGTGCGATGATGAAAAGTGGCCTCCTGATACGCCTCCAGATATACTCTCGAATATTTCATATCCATGTTCTTGCCCCGGTGGCTATAATGCACCTCCGCCCTTGGAGATTATTGGATCTGGCCCTAATGGATTGGTAACTATTGGCGACTACGTGTGCGCTGTTGTGCCCTGGCTGTGTTCTCTCAAAAACGAAATACTCAACGCAAACAATGACCTAGTCGGACGCGACCTAATGGAATATCCTTCCGATAGAAAATGCTATGTGGATTCAGTCTTAACCAACGAGATCACTTTAATTTGGTATGAGTCTGATGAGAAGATGACTGAATACTGGGCCTACCAAGCAAGATGCGCTAGGGAATATAGGGAAGCAGTTGCAAGGGGGGAGTACTGTGCAAATGGACAAAATTGTGGAAGGACAGCACAGAAGCGCGAGGTAATAGATGGCAGAAGGGGTAATGAGATTCGAGTACCTCCTAAATATTGATATCTTCTTAATGAATACACTCATTACTCAAGATACTGAATGTATGTATGCATGTGATATTTCTCTAGGTGAGCGAACTCGCTGGATCGAGCGTCCACTGCAGGCAGTTGTTTTCTCCCCACCCGCCTTTCTTATAGTTAGTGCCACCACAATTGAAGCTCTCAACAAGAATAAGCATATTTCACTTGCACTCATTTAGATCAAATTTCTTGACCTAACAGCTTTGCTTAACCTCAAAAATCATGTCGATTGAAACGTTTATAATTTCGAGAGCATTCCGCCTTTCTTCTCACCATGTCTGCTGCATAAGATAACCACCGAAGAGAGTTTCAGCTCCGTCGGCGATGATCTGGCATAACCAATCAATAGCACTGACGCAATGATCTCTCCGTGCCCAGTAGCCGGAGTTAAAGCAATTATTTTTGTTTGTAGAAGGATCTGAAGCTGATAGGGCCGACGATGGCTGTGCACCAGCTGTGGTCGAGCTTTGTGAGGCTGGTGGCCGAGTTGAATGCTCACTATTCCCTCCATCACTATCACCTCCGCCGAGCAGTGGTAGAGAGCATATATCTAAGTCCTCATCCTCATCTTCATCGTCATCGTCATTTGACTTATCCGTTCCCATAGGCCCTGGAGGAATTGGTGTCGTTATAGGCGAGACTGTTGAATACTCTATGGTGTATCAGATTTTCTACCATTTGAAGTCCGCATATAGGTTCTTGATGACGACAAAGCAACATTATTTCTCCCAAATACAGATACTGTTTTGCAGAAAAGTGCTGTCAAATACATTAGTTTTGTTGGCAACGTCTAATTTTTCTGATTGTCATTCTAGTGAACGAGTTTGTGCTACGCTCAGATATTCCGACCTGAGTAATGTCTTCGTGGATACATAGGTGGGTGTTCTTATTCTATTCGCGGTTGGGCGTATGTAAGTTCTATTCTATTGGTGCAAAATTCAAGTCCAACTCTGGAGACTCTATTTATAAAACCGCTTCTATATGTTATATATTATAATAGTCTACATGATGCCCAATAATGTGATAGTCGCAACCGTTCATTTATATGACACTTATTTCCAATCCCACCTCCTGGCTATCCATCGCAGCGTATATACTAACCCAAGTAGAACAGGGACTTCAATCAATGGGCCAACTGTCGAGGCAAGTGCTTGGTCGCTATCAGGTCCGAATGTTGCCACGGCTACGGCAATAGCAAGCTCAAAATTATTGCTTGCAGCTGTGAAGCTCTGGGTCGTTAAATATTCGTATTTGAAGCCAAGCAGACGACAAATTGCAACAGTCGAAAAGAAAACGATAATGAAGTACACAATTAGTGGAGCAGCAACCCTAATAACAGAAACAATCTGATGAACGACTCGGTGGCCCTGGGAGGCAAATAAAACAAGGATCGTGTACAAAAGGCCAATGAGTGACCAAGGGGATGCCAGTGGGATGAATACTCGTTCGTACCAGACAGGACCAGCTATGCCACGGAGTGCGAAGCGGGTGATTATAGCAGCCCCGAGAGGTATGCCGAGGAATACAGCAACACTGGTGGCAACAACTGAGTATGATACCCGTATACCGTTTGGGTCCTTATCGATGATGGATATGAAGAAAATTGCGAGGGGTGCAAAGAGAACCATTTGCAAGATTGAGTTTATAGCGACAAGAATTGCACAGTACTCGTTGTTACCTCCGGCAAGGCCATTCCAAATCAGGACCTGCGCGATCGTTAACAGGAATGCCTCCAATTATATATCGTTGTCAGTTTTATACTCACCATGGCAATGCATCTTCCAAGACCAACAAGAATGAGACCAATACGGAGTTCAGCTTTGTCAGGAAGAAACGCCCAAGAGAGGCCAAGCTACAACGCCGAAAGTTAGCACGTGTGGTGTATTCCTTCGATATTGACTGTGCTTGTGGAATGTAGTATTTACCATGAGGAAGGGAGCAAAAATCCAGTTAACAAGTACACTGAAGCCAATCTGCTTCCACAATTCCTTATGAGCGAGGACTTCGTGCATCGATTCGTATCGCACTTTGCAAAGGATCGGATACATCATGACAAGCAGTCCGACGGCTTCAAGATACAGTCAGCAGGAGTAACATGATATCCATCGAAGCTGTCCGTGGATAGATCAAACATACCAATGGGAACAGAAACTCCTACGAACTCGCCTTTCTGCAAGGCTGTAGACATGCTTGGCACAAAGTTGCCTAATATTATACCAATAGCCATGGCCAAGAAAATCCATACGGCCAGAAACCGATCGAGGAAGCCCAAGGATTTGAATGCTGAGAATTCTCGTCGATCCCCATTTTTCCCCTGCTGCTCCAGATCCAACGGAATGGGTTGGTCAGAATCTGTGAACAATTCAGGAGGTAAGGTTTGGGAGATGGGCTTGTCTCGATCAGTTTCCATGCTGAATACAGTTGGATGTAAGTGCTTGGGGGTTGATGTTGTGCTGATTTAGTTGAAGAATGATGGCAGGAGGCAAGACGTTGGTACACTGAAGTTTTAAAGGATGATATATCTAAATCCAAGGGGCTACTTGACTATCGGTGTAATTCTTGGTCTTACAAACACCAAACAAAATCGCAGCTCGGATGTTCTAGCAACACCCATGCACTTGACTCAACTAGGGTGCTGCAGATACAAGTTTAGCGCGAGAGATGCTGACTACAGCGGCTCTCCTACTAAAAAGGGAAACTGGCCACAAACTAACCTATGACAGCCAATCATACACAGGGCCTGACACACTCCCAACTACCCACATCAAAGAAATTCTGCCTTGTGGAAATGGGAACTGTCTCCACATGCATTGATAATGGCTTTTAGAATACTTCAGTTCTTATATTTCCATCTTCCCTAGTTTTGTTCTGTCGAATAATGCCAAGACAGTCTGGATGGGGTTGACACACTCCCTAGCTATCATTGGATGCCCGGGCATACCTCAATGAACATGAAGCCGGCAAAGGCGTGTATTAATGATAGCCAGCCGCAATGACAATTTGAAGGCTTTTTCTCGAAGCTAGAATGTCGCCATTTTATCGACGACTTCAAATTATCCGAACCATCTCTACTCAACAGCTATTTCTCCAAGAGGCACTGGTTGCAATGGATACACCTGAAGCGCCATGGCACGCCGCCTTTCCCGCGCCAAGGAAACAGGAGCCCGGGACAATGACGCGGGGAGAAGTTCTCAAAATGATGAGGGATGGCGGAAGCGTGGCAGGGAAAGATTACTTGCTGGTTGATCTGAGGAGGACTGACCATCAAGTATGCCTAAGCCTCAGCTAACGGTAAATTTGCTTCGTTGGACTGACGAGAGCCGAATCTAGGGAGGCACCATCCGGGGCTCTATCAATCTTCCTGCGCAAAGCTTGTACCCAGCCCTACCAACAGTTTACAATATGATCAAAGCCGCCGGAATTTGCAGGGTTATATGGTATTGCTGTAGGTTTATTCTTGTTTCTGCGGGGCGATGACCAGGCTAATGGCCTGATTTGTATAGCATCCTCCCGTGGCCGGGGCACACGTGCTGCTTGTTGGTTTAGTGATTACCTAGAAGAGAAAGGAGATGAGAGTATCCAGAGCCTCATTCTACTCGAGGGACTCAAGGGATGGGCTAAAGGAGGTCCTGAATATGTAAATTGGGTTGATGGCTATGAAAAAACTTACTGGGAAACCCAGTAATGTTACTTGAATCCCTGGTGGTGGAGGCCGTAGGAATGCCCATGAGTTGATTACTTTTCTGAATCTCGGAGGAGGAAAAAATATGTCTAGCGACAATGCATATGGCTTGAACTAACAGAAATAATCGTCATTAGAAGGCCGTTTGTTGAGCTGGGACCAAGTATTGACCGAGTGGAGCATCAGACGCATTGACAGAGGCGCGAATCTAGCGTTGACGAGCCCAGTCAGCCTGTCAGTTAGCGGGGCGACCCTTACCATTAGCGCTCAATATTTTGACACGAGAATATAAGAATACGGGATATGGTGGTGCTCTTGGCCTCGGCCATTTCCCCTCTGCCTCAGAGTCCTAGTGATGAACGGTATTAGGTTTCTCTGTGGTTGTATAGCCCGCCAGAGCCGAAGTTTGACATCTTTACATCCTATCACACGGCACCGTTCGAGAATTGTAAACATTTATCCAGATCTAGGAAGACGGCGTCTATCCCGGGCTCGCCTTGCCATGAACGGGCACGGAGATTTAAACAATACCCACGCTGCTAGGGTCACTTCTGTATTAGAAGTTGATCCTGAATATAGCAATAAGTCGTTGGCGATCGGTGCTCAAGAAGATGATGCCCATATTCGGCAACAATACCGACCCTTTTTACTGCCCACGGATACGGGGGATGACTGGGTTGCAAAATTGGAATTGGCGACGACATTGAAGATGGTTGAGGCAGAAATCCTGAATAAGAAGCAAGACCGCCTCCGAATTCTTGTGTTATACGGTAGTTTGAGAAGCAGGTAAGCGCACTAGCTAATTATCTGCACGTCGCCACTAGTCTTTCAAGCTTTGGCTGCTGACATATGAGACAGATCTTTTTCCCGTTTTCTGGCCTATGAGGCTTCTCGCATTCTGTTTCGCCTAGGATGTGATGTTCGGGTATATGATCCAACTGGTCTGCCGCAAAAAGATGATGTGCAGCATGATCACCCAAAAGTCCAAGAGTTGCGGGAGCTGAGCAAATGGAGTGACGGGCACCTTTGGGTTAGCCCAGAGCAGCATGGAAATTTAGTGAGTTTACACATCGCACAGGATTTGGAGTGCGACGGACTCTAACATCAACAGACGGGTTTATTCAAGCAACAAATAGATTGGATCCCTCTGTCGTCTGGCTCAGTACGACCTACTCAAGGCAGGACCCTAGCCATCGCGCAGGTCAGTGGTGGCTCACAATCATTCAACGCCGTCAACTCGTTACGGATTTTGGGGAGATGGATGCGCATGTTCACTATACCGAACCAAAGCTCTGTGCCAAAGGCATATACCCAGTTTACTTCCGAGGCAGAAGGTAACCGCATGATACCTAGCTCGAACCGCGATCGCCTTGTGGATTGCATGGAAGAGATGGTAAAGTACACAATTGTGATGCGTCCTCATTTCGAGCTTTTCGGGGATCGATATAGTGAAAGAGAAGAAAGAAGGCAAAAAGAAGGAGCAAATGCATAATGAGCCTTACATTCTAGTCAAACCTACGTGGTTCTGAGTCTTTGCAGAATTAGACGGCGCTAGTTGCTTGCGATGTTTTAGTCACGGAAGACAAAGAAATGAATTGAACCACTACGTGTATAGAAGAATTTATAAATTTACGAACATGTAAGCTATTATTATTCATATTTCATCCTGTGGCTTGGATAGAAGGCGCATTTGCTCCTAACGGCTCGTTTTAAACCATGATGTGCGCACCTCAGTATGCACGTATAATGGTCATCAATCTTTGACGGCAAATATCTTGTACGAAGCTGTAGAAGATTCTTAGCCCATGAATATAGTGGAAAGACTTGCCTAACTTACCAGTCCACTCATTGAAGTCAACATTTTTAGTGCTAGCCATGCTATTTTCCGTCGAGCTGCAGCCGGTTTTCGCACAACAATCCTGGTCTTTCTCCGCAGAACAAGAATCGCGAGTGGAAAGACTCTTACAGCAGTTGTCGGTCATCTCACTGTGATAGACATTTAGGTCGTTTCCTGAATCTTGTATGATGATGCCTGGGTAGGTTCCCTGGTTAGCATGAAATCTCCATAGCCAAAGGTCACATTCCACTAACCATTGAAGCCAGCTTCTCTTAAATACTTCTGGTACATCTCCACTTCACTGGCTCCTGCAATGCAACCAACATACAAGGTCATGCTCCTCTTGATGTTGTCTGGCAATGGACGCTTGGCAAGAATGTCTGAAATGGCAACTCGTCCACCAGGCTTCAAGAGACGGAACATTTCATTAAAGACGAGTTGTTTCTCCTCTTCAGGAACAAGATTGACGACGCAGTTGGATATGACGCAATCTGCAATACCGTCGTCGAGAGCAATGCGCGTGATTTGTGATTTTACGAACTCGACGTTATTCTTGCCCCACGCAGCTTTTAGTCCCTCTGCCTTCTTGAGCATATCCTAAACAAAAGAAGAATGTGTCAGATGAACAAATGACTACTGCAAACTTTGAACTAACCTCATTCATGTCCACGCCAATCACTCTACCCGTGAGACCGACTTTTTGAGAGGCAAGGAAGGTATCAAGTCCAGCACCGCTTCCCAGGTCAATGACGGTTTCGCCCTGTATTATTTATTAGTCACGGAGTCGAATCGATTCTTGCTTATCAATTACGAACTTCACGGAGAGTCGCGATGGCAAGAGGATTGCCACAAGACAGGCCTAGGTTGGCATCCTGAGGAATCTCTGATAGTTCTTCCTTTGTGTAGCCAAACGCTTTCGCCACAGAATCGGCGTATTGAGCTTCTACATTTCCAGCGGCAGCTGAGTATCGCTTGGAAACTTCGGCATAAATATCTTGAACGTTCATGGCTGACTGATTGAGACACTACTTGTCACGGTTTCGTGATGAGTTGGAAAGACAGCGATTTCGAAGGGGCTAATATGCTTTTTAAATTTTAACTCAAGAGCTTCTGTCTATCAATGAACCTGCTCAGTAGAACCTTGAGGACTTATGAATACACACTAATAGTAGGCGGGGGCATAACGTAGACAGTCACCAATTCATTGCCCAATTTGGAACATCTCTGGGACCTTTAGGCTCAAGCGGCGGAGAACTTTCGATGATGTCGCACTATTCTCGATATGGTAAAAATTCGGTATGTCACTGCCCCTCCGTCTTTCACATTGCGTCTCCCAGACTCCCAGGGCTGGAAATACAAACCCTCCTTTCAAAATTTCCGTCTTTCTTCATAATCCCTCTTATAATCAAACATTGAAAACGAATAGCGTCAATTAGCTGAGTCGTTTGGTTGGTCAAAGACGGAAGAAGGATTCAGAATGCCTGGGTCTCCGCCCTCCGCGATGATATCCAAGTGGTCATCCAAATCCCCCAAACAACAGGCTACTCGAATCCGGAACAACCAACGACGGCATCGAGCTAAAGTTAAGGCTCATATAACTAGCCTTGAAGAAGAACTGGCCGAGACACGGAGACAATTGATTGCCGCCGAGCATAGCATCGGGGCGCTTACGGCTGAAGTCGAACGTTTACGGAGTGAGGCGAGAAAAAAGCCCACTATTGCCAGCGTCGCGCCCGTGAAGTATCATTCGGACTCACCTATGTCTCATACTGTCTTAGAGCCGCCCTGTTGCAGCCTTTCGCACAACCAGAGACAGCTAGGCGATTCATCATCGTATGAACGAAAGGCCAAGGCCGACCTATCGTTTGACATACCAGCTATGGCAAGCAGTACATTGACAGACAACAGCAGTCCCCTTGTAGGGTTGCACGCAGGGAACAGTAGAGGAAGGGATGATTTAAACCTTGCAGTAGCCTTTGTAACTCAGTATGACTGCCACAGCCTCCCACCACCACGGCCTGACGAATCTACCACAAATTGTGTTGCTGCATATCAAATTATTGGGCAACAGAACTTCAAAGGAGTTGACATGGAAGCTATACATCAATGGCTCAAATCGGGATACAGAAGAGCAACGAGACCTGGGGATGGATGCACAGTTGTAAATAGCCTTCTCTATAGTCTTATCAACCATCTCAGCCCGGTATAGCACAGATACACCAGCAATATGATCCACCATATGGCAATTTTTTCTCATTTAATCATTACCTACGCGAAAAAAAACTTCATTATTCTAACTCAGCCGCCAGTTGCACCCACGGGGTGGAACCCTGTCGTTCTTTTAACGCTTGTTGCGTCTGGAGAGCCACGGTGGAACCTCGATAGGACAATCGATGTACCGATCTGCCAGTAACCAACTACTGCTGAATAACATCTATTGCCATCCCTTCCCTGAGCGTTGCACGTCAGGCTACAATCCTGCTCTCCTCCCTTCTCATCACGAATTATTCATATTTATCCACTCTTAAGCTAAGTGTACCAAAGTTTGTTATGGTGCCAGCCTACATGCATCACGCGGGAAAAGAACAGTCTCGCGAATATCGGTCAAGCCCAAATATCCCTGAACAAGGCGATTCAGCCCAACTATAAGATGCGTCAGTAGGGCGAATTGGGTGATGAAAACATATCGTAAATGTCAACTTACGCCCAAAACCACCCCATGGCGGCATACCAATTTCGTGAGCCTCAGTATATGGCCGCCACCCGGGAGAATCTGGATCGATGGGATGCGCACGACTTGTGAAGGCTGATCTTAATTCTTTATAGGAGTGGAGCAGTTGGCATCCCGTCACAATTTCTTGTCCGCGCAGAATGATATCGAAAGAATTCGTCGTTGCGTCATCCCGCCCCAATGAAGAGACATTGCAAGGACGAAGGTTCTTTGGAAAATGGGTTACTATGAATACATCTGTAGGTGAGTCCAAAGGTGACTGGTTGCTCGCAAAAAATTCTCCCAGCAATGCCTCTTCCTTTCTCCTGAATCACTATTAATAATGTTCAACTTTAACAAGGGCTATTGTGATGAATACATACGTAAGGTCGTCCTCAGTGTGAACTAGCTTGCCGAGCTGATCTCGAAGAATAGCTTTAGCTTCATCAAATCGTATGCGTGGCAGCTTGCCGTTCTTATCCAAGCCCAACTTGAAACTTCCAGCAGTAGGATGCAGTCTTAGTGCAGCTGCCGTGAGTTTGGCATACCTGTCGTGTTCTTGCAAAGACTTAATAATGAATACCAAGAGACTGTCAGCAAGCTCAAGAATCTCGGACCAATCATTCTTGAGCGCAAACACGAGTTCAAGCATCGTAAACTAGACTCTTGATTAGCATTTTGTTGCGCTAGCCTGGGATGTCCTGTGCATTCAGAATTAGAGGGGTGGGTGCCGGACCTCTGTCAGATGTCTTCCATCACTCTTTGGCTCTCGACGAAACACGGTATGAATGTCGTATACACGTTCAAGATCTGCAGCGAGTGCCATCCCTAGATGTACCTCACCGGTTGGTGCCAGCATCGCTTGCCTGCCGAGATAGTCGATATAGAAGTGATCCTCCTCTTCAGCTGGGAATTCGTAGCCCACAAATGCTGGCGTCGGAATGTAGTGAAAATCGTGGGCTGCCAAGTACTCGACGGCTAACTGGTGCACTGCCGAGAAGAGTTTGAAGATTGCGGCAGTGGCTGTAACTCGAGCGTCTAAAAGTCTGTTGTCGAGCCTCTGCTCTATAAGGAGGGTCCGTTCATCCAGCGAAGGCAGAGTCTCCCCAGGTGCTCCATGCAACCTCAGGTTACCTGGCAGGTTGGCCATTGCTTCAGACAATATGGTCAGTTCAGATGCTTGAATAATAACCAAGCCCGGAGAGTTCGCATCATCGCGTGCAGTTACTACGCCCGAGATAAGGACAAGCGATTCAGGAGTCAGGCGTTGAGCGTCATCAAACATGGCAGTGTCCGCGCAATCTGTACTTCCCAGCTTGCATTTAAAGAATTGGCCATTCTTTCTTAATAGGAATGCAACTGAACCACTTTGTTCAACGCGACATGTGCTGTGGACACGGCCGGTAAAGGTGGTCTGTTCACCTTGAGCACCGCCCTTATCCGAATTGCTACTCATAGCCTGAAAGTTAATTCCTGGTACCTCGGCTGCACCCAGATCAAAATTCTGAGCGGTCATCTGAAAAGTGTTACTCTCACAACTAAACTGCGCCGAGGATTAAGACTGTCGGCGAACCTTGCCGGGGCCTAGTTCTGTAGAGGTGTGATTTGATCTGGGAAGAAAAAGAGAGGTTGTTGGACACTGGAACGAACTCTTGGAGAAAAAGTGTTATGTGCAATTTTGTTGCTTATTTTTAATGGTAGAATACTAAATGAGAGACATTCGGCCGGTTGCCCAAGCGGTTGTATTAGGCACTGCCTTGCTCTAAGTAAAGAGAGGCGTGTTGCTATGAGGTCAATCAAAACAGCGATTGATCTGTAATATAGCTGCTTCCGTCAAAAATAATCTCAACAATTGATATTATTGGCGTAATATCTTCCCCCCCTTGACTAAAAGATTTGACATATTGTTACAGAAGGAGGATTGTGGTGACGAAGGTAGCAAGGTACATTGTAACACCGAAGGAAGGATTCGAAGGATTCAAGTGTGCAAAGATCAACTGAACTAATCAAGGCGCTAGGCCTGATCACTCGAACTCGCTCACGTATTCCTGATCCCTCAGGAGCGTCAACTTGGAGAGTGCGATATCTTCCTTCGTGCATCATAAAGAGGATGCCCCCACCGACTACTGCATAAGCTCATTCCTCACCCATCGATGCCCGTAGAGTCGTCTCATGGCCCAAAGTCTAGCAGCAGTCTTCATTTTTTAACCATCATTTATTTTTTGTGAGGTTGAGTGTCGGCTATAGTGAGATCAAGGAAAACATGGCTGTAGAGGTCATCAACTATCAACGCTTGTTGGAACGAGACGACGATGAGATCAAGAGGCTGGCAGCCATTTGTTCCAATGCCGGGCTGTTCTTTCTGGATTTGAGGGGGCCAGATACTGAAATCCTACTGGCAGACCTGAAGCCAATCATTGACGCTCAGCGCAAGTTCTTTGGGCAGAAGCCTGAGATAAAGTTGCCGTACGCGAGTCCTCTCGATGGCCGAGGGTAAGATACCACGCTTCTTAATCGAAAAGGCGATTGAATTGACTGAATTGAATTTTGCATATAGATACGACAGCTTTGACGAGATTTTTGTTCAGAGGCTCAAGGTATGTCTACAACTTGGACAGAAACTACAAGTACGTTGGCTTATCTGTTATTATCCCACAGTTACCGCGCCAGGAGCAGGTTCATGGCAGCCTTTCCTTGCCCGAAGTCCTACAAGCTGTTGAGACCGAAGTCAACAACGTGTCTTCCAGAATCGATGCTATTCTTCGCGATATCTCCATGCTGTTATGCCAGACTCTGGATCCTCCTGTATCGACCAAGGTTGTGGACGATCCGAGAAACACTGGTCTGAGTAACTTGTGTCTGGGTATATCTACTGCAGAAGCTGGAACCTCGGTGATGGGTGAGCATTTGGATGAGGACCTCTTAACAATCACGTTCTACGATGAACCATTCTTGGAGGTGCTGGACAGACAAACGCAAACGTGGAAACTTGTTGACGTGCTAGAACACTTGCCCATCGTGAATGTCGGCGATAGATTCCAGGCCTTTTCCGATGGCCGGCTACATGCACCTTTGCATCGAGTCAAACAGACAGCAAACCAGATAGATCTCATCATGTATGATTTGGATGCAAGTGTACAGCAGATGTGTTGATTACCAAAGGGAGTTGATATCTATGATTGGATATCATTATGTACTTAGATGAATGGAGCTTTTTCGGAAGGTAAACTTCATGCTGAAACAACTTCAATCTGCGAAAACATCGTATACAATACTAGGTACATGTGTGTTCTGTTGAACCGATGTGCATATATTGCATATATAAAGCACATATGAACACCTGCTTTTACCACATCACAAGACCATGACATTGAAACTCAGTATTAGCCACAGTTTCATAAGCTCTACATAATCTCAGATACTATTGTGATGGTACCGTTCATGCCAGTATCTTCTCAATCTCCGCCCGTCCATGCTCGTAACCGCCAACAAAGTCACAAGACTTGACAGGATCTGCCCTGAGCTCCGCCAAACAAGCCTCGAAGCCTACCCTCTTTCGTTCAATGACTTCCCATAAATAACTTCTATCCGCTTTAGCCAGTAACGATTCGTCCGCAGCTACCAACATTTCCATGTCGAGAAATGCGCGAGCCAGACCTAGCAAGAATGCCCCGTTCTTCTGCGGTCGCATGGACCAGTTGAGTAAAGAGTAAGCAAATTTCGTGACGGCCGGTGAATCTTCATTCAATGGTCCGATAATATCGCCCAGGCACGTCGGCTCGGGAAAGTTGTGCCTACCAGCCATTTTGCATCCAAGGGCGATGAGATCTGGACGGTATCCACGACACAACTGCTCATCCATACCCGCAATTCCTGTGTTCTCCGGGCTATAACCCATCTCAGCACGGATAATTTGGAGGATCTTGGACGTCAACGTTGTAGCCGTCTGATATGGTGATACCACTATGTTCTCCAACACGCATGGGTGCACGAACCATAGCGGAATGAGAGCATCAAGTCTGATCTGCGAGACCTGCAAAGCCGGTAACGGAATGAATTCATGTGAGTTGCTGGAAGGGCATGCCTGCCGGGGAGAGAAGACTGGATGGGTAACAGCCACATCCTGCCGTGGGGGCAGAAATGAGCTTTCCAAAGTCGAGTGCCCTCCCACAATCTTCCAGTAAGCGTCTCCTGGGCAAGCATCCTTTTCCTGGAGAGAATCAATCCAGGTGCGTAGAAGTTGGACTTCACTATCAGTGAATGCACCAAACATCCTACCAGTCCAGGAGAGCTCTTTCATAAGCAGACTCTTACTGCTATTGCCTCTGTAAACCCACGGTCTCGAGTCAGCCAAAGCGTGTAGAAATCCGTATTTCCACTCGTCACCTTTCTCGTTGTCATTGAAGGGCGACGAGAACCATTCAGTTAAACTTTTTCCGCCGATGCGAGCTCGACTGGTGCAGTGGATCTTGCGTGCAAGATTTGCCTTCCTATGTAGTATCTGAATCAATTTCTCTTCATATACATCCGGCGTCTCACTGTCGTCAAGGCTTTGCGATAGCAAATATCCAGCCTGAATACGCTTCCACGCCTGCTTGCAGTCCATCAAGCCAGTCTTGCTCATGAGATCCATGAAAGCGACGATGTTGGCCAGTGCCATGCCCGAGTGTCCCGAATCGGCATTATCGATTGATATATGCAAGGCAAAGTAATACGCCGAGATGCCAACTTCTGGGAGCTCTTTGGTTGCTTTCAACCCAGTAGGCGCCAATGCCTCGAAATGTAGGTTTAGACCCAGGATCTCAGGCAGAAACTCGTTGGGGAAAAGGGAAATGAGCAATTGTCCAATTGAATTCCTCCACACTTGCTCATCGTTCAGTCCATGGCGTTCTTGGATGAAATCGATCGAGTCGCTTGCCGGGAGATCAACGCCATGCTTCCTTAGCAGATCTCTATAAATCAATACATGGTTTTTCTCAACATCTCCATCGCCTAGTTCCTCGGAAAACACCTGCCAAGCATTTTTGGTAATATATCTGAGCGCAAATGGTGTCGTGATTTTGTGAACATGACATAGCCAAGCTCCGTCGATAAAATTCAGGGGAGCAAGACGCTTCAGCCATTGGATCGCGTCCTCTTTGGTATTGAACAGCTCTCGAGGGGACCCAACTGATCTTTTCCTGACATACGACTCGAATCCATCAGAGACCTCTTGACGTTCGGCCTCGAGGAACTTGTCCAGTGCTACCGGGTCGTACTCCTTCAGGTCAAGAATGCTGCGGGTCGGTTGCTTGTATGTCGCCATTGAAAAGCCGCATTCCAAAAATTCTAGGAGCATCTCTTTAGCTGTCGATAGAACCTCAGGAAACTCTTCGAGGTTCTGTACTTTGTAGTACATCTCTTTGTATAGCGTGACTCGCTCTGCCAATTTGGCCTCGAGTCTCGATCTCTGATTTGCATCCAAGGAGATGACGCTGTTAGCCTGACCTCTGAGCCATGTACGCCATTGACGAATCAAGAGGAAGGTAAAAAAAAGGGAGAAAAAGACAGCAATCTTCATGTAAGACATGGTAAAGGATATATTATTGTTGATGATCCCAAAGACGGACTGTGTCTATGACTCGGAATTTGGGCGAGGAAAGTATCAATATATTTGCTAGTCTCAGCTTAATGACAGTTGAATATTATACAAATTTCTCATAAAATGACGAATATCTTGTCTATAAAGTAGTGAATGAATGCAGCTTATTTTTCGTCGCACCAATGCCGTAGCCTTCTGTAGAATCTCAAGACTACCTGCATCTATGGGGTCACGAGAACTCCGCTATCCACTCCGCTTGTTCTACGTAAGATTTTTGATTTAGATCCGAGAGCTTTTTTTCAATGCAATATACACATTGCTACTTTTTTCTGCGGATTGGCTGAAAACGGAAACAAACAATCCTAGGATATATTTTATGACAGCACAACGCGTCATTTTGATCCTTCAAATACATTCACAAACATGGAATTATGGTATGTCACAGCCTCCGAAGGAAGGAAGATCGGAGTTTTCCCATTCCGGTATGACGTCGAGACAAATCCCACCGAATTGCTTGCCTTACTCTGGGAATAGATACATGCCTAGGTAGGGCACGGATCGATACATCGGGGGCTGGCGCGAAGTATATGTGAACCTTGGGGGATCAATAGTGCATGTACGTCGTCCTGCTGCTAAAGGATGAAACATTTCCCCTTAATCATGTGTAACTCAACCCGTTCTTAATCCTTTACCAATCCTTCGCGCATATTAATTCCTAATTCTACAGGCATATCTCGCTCAAACATTATGATACAAAACTTGACCACCACAAAAGTGCGTCCTGGCCACATGCCCACTTCGTTATGTTGTGTGGCGGAGAAGCTACTAGCAAGACTAGGCAGGTGGAAACATGTAGAACCATTTTAGTCAAAGTGCCTGATTTCAGGTCTATTTACCGGACCATCTCTCTTAAACCCCTTCAAAGCATGCCAGGTACGCCAAAGTAAGGTAACATCACTAACTCTGCAAATGCTTCGTAGCTTCATCATGACAAAATTTTTCATGAAGCCATTCAAACTTGGCTTATCAAATAACATGTTCCAGGCTTCTGATATCGGTATATCATGCTTGAAAGAATCAGCCCCAATGACAGGCTTTCTCGAGACAATTTGTAGCAAGAGGTGAACCTATGTTATTCGATGTGTGCAACCCGGGATCGGAAACATCTGTTTGACCGTACCAGGTTCCAGCTAGGCACTGCCATTCTCAACGGCTACTATCGCTTCTACATTTGAGTACCTTTAAGGAAGATCATGAATTTTTCAGCCCCTCTCCCGACTGAGTCCTGCATACACGCGCAACCATTCTTGGAGAAGGTGGAGGGAGATTGCTGCCTATTGCCTTCCATACCCGAAGGATTGAAGGATGTGACATCGATCATGGTAGGATGGCAACTTCAGCCCAGGAAGGTCATGGTACCTAGTACACACACTCCCCGTATTAATGCTTCGAGCTGAGGTCTGGTATAACGCCATTTTGAAATAAACTAGTGGTGACTCCAAAGCGGACCATGATCGTCCGTGAAGGTTGCAGCCAGCGTGGGTCCGCCACCATTCCTGTGGCATGCGGGATATGTTATTCCAGCAAAGGATCCGTTTTTGGCTTCTTGACAGCCAGGCTTGGATACTTGGCAAATGATCCTGCGAACTATACAGGTACCTACCCGTATAATAGATCCGGTTTTCAGCTAGGCTTCGAGTGCTAAGGGACCTTCAAATACAAACGAATTGGAAAAAGGAGACACTCAGCATCATTATTAACTAAGATACCGGGAAAAGAAATATATTGTTAGTAGAGCAAACTTAAAATATATATGGTGCAGTTATATACCTATTTACACTAATCATTATAATGCGACTTGGGCGTTAGAGCACAAGGTGCTGACAGGGCTGACAAGGATTCTTGGTGGCCAAACGGGCCAATCGCGCATCTTGCATGAGTACTCAGTAGTGACAGTAGGAATGGACTTGACGGTATAATCACTATTGAGCACAATCATGGGCAATTATAAGCGGGTGCGGAACAGATCAAGGATCTAACCTGCTCGGGCCAGATGCTTTACCCCCCCAACCAACAGCAAAGTGACATCCTCCCCCAACAGCGGTCAGGAACAAATTATTGACTCATATTTCACATCACAGCCTCAGGAGTTCCAACGAATCGCATCACTTTTGTTGCACATACTTGCAAAATGGCAACCCAAGTACTTACAGAGCCGCAATCGGTAGAGCTCCAGCCTGCGAAAGCCAGTGACCACCATGGATCAGCACCAGCTGAAGCATTGTCTGATGCGTCAATGGACTCTTCGCCCGCTACTACACCAGTAGAGGACAGCAAAACGGCCACCATCCACTCGAAATTCCGAGCTACTCTCGTTATTGCTCAGTTATTGGGCTTGAACCTCTTTAGCAGCTTCTGCAATGGTGTCGTCGTTGTCGGCCTACCAGCTATGGCGGCCTCCTTGCATATCAACGAGGGACTGCTTGTCTGGCCTACCTCAGTCTTTTACCTAACTGCAGGCTCATGTCTGTTGCTGGCTGGCTCCATCGCCGACGTAGTCGGCACCAAGACTATGAGCTTGATAGGGGCCTTCACTGCTGCCCTCTCTACCATGGCCTGCGGTTTGGCCCAAAATAGTGACCAATTAATAGCCTTTCGCGCATTACAGGGCATCACGAACGCCATCATCGTTCCTTCGTCCGTCTCCATCATCTCGACTAGCTTAGAGGAGGGAAGGCCGCGCAACCTAGGTTTTGCGTGCTTGGGCTTCGCTGGCCCGATCGGATTCTCTCTTGGCCTAGTCCTTGGTGGTGTCTTCACTGATAGCACTGGCTGGAGGTCCGCATTCTATCTCGCCGCAGCCGCCACTTTCGCTTTATTTTTGGCCGGCATTTGGGCGTTGCCAAAGGATGCTGTCCGTCCAAGAAAGTCGGTTTGGTCGAGGATTCTAACGGAAATCGACATCATTGGGGCATTCATCGGGACTGCAAGTTTGGTGATGCTGTCCTATGTTCTAGCGTAAGGACCCCCCTCCAGTCTACCATTTCTCGGCGTAGCTAATACATGGAGGGCTTCAGAGTCTTGTCTGCCGACATCCATAGTATACACAAGGCATCTACCATTGTCCTTCTGGTCGTCAGTGCCATCTTGATCCCTGTGTTCGTAGGATGGATGCAATACCAGGAAAAGCACCAGCGCAATGCACTTATTCCCAATTCGCTGTGGAAAAACTGGGTGTTCACCAGTTGTTGCCTGATGGTTCTACTCACCACAGCTGTGTGCAATTGTATGGAGTTGTATAGCAGTCTCTTGTAAGTCGTCGGTCTCTGACAACGGTCCTCCTAGGGATTTGAGTTAATCTTGCCTCCAGCTTCCAGCAAGTACAACGTCGATCGGCGCTGCATGCTTCACTGCAGATTCTCCCGTCTCTTATATCAGGAGCATTAACTAACATATCGACCGGCATATTTGTAAATCGTATGCCAGTCATGTGGTCTGTACTCATCTCCTCGACGATTAGCGCAGTCGCGCCACTTCTCATGGCCCTGATCAATCCCGACTGGCCTTATTGGTACGATGCTTTTTTCGCCCAGGTGAGTGATGCATAATACACTTCATAGATACCTTTCGCATCTGCAAACGCCTTGTAATAATACTGACTCGTCGTTGACTACATGCAGATCCTAACTCCATTGAGCTGCGATATCCTCTTCACAGTTGGCCTCCTCGTCGTGTCAGACGTTTTCCCCACACACATGCAGGCTTTGAGCGGAGCAGTCTTCAACACTTGCGCACAGCTTGGTACTGCCATTGGCCTAACCGTTACCTCGCTCATCGCGACCTCTGTAACCAATGCATTTCCTGATGCTGATAAAGCCTCACCCGGTGCCCTTATGGTTGGGTATCGTGCCGTCTTCTGGACCATGTTCGCCGCCATGGCCTTGGTCTCCGTGCTAAGTGTGCTTGGATTACGAACAGTAAAACAATTAGGGGTTAAGAGAGATTGAGTCGTTGTAGGCAGGCCTGGAAAGCAACATGAAGCCAGGAAGGCTTAACAAAAGAAGTCGACTCTACTATAGTAGCTTTCAGTCCACTAACATGCCTGCTACAGTATTCTTCAATCTCACTGACACATGCCAGACGCCAAGGGTACAATAGCTCATGGTTGAGGACTTAAAACCCGATCGAGAGCCGATATGCAGGAATCCTGATACATAGTGTATTGATAGTGACTCCTTGCCTTGATCAGGCTGCTCCATATTCGTATATGTCAATTTGCAAAGAGACTTTTGGCTAGATAAGCCCCGAAAGATGTATGTTTCCTGCGTATATATCCATCTCAGGACCAAAGGGGTTGGCATTGACGGGCCAAACGGCATATCTGATAATTCACTTTGGTAACCTAGGTTATATTCAGATCTGGAAAGAATGCTTGCCTGACTTAGCCTTGTTAAAATTGATTACTTACTGCAAGCCTCTAGTTTAAAAATCTACTAATGTCTGTAATTCAATAATTAGTCGAATCGTCATGTATAGAATCGACATGGATCACGTTCAATGGTACTCCCGCAGCCGCTGCAAATGAAGGATTAATGAGATTCGTATATCTTGAGAATATAATAACCTGATCAGGTAAATCACTATGAGTTGTTAAGTCACCATGTCTATTTAATACCAATTGCCTCCATTATCGCGTACATACGATCATAGGTAGTGGAAAATATAAATCTAGGGCTTAGATGTTCATCTCTTAGGAACAGCTAATCTATACTAAGATATAGGACCCGGTTCGTCACACCTGGTATTTAAACTTATGAAACGCACTCCGTAGAGAATCACAGTTTGCTTGAGAGAGAGTAGAGACATATTCAGAAGAATAAAAATAAGAGCTCAAAGGCTCTAGAATCGGAAGGAAAGACAGTTGTTTGGTAAAAGACTACTTACAAGCCCTAGTCTATAGTACTTAGTTGCCCTATCAAAGTCCCTTCCGGTCTTTTCTCTCCAACACACCACCCTGACCAAAGCTTTGGTTTATCTAACAAGTACAGAGAATCTTAAAAGACTTCATGCTCTTGTTGTTTCTGGTCTGGCAATCACCAGCATTGACCGTCCTTACACCAGAAATTATACTACATCCAGCATCGGCGAAAGTAGTAATTTGGGGGCAACCACAGTTGTTTATGATGCCGATCGCAATTGAGTACATATCTTGATGAACGTTGCACTGTCCTGGCGAAACAGGGTTCCAGGTGTATCCATCAACTTGGCCATCTCCGCCGCAGTTTGGAGAATAGAAGTAACCCTTCACGCCAGACCAACCGCCGCGAGCTTCAAGCTCAGAAGTTCTACTAAATAAGCTTTTGTTTATAACATTCGAAAACTTGGATAAATCATACTCCACTGGCGTTCTGGAAAAGTGTTATTAGTTTTCAGTTGTACATAAAGATTGAGAAACCTTACGGCGAGGACAAGATGCCGGCTGGGAGAATTCCAGCTACGGCCAACATAATAATCGATTTTGAAAGCATGGTGAAATAGTAGACAAAGATTTCAAATCTGGGGATATATGGTTTCGTGGAATGATCAGATATGGTCAAACTTCTGGCACATTTTGAGGATATTTATACTTCTGATCTCTCGTTTGTTCCAAGACACATATACATAAACAGATTCTCTATTATAAACTACCCTTCTGCCTCGGAGATAATTCTTTACCCTTACACATACATTTTTCGTTTATTACTTACTTAGACAAGTCTCATGCATTCCAAACCCAATCTGTTATGGCTAATATTACAGTCTAGTTAAGTCAACATACTAGGTGAGATACCAGGATACCGCGTATTCTCACTAGTTTAGTCTATTTTGTGTGTACTAACTCCGGGATGGAACAGATTGTACACGTAGCATCCTCTGAACTCGGAACCTCCGTGGAGATCTATTGTGTTTTTAATATAGCAATTAAAGGACATGTGGTATTTCAAATGGAAATCGGTATATACAGTGACTATCTGTAAATAGAGGCATGCAATTTTACTAATACTTTTGTATACTCTTGTTCTTTTCTTTCTACGTGTATTTTACATTCCCCTCGGCGGCAGTTATTTACGCAATCTCTCCTTAAGTCTAATGTTTTAACCAGCGCCCCGCGACTAAGAATTACAGTAACATTGCGGAATATTCCGTAAGATAACCTTAAATACACTAACTTTAATAGTTAGGTTATTGCAATCCTGGACATTGTCCTTATCCACATACCATCATCGTATTACTACTAGCCCACTAACCCATGCCTTCATCGTCTTACTGCTTGCCCATTATCTGATGCTTCCATCATATTACTGCTCGCCTATTATCCCATGCTTTCATCGTATTACTACTAGTCAATATTTCCTTCGGCTTTGGATCGGAATCCGAGCGAGTATCAATTACAATCCGGCCCTAGGCTCCACAGGCTGATACCCTCTACAAGAGTTAGATTTATTCATCCGTAATTGCTTATATGAGGAGCAGCTTGCTTGTTTTCGCAATTATAAATAGTTCCGCACTCTCTTTGCATTTGAGGCAGCAAAATCAAAGACTCAAGAAAATCAACTACGACCTAACGTTGAAAGCTTTATTTGTTTTATTTTACCACCTCCAATATGAAGTTTTTTACTGCTATTATACCTATCCTCTTGGCCGCTGTGCCTGCTGTCTCTGCGGGGGATGGCACTTGCTGCAGCACTTGCTGGGATGGGTGGTATAGTTGCATAAGTTACTGGGAGGGCCAGGGTTATGCTCAGTACCTCGCCGAGAGGATTTGCACAGGAAATTCTGTATGTACCCTGTATTAAAGTGGATAGGAAAACTTACTGATGTTATCTCATCAATTAAACAGCAGGGCTGTTTCTCCCAGTGCAACAACAGTTGCTAGTTATGGATCAATCCCTCAAAAACCATGGAAGTGTCTATCTTAAGAGAGAAATAGGATAATCATAGACAGTCAAGTGTATATATTTTCTTTACTCTTAGCCAATATCCGCTACTATTAAGCAGTGGATATATACAGTGCCTCTTTATAGGTATCTTCTCAGCATCCTCACTAGCCCTGCATCTGGTATTTCTCTATTTGCCACGATCCAGGCGCTTTATAGCTACTCGGAAAAACGCAAATCACAACCAGCCGCTGTAGCTTATAGTGGATTTAGTGGATAGAACGCTCTACGTATACTCCGTATGTTACTTAATGATTGATTGCACGATTATTGATTAATGGAATTAATCAAATATCACAGGAAAAGCGCGCCGGAAATGGGAATTAAACAAAGATCAGTCAAATGCTTTTTATTAATCTAGACCACTAAACTATCTATCTATTGCAAGAAGTGCTGTCATTCCTGCTTTTTCGCTTTATCAATCAGATCAATCGCGCGCTGTGCTGCGAGCTACAGTGCTGTATGCCGCGAGCTATAGCGCTGTGCCCGCTAAAAGCCCCTATAAGGAAAATGCTGCATTCTACCTATCAATCAGCTCACTTTTCAAATGATTTCAATATCTCAAACGATTTCATTTCCTAAAATAGATGCTTCAGGATAAGTAGCTTACTACTACAGAAGGGTTTAGGGCATTTGTCAACTATTTCAGGGCATTTCCCAACGATTTTGTCCCAGCTAATGGTTAGAAGGCCGACCGATTTCCCACTACTGTAGCTTGTGACACAGGCCACTACGGTTCAAATAGGATTTCGTTACGGTACAAATAGGAGGAGTCTCAAGATTTACGTATGGGAGGCTTCTCTATAATTGCTGTGAAATAGATTTTCAGCAGGCAGTTGTCGATGATGGTTGGACCGTTAACGTTGGAGCGGAAATCCGGTGATGGAGAAGCAAGGCATTGTTTGCGAAATGAGATCATCAGTCAGCAAAAAGGTTTGCGTTCCTCACCAACTCTTGTGATAGGTTCTTTCTTTCTGTGCAAATGCCTCTTTGGGCATTCAGGCACCCACAAACCGGAAGTTTACCTGCTTGTAGGTTTCTACTACTTCTAGTTCTTACAAAAGGCGTGTAACGCTCACCTTAAAGTTGTTTAGTCGGGTTTTAAACCTTAGTTCGTCAAGTGTTGCCGATTCCTTGCCACTCATAGTGTTTCGTGATACAGTCAGATCAGAGAGGGAAGCTACATGTACGTTTAAGCGGACTTGTGGTGGAAAGAATACACCTCCAGTCTAGCACTATAATTGGTATGGGAAATGGCACCGTTGTTTTCTGTCTACCCCTAGGGAGCCTCATAAGCGGGGGGTGCTGTTCCATTGATTTAAAGAGTAGGCAAGAGCGCACAATCGTGGTCGATTACCACTGCTCTTCATGCTTATATTTAACTGCTATCCAACTGCCATAGCATATTGACCCTCACGTCTTGATTATCAATATAACCTCTATATTTAATTGCAAATCTTCCAAGGCCCTGACTACCTGAGCCATTGAAAATGGGCGCCAATGGTTCAAAACCAGTCGATCGTAGCCGGAGAGTCAAGGTCATTGGCGCCGGTTATCCTCGAACGGGCACAACCACACTCGTCCTTGCTTGTGAGAAGCTGCTCAACGGCCAGGGCCTCCATGGAGGGTCCCATGGGCTAGCTCGTGAAGACGAGTATAACAGGAAATGTTACGAGCTCTACAAGTATCGACACGACAAGCCCCGCGTGCTACAACTGTTGAAAGAGCTTACAGAGGGGTTTGTTGTTACAAGCGACATTCCCTTTTTCAGTTTCGTGCCTGAACTGTGCGAGTTGTATCCCGATGCGCAGGTGGTTTATGTAAAGAGAGATCCAAAAACCTGGTGGAGGAGTATGGGGGCTGTCGCGAGTAATGCACAGACCAAATTTTTATCTATGCTATTCTGGCCAGTTCCTGGTTGGAGATGGAGCATAGGCGTTATCGACGGCATGGCTGCGATGTACGACTGAGTTCTAGGTATTCACAGACATGGGTATTGAGAGTGCTAACTTATTATAGGGAACGAGAGTCCTACAATCCAACCCCTGGCAAGATCCCAAACCCCGGTAAGACTGCAACATTAGCTTTCTTTCGAACACAAAGAGTTTATACTGACAACGACTTAGAATCAATGGAACGCCATATGCAATCAGTAATTGACAGTGTCCCCAAGGATCGACTTCATATTGTACGACTGGAGGACGGATGGGCGCCATTATGCAAGATTCTCGACTGCCCTATCCCAAACGAGCCGTTCCCTAAAGCTAATGATGCCGAAAACGCTGAACAAATATTTCTGAACATGGTAAAACGCTCCCTCACCATCTGGCTGTACTACGTCTTGGCAGGGACTTGTTTGGCAGGCAGCGGTTGGTGGCTTTGGAAGAATTTTGGTCACCGAGTATGAACCACTTCAAGCTTTGGGTCGTTGTATTGCGAGCTGGAATATGAATTTGAGTTAGCAGTGTCCTAGCACATACTACCATAGGTAGTGGAGAATTCGGGGTCCCGTTAAGCACTTCTCTTAAGTGTGATGCCTTCCATTTTTTGCCTCCCGAGACTCCAGATTAGGATCACATGGTTCCGTTTTTGGAGGACAATGAACCCCGCGCTAAGAAATTTATCACTATTAAGTCACCTAATCCAACTTAAAAAACGGTGATTACACCGACCGTTTTACACACGGCGGCGACATCGGTGGTATTGGATTCGTGCCTACTGACATTTACGGGCATGGCAAGCTAAGACTATAATGATTAGCTGCTAGGAGGAGCACAGAGTGTTGAGTATGCCTATAATATATGTAACCTTATAAACATATAAATAAGCGTACTATACTAAGTCCCAATGTGCTGGGCAAAGCCTCTATCATCATAAGATTAAAACTTGCATAATATGTAGATTATTATACTTGTATCTTTACTAATATTAAGATTGGGCCAGGCGTAGGGCAGGTATAACGCATGACATGTGCGCAAAAGCACTTATCTAAAAAGGACCTGTGTCCCCTGCACAGCAGCGGATGTATTCGAGAAACCCGTTCCAAAGTAATTGCCTTTTAACCTTAGTCTTTTCCTGCAGAACAAAGTAAAGTTACACATTAGATCACAGTGGGTTTTCTATTTTCGGAAGTTTTCATTTACGTCTGCATAAAGTCAGAGATAGATCTTGGCATAAACCCAAGGAAAATATTTACCTTCGCTCTAGACGGCACAGAAGAAGGGAATGTAAGCAGGATCCAGAGTCCTGTAAATGAAAGGCATATTCTGACTCAATCCCTGGCTGTCGAACGCACGGCTGCGGATCTGTTGGCTGAGCTTTTGCATACTGTCCAGCAAGGCCTTAGAAGCACGTTTTGTGTCCTGGTTTAAACGCTGCACAGTAGTGGCATCAAAAGCATCCTTAAGTGTCCGTCCGTCGCTGCCATAGAATGGGCGATTAAACGAAGCCATAAATCCTAGGTAATGAACAGCGGTGGCAGGGTCTGGCAGATACGGCATGAGGTCTTTGACGCCCTTCTCCTTCGGGATAGCAGTGTAAATGGCGGGAATGTGGAATGGCAGGGCACCGGAGGCGATAGGAGCGCCCCCGTTGACGCTGTGGTGCGAGACTGAGGTAGCATATGCGAAGTGGGTGAGGACATCGATGAGAACTTTCTTGCTTAGATTCTTCTCCTGGGGAAAGTCCTGAGCCTTGGCCATTGTGCTGGCCTCGTTGAACCAGTTGTGAACCTCAAAGTCGCCAGAGAGGTCATTCTCGCTTTTATAGTACGAGTTGACAAAAGATTTGAAGAAGATGTGGTAGTTGTCACGGATGCGCTTGGCGTCGTCGTAGAAGGGGAAAGAGTTAAAGACGGATTTTCCATTAGCATCAATCAGACCACGGGCTCTCAAGTTGTTTTCCAGATATCCGCTCTGGTACCGACCGTCAACGGGCCAGCTGTCAGTAACAAATTGACGGCAGCCAAACTGATTAAAAACCATGAGCTGATCCCAGTGGCCGCCAGGGTTGAAGCAAAGCTCTTCTCCAACGATACGAGAAGAATAGGCTTGCACCATGAGGCGCTCGAGAAGAATCATTATGGGGTGGTTCTCACTGAGAGTGTGAAGAGCAGCTTGGTGAACAGATTCGGTGACGTCGTGCGACACAACAAGGTGCAGCATTTGCGCGTGGAACATGTCATTGGCGTTAAACATCATCTTTGCCAGTAACCAGTCATTAGCGGAGTCGAGAGGAGTGTAAATCAGGTCGGCGTCAACATTGGTGCGAATGGCCAAAGGCAAAAAGTTGCCAGACTCTGGGTCGATGTAGAAGTAGGCGCTGCAAGCGACGGGGAAACGCTTGACGACAGTAGCAACGTCGTACTTGGCCTGATAGGAGTGGTCGACAATGAAAAGGCGGTTGCTAGCCTGAAGAGACTCAAGCGTATTTCCAGAACCGACAATCTTACTCGTTATGACATCGTCTAATGGAAAAGGAAGGGGCTCGTGGGCCATAACGCGACGGACGGCATGGGGATGCTCGCTCAGGCGTTCCATGGAGAAAAGTAGATCTTGGGTCGCATTGGAAATGATACCGGGAGCGGTACCTCGAGGGTTTGTATTATTGAGCTGGCCATCATAGAGAATTTTTTCGTAGTCTTGCCAACTGTTGAGGCCGCCGTTCTGCAATGTGAAGTTAGTACTTAATTCCATCTTCCAGTATGATGAAAGTGTGGCCGTTACGGTTTGAATAGCTCCTTGGAGAGACTGGACGTCGAGAGCAATCAGCTCATCAATGATGGCACGGTCCTGGCTCCATGCATCGTAGTCGGCCTGGGTACGAGCATTGCCAAGTGTGCCATTAGGGAAGGGGGCGGCCTCGCCGGTGAGGGACGGGCCGTAGATGAAGCCGTTACGACGAGCAGAGACAGCAGCGGCACGAGCTTTGGGGTTGGGATCAAGCTGAGGGATGCAAGCTGGGTTGGTTGTGGGAGCAGCCAAAGCAGAGCCGAAAAGGACCACAGCAGCAGCGACGCAATTGGTAGATCGCATGTTGAAAGTGAAACTGAAGATAGTAATTGACAAGCTATGATGGTGGTACTTTTAACAGTCAAGTTTGGTAGCGACGAGGCTCTTTTATAGAGAAATGATACCATTACCATAGATCTGCAGAATTTGGCACTCCACTCAATTGTATAAATACGACCCTGCATTTGAGAGTATGCTTAAAATGCTACAGTACTCCGTACAAACATGCCTGCTAACCAAGGCTCGTGTCAGCAACCTTCCAAAAAGAGGTCTGAGGTCGGAAATTTATTTCAAGCCAGGGTTTCTTTATATCGGCTTGCTTAGCCTCGGCATTTCTATAACTGTTGGCATTTCTTAGAGTCTAAGAAGCGCACTCCTAGCGAGCATCTAAAATTTCTCACGTCAGCTGCGGCCCCTGTATTACCCATGTTGAGCCGGCCTACCATATTGGACCTGTCTAGGTCGTAACTCATTTCTCAAGGCTGTGATGCAACTCGCCTGAAAAAGCAGAAATGGATCAAGGTTAGAGCAGCGCTCGAGGACCTGATTCCAGTCCAGTTTGCGGATCCGGCCGAGATTCTGAGCTCGTTCTTTGCTGCGAGTGCAGCCTCATTATACCCGAGGACAACGAGGTTATTTATGATCAGAGACCACTACGCCAACAGCTGCTGATAGGAAGCCGGAGACTGGACTGGAGACAGTCGCCACCAGTCCAGTTGAGACTCATTCGGTTTTGGACTGGTTCAGTTTCTCAACGAAACTTTTGATACGAACGGAACATTTGTTCATGGTATCCAGATTTGGCTTAGATGCCGTTTTGGGGCTTCAAAGGCGGCACAGGAACCACATCTCTCAACTCCAGATATAATCCACATTGCTCACCAGTCTAAGCACATACGACCATAGGTAGTGGAGAATTCGGGGTCCCGTCTGCTCCCCCATAGACAAGCCACTAACCGGCAGATTAGTAGTCAAGTGGGTGACCATTGGCGAACACCGGCTGTTGTATGTTTTTCTTTTTTTTGCTTTTGGCGATATCTTTTCTGCTCTTCTCTTTTAATTGTCTGAGGTTGTGGTTGTGGTTGGTATGCATGGGGCTACTGTAAGCACTGCCTAAATAAGCGTAGCGCCATGGGAAGAGTAGCTGTAAGCCTGTATATGGCTTGGACCGTGAGACAGTAGATTCAACAACTTTCATTCTCTGACTGGATATAGAAAGTTCAATAAAATACAATAAAACAAACATTTGATACTTCAGTCAGGCATTCCAATAGTATCGATCTAATGCAGGACAAATAAGCCCGTTGAAGCTCAGCTATAATACAGAAACGATTTTGACAACTCCGAGAGCCGAACAATCTTATTGGTGAACTTATACGGCCACGCATTTGTCTATGCACATATGATATGGCACCCTATAAGGCCAAAAAGAGTGAAAACGACATGAGTGCGGCACTCGACTTTAATTTGGAGGGAAAAGATGGCCCTTTACTAGCATGTATCGATTCATTCACCTTTGCGAGGAAACTGACACCGCGGCTCGTAACATCGATCGGATCTACGTAATAACTCTGACAGGGAACTTGGCAGCGTTGAAGCTACAAAAGGAGAATAGCGTGTAAGACAAAGGCTTACTCTGAGAGCACTTCCCTATCTATACAGTGTCGACATTGCTATCATCCATCTTGCACCGCTTGCAGTTTGTGTGTGCTCTAGCACATCGCCTCCGGTCACCATCTTTAACCATTTCCGTGGGTATAATGTCGCGCATATATGAAAGACCTATCGGGTATGTACAACTATGAAGCCGACAATGGATGATAAGCGACAGTCGATTACCGGATCATGGCAGCATGAAGCAAGGGGATAACTTTGATATGGCTCGTCTAGAGGTGAGATGCGGAAGGACCTTGTCATGGTGCCTTTGGAGATGCCAGTATTATTGGCATCGTGAGTCTGGCGAGCATTTGGTGACAGAAAAAGTATGGACGAGTTCCCCCATTCAGCTTTGTGCGGGCATTCCAATTTGATGCTATCATAGCTACATCCATGCCACAAACAGTATGCATGATAATACACACATGCTATCAGAGTCAGAAGCTTACAAGAAGCAACATCTGACAGTCCGAAAATCGGTATGTAGATGATACTGAGAGATCTGGGAACGAAACTGCCAGAAAGCCCTTGCATGTCGCGAGTTCAATGCTATTACCACGTAGGAGAGATGAGATAATCCTTCCAACGAGCTGTTCCAGCCTCCGTGAATGTATCAATGGCGCCTTGTACCCCTTGTGGCCCAACAGACCATATGCCTTGATCAACGAGTTTGCACCAGCAGTCGAACAAACGCTCCAGCCGCTGAGGACGGTAATAGTCACCACCAAAAGGTTTGTATCCATGCTGGAACAGATCTGCCAATCTGTCCCTAGCAATTAACGACCCGTCGCTTTTCCGCGCGCCCTCAGCTGCATCCCAATCACTCTTGAAGCTGTACGGCAGTAGTAACCAAAATCCCTCCTCGGCATAGTCATGGCATGCATCCCTATCGACGGACTGGCTGTAGACACCGGCGCCCACTCGGGACGGCACGGGTGAATCGGCAGTGGTTGCACGGAAGTCATTGCAAAAGGGGTTTGATGATAGCGTCAGGACAACCTCAGGCTCGCCTTCTGCAGCAGGAAAGAGACATACTGGTGGTATGGTGTGATGGGCACGAGGCAATCCAGTGAAGGGCTGGACTGCCACGAACCCAGCCGCGTCTGAAGGTGGTAGAACAAGACCTGGAGCAATGCTGTGGAAAAGAGGCCGACGTGCGTGCGTCAGAAAAGAGCGCGCAAAGCAGGGATTGGGCAATGAAGCTGCATCCAAGATTTCAGGATCGAGCAGTGGTTCTGGATTGACAGCATTAGTGGCGGCGGTGCTGTTGTTGTTACTACCGCTAACTAGTGATATACGTGTCTCGATGGCCTCGCACAGTCGATCCCACGCGTCGATACAAGCTGCAACTTGGGCTTCGCTATACGGCCGCCACTCCCATGGCCCGATCTTTTCGCTGCCATACAGGCCCGGGGTATCTCTAGGTGAAGCCGTAACCTGGGCCTTGCCGAGATGAATCAACTGGATCCAGTTGGAGAGCACGGTCTCGAGAGGGTGCCACAGCTCTCGATGCGCCTCAACAGGCAGCACATAGTCGTAGTCGTCCATATGCATCAAGACAGCAGCAAGATGATAACCTTGATGGTAGAGCAGGCCGCCACCTCCTTCTCCGCCCTGGCCAATGTTAGGATAATACAAGCAGATCAGGCTGTCGACTGGCTCGTCGAACAGGTCGGCCGCTTCTCGGGCAAAAAATTCGCCAGGCTCACAGAATCCGGCAACGAAATAGAAGAATGGAGCTGGATCAAGATCATCAAGCCCATCAGGAGGCAATAGAGCAGCGTGAAGAAAAGCTGCCAATGAGGGGTCGAGTCGTTCGCGAAGAGCCTCCGCCGCAGCTCCGTAGGTGGTGAAGAATGTCTTATTGTTGCCATTCAGACTAGCGAGCGAGCCTCCTTCAGCGGTCCAAGCGTAGCGAACCAGGTAATTGTGTAGAGCGACACATCGTCTGTGATCCAGACCCAGAAAATCACCGCGCGCTGGATTATCCGCTGTGACAAGTAGGGTGCTCACGTCTGCAAATTGCGAATCGTCCATGGATTGCCTAATACCAGCATCGAAGACAGTTGTGATTAGCGATATTTTCAGGTGTTTGGTTCCATGCCATGCTTTGTGAGACTCACTCTTCAAAGCTTAGACGAGATCACGAATCACGACTGGGACATTCTATCTCTGCCAGATACATGAATCTACAGCCTAAAGTTCAAAGCCGCCAAAAGGGGTAATAGTTCACGCTTTAGAACATGCCAGCCAATCACGCACCGATACTCCTTACACTACAACGTCCTTCATAGAAACCCGCCCTTCTTTATTCACATACATAAAGCACATTTTTAAATGACAGCTGAAGCTCCCAGAAGCTTCCGCCTCTTATCCTTTGCTTTTTTAGACAAACAATATCAAGGCATTATGGATAAAAAACAGGCTGGCTTGGCTAGTATTGTTACTCACGCAGTAGGTCTGTTGTTGCCTTATTAATAAATTCCAACCAATAGCAATCGTGTGAGCTCCAGATAAACTCCAGAAGAATGGATATCCACCATTTAGTGCAAGCAAGACATCATCGTCAAGGCGCAAAATAAAGCAAGAATAACAATATTTGCAAATTTATGGCATCCCGCTTAATTCAGACTGACTTACAAGAAGCGCTGCTGTAAATGCTGTCCTTGAGTTGACCCTCTCAAGATTTCCCAAAATTGTTCCTTATAAGTTAAATTCATCGTGAAAACCATCACATACGACCATAGGTAGTGGAAAATTCGGGGTCCTGTCAAGCACTTCTCTTGAGTGTATTATCTTCCAACCGTTTAGTCTCCCGCCTATTATTAAACGGAGCTGTCACCTTAGTTGTTCAGCTAGTAGGTTGCCTGATATCGACATTGTCCGCATTGTTAGAAGTGTGTGTCCTAGGGGTATGTAAGAACTAGCTGCTATAAGATATGTATATAATATATAATAGTATAATTGGCTAATTCTACAATGTGCTGAGTCTTATAAATAAATTATATTATAGATATTTAACACTTCTCCCTAAACTAATTATTAAAAGCTAAACACTTATCATAAGTGCAATATTTTTTTCCTTCATGTTTATATCCCAAGACTCCAAAGCCAGAGCTATAGGATTCCAACTAAACCATGAAATTTTCCAACTCTAGCCTAATACCGAAGAGCTATTTTGCTAATTGCTATGCGATTCAAGATAATCCAGATCGATCCAAATTGGTTCCCCTTCCTCTGTCTCTTCCAACTTTAAATAAAACAAGGTACCCACAACAGCAGCCAGGAACATAGCTGTGAAAATAAATAGCATAATTTTAACCGAGACCCCAAATATTAGGCCAGCTATAAAGGTACCTATGCTTTGCATTGCGCCAATATTTGCATATAATATGCCAATGTGATGGCCCCCAGACAGAAGGCCAAGGAGGCTATACATAGCTGGGTTATAGCCACATCCAAGAGCATAGACGTAGATAGCTGCGACTGTTAACTGGGCTTGTTTTGTAATTACTATCCCCAAAGATCCGGCCACAAGAGCTATAATACTAGCCCGTGAGATAAGTACATCCTTTCTCAGCGGGCTAAAGCGTAGTTTCTTGACCAGGAAGCGGCTAGTCAGCGGTAGTATTATAGTTAACCAAACGACCTTTAAAATATTAGACCAAAATATCGACATAAATATCTATATTAGGTGGTCAGCGATGGAAGATACTTGTAAAATATATAAACTAACTGGTATATCTGCGGAGCTGGGTTGCTGTAAAGATTGCTGGGTAACGAGGAGCGGTACATTGCTGCCCATCGTAGTGAATGCACAGAATACTATAAGCATGCCTAGCTGCTTATTCTCGGTAAAAGCACGATGGGTTAACCCGGCCACTGACGTTAGGAACGGCGTGAGTTGAAAGTTAGAAGACGAAGGGATTCGTGTCTCGGATGCCATCATTAGGCCACCACTCCTGAGGTCTGGTACGCGAGTCTCTGGCAAGGAGAGCGTGATCAAGAACGACACAACTAGGCACCCAAACCCGGCGTATATGGAAATCCAGCTGTTTGCGTATGTAAGAGCCAGCAATACCGGGTAGGAGAGCAGTTCACTCGATATTGCAGCACCCGTAAGATAAAAGAACGTAGTTGACCAGCCAAGGATGTTAATAATTTGCGCGAAAAGTAAATGAGGAAAATATTTTCACCTTACCTTTGCGTATCCAGACTGATATCACTTGCTATGGTGAATATCATGGCCGAAATAACGGTGCTACCACCTCCTAAGAGAGCCCAAAGTCCCTTCAACGCCATCAAGTGGATTGGGAACGTTTCTGGGAAACGACCTGCGGTGTGATAAGGTCAGTCAGTCAGTCAGTTAAACGTATTCGAATATATCGTGATTTATATCTACGCACAAATAACCGCGTCAAATGTCTGCGCCAAGATGGTACCTGTAATGGCCAACTGGAGTGTTCGTTTACGTCCATATATATCAGCCGCCATACCAAACGGCGCAGCAGTTAAGAGATTCATGATACTTTCGAAAGCGGCTATCCAGCTTCGAAGCAGGGACAATTCGCCTTGTCCACACGTGGAGTTGTCTAAAGCATTTTTGTCGTTCATGTTGGGCTTGTGACATAAAATCTCTTCTTGTATCTGGTTTATTGGTCTCATGATGAGTGTCTTTCCAATACACACAAATGCGAGCAACAGAAGACATCGAACAATGATACCCAGACGCGATATAGGAGCATTGCTAACCGCAGGCTCTCTTGCATTGTCGACATGATGAGTTGTTTGTAGAAGGGGGTCTTGCTCCCCATCCTGACTGGAAGCCATGAAAACGAATCGAGGAGGGTGTTGTGTTGAGAATAAGATATTGGGAATGAAATGACATCCAAAAGTCGGGCCTGGGAGGACTCGAACAACATGAAGATTAAAATCATGGGAGTCCAAGGGTGGCACGGCATGATTTTGAGTTCTTTTATTTGCGCAGATTTAAAAAAAAATCCCGTTCGCACAGATACGGCCCGTGCCCGCGCTGCTTACGGCACCTGCTGGCAGCCAACACCCAATTACCTGTACAGTACAATCATCTAACGTATTACGTAGTTATTAAAAGACATTGTAAAAACACCGAGTTTGCAATCGCAAGGAGGAAGGAGGGTATTTACGGCACGGCTTGCATCGATTGTTGCTGCCGTTAATAAGGCTGAGGACAAGGACGAGGACGAGGCCGAGGACTGCATTAACCTTATCTAATAAGCTAGCCAACTTATAAGGCTTTATGTGATTAAATTAGAGATTGATGGGGTTGATATATTTTGATGAGTTCAGAAACTGGGTTTGCAGCAGGAAACGGAAATGTTACGATACCCAATGCAACCACAGAACTCGTGACATCCATCAGTTTTTGCGTGTAGTATTTCAACTTGCACAAATGCGAAACACTGAGTTACTACCGCCAACTCAGTAAGCTTGTTGAAAGTTCCCTTAATGATCCCGGCATATATCCAGAGAGAATCACTGTCGCCAGTTATATATGGAAACCTATGAACAAGGATTGGATATGTAGGGAGAAATCCACTAATCCAGTAATCCAGTTGAGAAGGATGAATCTTTATTGGAAAACAGAGTATCAACACGACCCTGAAACAAACACAACCAGATTCAACATGAGGTGTCATATTCCTAATTTGTTCACCGTCCAAGATACAAGCGCTCGAATGCGAAGATAGCGGCAATAAACAAGCGAGAGAGTTTATCGTTGATTCTTAACAGCACTCTCAATGATACGACCGTGAAGTGACTAGAGATCATATTAGTGGCTGGATGCTGTGCCTGGAAGAAATTATTCCGCGGCCAAAATCAGATCCTCCCCCATAAATCTCTTATGGCTCCCTTGATTCTCAAGGTATTCGACGTTATCGAGGGGCTGCTACTCCTTCCATTTAATGAGCCAGCCTTGGCTTACCCAGGCTTGTGAACCAAGAGATATTTAAGCAAAGAGTGTGTAAATGTAGCACTACGGCCTTTCAGTATAGAGGTTGAATTTAATATCAAGATGAGAGGTTCAATGCTTTAACAGCTAGTTCGATAAAAGACCCTGCTCTAGCCTTTAGTTCAAAATCCTGAATCAATCCATAGCTCAATTCAATCGACAACAGCCGACCAAACTAAACCTTGGAGATTCAGGCCACACTACTGGCAAAAGCACAGAAAGTATGACCGCTTATCAAGGTTCAAGACCAAACTCAAAATGTGCAAAAAGTCTGCCTTAAAATTTGTAAAAACGCTTGAAATATCATCAATCCATTCGCAGTTGTCATGCATCAAAATAGTCGAGTTATTATCAAAGTCCAATTCATCATCGTGTTCATGTTGGGTAGATGTATTGTCTGATAGGCAATAAGTTGAGCATATTGTATTAAACTGTAACCAGGAGAATGTTTGCGACTACATGTAGAAGAAAATAATATTACGTTTCAGAAAGACATGCAGCTCATGTGGTCTTCAACGACCCATAAAATAAGGGAATGTGACACATCAGCTTGGGTACATGATACAGCGGGGAGTTGCTTAATTTTTCAGCTGGTATTCAGATAAAATATTATTCAAACATCTATTCCTAGATTCAGGAGAAAATCAGCTATGGCTTTAGCATGCTGATCAATTTGTATCCAGTCATCTAGGTATCCAATGTCAATTCCATCAATTCTGCCACACATCCTGTACGGAATACGTGGTTATACCCGTGTACTTGAGTGGGTTGCTCAAGTTACATTAACTTCACCGCTAGCTGTCCAATTAAAATAAATACAATATTAATCACAGGATATTGGGTGATATTAGAACCGTGCATACCCTGATACAAAATAGGTGCATGTTTGCACGGGCATGTATTTGAAAGTGCAGTGAAATATATATCCTTGCTAAGGGAATCAATTCTCCCTGTAAGACATTCTGACTCAAAAAGTATCTCTTCTCCATACATTAACTCCGTATTTTAGGTACTTGTATTTATGTGTATATACAGAGAATAAAGTTCCGAATCACGTGTAGAATGTCAACCAACCAACATAGGCATTCACGCCAACTCTTTATTTTCTATCATCTACACATGCATTTAGCCATCTAGCTCTGTTCCTGAATTGAATCGAGTCATTGAACATTCATTTCAACTATCAATTGTTCTTATTTTTACATCTATCTAAGAGAAAATGGCGCGTCGTGGGCGGAGTCGAGGTCGAGGTCGAGGTCGAGGTCGTTCATATCCGAGTCGGAAGCCCGAGAAAGAGCAAGAGCAGCAGCTATCTTCGCACGCCTCCTGGGAAATCATGCCATTAGAACTAAGAGAAATGGTTCCGGAATACCTGGAAGATTCTATACAGAGCGGAAAGGCGAAAGCGTCCGTGTACGCATCAGTCTGCAAGGAGTGGTACGACTACTTCGAACCATACATCTTCCGGCGTCTGACGCTATCCATAGAGCGTCTTAACGAGTTAGAAGCCATGATTACCGGGTCACGACAGCTGTTTGTTCAACATATATGGCTTCGGTTCGAGAGATCAGTCCAGCCCGGCGTAACGCCCATCAAATTCCGCCACGAAATGGATACACTGCGCTTCCGCGCGACAATATTTCAACTCTTCCAGATTCTGTCAGAGTGGCCAGAGAGAGTGGCTGGCCAACCAGGCATTGCGCTAGAATTAACAGCATTCTCAGCCGCGGACCCTGACTATTCCATGAAAGATACAATTCCAGACGAGCTCAAAGACGTAGACCTTACGATAGACAGCGAAACCTTAAACGCCATCTATGAGAAGACGCCCAGCAACAGACGCACATTAACAGATCATGAGAGAAGGCAGCAATCCGAATTGCGAGAGTTCTACGACCCTCAAAGCCATCTCGCTTTACTGCCGGTACGGCTTCCCACGGTGGGATTAATAACAGACCTTGCAATGCGACGACAAATGCATATCAGCTTCTTTACCAACTATATCAAACTCATTATGAACTCTCTCCCCAACCTTGAATTCTTAACCTATGAGCCTCGTGCTCTCCAGCCTTTCAGCCGCGACAATTTTGAGGCTGCAAGAGAAATCATAACCAAAATTCCTTCGTCCATCAGACGATTACAGATGTTTGAAGATAGCCCTAGCCTTTACGTTGATGGGACATATCTAATACGGGTGAATGACAATGGCGGCTCTCTGGGTCGACTTTTAGCGGACATTAGCCAAGACAAAGAACCGGAGGTGATCTCAATGTCCTTCATTATTGACGCTGTTGATTTCTTCTCCGACTTCAGGACTCCGCAGATCAGCCGGCCACATTGGAAGCTGGGATGGCTTAATCTCACTTCACTAGTCTTGACATCCGCCGTCATCACGCCGGAAAGGAAGGACGAAATCCCTTCTCTGCTGATAGCAGCTGCCCGAGCCGCGCGCCATATGCCCAAATTGGAAATCATGGAATTATATTATGTGTCGAGGAATCATGGTGGTATTTTCACATACGTTCACGATAGCACGGGCAGCATCTTGTGGTGGGACAGCACGTGGGAGTGGGAGTTCTCGCCCAATGTCATATCCATGTGGAAGAGAGCCGCAAATGTCCACGGTGCCAAACTATTCGAGCATGAAGAGAGTCTAATTCAGTTAAAAGGAGATGATGGTATGGGGTGGGATGGAACTATTTTGTCGTTACTTCGTACACGAACAACAGTTGTTCATCCTATAACATACGGCAACATGATGAATGGACAGATTTTTATGTAGAATCAATCTCTACTCTTTACTTTCTCTAATATCCATCAATACTGTCCACAAGTGCTCCGTATTACCCATACCATGACTAAAACAATGCGATATCGCTATGACAACCTCCCAGCTACCCTAAACAAAGCTGCTAAAGGACACCGAAAACCGAGACATGTCCGCAAACAGTCACGACACGACATCCTGAAACCCACACAGCGCCAACATTACGTTCCACATCACTAATCCGGCGACATGGAACGCAATTCGATTTATTACGAGTTTCACGGCTTTTGGCCTTTAATGGGACAGGCAGAAGGGAGAAAAGGAAGGAGGGTAAAAAGCAGCAAGGAATCCAAGAGCTGCTTGAACTGTCCGTTCATCCGGGCCATTTTTCCATTTGCCCGGAGTTTCTGAAATGAGCGTACGAGTAGGTAGAAATGTACATAGTACACGTATGCAGAGCACGTAAGATGCTCAACGCCCGACATGAAACCAATTCCATGGTAAGAAACAGGGCGTACAAACTTCTAAAAATCATCAAAATGCCCGTCCCAAAAACTCTATCACAGTAGCCTTCGCCCGGTCCGTTTATCGCTTCTTTCCCAGAGATTGTGTCAAGACTCGTTCTAATCATCAAACCCTGTCGCGTGATTCCTTCGTGGCGGACTTGGCCGCCATCGTGTCAAAGTGATTATCCAAGCCCAGTTCCATCAACTGCATTATTGAGCCTAGTTCTAATCCCAGACAGCCCATATAAAGAACATTTCCCATCTTAATAGATGCTGGAGAGGCGGCCAGTCCCCTAGATGATAGAGGGTTGCGGCACCAGATACATGGCAGAGCAAAGAGCGTACATGCAGCTAAACAATGCTCGCGTGATATCAAAAGAAGAGGGGGAAAAAAACTCCGTAACCCAAAAAAAAAACAAAGAAAAAAGAAAAGAAAAAGAGAGAGACAAAATGAGACACTACGATCTAGCATCTATATCGCTCATCTTTCGCGAAAGAAGAAGGGCTGGCGCTGATGAAGTTGGTACATGGCCTAGGTGGACAAACTCCTCAAGAATTTGCTCCACTGAGCACACAAATGAAGGGGCATATTGCCTTGAAACTCCCAGTTTCCTGCGTTTCATAGCAAACATGGTTTCTCAGGGTTTCACCAGTGTCATCTGTGTGAAGCGACAGGCAAACGGGGTGAGACCATTTCCAGGTCTGGCTTCCCATTCTTGTCCACATGCCGGTCCTTGGAGGGCGCACTCTGGTACAGATGGTGCAGCTTGATGTAGTCGTAGACGGATCGCGGCAGATCTTGTGCGACTTCGCCATTCCGGATCTGGGCCCGCGCCTTGGTCGATGAGACGTCATTCTGAAAAGACGGGACAACCATGATGTTGTCGTGATACTTCTTCAAAGGCTGGATAGCGTCCTGGGTAGCACACAGAGCTGGTCGCTCAACGATAAAGGCGCCATAGTAGCCCAGGAGCACGTCAATGTCGGCGGGCGCCCACACCTTGGGGTCGCTCATGGTAAGGGCTAAGTCGGCTCCGATAAGAAGCATGACCCTTGCTCTTACAAACGTGCCGTCCAGGGTCTGGATGCCGCCCAGGACGTCGTTGAGCTGCTCGTCCAGTCGCTTGAGGACGTCGGCAGTGCGCGTGTAAACCGGGCGGCCGGCCTCGTCGCGGCGCAGAGTCTCCCAGTCGTCGATCATGGCGTTGCTGTTTGTCTGCTCAATGGCTAAACGGCACCTGTGTTGCGACAAAAGGGCATTAGTAAGACTGGACCTCAGGGTTCTTTCGTCTTCCAAAGAGGGGTTGGCTCGACTTACATGTTAATGCGATGGTGAGCAGGGACCAGAGAACTTTTGCCGTACGTATCGCTGCACGGACTCATGTAGCTGCCGACCAGCTCGAAGCCGGTGCGCTCCGCGTAACTCTCGGCGACGGAAAACATGGACATGTGCAGAGAAGTCGGCGGCGAGAAGCTGCCGCACGACACCAGAACCAGTGGCGTCTTGTTCGGGTGCGTCAAGCGGCGCTTCAGTCGGTTGTGGGGGAAAGAATAGCCGTGATACGGTTCTGACATGGGCTCGGGAGGGGGAGTCGGCGTGCCTGTCGGGAGATTCGTCGGTCGTGGAGGAGACGACGCAAATGCGTCTGCTGAGATGCCACCCATGGCTGCCGGATTCAGCGGACGGCTATGGACTTTGTTGTGGATGTGATTGAGGCTGTGGTTGTGGTTGTGGTGTTGAACTTGGTTGGAGAGAGAGACAGAGACAGAGACAGAGACAGAGGGAGAGGCAGAGAGAGAAGAAATGGGAGAAGCGAGAGCAAGGTCGGCCACAGCCGAAGAGGGAGACGACAGACGACGCTTATTATGTAGCAGCTCCATGTACTTGTAACTTGGCCGTCTCAGGAAGGCTCCGTGATGCCGGTTCTCGGCTCGTCAGCTTGCGGGCCGCAACGTCTCCGGTATACTAGAGTTGGTAAGGACAAAGCACGAGCACGAGCACGAACAACAGCATATGCCGGTGCTGATGATCACGAGGGATGCTTGCAATGTGTGGAGAGCAAACGTGCAGACGGGAGGGGCAGGGACTTTGCAAATCTAGATTTGCTCCGTGCTCGGGCGTTGTGATTGTGAGTAGACTAACGACTCTGTGCTAGTTCCGGCCTGTTCACGCCAATGGCAACGCCATCGCAGACAAAACCAAAACCTTGGACTAAACACAATCCACGCCCGCCGGCTATTGGCTGGCTTAGTGATTAGAGTCATACTCATACTCATACTGTACAGTACTCGCAGATAGAGAAAGACACAGCCCTAGGTCCGAGTGGGCCGAGTTACCCATTTCTGCCTATTCCGTGCCAGGGAGGATCCGTAATCAAGTTCTTCAGCATTTTTTGCCTTTTTTTTCTTCGCCAATGTGGCTCTTCTGGTCTTAGCTGGGTCTTGTCCCTGTGGCTACGCCGGATTGTACCATCCGCCTGTTGCGGAAAGGATTGCAAGGATTCTTGCGGGAATACCAAGAGTTTCCGCGCTACTCACTGAGACGTATTCGTAATTCCAATTCGAGTGATTACATGTACTCGTATCTCCATGTACCTAGTAGGCTGATTACGGATGACAAAGTATGTTTCGGAGGGGAAAAACAAGCCGTACAGTATATCATCGGAAAGCGAAGCCCGCATCCCCGGACGGTGTCTCCCGGACGGTGTGTTTCCTGATAAATCAGCGCCTGCATGGAATATGCCGTCAGCATGCAAATCTCCCCCGAGTCGCGGATATGTGCATCTCTAGCCTTACCCGCCCGGTCCCACACATGGGTTGCCTCCGTCACTGGCAGCTTTTGACGCAAGCACTTTTGTGTGTGACGTTTGGTAAATGCATCTGGTCGTCGGCGGTTACCGTGGCTTACAGACTCCGCCTCCACAACATGATGTTAGTCAACACTCGACCTCAGCATGCCCATGAGAAAAGTCAATCGTTGAGTTGTGGAGGCGGAGTCTTGTAATGTGTAGCCTATTGTGGACAACATTAGAGAGCAACGGGATGTTGATTCCAACACTAAGGGGATCTTATGGGACTATTATCAAAATAGAATAGAGATATTATTTAACATTTTTGGGGTTCAATGAGCCGCGAAAGTTGTTTAGTGGAGGTCTACACTCCGTGCTGAAAGAGATTACATGCACGTAACTGCCGCCAGAAGTACTCCATCCGTCAGCGAATGTTATGACATTGGAGAGCGGTTGGCTATCCAACATCCCGCATCCTATCAGCATGTGGAGTGTAGAGAAATACCACTAGGTAAGTGCTTATTGCAATCCCTTGAGTAGATAGATAGATACATGTACATACAAGAGGAGGATGGCGATAGTAGTATATACCACAGAGCTATTCAAACAAACGGCACTTCCTCTCATTTTATTTCAGCACGTTAAACGTAGTCGCTGTAGTATCGAATAACCAAGCTAGGTACTGAACAGCCACTGTCAAAACAAATGAGAATATTTAGACTCATAAGTTACGACGGGAGGCTTTTTTTAGACAGTGATACAATATAGCTAGCTGCCTGCTATATAGGTAGTAAAGAAAGAGATTCTAATGACAAACAGCTGAACTATGTGCTGGCCCAAATACACCGTAATGTTCCAGAAAGTGAGAATTACAATTCAATACAACTTCGTGACAGTAAAGATAGAACACCCTTCAGACATAGAGCTTTCATAGCAATAATAAAGAGAAAATATTATTATAATGCTCAAAAACAACATTACGTTGTGACCCAGATTTCCTCCATGCAGTGATCTCTAATTGGTCTTAGACAAGGGAAACATTGCCATCGAAAAAATAAGGCTTCAATGGGCGAATGTTAGGAAGAAAAGAATACTTCGTCCCCCTAGAAATCTCTTCCATAGACGCTGGGTGAATGACGTTTTGGCCAATTTTAAGAAGGCGAACTGTTGCTGCGTGGGATGTAATATCCTTGCTTTCCACTGATCGATAGGTGCCAATGTAGAGACCACGTTTTCCTTGCGCCCACGCCAGATCCTGCCACCTAGTCAGGATAATTCCCTGCTCTTTAGCTCCCAAATCTAGCTCCCATGTGCCTCGCCATGAGATTGTGATGAGCCTCTCAGTGACACGATGCCTAAACGCCGCGGCTTTATGTCTCATTCCATACCAAATGTCGAGTATTTCAAGTTAGGGCATTCTGTGTGCAACCCGTCCAATCCTTGTTAGAAGAACTACTATTTCATCATGCCTCTCGGGCGTGGCGAAAGGACTGCACGTAAGTGAGAGCGTGGCGAGATTGGGCCAAGTCCAAAGAGTGTGAACGGCCTTGAAGAATGGCACCGCGTCTATAGAGTAACATCCACTAACATGCTCGAGTGAGATGCTCTCATGAGCTAGCTTGGAGCTGGCAGCATTGGCTACACTCCTGATATATGGAAGCCCATTTGCCGGGTTGGCTTCATGGGGGATTCGAATTATTTCTTCGTTGAAGTCTTCAAACCAGTTGAGAGTCTTTAATGTCTTTGGGAGAAAGTCTGAGATTAGTCTCTGATTTCTGTGTCAACGAGGCCTTGGCCAAATTGTGTGAGCCGTCGCCACGATTCATAAGTGAAGTGGCGAAGATTAGGCAGTCGTCTGAGGATCCATTCAATGGCAAAAGCCGCCATGAAACGTCGTGTCGTACGACGAAAGACCAGATTTGTCACGACGTGGGCAGCTGAAATGCTCTGAGGTTCGTTGAATAAAATAGTCTCCTTGACCCAAAGGCGATGCCTAGAGGAAGATGTTCTTGCAGTTTTCTGACTGAGTGATGTTTGGAGCAAGACACCCTTGTAGTATCTTTGACTTGAAGGGTAAACTTTTAAGGAAGATGTTAGTATAGCGTCATTTACTTGAAGATGTTCTCCAGAAGAAGTTCTTGTGATGTTTTGGAGCTGAAATTGATGTTTGGGGAAGAGATGTTTGCAAATTGGGGTGGACGGGAGAGGACTATATAGTATTTTGGCTGAGAAGACATACTTTCTATTTGTGTTTATGCGCTCAGTCTAAGGAAAGTAAATAAGGCGTGTTGCAGGCTTTTAAAGGCTGAGAATATGGAAGTTTTGTATAAAAACCTACAGGAGAAAGTACATAGGTAATTACTTTTTGAAGCCATATACCTAGGTAGGTAGGATAGTTTACTCTGTGGTCCAGGCAATGGACGTGGTATAGAGAAAAACCAGCCAGAGAAAGTTCTTAGAGAAATTAGCTCTAACTGCACCCAGAAGCCAAATGAGCAATCTACTAATATGTTCCAGGTGTAATAGGAAATTTTGCCTATTGCCAATGGAGGCGTCTCCCGAGTTTCGATATGCAAGCTACCTCTCAATCGTGGCTAATGCCGAAACTTTACGTTCTTCAATTATATCTTATGGATGCCAGACTTTCCAGAGATGTACCCGATAGTAATTTTTCAAATAATATGTGTATTCGCGTATCATAAACTGTTCTCGGTCCACAGACAATGGGAATCTCACTTTCAGCCGTAAACCAGGACCTTGCTGTGAGAACTGCCGAGCTACCCTGCAATATCGTGGACAGCGGCGTCATTCGCATATCTCTACCTAGATAGTAGTAATATCTCATAATGCCATGTCTTGGACTATACATCTTTCATTACTCATTGACGAATAACACAAGTATAACTCGGTAATTGACCCAGTTGTAGTCAATCTGGTTAGTCGAGATCAATAGATTTAAGTGTATTTTATCTTGCCCTGCAATCCACATCACCATCGCCCCAATTACAGTGCGAGATGCTCCAATTGCATACGTTTTGTTTCTCTTGCCGTATTCCTCCTCTTCACTTATTGTTGATTTATTATTTTCCAATTATTTAATTTAATTTACTTCTTATCCATCCACCGTCTATTGATTCTCAATAATTTACCTGACGACGAGCTTTATTCCGGGTGCAGCTAGAAAATGCGACTATTTATGGAGTTATGGGGCTCTATTGTCCACTAATTCCAGTGCTGAGCTCCGCCAACCCGCGGCGCTGCTTAGCCTAGTCGGGAATGACTTTCATCACTCGTCAGCCACGCTAGTCCTCCTCGGGGCTCTTCCATTGCGTACCTCCAAACTCCGTAATGATTGAATTGCATGCAGCTCCAGCGCATTTCAACAAACACGATTCTGGCCCTGCAGCCCCTGAATCTGTCTGTCGCCGCGATATTTGACATTTTGCTGTTTTCTGCTGGATTTCTCAGCTCATCGCCTCTTTCCGCAGAGACTAGCAGGCACAGGCGGAGATTATACAGTGTTTTTCTCTTCTCTCGTTTTGCTTTATTAATTGCTGCTGTCCGGGGCGAAAATGGTGGCCGGGCAAGACGCCGCCTTACAATGACCATGGCCAAGAAGAACCACGGCGAGATCAGCCTGCACGACGAAGACCGCGGCCTGCTCGCCCGAGAGCCAGAGCGCAATGGCGGCGACCTCGGCATCATCACCAGCGTCCTCAAGACGTCGCGCACCGATTTCGAGCCCGAAGTCAAGACGCCGCGGACGCCCGGCAGAGTCCAGTTCGACCTGACGCCGCGCATCCTCAACTTCAGCGACGGGCCCAACGGCCGGCCCTCGACCTCGTCGTCGCTGTCGTCGACCGATCGATTCGATTTCGACGACTCCGGCTCCGGCCTCGACTCACACCGCGTGCCGCTGCTGACGGACCTCGAGGCGCCGAGCGTAACCGTGGCCCGAGAGTGGGATGATGCGGGCGATGGCGACGAGGAGAACGCGGCCGAGGCCGAGCTGCGGCGGCCCAAGTCTGGGCTCAAATCGGCCTTTATGAACATGGCCAATTCCATTATTGGTGCCGGCATCATCGGCCAACCATATGCAATGCGGCAAGCGGGCCTGCTGGCGGGCACGCTGCTTCTCGTTGCGTTGACGATTGTGGTGGACTGGACAATCTGCCTCATCGTCATTAACAGCAAGCTGAGCGGCACCAGCAGCTTCCAGGGCACCGTGCAGCACTGCTTTGGGCGGCCGGGACTCATTGCCATCAGCGTTGCGCAGTGGGTGTTTGCCTTTGGCGGCATGGTGGCCTTTGGGGTCATTGTGGGCGACACAATCCCGCATGTCTTGACGGCTATATGGACGGACCTGGCGAGTGTGCCGGTGCTGGGGCTGTTGACGGACAGAAGGGTTTCCATTGCTGTGTTTTGCATGGGGATAAGCTACCCTCTAACTCTATACAGGGACATTGCAAAGGTGAGGTCTGCTTGTTTTTACTTGTTGCGAGACAAGGACACTTTGCTAATGGTGCTTGTATAACTCAGCTGGCCAAGGCGAGCACATTGGCCCTTATCGGCATGCTGGTCATTGTCGTTACGGTTCTGGTCCAAGGCGTGCTCGTTCCCTCGGCAGATCGAGGCTCGTTCAGCACGCCGCTGTTGACAGTCAACAGCGGTATTTTCCAAGCCATTGGCGTGATATCATTTGGTATGAACATCCTCGATCCCAATAACCAACTTCGTGTACGTTGCATGGCTAACGTATTCACACACAGCATTTGTCTGTCACCACAACTCTCTCCTCATCTACGGCTCCCTCAAGACCCCCACGATCGACAACTTCTCCCGCGTCACACATTATTCCACCGGCGTCTCCATGTTCGCATGCTTGATCATGGCCCTCGGCGGCTTTCTGACCTTTGGCGACAAGACACTGGGCAACGTGCTCAACAACTTTTCGTCGGACAACTCCATGGTCAATGTTGCGCGGCTGTGCTTTGGCCTCAACATGCTGACGACTCTGCCTCTGGAGGCGTTTGTCTGCCGCGAGGTCATGGTTACGTACTTTTACCCCGACCAGCCGTTTGATCTCCGGCGGCATATAATACTCAGCACGGCACTGGTTGCAGGTGCTACGACTCTGAGCATGTTGACGTGCGACCTGGGCATTGTCTTTGAGCTCGTGGGCGCAACCAGCGCCGTGGCCATGGCGTACATCTTGCCGCCCATGTGCTACATCAAGTTGACGACAAGGAGCTGGCGCACATACGTGGCCGCGGCTGTGGTGGTATTTGGAGTTGCCGTCATGGTCATCAGTGTGATCCAGGCAATAGATAAAATGATACATGGTAAGTCTATCATCTTTTCTCCCTGGAGCACCATTATCTTGGCTAACACGGGTGATGCCAACAGGGTCAGATACCGCAGCGAAATGCACCTAGAACAAGGCCGACGCCGACGAATCGATTTTAGAAAAATATTAATTGTATGACTATATTATAGAGAGCATGGAACGGATATGCATATTGCCCTAGATGTAGGGAGCAGGGCAGAACGGGACTGTACAATAAGGGGAGCTATGAACATGGAATGCTGCGTTTATGCGGTTATGTTTTTGGACTACAGGTATACAGCAGCGTTGTCCATCATACAGAGGCAGATATACACGGTATATTGTCAGGAGAATTCATGCAACGAATTTATACTTGCATATTCATTACAGCATGACGGCGCACGTGTTGGAGTACCCATACTGCATCATCATGAATACATGTACCTGATAAGAGCACATGTACCTACCTAGGCAGACAGTCCCGCGATAAACAGCATCACCTCCCGGGTAGCCAACCACCAACCATCACGGCATTCAAACAACTCCTCCCTATCCATGCCCTTGTAGCAGCCTCACTCTACACAAAACACCAAGCAGCCTCATTTCGCCTCACTTCATTACCTTCCCCCGCCCTGTGCACCCCCGCGTGGCCTCTCCTTTCCCCAAAACAGCTTGTCACGAGTCCCCTGGGACACATGATCATCCTTTCCCGCCGGCATTCAAACAAGGATCTGGCCAGCCACCGGAATCAGTCTGACCGACAGTTGAACAGCAGAGATAACGAGACACAGCAGCAGCAATGTCAACACGGAACGTGAGGATTCTCACAAAGATACTGCTGCCTGGTTCTCCAAAACTTCAATACCTACGTCACAACACACCTCAACCAACAAAACCTCCAAAATCTCCTCCCCCAATATCGTACAGCCAATAACCTCGCACTCATTACTCAAATCCACGTTCCCCGATAAAACATTTAGATTAAGCGCCCACCCCTTCCTGCAAATTCCCCGCTACACTAGACCGCAAACCAAATACAGGGCCGCCAATCCTCTGACAGCCCTTCTCCCACGATACGATAGCACAAGCTTCCCACCCCTCTTTTTTTCTCACACACTCTCTCTATTACTGAAGGAGTCCTCTCGCGGGTACTGCGTCAAAGAGAGAAGGATTGAGGGTTGCCTTGCTGAAACAATGCCGGCTCAAGTTTTTTAGTTTAACCCTCACTAGATAGATAATACTGCAGTAGTGTTGCCGTAAACGATCAAAATAGTGGTGTATACCTAGATGCCATCTCCAGGCGAACACCAATGAAACTCGACGCCCGCCAGAAAGGCTTCCAAGTTAGTCGCCAAACCGGCAAAGCTGCCCTTGCCTAAGTACGATATGCCGCTGTCCCATGTCATGCGAGAAAGCTCTGCCCAAACTCCAGAATTATAAAAGGGTCCAGACTTTACGACCCCGCCCCAGCTTTTTGGAAGTGCCCTGAATCCCCTTCTTCTCCAAATCACCACCACAGCTCCTTTGCTTCTTATCAACTATATCAACTTACACCACTCTCTCTACCTCTGAGCTATCAAGCTAGAAACAACCACAAAGCCATCATCATGCAGCCCGTCAACTTCAACCACTCTAGCTGCCCCAAGTGCTCTGCCACCATCGCCTCCGACTCCAAGACCTGCCAGAGCTGCGGTGCTGTAAGTTTTGACCTTCCTCTCTTGTTCTCTTATCGTAAGCCTGGATATCTCCTGTAGCAACCAGCTGACCCGTCTTCGACATAGACCTGCCCCAACTAAGCTCCTTCAACTTCAACCCCTCCGGCCAACGGCCTTATACATCGCAGCAATATGACGAGACTATGCTGAAGTGGTGAGGGGTTGTATGGACGGACGGACGAGTGAATGAATGGATGAAAGAAAGGAATAAGGGCTTGCTCAAGCAGGACATGGTGTTTCAAGGCAAGGCGTTGATGGAGAAGAGAACTGTTCATGTATGTCTTTATTCTAAGTTACATGCTAGTCAGCTAGGATAGTTCCCCGTAATGGAGAGAATCTAGAATGGCAATGGCATGGCATGGCATGTATTACAAGTGCATCGGGTTGATCTCCGGCGACAGGGCTACAATCGCCATGACACTGCATGTTTCAAGGGGGTTCACTGCCTCGAGATTCACGATAGAGTTACCCGCAATCTAACATGTTGAGTGTGTAAAGACAAAGCGATATTACAACCAAGCCAAGTTAAAAAAAAAAAAAAAGCCAAGACAATACAAGACAAAAACACACTGCACAGGCCCTCGAACCTTGGACTGAACAAGTTGAAAAAGAAAAAAAAAACCGAAACAAATGTATGATAACCTGTTGTAGAGACCGCTCGCGAGAGTCCCGGCAACTTCCAAAGTGCGACAAATCCACAGCTGCTACCTACTTACACCCCATGCCTCCGCTCATCTCCTCTCATAGCTAGACAAACTGCAAGCCCTCTATTCCATCTGTACGCTCCCGAATCAACCATCAACCGCTCGTAGCTCAGAAAAAAAGAAAGCCAGCTCCAACATTAGGCCCGTCGACCCCGTTTCGCACCACTGGGAAGATACAGTAAAGCAAGACCGGCTTGCCCGCCGGCATTATGACAGAGGCATAAGGGGGAAAACATCTGGTTTACCTTCTTTCGCAATCATCTCTCTTTCCCTAGAGAATCCTTACTCCATGACGGTGATGGGACTGCAGAACCATGCACGCAACCAAGTAACCCTTCTCGCCGTGTCCGCTAGCGAAGACGCGCAAGACACGCAAAACGAGACAACCAAGTTCCAAATCCCCGGAAAAAAACCTATGCCCGCAGACAACCGGCAAACCATGGCGGCTAACGCCCATCCTTCATTACCCAACCAGCCGCGTATTGTTTGTGTGAGTTGGCTTGTGAAGAACGGAAGGAACGCATCGAATTACAAAGGGGGGAATCGAGCCGCGAATGGAAACGGGTGTGTACTCGGGATGGACGGGTATAAGGATAAAACACGTTTACAGAACAAGGCACTTCTTGTGGCTGCTCTTGCGGGTGGAGCGAGACATGAGAGCAGCGCGAGTGGCGTGCTCAAAGACCTCGCGGACGCCGCTGCCAGTTCGAGCAGAGCACTCCAAGTACTTGTATGCGCCGATCTTCTTAGCAACAGCCTCAGCCTGCATGGGATAAGAGTGTTAGTTTCATCAGAGTAGATCAAGTTGTCAGGGCAGAGTGCACTCACGTCCGAAGAGGAAACCGGCTTCTGGTTGGTTGCCCTCAAGGCCTCGATGGTGTTGGGATCGTCTCGCAGATCAGCCTTGCAGCCGACCAAGATGATGGGAAGGCCTGAGCAGAAGTGCACGACCTCAGAGATCCACTATCAAAGTGATACGCGTTAATGTTTTGTTTCTTTATTTAGATGGGCAAATGCAGGGGGTGGGATGCAAGGGTGACATACCTTCTCAAGAACATTGTCCAGAGAGTCAGGAGAATCAATGGCGAAGCAGATCAGGATGACGTGGGAGTCGGGGTAGGAGAGAGGTCGGAGACGGTCGTAATCTTCCTGGCCAGCCGTATCCCAAAGGGCCAGCTCGACGTGCTTGTTGTCAACCTGGACGTCGGCGACGTAGTTCTCGAAAACGGTGGGGACGTAGACCTAGAACGGTGCAGCATGTCAGCATGGCGTTGTTTATTTAAGCAGCACGCAATGGTGCCGATGGCTTTTTGCCTTTTTTGTGTGAGATGGACCGGTTATGATGGTGGATTAGATGATTGAAGAACAATTCGATGGGGATGCTGATGGGCAATAGGCTGAAATGAAGCCATAGCCCTGGCCAGATTTGACACGTCAAGGATTTCTTGCCGCGCTCTGGGGTTGATGGCAACGTCACGCAGCACCCAATCCCGATCCTGCGGTGCACCACCGTCAAGAGAAGGACGACTGACGGCGACCGAAAGGCATCGAGCTTGCCATCAAACTTTCAATGGCGGTGTTGTTGTGGTCTTGGGCGGGAAAATACATGGCGGCGGCTAATGAAAACGCGGCATAGGGCAAAATAGGGGATGGCAGATGCTGCGCTCAATGCGTACCTCAGGGAAAGCGCCCTTGGAGAAGACACTGCAAAACGGCGCGGTTAGCTCGACTCGTGCTCTGGCGGGCTCTGGATGGGATGGCGATGCGTTGCATCAGGCGTGAGGCCACGGCTGCCTTGGAGCGTGCCGCGGATCTGGGCGTTGGAACAACTCACATCAACAAACAGGTTTTACCGCAGGCACCGTCGCCGACGATGACGAGCTTTCGGCGGATCTCAGCCATGGCGTCTGTGTAGTATTGCGGAGTGGAAGATGAGAAGTCGGCTGGCAAAGATGAAGGCAGAGCGTCTCAGGCGGATGGCGATGGCGGTTGGGATGGAATGAAAGGAAGAAAGACGGACGTCAGAAGGGGGATTGTGACGGAAGAGAGCTGGTCTGGGTCTGGCCTGCTGGGGCTTTTGGCTTTTGCAGACGCAAAGTACTGGGTACTTGGTGCTAGCAGTGCTTAGTACAGGTGACTGGGTGGGGAGAGGGGGAGAATCAGAGCAGCGGGAGCAGCCTGCTTTTGTTTCGGGGCGAGTGACTGCGAGGACTTTCGGGGGGGGCCCAAGCTGAAAGGGAAAAAGCAGATTAGGACTCGCAGGCAGCGTCTAGGTACTAGGTAGGTATCCTGCGGCGGAGTTTGGGTGCAGCAGGACAAGGCGAATGAGCAATCAATGGCAGTTTTTGCTGGGCGCTGCGTTGTACTCCGTACCTTGGCTAGCGCATCCTGAGGCAGCCAACAATTTCTGGGGACTCGACTCGCCAATGGCTTGATTGCCTGTTCCAGGGCAGAAAGGAGGGGCGGCTTGGGCCCGGGGGAGCAGCTCTGGGTGCTGTGAGCCCTCCAGCCACCGAGCTTTTCAGCGCAGATTGAGCGCCGAGTTCCAGGCATCCCAGCAGCGGTTTAGTGGCCTACCAGGCACTGGCACTGGCATAGGTACATGTATAGGTACCTACGAGGAGTACGGGTGCCTGGTATTACTCTACCTAGACACCAGTCCAGTATTACTCGGGTACGAATTTGGCCAGCCTCTTTGCGGCTGCAGAACGCCCAGGCCAAAGCAATCGTTGCCGTTGATGCATAGGTACGAGTATGTACTCAATCAATGCACTACAGCTGAGAGCAGTGCTCTACCTGACCGCCACTACAAGCACCAGCAGGAAAAAAAGCAACAAACAAGAATCCCGGGCTGGACGCGTCGCCTGGAAGCGGCAGCGGGAGGTGGCTGAGACGCTGGGAGATAAGGCCAGATACATGCGGCCAAGTACAACCGCAGCGCTAGAGCCAGGTATACGCTACTCGGAGCTCCGTACTGCGCAGCGTCTGGAAGTACGTGATCCTTTATATTACGGAACTCCACCGATGAGCCAAGTCATGTACCAGTACACGCTTACCAGCAGGCAAAGGGCGCAGTCATGGTGCCCGTGCCAAGTACAAGTACGCGGCGCCTCAGAAACATTAATAGCAGCGCGTTACGAAACCAGGTAGCACTAACAGCACTGCCGCCCGTGCAAAGTACGAGTGCTGAGACCCGCGGTACGTACTGCACACGGTTGATGATGGAAGAGGCTGAGATGATGACCACTTTTAATTTGATCCCCAGATGATGCTCGGCTTGTGAATCATCTGGCGGTCTGTTTCGAGTCTGCAAAGGGCCAAAGTACAGGTACCGACTGCATTGGAGCTGAATCATTTTGTCTCTGCTCCGTGCTCTAGGTACCAAGGTTAGGTAGGGCATCATCTCCCAGGCCCTTCTTCGTCCAGGACCATTTCAAGCCAAAGGACCTCAGCTCTGCCTCAGCGCCACGAGGCTGTCCAAGCCGCAATGTGATGTCCAGTGCGTGCAAATTTCAGCCAGGAGCACCTTATCTTAGCAGCGGTCGCACCAAGTGCTAACCTCTGTATCCACCCGGCCAATTTACTCGTGATTGGGATGACGATGCAGGGCGTCTGGTAATATATCAGGAAGTGCTCTGTGTGTAGGTACTCTCGTATACAGTACTGTATCAGATGGGCGCCAGTGCTGTACTCGTGCATAGTACCGGTACTTCGTATTTGGGGCCGCCAACCAGATGCGTGCTCTTTGTCTCTGTCAACAAAATCTCACCGTGGTGTTGTCTGGCGTCTTGTCTTGTCCTGTCCCCCCCAGGTCAGACCGCTTCCCGAAGCCTAGGCAGGGTGACACGGCTTGTGTGCCTCCTGACACGCGAATCCTGGTGGCAAAGTCCTACGCATCTAGGACTTGCTCGTACTTGCACGCCGGAAGCTGTCATAATTTAGCTGGCTGCACATTCACGCAGCTGGGAGCTGCTGCATTAGTGACTGGAAGCTGATGCACCTCAAATTAAGCAATCACATGATTGGCGTGCTCACCAGACGACGCATTTCCTTGTTTGGCGGGTTGTGACAGCATTTGCTGCCGACGACGACGATGCTTCCGAGGCTTCCACGGAATCGAGTGTGTACATACAATGCGCCTCCAGTGCACTGCGCCGTTGCCTACCTTGGCAGATGTTGATCAAAGCGTGCAGATGCCATCAATAAGGCGTATATTACTCGTACAGTACCAATCCCAGTAGCGCTACCGCCGTTGGGGAGCATAAACTGCGTGAGCTCGAGGCAGTCTGCGATGCGAGAGACCACACAGCTGAGCATTCAACGGAGCATTCGTACTCTCCGTGTTCCGTCACAGGCGTCGTGTCACCACCAGTCGACTCCTTACCCGGGAATACCAGCAACGTCTCCTATTTTCTGTTTCATTATTATTATTTTTTTTGCTTTTTTTCTTTTCATTCCGCCTCTCCTTTATTTCACCACCTTCGTCGCTCCATAACTCCGTGGCGACGCTTGTAGCATCACAATGTCTCTGCCCATTGTTAGCGTGCTGCCAAGCACATGTACCCCGTACTAAGCATTTAGGCCAGCACTCGATCTAAGCCTATTGCAGCCCACACTGTGTATTGCATGCCTAAATTCCAATGCGGTCGCATATAACAAATACAGTACGAATAGCCTCTTCTCACACCCCCAGCCAAATGCCTGGCCCTATCAGCTTATCAGTGCCGCACTGGTTTGTCCCGCGCTAGGTTATTGGGTGCTGGATCGAAGATTTTCCGAGCCATCTGGTCATCAGTCGATATCACAATCATTTACAAGTGGTGCGGGCAGCGTCCATTGCGGTCAATGGGTTGCGGTTTGGAGTCCTAGACATCCTTTTGATTCCCCTCATCAATCATGCAGAAGCTGGCGAAGCGAGCGGCGCAGGCCCAGCGCCAAGCGGCCCGCCGCACGAGACTACAGATGGAGCAAGAAAATGTCGACAGCAAGCTTCGAAGTCGAATGGCGCTGCGATCGGCCGTGGAGGAAGTTCGACAGAACCTCAAGGATGCGAGAAAGGCCCGGAAAGAGGACTGGGAGCTGGGACCCTTGGCGCCCAAGCGAGATCTGGGCTTCAACGACTACGGCGCCTTCAAGGAAAACGTGCGGCAGGACTGGTCAAACTATGGCCTGCATCAGCCAAACCCAAAGGTTGTTGAGCAGCGTTGTGCATGGGCCGGAGGTGTCAAGCAGCTCAATCTTGCGCCTGGCGATCGAGTGGTGATTCAGGATGGTCCGGACAAGGGCAAGATTGATCGCATCAGATCGGTCCAGCCCCAGGTTGGAACTGTCACCCTGGAGCACCGCCATCAGGTATGTTATGCTTGGAGATTCTCTGCGGCAATTTCACGAAACGTTTGTACTAATCACAGATTCGTGCGCAGGCTGTTGTTCAAGGCATGTTTGGCAATCCCAGTCGACCACAGCCAATGCCGATATCCATCGGATCCGTCCGCCTGGTCTACCCAATTACAAACCCCGAGACAGGAGTCACCCGAGACGTCGTCATCAACCAGCTCAAGGCGGTGCCCCCGAACATGCAGTCCCGCAACATGTCTCTCGATCGATGGCAGTACGGCAAGAAGTGGGATCGCCTGGTCCCCGGACTCAACGTTGTAATTCCCTGGCCACAGGTTGAAGTACCCGAGTTCGAAACCATGGCCGCAGACACTGTTCGAGAACAGGTCGAAGATAGATCATTTTACTACGGCCTCTTGTCGCCGCCGATGCCGGAGCAGGTGGTGGACGAGCTGAGGAACAAGTTCTCCAAATTCAGAACAAGACACGAGGCATGGTATATCGAGAAGAAGGAGGCGGAGGAGGCTTTGAAGAAGGGACGACGAGAGGCTATCAAGTCTATGCAGACGCCATTGGATGAGTTCCACGAGAAGAACCAGGAGGCTCGCGCAGAGGCTGGAGAACCAGAGCTCTCGGAGGAAATGCTGGCCAAGATTGGCGAGTTCATGGCCAAGAAGAAGTCGGCGGCTCTGGAAAATGCTGGCGCAGCTGAGGTGTCGGCAGCACCAGTTCCTCCACAGGACAATACCAACGCGCCATCACCAACTGCTGGTCCTCAGTAGATGACGAATGGGAAGGGGAATTAAAAGAAGGATGAAGAAAATCCAAGCCACGGGCGAGCACCAAGTTGGCGTGGCATGTGTAATTATATAGACTTGTGTGTACGAGCTGTACATTATGACGGAGCAAAACGAAGACATTGATTGACCCCATCACTCATCCATTTAGCACTCATGAGCCATCCATCACTCGTGAACGAACGAAATGTCATCAGTATGTGTAAGAGTTAAAGAGGCAGACTATCGTCCTGCGTATCGCCATCGAAGATAAGAATTGATAATTGCCAACTGCTGGCTCCACCCACACTCTATCTGATCAACCCCTCCCCCGCCTAAAGCTCTGGCTAAGTAAGGCGCATTGACATGACGTTCTCTCGGCGTGGCTTTTATATCTGAGATCTTGTTTCTTGACTCTCTTCTCAAGCTTTTCTACTATTTTCCTACTCCTTTTCAGCAAATCACAGTAGAGAACAGCAGGTCATAGCCCAGCATGTCGCACTCTCACGACGGCGCTTCGCACTCCCACTCCCATGATGGCTTCTCGGCGCAGGAGCACGGCCACTCTCACGAGATCCTCGATGGTCCCGGCAGCTACATAGGACGAGAGATGCCCATCGTCGAGGGCCGCAACTGGTCAGATCGCGCATTCACGATTGGAATCGGCGGGTAAGAGCCTCAGCCTCAGCTTCAGCACTTTTTGGCCGCAGCAAACGCTAACCCGAGAGCCATTTTATAGCCCCGTTGGCTCAGGCAAGACAGCCCTGATGCTGGCGCTGTGTCTCGCCCTCCGAGAGAAATACTCTCTCGCCGCCGTCACAAACGACATCTTCACAAGGGAAGATGCAGAGTTCCTCACTCGCCACGCTGCTCTCCCGCCGCAGCGCATCCGTGCCATTGAAACCGGTGGCTGCCCTCACGCCGCCGTCCGTGAAGACATTTCCGCCAACCTTGCCGCCCTTGAGGATCTCCATACCGAGTTCGATTCGGATCTGTTGCTGATCGAGTCTGGAGGCGACAACCTGGCCGCCAACTACAGCCGTGAGCTGGCTGACTTCATCATCTACGTCATTGACGTGAGTGGCGGCGACAAGGTGCCCCGAAAAGGAGGTCCTGGAATCACGCAGAGTGACCTGTTGGTGGTGAACAAGACGGATTTGGCGGAGGCTGTGGGCGCTGACCTGGGCGTTATGGAGAGGGATGCGAGAAAGATGCGGGAGGGAGGACCTACGGTGTTCGCGCAGGTGAAGAAGGACGTTGGCGTGGATCACATTGTGAACCTCATCTTGAGCGCGTGGAAGGCGAGTGGTGCAGAGGAGGAGAGGAGGAGTCGTGGAGGACCAAGACCGACGGAGGGTATTGAGGGGTTGAAGAAGGAGGCGTAGAGATCTGATGTAAACCAATAACAAGACTTACCCACGGTACATACCTACTCATCACTATCACAAGGGCATGGTAGAGACATCCCTGTGTCTGTGATTTCTGACTTTGACCAAATTTGTCGGCACTGTTCGTATATCACTCTAACATTGTATGCCTCAAAGCTGGATAGCAGCTGGTGCCAACCGGCGCCGGTCAATATTAATAGGGAGTGGCTATCCAACATCCTGTGTCTCAAATCTGGAGCTACCTAGGTAGTGATGAGAGCAAATACGAGAGGAATATATCGATAGTAGCAGATAGTAGCAGATAGTAGCAGATAGTAGCAGATAGTAGCAGATAGTAGCAGATAGTAGCAGATAGTAGCAGATAGTAGCAGATAGTAGCAGATAGTAGCAGATAGTAGCAGTATTAGCGACAGCAGAAGATATTCGAGAAACTGTATACTCAAGTAATGGTATTAAAGATCTTTCCTCTGCGTCTTGTTACGACATTCTAACTCCTCGTAATCGCTGGGATGCTGGATAGCCAACTTGGGCCACCGACACGGTAACTCTGTATGTCCCTACTCGGTTGGCCACCAACTCTTTCATTGGGAGCCACAAACCACTTCGAGGGACCCAATGGAGCCTGCCAGAGCTGCTGGACGTCACGAAGGCGAGGTCAAATCAAGACAGCGCAGAGACCCTACTCCTTACAGCACCATATTTGACAGCAGGCGCTGAATAGCTACTCCCTATTAATTCCGAAAAACATGGCAGCACATTTGATCAGTATTTTGCTCTGTTCAAACGCCACCTTTCCCATCAGTAGAACGGCAGATCACTTCACCGCCAAGGACCTCTTCAACTCAAGTTAAAAGAGCCTCTTCAATCTCGCCATCCACTCTTCTCACCAACTCTTCTCACCAACTCTCCTCCACCACCCTCACGCACAGCCAAGCTATTCACCAACTCATTGCCAGTCAAGAATCTTCGTCAAGCTCACATAGTCGTTTCTAGCATCAATGTCGTTCGACTTTCCCCGTCTCGATCCCTTCAACCCGCTATGCAAGATGCAGTCGCGTGTCCGTCAGTTTATGGACTTGCCTCTCGAGCTTAGACTCATGGTCTGGAAGTTCGCTTTGCGACCGCTAGATCCTGCTCGCCCCGGAGCTCACTTCTTTTCCGTGGTCAACACTGGGGAAGATGGGGACAAGGCGGCAAGAATCAGTGTCCGATGTAAAGGCCGTAACCGATATTGCTCCAGATACCACCTTGCAGCACCGAAGCTTGATTCTGAAGAAGGCAGCCCTTCTTGGACGAGAAAAAATCCATCTGCATACATCTGGGACTTTGGCCTATGGAGCGCATGTAGAGAGTCCAGACATGTTATTAAGGCACACTACGAGAAAATAATCTGCACTAAAAAGTTTCGAAATGACTCTACCATAACCCTATCCTTCGCCAATACCTCTATTTCGCTCAGTTTTCGACACAGTAAGGAGAGATGGCGCTTCTTTTTTCATCCAGACCAGGATCTGGTGTGTCTACAAGCATTCGATCCAAGCACTATCTACTGGTGGGAAGATCGCGCTTGTGGACGCGTGTGCATCACCAATACTGCTGCCAAACTTTTCAACACTATCAACTATTTTGATCGTCCCAGCTTATTAAGACTTGGCAATGTCGCGATAGCATATGACCCTAGCTGGAACGACATAGAAAAGGAAAGGGACAAATACAGTTTCCGCGGCCTTTACGAAGAGCAAAGTGCTCGAGGCTTCTTCATCCGTACCCTTGCCCTCATCGAACTCAATGCCCAGGTTCACTTCAAAAGCCCAACTTTCTGGCTTATAGATTACAATATCAATAGAATTCGTTTCCCAAAGAATACAAGAAAGGGAAGAAAAGTCTTCTACGGTAACGGTCAAACGTTTGCAGAGGTCGACAAGTCGTCGTCCAGACGCAGCTTCTCGTCTGGTGAATACAGTTCGGCGCTCGAGTTTCTGGATAACCTCGACATACTTCTTGGCGGTGACAATCCAAGCCACTCTATGATTCATGAAAGTGGCAGAGCTAGCTGTTATATTTGCAGTAATCCCTTTCATGGTACTAGGCCTTACCAGATCCATCGCCACGTTCGTGTGCTGATGTGCGAGAAGGGGAGCACATGAGGAAGTTGGCGGCTGGATCAAAGTGCTACCCATCCCGGTATGATGAAATCTTCACTCTGAAGAAGGGAAAAAGCGTATAATTGCTCTATATGGACTCGGGGATTTTTTTACTGGGCTGCTCGCAGTATGCGTCTACATCATTGCTCTTTCGTCGTGCTCAGAGAGTCGCACATTCTTTCTAGCTTAGGGAAATAAGTTATATTCGCTCAAAGGTTGCAAATTCATAAATCATATTGCAATAATAAATGCTTTCTACCTAATATTAATCTTTGGTGACGTAAAATGCATTTGTAGTAATATAGGCAAATGCCCAAGAGATGATTGCACCGATGCACCGAGAAACCTCTCAAGCACCCTCCTCGCATGCCAGGACCCGAACTTGGTCACTAATGAAGTGTCCGCCATCACCTCCATAGGATCGATCGGAGTCATATACATATCTGTATAGACAACAGTATTTGGGTCTGTCATCGAATAGCAGGTCGACGTCTTGTACAAACTCGAGCGCAGAACAACTCCAAGCGTCCGAATAGTCGCGCGAATACAGGTCAACTTGAACAAATCTTCGATCGTTCCCGTGAAATACTTTGCCCTCTTCCGATGGGGAATGATCATCCCTTTCTTTATCTCGCTTCAGACTGTAGTCGATGAGCCAAAGAGTTCTAGGGGCACAATAGTCTCGGTCGTCCATGGAAACTAGGGTGCGGATAAAAAGGCCTCGGGGACTCATCTCTTCAAAGAGATCAGATGCATTATGAATCTTATCAAGGCCATCGTACCAACTGGAGTCGTATTCGAATGCCAGGTTGGCAAAGCCACGCAGCGTCATATCCCAGCCAACTATGCAAAAATCGTTTATATGTTCATAGTCTTTGTAAAAACGGATATGCTTTGCGTTAATGGGCTGAAGGCAAACCAAATCTCGGTTTGGATGAATAGAGAAGCACCAATTTCCATCTCTGCGTGGAGAAAAGAATGGAATGCAGACGTCAACATCGTTGCAAAGACTGCTGTCGGCCTTTCCGAGGACTTTTTCTTGCTGGATCCTCATCTTCCAGTATTCCATTTTGTAATACTTTTCAATAATTTCTCTGGACTCTTGGCACGCACTCCACATGCCAAAATCCCAGAGATACGCAGATGGATTGTTGCTGGTCCATGAATGGCAGCTGCCAAACTTCGGTGCTGTGAGGGGAGATAGATAGTCATGCTCGGCTTCGCAATCAGGGCCCAGGTGGCATTGGACCTTGAACTCATTTATTATCTCGCCATCCTCATCATTATTGGGCACCGAGAAGAAATGAGCACCAGGGAGGGTCGGGCTGATTGGACGTAAGGCATATTTCCAGATTATGAGCCTTAGCTCAGTTGGCAAATTGATGAATTGGTGGAATTCGGACTGCATTGTATACAGAATATAAAAAGAAGGCCAAGGATATGGGAAATGTTGTAACTGATGGGCTGTACGAGCTTTCCGACCTGGAGAGTTGTCGTTGCGTTGGCAGGTAATAAATGGTAAAACGACTGTTATGGTAGAAGAAAGTAGCCTAGTAGAAGAAAGTAGCCATAGTAAAAGAGAGTTTCTAAAGGAGAAGAAAGTTTCTAAAGTAGAACAAAGTTTCTATACAACCAATTAGTGGCAGCAAGTAGAAAGTAAGGACTACCTCTACCAAATTAGGCTCCTAGATATTAGATCCACACGGTATTCGGCAGATTCCGTCCGGAACGTCCGTCCATTGTTCCCAGTCATCGATATATTTTGTCTTGTTCAACGCACGCAAGTCCCTTTATATTGGCAAATCAGCTTATGGCCTCCTGTATTTGTGCATAGTTATCAGAGAAGATACCCTGCCTTCGATATTGTATAACCTACTTCGCGAGACCCCTTCTGTTATACGTTAGTGAGGCCAGCTTGAATATGATTCCTTAGTATCCAACTCACCGCGGGCATTTTGACTTTCTGCAATGTAACGCAATTGTAAGTACATGAATCACATTCCAAGGACAACACAGTAAATACCTTCGCCGGCGGTTTGGCCGGAGCGGGCTGCATCGATAGTTAAAATGCTGTCAAGGTGATTCAAAGAATCGTCTCGCACCTGTTCATTGACACGCTGAAACGACGAGTCAGTAATGTTGCCAGTTTCACTCAAAACAAGGAAGTGGCTGTGGGAATGGATATGTTTGTACGTACGGTCATTGTGAAAATAGACCTCTGCTAGTATGCAGTGTCGTTAGTACACCTTGAGTCGCTCTACAGTTTGCTGTCGATGGAGACGAACTGGTGATATATCTGAATGAAGACGGGGTCGAGGATTAGGCGGCTGAAACGAAGGCTCGGTGGCTCGGTTGCGAAGTGCTTACGATGTAAGTGGTTGCTATAAAACATGGGTCAGTATCATGATCGAATCTTACCAATTGCTCCATCAACAGATACGGGCAGCTGGGAATTCATTCGGGATACTTACAAAAACGACTCCGCGTGGGACTTGGAGAAGAGGGCCCTGTTTCTTGCGCCACGAATGGTCGGAGCTCTATCAGGCGCTCTTTGGTCGCTTGCTGCATCACCGGGGTTGACTGTCGAGATTGGCCGTGGCTCGTCCCAGGTTGCTTGTTGTTCGCATTTCCAGCAGCCTCATGATAAACTTGATACACTTGACTCGAGCCACTGTGCCTCGCTTCAGAGAGCGTGTGGCTCCCGCTGCTGGGCTCTTGCCGATGAAGGCGTTGATGCCAACGATGGATAAGGTCTGCAGAGGTAAACGGTAGGAGTTGTGTGCGATGATGAAACGTTGTTTCAGCTTTCAAGTTGGTTTGGAAGTTGTTGCAATGTTTTGGTTTGGCTGTGCGAAGGTGTGAATTGCGAACCTCAGGCAACACTTGGCCGGCACTTTGCCAGCAACTGCTCGATACTCCTATCGATACCAGAGACCGGTCCTTCCATGTTTGTGTAAATGGAAGTTTTTGCAAATGATGGGAGATTTTTTTCTTTTCCCTTCTTCTTCTTCTTTTTTTAAAGCTCTTCGTCCCATCCCGTCGTAAGTATTCCGTCGAAATCTCCCCCTTTCTCCTCGCCTCCTACCATGTCGCCATTCCATGAGATCCACACGCTGACTTTTGATTCCCAGTAGACAATTCTTTTCTCTGTGAGCAATGGCCGGCCCAGCGATCAACTTCACATACTTTCGTCCATCGGCTGACCGTCTGCCCACTCCGCGAATGCCAGCTACACGATCAAAGGTCAGTCTCCGTTGGCTGGGTTCTGTGGAACTGTCAAACATGATTTGGCTGATAGTCTCAAACAACAGCAGATTCAATCAAAAATGGCGGTATGTACAAACATCTGTCTTATCGTATGCCTGACAAGAGTGCACGTGCTTACTTCATGCAGCCCAACAACGACAAAGCCCCCGTGGTAAGTTTGCCCCCGAGCGACGACACGCATCTAGGTATGTTGGCTTCTCTGACGTGCAACAGAAGGGATCCCGCAAGGCAAGTTACTATGTTCGAAGACTCGACGGGTCTCGTCTTCGGCTAACGGGAAACGGCTATACACAGGAAGCAGAACTGGAGATTGCGGTAAGGATTCACTGCTTTATAATAGACCCACAGGCGTTGACTACCTATTGACACACTCTCTAGAAGTTCGCCGACATGTTGCTGGTAAGTTCAAGCTAGGTTGCTCGCAACATTTTCAAGTCGAACCAAACTAACCAAACTTTTCTCGTGTAGCAAGTCAACCAGGAGATTGTGGTGAGTTCAACCTTCTCAGTTCTAGTATGTCTCCATATAACCTAACAAGGTTGGTATCAAAGGAGCTTGAAGAGAAGAAGGAAGTAAGTGTTTTTCTTCTTCCTGGGAATGATTCCGTACTAATGACATAAGCTTCTCCAACATCGTGTTGAGGTATGTCATTGTATCGATTCCCATCCTCTGGAATATTATAACCTAACTTCAATGCCAAAGTTCTGGGAGAAGAGAGCGCTTGCGGTAAGTGTCGATTACCTTCTTTTATTGATGATTGATATTGATAGTTTATAGCTCAATCGTCCTCAAAAGGTTGGTATATCCATTTTTCTACGGTGATCGGCGTTATCACTAATTCGGCATCTCGGGAACGTTGTAGGACATCAAGGCCATGACGGCTGTAAGCATCCAATTCCATACGTAGCTGTGAAAAGAATGGAGACTGACATATATAGACCATGATTGAGCAATGTGTGAGTACCTATATTCATATACACTAGGCCTATACTACTAGGTACCTAGGAAATACTGATGAAACTGCTCGCGTAGGGAAAGGAAGCCGAGGAGGAGCTGGCGAAGGAGAAGGCCGAGAAAGAGGCAAAGTAATTTTGCTTTTCTAATTTTTTTTTAAAAAATAAATAAATAATCACTTTGCGGCTCTAATTTCCTTCGTATTGGTCTCTTCACTCCGCACTCGAAAACACACTTCATGAAGTCGTTTTACACATTCTACTCTAAATACAATATCTTCAGTGGTTATATATACACATGTGTAATATGTACAGAATTAAGTGAGCCTAAACGCCTCATTTTTTAGAAGAACGTGGGGCAGGATTTGAGTCCATCCATCATGTTGAATTCTCTCTTTACCTTATGCGTACCGTTTGAAGCAATCAAGTCATATGTTCGGATATAAGTTCCAGCTTGGTTGTTGGGTGGATCTTGAGGAATGACTCCTGTGGTAATGGAGGCATTATAGAGCGTGTATCCTGATCCCGTAATTGATCCAGCCTTAACAAAGTCGAGGGGAATGGACCCAACCGCGGGAGTAAGAGACAACAGGGGCTCTGGGACATGTACTATAGCTTTTAATGAGCTGAGATGGGAGTTATCGCGGATCTATTTTACAGTGTTAGATGCCATTTACAAACGCCGAATTGAAAGGGTGAAGCTTACCGCAACAGTCAAGTTCATTAATCCCTCGGAGTGCACTTCAGAGCACGAGAGTTGCGGCTGTGTGAGAATAGTGTCATCGAATGGGAAACCATGGCCTCCATTTGTATGCAGAGTGCTGTTGATCACCCCGTTGATGTTATCGACAACCTCGACGTCAAAGCTAGAAATGCCCTGGGCAAGAGGTACCTCTACTGAGAAGGGGTACGTCCAGAAAGTGAGTGGGGGGTTTCCGTACATGACATGGCCAGAAGCGAATGCTGGGATGTTGTTGCTAACAGTGCAAGGCTTAGCTGGTGAGCATATCACCCCAGCACGAGGATGAATGTGAAGCTTGATGGTGCGATTGGGGTTGGCCGCGACAGAGCCGATGACCTGTGATTTCCTCCGTTAGTGAATCTTTCTTTATGCTTGCATCGATAACGATGAAAGAACTAACTCTGATATAACCAGTCATAGTCATAGTTCCATTGGAGTTAATGGTAGCAAATAGACGCGATGGCTTTACGGGATAAGGCTGGAGAGGCTCAGTAAGAGTCACACCCTTGGGGACCGTGTTAATCATTCGTTCGAGCAGATCTTGGCATGTCTTGTAGAAGTAAGCAGGGGAAGTGGCCATGCGTCCGATTTCGATGCCCCCATCCGAGCCAAAGATTCTCGCGTCGGATCTAGTGGTCTCATTGTGGCCAAAGGCAAGCGGGTTCTGCGTGACGTTGTTCACATATTGAACAGCGCTTGCTTCATGTTAGTGAGTAGTCCCTTTCAAGCAAGCAAGTGGTAGTATTAAGCTTACACGGTGTTGTCGAAGGCTGTGAATCCGGAGTTAGTCGTGTCGAATGTCTGTGTGTTGTCATCTGTGGCCTGTGTATAACCGTTAGCCTATCTGTGATTTCGAATAGGCGAGCCCCAGTCTCGTAACCATATTGACATGGCCAAAAGAGTATCTTACCGGATCATTTACGACGGGCACAATCTCCGGGAAATCCACGCCGTGAACTCCTCCAAGGGTATGACCACATGCTACCAAGCCAATCATTTCTTGCGGAGAGAATCCCTGCTTCTGGAAGCTAGTAATGTGTTCATCCAAGGGCTGCTCCGGCCTGGGCACGCCTGTCGGACCCGGGCCAGTAGCATCAACTCGGCCGGCTCGGAAGGGAATCTCGACGCTTCCATTTGAGCAACCATTTGCGGCAAACAGCGCCCCCAGAGCAATGAGATCCGCCATCGACGACCGCGGCGTCAAAAAGGCAGTCAGATTGATCAGTGTCTCGTTGAATCCAATACCCGGGTTCTCGTCGCGGTTGACTTCATATCCAATCGACGCGTCGATACCTCCTATTCCATTCGCAACATCCGCAGTCGCCATGTCGTGGTATGCTGTACGCAGCCATTCTGCAGCACCGTTGCGGCCAGTGCCAAAAGAAACCTTTTCACAGGGCACAATGAAAGTTGCAGGAGAGTTGCCGGAGTTGAAGCCCTGTTGCTCATAGAGCATGGACTCGAGCAGGTCGGTTTTCGCGGGCCAGATGTTTCCCTTCTCGGCATAAGCAGAGCCTGCTACCAAGCCGAGCTTGGTGATGGCGGAGAGAAGGCGATTTGACAGCACCATGGCGACAGTTTGGAAGTGCGTTACACCTATAGATTTCAGTAAACTGGTGGCTTGTCGCTCTTATTATGGATGCTTCAACAATACGGCAGAGGCATCTTATATACAATCCACCTGCCACGTATGGTACGGGGTCGGAACTGAGAGCAACGTTGTGCCCATATTCTTGGCCAAAGGCCATCCCTGGCAGCCATTCCCAAATTTTGATCACCTTCCTCTTAGGACAGTATATGAGCGCATTGAGTGAGGAAAAGGCCCTGAATTATCAACGTAATACAAAGCACAAAGGAAATATACCGTGGTTACAAACTGGCACTCGCCTGTGTTTAATAGCTTAAACGCCATTGGGTGCCTCGCGCAGCGGTCCGCCCGTAGCGCTGCCAATCATGCAAGGGCGAATACGACCTGCCTATAAGGCGATATCTATTGTTCAATTTAGTATAAGGCGAGTGCGTGTTATAAACAAGGGACTGCTCTAAGCCAGGATCCTTCTGATCTGAAAACTTAGAGTTGGGTGAGATTTTAGCATACGGGGCACTCAAAGAAGCCTTATAGCGGTTCAACGATCCACTGGTGCCTTGTGAAATCTCGCTCGGTTTCCGGACGCATCGAATGACATTTGCTTGGGTATCGAGAAGTCAGCACCTGGCTAACCTCTACGGGCATGTGAAGCTGACAACTTGGGGCCTGTCCGTATTCCCGCCCAAATTTTGACCGGTACAGTATTACCCGGCTGCTCTGTATGGGATAGGAATACCAACATGGTGTAGTGTACGGAGTATGTAAGATGATGCAGCCTCGCTGTTGAACAGGATGTTGCAGGCTTACCACAGCTCGCACGATCTCGTCATCTTTGGTGGCATTTCTTCTCTTTCGGCTGTTTGTCTCTCAACGCTAAACAAAGGATAAAAAAAGTAAGGGAATGACTATTCAGCAACTCACGTTCGCGATTCAGCATCCAGTTCTCAAATATAAAGCGGCATAGATAATAATAATAGCAGATAGTAGAGGAGAATATAGATAGTAGCAGGAAATAGCGATATTTGCAGAAAGTAGCGAGAATAGTAGATGCTCCAAGAACCGTATATTTAATTAAGTAATAGTGATAAGAAAGATCTTTATTCTGCGTCCTTACGATATCCGTAACTCCAGTCTGTTTAATCGCTGGGGTGCTGGATAGCCCTTCCCAAAAGTAAGTATGAAGAACCTACCTTGTATGTCGGTTTACTTGAGCATATTAATTTTGTATGCGTATTTTGAACAATGATTCCGACATTTCAAAGTTTAATTCTGCCTCCCGATGCGCGCGTACCTGCACGTATCCATAGGTAGGAAGAATCCCGTTGCATGTTGAAGTTTATAGACACTTACTTGTATCTATTATGGGAATATGAGCCACTTACAACAACATGATGAATCTGCACATACGAGCACGCCGCCATGTCTGCCCAGAGTCTTTATTCTCTGCTTCGTTGGATATTTAATTGTCTAATTGCTAATCCTTATGCCCTCCAGATCTTCTTAATAGCCTCGGTAACGCTAATATCGTTGGTCTTAAACTTATACAATCCTACGCCGACGGTGACGGTCGCTACATTTAGGCCCCATTAGAAGATCATTTGCAGGCTGGAGTAGCGAGTCTTAGGGATATAGTTGATAATAACAGACTGGAAGCTAATGTAAGAGTGTAGGAGGATAGCAGAGCATAGGATAGCATCGGTGGTGGGGTTAAGGGAGCCAGCAGCGAAAGGCGTAATAGAGAAAGGCATAAAACCGGCGGCGAGGAAGCGCTTAAAGGTCTAGGGGTAGGAGCTGTACGCGGTGTTAGGGTTAAGAATGGAGATAGGGTCCTTAACTATAGCCTTATAGTTAATTATTATATAGGTTTAATATGTAAGAGTGCAGTATATTACTTGTGTAATATACCTGTACCCTTAATTTACTTTATATAGACGCTGTGTTAGTAAGATTTTAAGTCTTTTTATTGAGTGGCCTGTTTATTGAGTGGCTGAGGGGTTCTTACGAGGTCCTGGAGGTAGAATAGTAGAGCGCTGGGTAGTGGTGTAGAAAACTAAAGCTTTAATAACGTTGCTTCAGAAAGTTAAGCCTGCAATAAGCTGCCAGCGCAGTCTGCTGCAGCAGAGAAAGTCGTACAATCTATGCCATAGTTAAATGAAGCGGAGATAGTTGGATTTGCGATTGTAATGTGAAAATGGCACCCAGACGCTTCGCGCTAGCAGAATCACAGCTCCAGCAAGATTAGTTTCGGGACAACGGGCAGGATGGACGAAACTGAAGAGGCAGGGTCAGTCTGATTTGTTGAATTTTTTAACTATATGTGTATGATAATGGGCAAGATGCCGTTTTGTAAATTTGGAGAGAGGTGCTGGGATGATCGTTCAAATACGGCGATCAGAGGGTGTGGAGCGTCAATAGCGAACAAACTATGACAGGAACCAGATCTCGCGATCTACGGGTTCACCCAAGCAACCGGAAATACCCGAGTGGCGTAGATAAACTTTACAATAAACTACAAGCTAGAAGATTCACACGAGAGTCATCTAGAACCTTAGATCTGGCGGAAACTTGGGACGTCATAACCCCCCTCAACCAAGATGTTTAAACACCAATTTTTCGACTTAGGGGAGCTTCCATCCTCGCATTGAACAGTCATTGCAAACGTGTGCATGCCATCTACTCTACCCCTTAGAGATCAAAATGTCAAAGACAGCTGCTCTTGTATCCGAGGGTAAGTTTGCCTTTACCAACGGCTTCTTCTTCGCGGAGGCATCCGATCATCGGCACCGACGGGCGACTCAAGAGGAACTAAGAACCCATTTCGCGTCCGGTAGTGATAAAGATTACACTGCCCATTGGTTTGAGGCACAGCTCATCCACTATGGACTCCAGCCATCAAAGGTGAAGTCTGTAGCACGTATGCGACTATTCGATGCTGTTCGTGATGGAACTCTATCAGTGCCATCTCACATTACAGAAGTGGAGAACAAGTTGAAGAAAGAATGGACGAAACGGGACAGGGCAGAAAAAAAAGCAGCAAAGAATGTGAGTTCGACCGCGGTGCCTCAGGTTGAGGCCACGGAAAAGTCAACTAGAAAAAGAAAAGCAGATGTCACGGTCAATGTGACCATCAATGCAAATCATCTGGGGAACACCGCTTCATCAGCGCCAATAGCAAATGAATTCAAGAGAGCTAAGGCATCAAAATCATCAGAAAATGGCTCTGCACCAATGCCGCCTCGGTTTACGATGAGACAGACGGCACGTCGTGGCGGTAGCTCACAAAGTTCGAGGCGCCCAGAACCTGTGACACGCACTTCTCCTGCTCCGGCTCCTCCAATTAGTTACATGGCCAGACGTGGTTCTCTTTCTGTTTCACATGGTCGTGTTCAATCCTCACGAGCTCAAAGCGATGTATATAGTGATTACACACATGTGGACTCCTTCGATGAGCCACCTCCGCCGTACAAGGATTATTGTGAGGACAGCAGTCGTTATGATGGAACGGCTAGCCTCTTACCCCTTGGCCTCCTAAATAGTCGATACGATATCAGCTCTCCCTACGTCGAATCTCAATGGCCTCGGTATGCCTCGGAGCTCAGTCTTGTGTTTACTATCGCTGGCTCTAGCTTATGGGGAAGATTTGACTTCGGCATCATTGAGGGGGTGCTATACTTTGAAGAGCGGCCGTGGAGCTCTTCTTATGATAGCATTCCATTCTTTTGGCGCGGCCGTGAGGCCGAAGGCCCTATTTCATATGACGATGAGAATAATAGAGGCTGGATAAAGTTTCTTGGTGATGGTCGTATCGAAGGATGGATTGATCACCAAGGGGTCCAATTCGAGGGCCAGCGACTACCAGGTCAAGGCACTAGGAGCGAAATTGATGCAAGCACTATGCAGAATGAATGGGATCTGTATACTGAAGAAGAGTACAATCGGCTGAATGAAGCACGCTGGAGATAACCTTGTTACTTGAGACTAGGCTAAAAGAACAAATGGAGGCTGCGATTGGAACTAGACGCGTATGTGTTCCTACGCTGAGTACAGTGGCATCCTCGCCCTCCTTTTAGCTGTTCAAATCTATTGACTCTAAATGCACCATAGTTTTTCCAATTTACTCTTGTCTAAGTCTTCCTAAACTCTATGCTAGCTTTTGCCGACTTGATCTTCTCCATGAGCAGTTTGGGGAGCTGTTTAATGTCGTTCGACTCTGATCTCAAGGCCTTGGCGCTGGATTGTATGAACCGCTCTTCAAAAATGCTCCAAAGTCTCTGATTTGCCGGATTCACACTACAGGGTCGTGGATAGTATGGATCGTTGCCCCAAAATGCGTTACTGGCTTGCTCGATGCCTTTTTCGTCGAGAGTCAAATCCCTGCACAAGTCAAAGTCCAATATCCACATTGTATGAGGGCCTAGTATGTCGGCATTATTTGAGTGCCCCCCCTCAAGTTGCATCTGATTTGAGACAGCATCAGGTTGGCTTCGAGGCTGAGCGAGTACATATTCGACATCATTGCCATCCACCTTCGCAACCCAGTGCAGGAAAGCCAAAGCATCGGCCATTGCCATCGCATAATCTCCTGGGTCAATCCCCAAGTGTTCCATCTGGTCCAAATGTAGTGGGAAGTTCCGTAGACTGAATGCTCGTAAACGTTGTCTCGTTTGTCCAGTGGTTTGTTCGGTCTCACTGCGACGATATCTTCGGCGACCAAGGTACGGTCGAATAAGGCAATGCTCGTTGTTTTGGCTCTTCAAAACGCTCTCTTCATCCACATCGGGTCGAAAGTTTTGAACAATGAGCCTTCTGGTGGAAGATGGGAGGGGTATTATCTTCTCGCTGACAATGGCGTTACATCCTGTGTAATTTTCAGGTAGTCGTGGTAGGACGCCCGACCAAGCTGTGATATCTTGGTAGCTTAGATATCCAAAGGATCGAGGTATTGCAAAAGAAGTGATATCATATAGTAGAGACGCTTCGAGTAATTTCCGATGCATCTGGTATTCATGCAAGATTGACCTCCCAGTACTGCCATCCTCGCGTTTCATGGCTAAATGATGATGCCCAGTGCAATTCGAACAAAGGACTGCCCACACCGTCCCGCAGCGGCCTTGACCGATTCTTTCTAGCTGTGTCAATCTATGAGTGACAGCGAGTTCTCCAATTTCCAGCTCCATGTTCATATTCTGCGGGTTCCTCTCTCCGAGACTTATTGTAAGTGAAGTTCGTGAGTGTAGCTGTAGTCGAAGTAGTTGACGCGATAAGAAGTGGTTCAGTTGAGGGGTAATTTTTGTTTGCTTCGGGAAGATGAGAGATGGAATTCTTAGTCAAACACACACAACAAACCTACACAGAGTGTAGAGTCATTTTAGTCGAAGCTTGATCGCCTGTCTTTTGTGGCTGCTTGTTAGGCTCGTTTAGCCGCATGTAAATCATAAGTATTGCGCATGACTCACTTTATTGGTACTGTGCATTTTGTGGGCTTGTGCTTGGTATTTTGTTCATGGGTATCTCAAGTATGTACGTTTCCTACAAATAATCACCCCATTCACTTCCTGAAAAGCCGATATCTATTTCACTCGACATTCATTGATCTCCTCGTTTATCTCTTTCAGGTTAATAGTCTACTATAGGAAGCCCTAGGTCTCCATCGAATCTTCATTGAGCTAAGGAAATGGGTTAGTACATCTTACACTTCCTAGAGCCTAGTAGAGAAAAACGTACATCTTCTCACACAAATGCCGTTGTTGGTTGTGAAACTTAAGTAAGAGCGGTCTTTGGCTATCCAAAGATTCGTCATCTTCGAATTCATCATCGATGATCATTCTAGCAAAAGCTCCATAGTGGACGGCATCTTCTCCCTCCCAACCATAGTTGAGATCCCACTGCTCTTGAAAGAGGACGTCTTGTATCCGTGTCTTGAAGTCAAGCTCGCGATATACTTGGCGAAAAATCTGCACACTAATTTCGTCTCCCATATTAAAGGCATCTCGCACCTCACAGAAGTAGGAAATCCAGGAGTTTCCAAGACTCCGAGTTGCGACGCCATATTCTGGGCATAGCTCACACAATCCGAATTTTAGCGCCTGATAAAAGGCATATTCAACGCCTCTCTTATAATCTGGCTTCACCTTATTGCGAGACCACTCATCAAGAAGGCCGATGAAGCCATATAAACGGTCCCGTATGTCTGAGCATTGCAACCTGCCAAATTTACGCATAATGCCGTGAAGATCGTCTGAAACTCGCGATTGATATGGCACAAAGGTCATTGAAGGCTTGCAGAGACTCGCAGTCATGTCTTCCAGAGTTCCAATAAGGCATCCTTCCATAGTGGTGTCCTTGGTCATCCGAGGAACGAGTCTCATCCTGTGAGCGAGGATGGCCTCTGAGGGACAACGTAGTCGGCTTGCATCGCTTCTCGACACGCTAGGTCTTCCATCCGCACTGAATTTCGTTTGAACTTGTTCACTATCTTGCGGTGTTCTTCCCAGAAGGGTGGGTAAAAATGTAAAAGGTCCGCACCATATCTCCAAGTTTGAGGAAAGCAAAACCTCTTGTACCACCCAGACGCGGGTCCAATATTGCGAATAGCTGAGGTATTTGAGTGCTTTCCATTCTCGCTCTGACCAGTCCGTGCAGGAAACTTCGGATGCTTGGGTCAAAGTTTGGCAGCCCTTGTTATGCTCTTGCGGCAATATTCCAAGCCAAGAAATGACGGATGTTGCGCGGCTATAGACCAAACCCATTGCTTGGACTTGCGCTTGTCGCTCGTCATAGTCGAGCTGGTTGATGCACACGGCATCAACAAAGAAAAGCCCATGTTCTTTCCTAGCTGCTGCTGAAGCAAGAAAGTCGAACAGATTCTGTCGCACAAAATATTCCTGGTTGTTGACTCGTATTGTTTGGAGGTCGTCCGCTGACGTTGCTTTTCCCCATGTATAAGACAGAGCTCTATAAGGGGTAGCAGACAGATTTTCTAGCGACACCACAACAAAGTCGTATTGCCAACTGTGAGATGTTGGATGCTGCGATATCTGCAGCAGCCGGGTTTCTGTTGTGCTTTTGATGATGGGATGTCGAAATCCTGACTTGCGATTCAAGCTATTGTCGATGCTATCATCCATGGTGATTTGTTGTTTCTTCAGGGGCGTTCATAGCAAAATGTTTCTAAACCGCAATGTATGCGTAGGGATGCCTATAACTTGATTACCCTCTCTCATCAATCGATGCAAGTCATGCTCGTTGACACTAGGCTGCGGCCAAATGTGATTGGATGGCTCAACAAGTGTGCCTTACGGCTTATTTTCTGCCCAACCAAACCTTTTGGAGGCCTTTGTAGATGATTCGCATCATGTGCAATGCGGCGCAGCCGATCTACGTGGAGTTCAAGCCGTCATAATAAGACGCAGGTTATTGTTACTTGAGTAGATGCACGGTTGTTTGGCTGTATTCTACTGTCGCTATTAACTCTACTTTCTGCTACTATCGATATATACCTTTACTATCGATATATTTCTCTATTCTCAAGTGGCTTATTTAACTGATAGCTAGTGAAGTATAGCACTGAGTACGAACGTTTGTTCCTATGGTCATGGGACATTACGGCCTTGAGTGCCAAACATCCACCATGGCAATTATTTATATTAGTCGCATGTCGAAAGAATAAATTTCTTATATTTATTTACGTTAAATATATTTAGCTAGGGAGTTCACAACTTACTCACCAGCAGCGATTCATAAATGGCTCCACAACGATCATAGGCAGTGTTATCCTCCGCCCATTAAGATAGCAACACTCTTATGTTTCATAAAAACCACTGGATTTCAATAACAATATTTCAATTCCTATACATATGGTAGCCATGAGATTTGTTGTCCATGCAATTGGGATCTCTCCAAGGCTTACGACACATTATAAAGAGCAACATTATACTATTTAGCCTCCATCCATTCCATTTTCAGCCAGCCCAAAGCAATACACTGGTTTTGAGATGCGGCCTCCTGTTACGCGAGACGGCTGTTGACGAAAGAAAGAGCTTGCTGGCCGTACACCTGTCCATAGCTCTGGTGAGTGTTGGCGTTGTTTCCATTGCAGCAGTATGGGTCTGAGGCATCGCAGTAGGACTTGATCTTTGATCCACTGGGGCAGACGAAGCCAACAGGGCGGGGAGCAAACTAGCAAGCGACACGTCATTAGAAACAACTCTGAATGAAGCTCATTTCTCACAAGATGGAGAATACGTACACCCTGAGCAGCGCAAGATCCAACATTGTACGCCAGTCCGCGGACATAACGAGGGTCGCCCATAAAGATGGCGGCCCGAATGGCGCTTACTGATGCCGCAGAGAGAGGAACAGCAGTGTTAGGGTAACCTTCAGCAGGGTCACCTCCTCCACATAGGGCATCATCCATGATTTGGCCACCCTGTGTGATTTCTAAGTAAGTTTTTTATATTCCATAAACACACTCAAGAGACACAAACCTGTGAGTATCCAACCAACACAAGCTTAGTGTTGGGGCATCGGTTATGGAAGTTGTTTACTGCTTGGACAACGGCATTGATACCAGCCACCACAGAGTTGGCATAGCTGACACCACCGCATTGACTCTGACCACCGCAAGCTGGGTAGTTGATGGCCTCGGATGTTGTCCCGGGGTGGGCATTGACAATCAAGTTCACAACTGTAGCGGAAGAACCATATCCTGGAGGTGCTGTGGTTTCACGAGCGCCAAAGACGTGGATTCCGGGACATTGACGTTTCTCCAGATCCATTGGGCTAGCCGTGGCGAGAAGAGCCTGGCCCAACAAGAATGTAAGGGCATTCTTAATCGACGGCATTTTGACTTTGATGACAGAAAAATTGATGAGTAGAAGTCAGTAGTGTGAGGTAAATGAATCGCAGGATGCTGGCTTTCCAGGGCATGATGTCGATTAGAGAAAATAGGAGATTATATAGGAACCAATGCTTGTATGAGGTAGCCCGATGATATTGACGATTGACTCTATTCACAACGTCAAAGGGATTTTCTTCGCTGGTTGTTCATTCCGCGACAAAGCCTCAATTCGTTCTAGTTACCGTTGTATTCCTTTCCCCCAGCCAGCCATCCAGAGCGTCATGCTGAGGTTTAGGCTAAATCAACTCCCATTGCAGCCATTCACCCCGATTGGATGCTTTATTGTTCATTGGTCTGCGAAATTTTCCTGACCTTCGCATCGCTACACATGGAATAATGTGTGAATGGAGGTCGTCAGCTAGCTTGCTATCATATTTACCTAAAAAAAAACTGAGGAATCTCACCTCAATCGTCTTAACTAAACCCTTTAGACCGAGGAGCCGACAATGTGCAAGCATCTCAATAACGCCGTTTAATCAATGATTAAATGGTCCATCTCCTCTTTTCCCGCATCCGCGTATTCGTTGGTCACGGCATTTACTCCAACCTTCTGCATTGAGAATGCACAATACTATGTTATGACCACCGGGTAAGTTGCTCAACAATGCGAATTGGCTTCGATCTTACCATAAGCAGTCACAGCCACGTAGTCACTTCAGGTTGGGGCACCTTCGATCTTTACAGATCGACAGATCAAAATCTCAACAAAAAATAAAATTCTCATTCATAGCGACTCAAATAATATTCATCTAGAAACTTGGAAAATTCTTAGCTACCATCCTCTTAAAAACAAAAGGGCCACGTACAAGGGCCACGTACCCAGCATCCTAGCCTCCATTTCCCGTACTTTCATTCATCTACTTGCAGGCAACCTCATGGAAGTCTTACCAAATGGGCCGAGAAATGGGGGCTGGGAAGTAATATAAACCCCACATTATGGTCGGATGCTTATTGTGAACAGAGTTATGAAGGGTCACTGTGATGCGACCTCTCGGCAATTTGTCAACGTGGAAGTGCTGAATCCTGATTACATAATTGGCAGGCTAATTCACATCTACTTAGCCGGACGCACCCCAGATCTGCAAGGTCAGTTGCGACCATCCGAAGCCTGACTTAAGGTTGGAATGAGCCGGCATTAGAGTGTTGATGTCAACCTTGCTCTACCTGCTGGGGATGACTTGGCACGCAGCATGGTTATTAACTTGTTATGGAGATGGCATTGAACCGGCATTTGAGAACTTTAGGCAATATTCTAGTCTCATGTATTGACAAAAGATGAAGAGTCTGGATCCACAAGTCTTTGCGGTCAAGTATCAAGGCGACTATGCCTGAGGACGGTTTCTAATAAGTGATTCAACCCAAGGGTAAACATGATTACTAGTTACAGCGTTTTATAAAATATTTTTCGTCTCAACATCTGAAACTATGGATTCCTATCCATTGTATGAAGATCTCTTTCCATTTCCCACCGGAGTCATTACTCAAACATCTGTCTTTATTCCCCCATGTTGATGCGCTTCTATATTGACAATTGATGAAGCGCTTTGGCCCTTCTGCATGGATTGACCGTATCTGGGAGATTGCTTGACTTCTGATTGGATTCGTTTTCTACCCGAGTAGGCATATTTGCTTGAGAGGGCTTGAGAGGGGATATTTCGATACCTCTCTTTTCTTTCTTTCACAGTCATCACTGAGGTTGAGTTAGCGTAGTACTCTTTCTAGATTCTTCCTTAGGTTATTTAGATATCGAAAAACTGAGCGGTAGTGCGTCGCATATTTGTGAATGCGGTGACAATATAAGGCTTGCCGGACAAGATATGTTTATAGGTCGCCTTTCGCCGTGGTCAGAAACGACGCCGGCAAACCAGACGCCGATTTCTTCCGAAGAAGCTACCTCTCATGATTGATAGCCCAAATGGGAAGAATATGATGAATGCACCGTCTATACACATTGCCATCGAATACAAACGGAGAAAGCCCTTCAAATGCGGTGGCTCGGCAGCGGTGGCCCTACCGGCTTTCCACATTCTAAACTCATTGTAGGGGCGATCTGTTAAGTCATACAGTACTATGCTACTAATGAGAGACACTCCAAAGAAGATTATCGTAATACTTCATCTACCATCGTTTTATTCTGTCACCTAGCTGCTACTTCCTGTTGTTAATGTGATTGTAACCAATATTGATGTTATTACCGGGTTGCTATTCTCAGTAAGAAAGCGCGTTTTCATGAAAATATTACCGCAGGCTTGCTTCTATTACTTTTGGAACTATTAAACATCGGTGATTTCGGAAAAGGGAGTCCACACGGAGTAAAAGCTTGTAAACGCAGTTCCTTGAAGTGTTCCGTGCATTGAGAGGCACTCTGATATTTGACTCTTAAATAAAGAGTAACGTTTCCACCTATGAGAACCCCTCGGATCCCATTGGCCTTCATATCCTGAAGAAACATACCCTAGTCTAGTTGTTGATCCATATCCAGAATTGCAACTCGGTGTCGTACTGGGCCGGAAAAATTGATTTCGCATGTGCAGGGCTTATAATTGTAAATATTTTCGAGAACCAATCAACAGGACCCATGGCGCAACGGTAGCGCGTCAGATTCCAGCTCGGAATCTCCTGAAGGTTATCCGTTCGAATCGGGTTGGGTTCAATACCCTTCAACTTCTCTTTTTGTCCCCACTGTGACAGGCTCACACTACTCCATCTTTTTAGAGTGGATATGGACTGAGAGGGATTTACAAGGATCCGCAAGGGGTGTCCATCTCGTTGCGCCCCGTCGACCTATTGGTTCAATCTTTTTAGTTGGGTATTGGTGTGGTCTACTTGGTGGACATGGCTAACTGAACCACGGATGAAAGAGAGAACCTGCACTTTGTACTTCCTTGAAAACGCATCAAATTCGAAGGTGAGTGTAGACACCTTCTGGTCTGTTTATAAACAGTTCTACTAATAGACATGGTAGTATCAAAGCTGAATGTTCAGGTCTAAAGCCTAATCTATGAGTCTAGGCTGAAAGGTTGAATGAAGAGCTCACTCTCTATGCAAGATTTCAATCAAAAACAACGCCGTTCCTAAGCGTTCCAATGCCGGAAATATTTACTTCCATGCTTGTTCCTGGCTGCAACCACTTCGGTGGGTTGAAGCCTGCTCCCACTCCTAGTTGAAGGATTAGCTGATGCTCAAGGAATATGCGTTGCCTGGACATCGATAAGACTCACCACCAGGCGTTCCAGTCATGATCACACTTCCAGCTTCGAGAGTTGTACCCTGACTTAAGTAGCTTACAAGCTCAGCGCAGTCAAATAAGAGATCTGAAACACCCTCGTTTTGGCGGATTTCTCCATCGACAATTGTCTTTAATTGAAGCTTTGACGGATCGTCAATCAACTCAGACGACACGAGGCAGGGGCCTAACGGAGCATATGTATCGAATCCCTTGCTGAAGCCCCATTGAGGCACAGGTCCTGCCAATGCTTTATCTCGTTGTAGCTTGCGTGAGGAAATGTCGTTACCACAAGTATAGGCTGCGATGTAAGAAAGTGCATCTTCTCGAGAAACATTCTTGGCTGGTTTCCCAATCACAAAACAAAGTTCCCCTTCATAATCTGCCTGTTCATCCTGTGCGATCTTTGGAATGTGGACCAACTCATCGTGGCCAATGAGGCAAGTTGACGGCTTGAAAAAGATGAAAGGAAATGGTGGGACAGTTCTGTTGGCTTCCCTAACTGTCGGATAGTTAGACTGGTTTCTGAGACAGAAATGAACAAGGCCTCCACTGACTGTGTTTAGCGTAATTGAGCCCTACACATCTAAGTATAGGCACCTCCTTTTGTGTAAGTGGTCCAAGTAATTTCTTGACTGTGACGACTTCTTCCGTCACCTTCGTTTTCCCTGTGGTATCATATATATCGTTGCCGACAATAACCTTTGCCTGCAGTCTGGTTTCTTCGGTGGTTAAGCCAAGATCGAAATCTGTTGATGGGAGGATGGGCTCTCCGCGAAGGATCCGACCATCGGTCGCCACGAAGCGAATGAGACGCTGCCAAACAACCTTCATATTGGCAATTTTGAGTGTCGACATATAATACTAGCTATTTTAGACTATAAGACGGCAGATATTAATTTAAAGTACTGATGGTCTCTTTAATCACTGATACTACATATTCCGGGGATCGGGGGACGAGATCCGAGTACTTTCGAGCAGTGTAAGCCACACTCCGGGGATGTTTCGGGAGCGTTTCCGGCGGGGCAGAAGGGCCAGTTCTATACGGAGTACGGTGTAGATCGTTCGGATTTATTAACTTCGTTACGTTGGAAAAAATGAACGCCTCCGAGCTAATACGTGTGGCGCCTGGGATGTGAGATTCCAGTACAAGGTGCTTAGTCCCGAATCCCAACCATGGGTTAGCTGGCGCCTTTATAAGATCCTTCTCCGGCAGCCTTAATTCTCATTAAAATATACATTAACTCTCAATAAACTAGAGCTCTTGAACGACTAATTTGTCCAAAGAATCTGCGCCCTTCTTTACGAGAGTGTTATTCAACATTATTATCAATTAGCATCATGGCCAAGGGGGTGATTTTACCTTCTCCATCAGTCAAGGTTGAGGTATCAGCGCTTCCCACTGGCAAACTCTACTTGCCTGATCGATGGCTGTTTGAAGATGGCAATAACGATATACGGAAAGCACGGCAATTTTCTCCCGACTTCAGTTTTCTCATTAGCCACCCATCCGGCGAGCACATTCTGTTCGACCTTGGGTTGAGAAAAGCATGTATTATTCTTCCGCTTAGACGCCAGCGCCAGCCTACTAACTGCTACCGTAATAGGAATTGGAATATAATCCCGATGTTATCCGGGCTGACTACCCTTACATTTCACCAGTTGTTCCGAAAGATGCCACCGATCTTCTCAATGAAGGCCCAGTAAAATCATCTGACATTTCAACTGTTGTCTTTTCACATCTTCATTTCGATCACACCGGAGATCCAGCCAAGTTTTCCCATGCAACTTTTGTAACTGGCCCAGGATCTTTCGCGGCAACCACTCCAGGATACCCTAAAGTAGCCAAGTCGCCATTTCTTTCTGTCGTTATCGACCACCCGAAGTATCGAGAGCTGTCATTTGAGACAGATCGGTGGGTTCCGGTCGGGCCGTTTGAGCGTGCATACGATTACTTTGCGGATGGCTCATTCTATCTTCTTGACACACCTGGTCATATGGCCGGCCATTTAGGTGCATTGGCACATACAGGCGAGGATGAATGGGTCTTTATGGGAGGTGATTGCTGTCATCATCGCGCATTACTGGTAGGAGCGCGCCCAGTCAGTACCACTGTGGGCCCTAACGGGACACCGAGCTTTCATAAGGATCCCCAAACTGCAATCTCTACTATTCACAAAGTAAATGTTTTGCAAAGTGGAGGAGATGTGCTAGCTGCACTGGCCCATGATGCGATCCTAGAAGGGCGGATGCCTTTATATCCAAAGAAGCTTAACGGATGGAAAGGATCTCAATGGAAGCAAAGTATAGATGATAGTGTAAGGGAGATGTATGAGTAAAATACCAACGAGCTAAGACAACGCGCCCCGAAATGGACTTCATTCAGCTGGATGAGTTTCACTCAAATCAGAACAATTCATCGGCAATAATCGGAAGTGTTTTCGGTGACTGCTGCATGCTCTATTTAGAATAGATTCTTCACTGGACGATCCCTCTTATCTTTGCATGAACATTTCAGCGGGTATCGGGACATCGCTCCATCGATATGTGCTGCTAGCATTTATGTCACAGTATAAGCCACTAACATAGACTCACTTGATACCTAAACTAAGACAATTTTTGTCCTGAAATATTCTTTGAGTTAGCTACTGTGAGCTGAACTAGACTGCATGAAAAAGTGAGACTTCAACATTAGCGTAAACCAATGCATACACCATTCTTCATGCCGAAGCCGAACCCCGCGGTTTTACTTACATTCGCGTTGCTAGGTTAAACCATTGACAAAGAAACTCTTCTGTAGATAAGTAATCAATCTATCAAGAATTAGGCTATAGCCTAACAAATCCAGGCAAGACACCTTTACGGGGGATTGGACAAGGGTTTGGGATAATATCAATTTTATTGGCACAATGTATGTGTCTAATGATGCTAAATCTAAGATCTCACTAAGAAATGAAAGGTCTAGTGATTGCCACCCGTCCCCCCCTTTTCAAAGAAGATGCTCATTTATAGAGCATCGACCCACTCAAGTGCGGTAGTGGGCTCGAGTCGCTGCATGTAGTCAGGATCGGTATGGATGTTCCTGACAACTCCCTTGGAGTCGACCAGAAGAGTGGTGGGAATAGGCACAGCCATGGAGTCGTCTCCATTGCGAGCCTTCAGGTCAACCGAAAAGGCATCTAAGACACCCTGGAGGTACTTGGGCTGGTCCCAGACAATGCCGAGCTGACGGGCGAATTTGTTGCCAACATCAGACAAAACTTCAAACTTGAGCTCGTTCTTCTCAGTAGTAGACAGAGAGGTGTTGGGAAGCTCAGGAGAGATGGCAACAATGGTGACACCCTTGGCCTTGAATTCATCCAAATGCAGCTGCAGAGAGCGCAGAGCCAAGTTGCAGAAGGGGCACCAGTCACCACGGTAGAAAGTGATTAGGACGGGGCCTTTGGCGAGGAGGCTCTCGCTGGTGACGTCCTGGCCGAGAGCGTTGGGGAGTTTGAAGCTGGGAATAGTAGCTCCGGTTTGAATAGCAGAACTCTTGTCAAAAGTGGCCTTGATTTCGGTAATAGACTTCTTGATGGAGGCATAGACAGGAGCAGGGGCGTTCTGGCTGACACCCACGGCAGTAGCAGCCAACTGAGAAGCAAGGGTAGCCATTTTTGGATGTTTGAGAAAAGAGATGAAGGATAAGAGTGAAGAAACTGTTGCGGTTATTGAGAGTGCTGAGAGTGTTCTCTAAGGTGTATTGTGTATGTGTGTGATGATATCGAAACAAAATTCCAACTTCCATGGTGACATCTGCATCTTTATATACATCTTCTGGCCTCGGATTGAAATAGTAGACATTTCGAATTTGTCAGGAAGCGCTTCGTAATGTACATTGATGTACATCATGTTCTCCTGTTTCTATCCATTGTTGTGGATCGATGCTACAAGTCCATTACTTGGGATTCTAGCTTACAACTCACTTACACCCAGAGCCTGGCTTAGTTGTGCCGTGTTGTAAACTTCTCCCAAGGTATTAGTTTTCTAATACTGTAGGCAAACTATTTGCTAAAGGATCTAGCGTCAGGCAAGTTTTTGCGATGTGGATTCTATTGGGTGGGAGAGCCGAAACCTTGCCATTTTTAGACGAGTGCTATGCCGTCGCAAAAACTTGCATTGAATGGAGGGTTTTAGTGAGATGCGATGTCTGATTGGCCAGACAACAAACGTGGTGGATAGCAAGAAAATGCGACGAACAAGATAGATTTGGTTGTAAATACTGTAAATACACCTTCGGACGAAAACCCTGAGACGGAAGCATCAGAGAATATGCACAACTCGTCCGAGTTGGAGCGACAGGCGATGGATAGCACTAACTAGATTCGCAACTCCATATCCCCATCCCCCAACCAGCTGCGAATCTGCATTTCTAATCAATTGACTTTGCTACTATGACTTGTGATGTATTCTTGCTCCCGATCAAGTTTCATCATGTCTTACCATGAAGTCCTCTTTGGAATTACAAACCGTAAAGGAGTTAGGAGCAAAGAAATAATTATGCAGTGTGCTTATGCTACGGTTTTGTAATACACTCTAACACAATTGCCAAAGGTCTAGACGTCAGGTAGGCCCAAGCCCCCCAGTTTTGGTGTGTTCTACAATGACGATTGTAAATTGAAAGAAAATAACGACGACCGGAGACAAACGAGATGCTTGTTTCAATGGAAACATCCCTCTGTCAAGAAAGAACGGTCGCAATACTTTTTACCAATACCAAGTCTGATACACCAATGGCCAATGCCGATGCCGAGACCAGTGCAGTCCATGAAATGAAACACAACAAGGTAGCCTAGATACGGAGCACAGAAATCGATCCCGAGCGAACGAGCAAAATACACAATAATAATATTCCAACTGGCATTTCCAAAACAGCCATCGAGCAAATCTTTGCAGTAGCACAACAGGTGGCACTGTGCAGATTGCGCCTCGACAATGAGAGAGGGACTACGTTGGACTGTCGATCTGGTAGTCGTAGGAAATTGTTTATAAAGTGAAAGTGTAAATAGTTTTATTGGAACAACGGATACTTCTAGGGGCGGAAAATATTGCACTCATTCAATTTGCGTCGCTTCCAAGCACACGCATGCTGATTGGCCTTGGTTCTGAAAGATATGTGTGCGATACCGTCATCGGAGATAACTCCGCCTCTGGCTGGCAAAATATGCACCAATTAGATGCCACAGCGCTTCTGTCTCACCCAGCCCCTTCATCTTAGCATTGTAAACATTTGGGATATAACAACTTGATACTACCTGCTATCAATATTATACTACCAAAAACCTTAGGAACGCGCTCTATTTTGAAGATATATATATAGTATCGAGGAGCTGCGCGAATTAAAACAAGACATTGATCACGCTGGCCGCCAGTTTTCTCGGCTTCTTCCCCTCAAACCAACCGAGCCCCGTCTTACGAGAACCGAGACACGGGATGAATAGCGACTCATTCCACTACTTTTCGAAACTCCCCCCCGAAATCCGCCGCTATATCTGGCACTATTGCCTGCCGTGTCGCGTAGCTGAAGAAGACGTTCCTTATCTCCTTCTCGATGGCAACGAATCTCGTCAAGCTTGCTGGGCTAATGCCTCAACGCATCAAAACGCCAGGCCGCCGACCATCGCGTTTGTGAACAGAGAGTCTCGCCACGTTGCACTGGAGCATGGTCACAATTTTGAGCCACCAGATTCACACAGTTTAGATTCGGTATGGCTGCAGCCGGATCGGGATGTGCTGCTTCTCAACTACACGAAGATATGTGACCTTGTTATGTACGGACATGTCGACCGCACCTCGAGTGTGGTACTCCTGTTTCTATGGCGGGCAGAGGAACTTCAGATGCAGCCTTGCGTCGTCGCAGAGCTTCTTCACTCTTTTAATTTAAAGACGCTGCTAGATGGCGATGATGCGTCTGATAGTCCCCGTGTTCCCCAAGAGAAATTAGGTAATCCCTATTCAGACGATATAGCTAGTTACACAGAATGCATCCAAGAGCAAAAGATGGTGCTAGACGTAGCAATGGCTGCGGTGTCTCTGCACATCACCACGGAAGCAGCTCTGGGCTCTGGCCTGTTCGGGCTACTGGGCGATGCGCCTGTTCAGCTGGTTGATTTTGATGATGAAGCTCGGTTGAGGCAATTCTACGAGCTATTCAAAGAAAATTCATTGGATTACGAGCCGGCTGTACAAACGCTTTTCGAATTGTTTTTGAGCTCTCGGTTTCGCACGGCGGTGGAAAACTGGACGAGACAAGCTGATTGGGTCATCTTGGCCAATCTGTGGCACTACGCACGAAATTCTAAGGATTACCAGGACATTCTTGGGGCACACCCCGGCTCAGTATGGACGCCTCAGCTGGACGAGGATATACTTTACTTCGCGATGGACGATTATTTGCCCAATGATGACCATCCGTGGGTGAAACAAGCCAAGGAGAAAGCACCCAGGCTGCGACCACAAGTCATGGTGCGATATTGTACTCGCAAATGCTATACGAAGGAGCGACTTCCCGATTACCACGCTACAAACTTGTGGTGGAACCCGAATTTCTAAGGAGACTTGATCTTGACATGCTCAGACAGTTTACGACTTGATTTTCTCTTCTTTGGCTCTAGACTTCTTAGAAAGCCCATCATAATCTCCTGATGGTAAATCTCAATCCCTTTGCTTTCATGAGCCGTTGAACTTCACCTGAGGTATCTAATGTCGCAGATGGTTTGAACTTGAACTCTTGGCAAAGTCCCACATCTGCCGACCACTTGCTCCCGGTTTTATCGCCAACTCGGTCCCACAACTGCTTCCAGCTCTGAGGGTTGTGCTGAAATTGCCTTCTCCCGCTCATATCGCCGGCCCGTGAATATTCCAACGCAGTTTCGCCGCCTGATTGCCTTCCAATGATTAAAGATCCTGGCTGCGGGGCGAGTAAATGAACAATCCTCACTGCAATTTCTTCTTGCTCTTCAAGACTGAACAGATGAAAAACATCGCCCACATAAATGATGTTCATCTGTCCAGATAGCTTCGCAAGCGGGGAAGAATCGTCAAAGATGTCCGCTGCTATAAATTTAGTTTGAAGTCTATCTTTGTCTTTGAATAGTTCATAGCCCATAGAAAGGTATTCACCCCAGAGATCAGAGCCATAAGTATTGACAGAAGGTGCGCCATCATGGACAAGTTTACGGATCTCCTGGCCAAAGCAGCAGCCCAGGTCCATGAATTTGTCGCCATTTTTAACTCGCTCTAGAATTTCTTGGTAGACCTCTGTGGTCATCAAGATTAGTTCTAGGAATCGGTAACGTCTAATACACGGATAATGTCGCTGCAGCAAGTCAGCATATATGAGTTAAAAATACGAGAATCGGCATGAGATAATTACCACTTGTAGAGCTTTTTGTTTCTATTTTGGCGTCAGTTGAAGTCATATCCCACTGTAAGGTAATGTCAAACTTACAATCGACTCAATATGGTTCTGGACTTTCTCATCTGGAATTCCGCTGTACTCATGTAACAGTTTCAGCCCAGAGTCAAGATCGTAGATGTCGAATGGAATCTCTCCATTTGGTGTGCTTTCTGGGTTGGACATGGCTGCTAAAGATCGCTGCTTTGTCGATATGATCACGACGTGCAAGTCTAGAGGTTTAAATCCATCAAATCGAGATTGTCGTCAATATTGTCTCGTGAGTCAAAATTTCAGCCCGCAGGCACCAGCGTGGGGTCACTATGTTCTTAGGCCCAAAGAGGAAGACAAGAGGAACCTCTGCAAGTTTAACAAAAGTCACCAAAGACATCAGATAAGACCATATTTTTTTTGCATGAAGCCAATTGCAAAGAAACAATAAGCAAATCTCAATTACTATACGTTAACGATTGGATCAAATACTCTTGTTCAATTGTCAGTCAGTCGCTTTCATACAGCAACTATGCCCAGTTATTGTTTGGCAAGAGTTGCTAATAGACAACTTCAAAAGCGCATTACGGTAGAATATTATTTACAACTGTATTAAACTTAATTAAGATACTCATAAAAGCTGCCTGAATATATTAACAAGACCCTCATGCTACTATGGAGGAACGCTCCAGAAAATGAACTCTCCAGCTTCCCATGAATAACCGTAATTCAATTGTCTACTGGTAAAACTTTGCACTTCCTCTCATATTTAATTGCGACAAGTAATACGCAATTCAGAATGAGGTGGCATATGAAATTCATCGCAAATACTAATGCTGAAGTACATCCACACACATACATCAGATACCATAAAGAACATCCTCCCATGGGCAGAACCCCCTGGAGCCTGCTCACGAGACACACTCTCTTAGCGCACCGAAGAAAAGTCAATACAGCTGCTGCCAAACGCAACCTGATCCCATGATCAAGGGCGAAAGTTCGCATCTACGACTCCGTTAACTCGTCGGCTTGCTGCCATGCCTTGAAAGACTGCTATTCTAGCTAAAATTTACCAATCAGTCGCTAGGTGCATTTTCCAGCTTCAATTCTGGGGATATATCGGAGTACCACTCCCTTCCGGGTCAGAGGCACCGGGTTTGCCGGGCGAGCACCCCCTCTGGGATCGTTCCGAGCTAGTTCAGCCATCGGAATTATTGAGTTCTCACAGGTCCATCTCCGACACATACTAATAATGGCCAGTTATGGGAATGCGGGTTTGATCTTTTTAGGCAGCCTGTCATAACCCAAATTGAGCAATTCTACTCGCCATTTCCTCCCTTGTCAGATCGTGTTATCACGCTACCAATCTAATCATGTTATTGACCAACACTCAAACTGCCGCCTGGTTGGACCACCCCCATCATGGCGCGACCCTTACTCTCAGAAATGACATTGCCATTCCTGAACCATCAGATGGAGAAGTTCTTGTGAAACTAGAGTGCTCTGGATTTTGCCATTCTGATGTGCATAGCATCTATGGAGAAACACCCATGGAGACGAATATCGCTGGGCACGAGGGTGTGGGGCGTGTTGTCAAACGTGAGTATCCCCGTCTCGTCGGAAAAGACAATATTTATGTTAATCATGTACATGAATTAGTTGGCAAGGATGTACCAAGCGATGTGATGGGGAAATTGGTAGGTGTGAAGTGGCTCTATAGTGCCTGTGGAGAGTGTGAGATTTGCAAAGTGAGATATGTGCACTGCCCACATCAAAACAATTCCGGGAGAGTAAGTTGATCCTGCTACATGAATTGAGTGATGGCTTAATATTGATGGGTGTATTAGAATGTGCCGGGGACATTTCAGCAATATGTTGTTTCGCCGCTGAAATACACGACCATCATCCCTGGTGGCTTAGAGCCAGAGATAGTAGCACCATTACTTTGCGGTGAGTTTCTTCTTGTTCAATATCATACCTCCGTTGAGTGCAAATGGCTGATATGATAGAGTAGCTGGGGTCACCGTATACGCGGGAGTTGCACAAGCTTCCAAATTCATCAAACAAGGAGACTCAATGGTCATTCTTGGAGCAGGCGGTGGCCTTGGCCATCTTGCCGTTCAAGTTGCTAGCGTCTCTGGCTATCGTGTCATCGCCGTTGACAGTGGTGATAAAGCTGATGTCTGCATGACAAGTGGTGCTGCTGAATTCGTGGACTTCTTGAAGCAAGATGTACGTACTGTCTTAACATTTGCATACTATACGATTATATACTCACTAATACAGGTTGAGCAAACCGTCAAGAGGCTGACGGGTGGGATTGGGGCGCATGCAGTCATGGTCACGGCTGGTTCAGAGAAAGCCTACGAATCTGTGCCGAAGCTCCTAAGAAATCTCGGCGTCTTGGTATGCATCGGAATCCCGAGATTAGATTTCCACGTCCCAATTTCACCGTTTGAGATCATTGTTCGAGGTGAGTCAAACTATCAACGAGAAAAAAAAGGGTTTGCATGAGGAGAAAAGGCTGACACGGACATAGGCCTGAAGATCGTGGGAACATCTGTCGGTACAGAAAGCGATATTCAAGAACTCTTGAAACTGACCGCAGAGGGGAAAATAAAGCCACAGATAGAGGTATATGATTTCAACGATATTAATGATGTAATGGGCAAATTGGCAAAATTTCAGGTAAAGGGTAGGGCGGTACTGAGATTACCTCAATAGACACGAAGCACTTCACTTGCTCAGTAGCAAGGCAGAGTTACTAATGAAGTCAATATTAAACATAGAATAAATATCGCCAGTTGACCGTAGCTCCTATGGTATAATTAATCCCGTCCCTGTGAGGTTGAAAAGTCCTCACATGCCTACAAACATTGATCAAGCCACTTATACTTTGTTAGTAGCTCTGTATAGGAATCTCCATTACTTGTTGCGAAGAATCCATGAGCCCAGTAAGAAAGTCAAGATTATCCTCCGTTAAAAATTCTCCAAGATCCAGCCCGAGAGGAGACAATTCGGTATCAGATCGTGACGGTGCACTAGGAAAGCCTGGCATTTGAGAAGAGTCCAGTTCGCCAGGCTGGAGAATGTTGAACCAACTTGCTTGAGTATTACCCCCGCCTAAAATCGTTGTAAGCAACTACAAAGGTCTAAGAAGTGACTCTCAAAACTCACCTTTTGTTGTTGCAGCGACTCGTACAAGTGTTTCGAGATATTTGCGGCATCTTTGTACTAATCGTGCGCCGCCACCAAGATTTTGCAGCGCCTCTACGGCTAGGTATAGACTAGTTCTGAGGTCGTCTGTCTCCAATCCGGCCATCATAGGGCCGGCTATCCCATTTGCCTGAATGAGAAGGCCAGCAAATATCGCAAGAGCAGCATTAAAGGCTAATTTATCAGTAGTGGTCATATTTAGTCGTTCTCGGTAAAACTTACTGTAATAGGTAGAAAACCACCACGCTCCGAGAAGAGAGGGTTTCTTTCCCATCTTGTGAACGATGGAAATAATCTCGGAAGCAGATTCCAAGCAGACTTGAAAGCTTCCATGTCCAAATTGTCGCAAGAATATGCCTTCTTCGGAGTTCCTATCACCATTGTTGATTTGCTCCAAGAACCTTGCTAGGACTTGTCTGTGGAGCAATACCCGAGTGTTAAGATAGCGTAATGAAAGAATGATTGAGAGGCGATCAAAAACTATGTTTTGGTTTGAATCGATGAAAGATGAATCCCACGGTCTAGCCTTGAGCTGCAGCGGCAGATCGCGTCTCCATTGCAGTAGCTTACTCTCCAATCTGATTACGCTCTCAAGCATAAGGGAGATTGAAGGCTGTGGAGCACAACCGAGATTTAGGCCATATTGGTCTGCAATTACATCGCCCAGAATTGAATAAAGCTTTCTATATTACCGTTAACGAAGAGGAACGTATAACATTGTACAGGGGAGTGGGATCTCACATCGTAAAGATGTAAAATGATACTGTTGATGGACTGCCTAGCATCTCAAGAGGCGGGCCGGTGACGGTATTGACCACATCAAAGTCCACATCCAAAGGAAGTGCCATCTGGACATATTCAACTGGTATCGCTGGGGGGCGACCGAATGTCATGCTCAACGTCCTAGATATACTGTGAGCTGAAGCTGACGTGAATATTACCCCTGATCAAAGTTGCACAGCTCACCTATCAAGAACTACGCAGCCATACCAGGTGCGTTTCCTTATCTCCTTCTCCAGTGGTGTAAATTTGGTGTACGAACTAGAAGTATGGAGCCCTAGCTGCAGAGCCGCCTTAACAGTGAGGCCATGGAGGTTCCATGTCTGGGCAGAACGCTGTGTTCCCTGAAGAAATTGCGTCATTAATAATAGGTATTGAACTATATTGAGTTAGTTTATGTTGCCCCTTGATCCAGTTGTTCATACCAATCTCAACATTGGCAGTTCTGAATGCCATCTTCCCAGACAAAGCTTGGGCTCGCTTGAAGAAGACGTCTGACTCTGCCGCGTTTCGTTCGACAGGCAAATCAGGGCGGGCGCTGACACAAGTGGCAAACGCTAGGACCATATTCAATAAACATAGCCATGAGCGTCTGACTGATGTGAAATTGTTCTGTTTTGCCGCAGCAAACTCTTGGAGTAGAGAGCCCTCATGCACGTATGGGAATAGCATTCCTGTGTCGGCAAAGAATAGTCGGATAAGATGCAGCATGTCTGCCTCAGGTGGAAGACTATACACATCAACCGCCGCTGAAAGACTGTGGTCCAAACTTTGTGCTCCGGCAATCGGTGATGCTGGTCGAGAGATGCTCATCATGGCACCCTCCATCCTTGCATCAACTGGGAGAGGTCGGGCCGGGTCTGTATTTGCTGCGGTAGCCATAGCGTGTGTGATCTGTCCAATGAAAGCAATATTGGAAGACGGCCCTGTATCAGAAACGGCATTAGCACTTGTGACGCCATTGGCAACCGAGCAGGCAGCGTTACCAAAGAAGCCGGATTCCTGTTCATCTGCAAAAGTAATGGCCCCCATTCCGTCAACTGTGTCTTCAAACTGGATTTGAGCTTGAGAGTCATCTCTACTTGACTCTTCGGCATCTTCTGGATCCAGCACACTCCTGGAGTTTAATGAAGGGGGGGCAGCTGTTTCTTGTCTCCCCACCAGTAGACGCAGAGTCTCTTCGATAGAGTGCAGCCTTCCCTCAAGCTCTGTCGAGTATCTAGCATCAAAGTGGAGTCAGTATGCAATGATAAGGCCACGAGGTGACATAAGATGGCGAACAGCAAAGAGAACTTGAGCCATACTGTTTCCCCGATGCCCCTGCCGGCTGCTGATAGAAGCACTCTAGACCCATCTCAATGCACATCGTACACCGGGGACGTGAGCCGTCACACTGAAGGATGGTCAGACAAATCGAACGATAGCTAGAGGCTATTACCCGGTACATACCCGTGTTTTTCGGGAGCTATATGTAGTATGAGGTCAGCAAATTATTTATTTCAGCCATGTCCCGTTTTGATGATTTGAGTTTCCCAAAGCAGTTGAGCTGGGCGTTCCTATCTGAGTGTAGGAATAGCATTAAAGATAGGGTACTTCATTACCGGCAACTATTACAAGCTAGGGCTGTTCTCTGACGCTTGAAAAAAGTTTGCTGAGGTGCAGCGTCGTCCGAGGGGGCGGATCGTTTCCTTTCGCCATTCTTACCACCGCTGGTGTTTGGACTCATTGTGTGCTGCTTGACAACAGTGGACACATAAATGCTGCGCTTATCAAATCTGCAGGCGGTTTCGCATGTCCGTATTATCGATCGCGTGCTTAATTGATCATGACAAGATCACCTGGTGTGCTGAACTACGAGAAAGATGCAAGATCTAGAGCGGGAGGTGAGCTAGACCGGGGCTATCACGGAGCTTTATACATGCGTGGGGAAAATCAGCCATGGAACGAACAGGTCTGGTGCCAACCAAAACCGGGGTAGATTGGGACTGTGCCACACCTCAGCATTTTGTTTTCCGGGTCCCCCGGATTTCGGTTCAGCGCAGGTATACTTGGGTTGTCATTTGGAATTATTGACTATGTGTTGCGATTGCTGCAGAAAATAATTGATTACGAAAGGAAATATGTGACGTGATTTAAGTCATGCTGGCTATGTAAATGCGGATCGCGCTGTCTACATATGTGAGTTATTTGAGTTGGATACTCACAATGATGCTTCAGAGAACTTCTCCCAAATATATGCGAATAGATGAAGATATTTCACGGCATCACAAGCAGTTATTTTACGTCTTGAAACATGAATCAGGCGACAGTTGCAGCTATCTCTAATAGATTGTAATACTAGAAGGCATCGCCGTGATGTGATGGCTGGGCCTCTTTCCAGTGCTTTGCGCTCCATTCGCGAATTTGCTTGCCTCTCCACCAAAAGATAAAAATGGGGATGTGGGCGACAAATATCAGCATTGCCAAAATTCCAAAGGGTTCAGCGTAGCCTGCCGACGTATTCCAGGGCACTACTGCATACGAAATACCAAAGGCAGCAAAGTTCTTGAAGCCATTCAGAACGACAAGCGTTGCGTCTGCTCGAGCTTCGTAAATATCAACCAAATATGTTTGGGTAAGGTTGTTGGCAGTAACAAAGCAGAACATGACTAAAAAAAAAAAGCAACCACATAGTCAGCATTGTATTTTATTTTTGATTTTCCTCTCGATTGAGTTGAACATACCTAGGGCTTCGCCTATAAGGGGAGCAATCCAAGGACTTTTGTTTTGGGCACAGACTCCAACGACGATGCATCCAACAGGCCCAATTATACAAGTTGGTACAAAAAAGCTGAGTCGCCATTCGGGTAAGAAGTTTCCGCGTTTTCGAAGTCTCGAGATTACAACATCGTTTAAGATGCCGCAATACGGAATGGCGATCCATACTGCAATCAATGGTGCAAAGCCGGTCAAGGCTATCTGCTTGATATTGAAGTTGTATACGTCCGTGTAGATAAAGGTATTGGATGTAAGCATATAGTTGGTTGCCATTAACATGATACTGTAATGAATGGTCATGGCGATGACGGCGGGATGCGGTAGGTACTTGAAAGGGAAACAAAAGGACTTCCAGAGACTGTCATGAAGATCATTACGTTAGTGAAACGGATTGGATTTTGGATCGTCAAATTGTATGTTGCATACCTGTCGACTTTACTGCGTCCACCTCCGGATACGGCCCAGAATCTGAAGTTATCCCAGATCTTGGGCTGACGGTGGTGGAGATTTCCAGATTGTCTGGTATATTGTGTCTCCGGAAAGAACAAGAAAAGAAGAAGGCAGGCCCCAAGTGACAAAAAGGCGACAGTCCACTGAATCCAGCGCCAACCAAGATCAGCCGTAATGTAGCCTCCAATAAGAGAGCCCACTGCGAACCCTGAAGCCTGGAACAACACGTAAAGTCCCATACATTTGGCACGATCGTGAAGGAAGAAAACGTCTGCTATTGCCTGAGGTCCGAGTGTTTCTGGGGACGCTGAGAAGATGGAGGCCAATGTCCTGGCGGCAATGAGCGATCCTGATGAGTCGGCTAATGCTCCCCAGATACAAAACAGCCCTGTGGCCAGGCTGGTGAAGACAAACACAAGACGGACACCATAGCGATTGCCCACAGAAACCCAGATCAGGGATGCGACTCCGTAAGAAAGTAAAGGAGCTCCAACCAGGTAAGTCACAGAGTTAAGACTCATGTGTAGCTCTTCCGAGATGGGGAAGAAAGCAGATGCCACGGAAATCATGTTAAGGGGTCCAATGATCGTCCACACGCACATGACCAGTAGAATAAGAATCTTCCGCCAGCTGGCGAAGTTGAGAGGGTCAAACGGGTCATCGCTTGGTTGAGGAATAAGTGGCAGACCTTTCCGCGAGAGTTTGGGTTCAACGGCAGGGAGATTTTCATCGTGAATAGAAGCATGGATGGGGGAGTCCACCTTCTCAATATCTTCAGAGGAGGGTGCAGTGACCATGATTGCTCAGGTGATGAAGATTAAAGGGATGATATTAATGTGACAAGGGAAGAAAAGTAAATCTGGAAGTGAAACTTGACCGGAATTATGATAGTCTTGAGATCTAATCAATGATAACTTTTATCACCGCTTCGCCATCTTTATATCTTTCTCCGTTAAAGCAGTTGGGTGAAAACGTTACCATTGCCATCCCCCTTTACACATTCACTCAATTATCTAGCATTATCTAGCAGAATTGTTCACCGGGGCTAGCGAAGGCCAGCCGTAATGCGTTGCCAAAGCTGTCATTGGTCGCCAAGCCGGTGGCTTGAAGCCTAGTTTTTGTAAGGAGCCATTTCACTCTAAATGATTAGAAAAAAGTTCAGGTCCATCTCCAAATGTAGTTCCGACCTGCCCGCGAAGACGCGGGGAAGAGCCTCGACAAGTTCCCCGTGGGGAAGATGCCTTTTTCGTTGAGGGCTAACTCCATAGGCTAAAATAGTCTACGGAATTATTGAGCCCCAAGAACCAGAGCCACCGATTCCATTAGATCCGCAAGTTCATCCTGGATGTCCGCTCCGAAATTTCCCCACCGGTAAACCAACGATTTTTGATTCAGATGCCTAGCCATGGTGGATTATGCTGTCTCACATCGGAGAGTACACGTAGTACAGAATCTCCGCTGGTCACCTGAGCAAATGAGACAAGATTGACCCTCGAGAGATTTAATTACCGCAAAGCCCTGTCACCAACCGTACTGACATCACTAAGAATCTATCCTGACATCATGGAGAAAATCGACACTCACGCGCACGTTGTTCCTCCTGGCTGGAGGAGATATTGTGAAGAACATGGGTTTGGGAAGCCCGACGGAATGCCAGCGATTCCGGTAAGCAGGAAATTCAGGTCTTCAATTTTTGTATTCCACTTAGCTAACGATACTATATGTAGGAATGGACACCAGAGGCGCATATCGCGTTGATGGATAAGCTAGGAGTCAGCAAGTCTATTCTCAGCATCACGTCCCCCGGCACATATCTGAAGCCAGGCGACGATGCTCTTGCTCGCAAGATTACTCGCGAGACCAATGAGGAACTAGCCCAAATTTGCGCGCAGAACCCTTCCCGCTTTGGCTTCTTCGCCTCATTGCCTCTGCCTGATGTTGAGGGATCTCTGGCCGAGATTGATCACGCCATCAAGCTTGGTGCATCAGGTTTTGCTGTAATGACCAACGCACATGGTCAATATCTCGGAGACTATACTCTCGATGCTGTCTTTCATAAGCTTAATGAAGTCAGCGCCATCTTGTTCATGCATCCCACTACTTGTTGTGGAAGCGACCCGGGCGCTGTCAAGCCTATGAACCAGTATCCTTCTCCAATGCTGGAGTTTTTCTTCGATACTACTCGCGCAGTGACAAATCTGCTGTTGTCTGGAACTGTGGAACGAAATCCCAACATCTCATTCCTTGTCTCTCATTGCGGAGCTACTCTTCCACCACTTGTCGAGCGGTTCACAAGCTTTTCAGCTATAATCAACGCACCGTCAACTCTCACCTCAGATCAAGTTAAAGAATTGTTTAAGACCAGATTCTTCTTTGACCTTGCTGGATTTCCTTTTCCTGATCTTATTCATGGGTATCTTCGTGTCTGCAACGGATCTCGATTGCTATATGGTACCGATTTCCCATTCACGCCAGCTGGCATGATAGAATTTCAAGCTCGCACTATGGATAACGGGCTGAGAGAGCTGTTTGATGAGGAAACTATCAAGGGCATATACTCTGGACATGCAAAGAGGCTATTAAAACTTTAGCTTGATTAGTAGTGTATAGGAATTATAGGAACAGATTAAGATAGAAGGAATGTAGCTCATCGCCATATTTATAAGTTTGTTTGTGACTCCTATCCAGCATTAAAGCGGTAGTACTTCATTCACAAATGAATTACAAAGTACTAATTTGTAATGTGTTCCTTTGTGGAAAAAAAAAACGAAAGGAAAAGAAACGAAAGGAAAAAGAACAAGACTGGGCGATCCACCATCTTCAATTGCATCTTCAAACCATCGGGACATACTTAAAACAAATATGGTACATATAGTGGATAAATTTAAGAAAGGTTGAAGAATCATCTAATTAATGCAGTTTCATATGTAAATAAAGTAAGTTGTCCCGTCGACGCATGATATACAATCATTCAGACACCAAAGTCTCAACATCAACGCCTTCAGTCCGCAAAAATTCCAAAGCTCTCAGCATGGGCTTGTCATCAAAACGATACAAATAAGCTGTGCTTCCGACACTCGCAAAGTGTTGGTACTTGTTCCACGCCGGAATGCAGAAAGTGTCTCCCTTCTTCCACTTGAAGACCTTTCCATCAATGACGGAGTGGCCACTACCTTCCACAATGTGATAGACAGACGATGCGGTCTCGCGGGTTTCTGGGGAGCAGGTACCAGCGTTTAATCTCTCTGCTGAACCGCCGAGGATCTTTGACACTGAAAGACAAGTTAGCTGGATAATGGCTAAGTGAATTAGCGGTAGACAAACCTTCACGACCATCCTCCTTTAGGTACGGCTTGGTCACCCAGTCTCCATCCGCAGCATCCAGCTGAGCCTGCATCTTAGCCCAAGGGAACACAATGGGGCTATTGTCGGTATCGACATCCTCCGCAGGATATCTAGGCTTATCATAGTGCTCTACAAAATGTACGGGGAAGTGTCGAAAATTAGGCAAATCGAGGCCGTCGAGCCAAATCATTGGCCCAGATCCGTCCTTGCCATGATCGTGCCAATTCCACGTTGGCGTAAGAATAACGTCACCACGGTTCATCTTGATACGGCGGCCGTGGACAGCAGTAAAGCCACCATTGCCTTCGATGATGAAGCGCATAGCAAATGCAGTGTGGCGGTGGGCTGGCGCAGTCTCATTTGGCATGACTAGTTGAAGACCAGCATACACAGTATCTGTAGTATAAGGCGCTTCTGTTCGAAGATAAGTTAGCCAGTCGAACCACCGGGATGGAGACAGCGACTTGTGACGGCCTACCTCTAGCCGGGTTCACCAGCATAAGCACTCTTCGCTCAGCTTGTTTCTCCGTGATGAGTTCTCCTGCACGAAGCAAGTATGGCTTAATCTCGTCATATTTCCAGATATGTGGGATGCAGGTTGGATTTGGAGCTGGAGGATTAAGCCTTGACATTTGCGCCCATAGCGGCAAAGTATTGGTAGACTGTAGCTGAGATAGAAGCTCAGTTGTCTGTTGTTCTTTTGACTTTTCTTCCACATTCAGCTGCTGTGACGCAACTTGCGTCTTGACTTCGGTCAGGATAGCCATGTCGAGAAGGAGTTCAGATGATCTTCGTTAGATACTCTAGTAGATTTGCCAATTGACGACAATGTTGATCAAATCTAAGATATTCTCGATTCTTTGTATTTGTATCTTTCCAACTGATGACTATAGTGGCAAGATAGCTTCCCGCATTCATGTTGAGGTTTGGAATGAACGGGACGGTAGATGGTTTGTGGCGTTCCGATGCATCCCCGGCTCAGCTCACCAGCCCGGGGGTGGGCCGGAACGTCGGGAAGGGATTATTCGAACTATCGGGGCTGGGGATATGGGACGATGGAATATGTCTTTCGCTTCTATAGTATGTACAATGGTGTCATTATGTTTGAAGCGTGACAAGAATGTCTGCTCTGCCCGCGATGAATAAGAAGATGCCTCAGCTCGAAGAATGAGTCCATCATCGCAATCAATAATCAACCCACAATGGCTCCAAGCACGACTGACTCCATCACCAACTCAAATGGAATTGCCTCAAAGAAGACAGTTCTTTCTATTTCATCTTCCATAAAAGTAAATGTTTCAATACCACCAAGCCTTTGGATTTTCTCTAACACAACTGCAGACTGCATCATATCCCACACGCAGCTTGGAGTTTCTCCAGAAATTGGATCAAGCAGGTTCTTCTCATGGGATACAAAGCGGCGCAGCGTACCTCAATGGAGGGACGAAACCATCACCATTGCTTTTCAAGGTGATTGTCGTAGGCGCCGGACTTGGTGGTCTCGCCACTGCAATTGCTCTGGCCCGGAAAGGTCACGTTGTTACTGTGCTCGAGCAAGCTCCGGCACTTGGTGAGGTAGGTTAACGTCCTTTGGCCTTTGAGTTGTCGAGCATTAAGAGTAACTGTCCATAGGTCGGAGCCGGTATCCAGGTTCCCCCCAATTCTGCCAAATTACTCCTGAAATGGGGGCTAGGGCCACTTCTCGGAGATAGAGTCGTCGAGCCTGAAGGCATTACCTTTCGACGATGGAGCAATGGAAAGCCTATTGGCTATACCAAGCTCCAACCAGACTTTCGCAGCTCATTTGGGGCACCTTATTACGTGGTCCACAGAGCCCATCTCCATGATGCGTTGCACCAACTTGCGCTACAGCTCGGAGTAGATGTCAAAGTCAACCACAAAGTGATTGAGTACAATGAAGACGGCCCTTCCGTTAAAGTTGAGGATGGCACCGTACTTTCGGCCGATCTTATAATTGCTGCCGATGGTAAATACAGGCTTGATCTTCATTGTATAAGAGCAGTTCTAACTATACACCAGGTGTCAAATCTTTAGCACGCGACCACATCCTGCGTCACGAGAAAAAAGACCCCATTCGCACAGGTTTTGCTGCTTACAGAGCGACCGTGGATGTGGAAAAGATGCGCGACGATCCTGATACCGCATGGCTCCTGGAGAAACCCGCTCTCAACATTTGGATCGGCCCTGAGCGGCATGTCATGACATACACGATTGCCTCTGGCAAATCTTTCAATATGGTGCTGTCTCATATTGATCATTCCGATCCTAGCACCTGGCGCCCGGAGACGGCTATTGATGACATGAGGGCTTATTTCGAGGGATGGGATCCAAAGTAAGTCCTTAAAAATCCAGTCGCTGACCTCCTTTAACATTGCTCTAAAACACTTTGATATAGGCTGTCCAAGGTCATTAGTAAGATCAACAAGACGCTCAAATGGCCGTTAATGTCCGGAGATGCGTCTATCTCGCACTGGGTTTCTCAATCTGGCAAGCTTCTGATGCTCGGTGATGCTGCACATGCCATGGTTCCGTACATGTCGCAAGGTGCTGCCATGGCTGTTGAAGATGGAGCCGCTCTGGCAACATCATTGTCTCATGTTACAGACCTCTCAGACTTGCCAAAGGCACTTTCCATCTTTGAGGCCGAGCGCATGAAACGCAGTGGGCAGATGCAAGAAGCGAGTCTCGTAAATGGCAAGATATGGCATTTCGAAGACGGACCTGAGCAACAAGCTAGAGACGAAGCAATGAGGCCAGAAGTTGAGGGGAGGCACTTCATTCAGAGCCCTAACCAGTGGAGCGATCCAGTAACGCAAGCGTGGGCATACGGGTATGATGCTGAGGAAGAAATTGAGAAGCAATGGAAACAGTCGAAATAAATGGCGCAAAAACAATAGCGACCAGCTAGATATTGTATTGTAATTGATTATTACGAGCATCTATTATTATTGTTGTTGTCCTTTGCCATTATATGCTATGATCTAAATAGCACCATATACTTCATATTTCCTTGATCTTAGAGCCATGATCTTGTAATCAACTTGAAGATACTTAAATAGATCCAGAGTAAGGCGACTGTGTGAAGATTATTTCTTTTACAAATAAGAAATTATATGACATGGCCATCGTAGATTAAAAAGCATTCCACCCCGTCAAAAATTTGCGATTGCAGATATGAACGTCGTCATTGTCTACCATAATGCTTTGTTATATATTCGATGGCTATCTAATTTGCAATCACAGTCTTGGTCTGCAAAAATTCTTCAAACGCCCAATGGCTTCCAAATCTCCCAAACCCGCTGTTCTTATGCCCTCCATGCGGCAAGGTAAATCCGTCATGGAACGTTGGTCCGTTGATATGAACCGCTCCAGTCTCCAGTCTTCGAGCTAAAGGCACCGCTTGCAGACTAGACGCAGTATATATCGCTCCAGACAAGCCGTACTCACATTCATTAATCATACTAACCGCTTCATCTACGGAGTCGTATGATGCAATTCCAACAACGGGGCCGAAGGATTCGTTCTGCCAAAATTCCATGTCTGTGGTGAGGTCTTCAATGACAGTGCCATACAGCGGACCGTGTTCTCCGTCTAGTGATGAAGCGGTAATTACAGTGGCTCCTTTACGCGCAGCATCATCAAGCAGCCCAAGGATTCGAGTAGAGCTTCTCCTATTAATGACGTGCTTGACTTGAACAGCAGATGCCGATTCAAGCCGTTGGCGGACAAGACTATAGAAAGCCGATTTCAGCTTCCGAGGCACTAGGACGATATCCGTAGACATACAAATTTGTCCACTCTGTGAAGAAACAGCCCGACATCAGAGGTCAGCAAACCTATTTAGTCTGAGATATTCAAGATTAGGACACTCACGTTGATAAAAGCTGCATCTAAAATGGTAGATGCCACAGTCTCCAAATTAGCATCATCGAGTATCAAGCTGAAGTTTTTGCCACCCAATTCTAGGAGCACAGGCTTCAAGAAATGGCCTGCTTGAGAGGCAATGTGCCGGCCCACCGCCGTCGAGCCGGTAAAATTGCATTTTCGCACTGACGGATGCGAAATAAGTGTATTGAACGTAGTCGATGCGTCTTCAGGTTTGTGCACAAGAAAGTTTACCACCCCAGGCGGGAATCCAGCATCTCGGAAGAGATTGGCAATAAAGTAGTGTGTCCTGGGGCTCAGCTCGGATCCCTTGAGTATCGCACAGTTTCCAGTTGCAACGGCAGCGGCAATGGATCGCATTCCCAACATGGCCGGTGCATTCCAAGGTGCAATGCCTAGCACGACACCAAGCGGATCTTTGAAGACCAGAGCCAGTGAATCGGGTGATTCGGTCTCCGGAATCAGCCCGGACAATATCCCAGATGATATAAGAGCCGTTACTTGTTCAATAATCTCAAGTGTGGCATGGAAGTTGATTGAAGCCCATACTTGAGAACAGCCGAGTTCTTCTTCCACAATGGACGACAGCTCAGATGCCCTCTCTTTAAGAAGCTAGAGTATGCCATAGATTAGTGCCTTTGAACATGTCATTGCATATGAAAAGGGATTTAACCTACCTCTACTGCCCCTTGGAATAATACTTGTCTCTCTCTAACAGACGTCTTTCTCCATTTTGGGAATGCCGCTGACGAGGATTCCAAGATGCGCTGGCATAGCTCCGGTGTAGCTCCTTGAGCTTTCCACTGTGAACCTCTGCCGCTGTCGGGATTTGAAACGAAAATGGATTGCTCCTCTTCCAAGACAATATCATTGCCATCAATAATTAATGGGACGATGTGGGACTTCATTGTGAGACTTGAATTGTAAATGCTGTGGGGGAAATGGGAGACCAGGATTCGTAAATAACTAACAAACTTTGAGTGTAAAGTGATTTACTCCAAACGTTTGACGGGATTCAGCAGTTTTATTCGAGATAGCCAGCTCCCATTCGAATACGCAGCAGTATTTCCGACAACGGATTTTTCACTACATTCGGAACTCGATTTCCAAGATTCCGGAGCTGCTGAAGTGGCGCTCGCTTTTCGGTGGAAGCTCCGGTTCTTCCCCGAAGCCGCAGGTGTGGCTTGTCGGCCATGGGGTTTTACTTCGACAATTCCACCTTAAAACCGTTCAGTAATAATCGAAGCGCCGGGGGTATATTGGATTAAGCTTATGTTGGAGCCATACTCGCCTCGCGGCACAGATGCCTGTGTGAATGGCGAATACTGCAATACACACACAGCTGACACATAGCGTCAAGACGCTGTACAGCAGAGGCTATGATTGTAGACAGAAAACAAAGAGCAAGAGACCGGGATGGCCATTCCAATGACCCTTAACTCGATAAGCAAGTTTCCACTCTGCTCCTTAACCTTGAGAGGATATTCACCCGCTCTGCTCAGTAGTAGATTCAATCCTGTGATACTTGAAAGCACACACTTGGTCATCATTTCTCATTGCACTCTCAGCCAACACATTTGTACTAAGGCGCGCAATCCAAGCCCCGCTGCACCCTTGAGCATCCCGTCATTTATAATTCTGCCTAGAGACTTTGTTTGGGACTTTTGTATCTGTTAGATTTAGGAAAAATTCTAAAACGTGATAGCTTACTACCAGGCAGCCAAATTTAGAGACAAAAGGATCTTCAACTACCGCTTATGGTAAATTCAGTCATGATGGAATATAGGATTCGTGCGTATTGCGTATCATTTTGATACTTGTAGCTATTAAACACAGAGCATATATACTGCTCATTTGCCCTACCTAATTGTGCAGTCAACATTGAGATTCATCGCCATCTTTGTTTCCCATCTTTCTGAGACAGTAATCTGGCACAACAAAATGCCCAGCGCACCATTCAATGATGTTCTGACCACAAATGCCGTGGATATGCAGCGGCTTCTGGCAGATAACCAAACCACCAGCGTTCAAATTGTTCAACAGTATTTTGAACAAATCGATCGCCATGAACCGGTTCTCAATGCCCTCATCTCCCCCGCACCCCGCGACCAAGTGTTACGTGTCGCCGCAGCGTTGGACGAAGAGCGCAGTAATGGGAATATTCGTAGCGCATTCCACGGAATTCCGATTGTCCTCAAGGTTTGTATCAATAGGTGGTTTTCTACATACGGTCTTACAGATGCTGAGCTGCTCAATAGGACACCTTTGTGACTGCTTCCAGCCTCGGCATGAGCACTACCGCAGGATCATGGGCCTTTGCTGGAGCCAAGTCCACCAAAAACTCTGTGATTGCGCAGATGTTAATCAATGCTGGCTTGATAATAATAGGAAAAGCCAACATGACGGTAGGACCACAGGTTGAATTTTTCCTTTACTCCACTAACGGAGGTAGGTTCATAGGAGTTTGCTGGTATGAAAATGACAATGATGATGCCGGGATGGTCCAGCTACGGCGGCCAAACTTTGTCCCCATACGTGGGCAAGATCGAAGATAACGAAACCTTGCTGGGACACTCGGTCAGTAAATTTACACATCCCGTGGGATCTGCAGTACGTGATGCTTACGCACATTAGGCCCCAGGAGGATCCTCTACCGGTTCCGCTGTTGCTGTGGCCGCTGGCTTTAGTCCTCTGGCAATGGGCACAGAAACAATTGGATCCATCGTCACCCCGTCGACGCGTGCAGGCCTCTACGCCCTCAAAGTTACAAACGGTGTTATGGATACTACCGGTGTTTACACAATGACGGATTTCTTTGACAGCGTTGGGCCCATGGCGAAAAGCTCTGCAGATGTGCGAATAATAGCCGAGATTCTACTAAAGCGTTCATTCAGCTCTGCCGATTTAGGGACCTGGAAAGGACTGTCTGTCGGCTTTCTCGACCCAAATGTATGGAAAATGGCCAAGGAGATGTGTCCACCACACGAAGGCACTGCGGAACAAATGGTGAGCAAAGTTATATCATGTACAAATGTACCTGAAATCTAATTTTATACAGGTGGAAGACTATGAGGATACCATCAAACTCCTTCAGAAAGATGGTCGCTCGCTAAAATACCCTATCAAAATCGCTGACGTCGACGAGTTGACGGTAGATGGAGAACAGGCCATTATGCCCATCGCTTGTGAGCATCAAGTAACTTTAATCTCGAAGTTAAATGGCTAATCAGAAGCATTTTAGTTTGGGAATTTAAAAATGTAGGCATCCTCCGCTTCATCGACTCGTTTGAGGAATGCCCCGTAAAAAGCGCGGAAGATATCGTCAAATTTAACAAAGACAATAGCGAAAAGGCAATGCCTCCGCGTAAGTTATCATGGCCCAAAGCATAAAGAGGTTACGTTGCCTAAGCCTCACTAGCATACACTGAGCAAAATGACCTTGAAAAGTCTCTCGGCTGCAACGACGATCCGGAAAAGATTGAGGGGCTACGCAACGAGCTTCGACACGTAGCCAGACAAATTGTCAACACCGCTTTCGATACTCAAGGTGTGAACCTTATTGTAGCTCCCGGCGATAGCTCTCTCTGTATACATGCCGCTGCAGCAGGTAAGAAAACTCACCCAACGGTAATGGTGTCGAGAGCATTTGCTTATCTCTGTAGGTTACCCCATCGCAACGGCGCCAATCGGGCAATTACGATACAACGGGCGGCCGTTTGGTTTGTGTATATTGGCCAGAGAAAATCAAGAAGAGTTACTATTACGTTTCATGGCGGCATACGAGGCGGTTGCTGCGCCTCGGCCGGTACCGAATTTGTAATTGATCATGGTCAATAACTTCTCGGTCTATTACTTATCAAGCTTTCTCATGGCTTTTGCAAGCAGCACCATGAAGTCCTACATACATATACATGTGCCTATCTATTTATAGGCATTCCCCTTTTCTAGAAAGAAAGTCTATTTCTAACTCTCTTTGATCTACGCGGCCAAATTTAAGGTATCTTTAGACACCTACCGAGGTAGATACGGGAATAGATGTAAATTCACGCGGCGATTTGTTTAAACGCAGGCCGGGCAAAGTGTGAAGCTGTTCCATCCAAGAACAGGAGCGTCCATTTGAGCTAATATTACAACTGTTCCCATTGAGACTCCAGAGTACCGACTAATCATCCATGTATTCACTTTCCATAACATGTCCTTCCAATGACGCAGGTGTCTTCAGTGTATGAGAACAAAACGCTGCCCGACATCATCATATTGGCATGCAGCTCCTCTAGCTGGATACATGTACATATACTGACGATACTCCCCATATCCCCCTCCGATATCTTAGTTCTAGTTTACTCCATAATCATATCCATTCTCCCCACGCAGCAACAGAGTTTACCGTCAGAGATATTCGCGCAACGATATGAGAGTATATCCAGTAACTCAACAAAAGAAAAACTTATTTTGTTTCGGAAAGTCTCGGAAAAAAAGCATATGAAGAGAGATAACAGAGCGAGCAGCCGATATCATGATAATGCGTAAAAAGGTTAAAGTAAACGGGCCGTTTCGCTCGGGAGATAACGAACAGCTACCATCCAAAAAAACATATAAGGCCCTTCCCCCCCTTTCCAACCCTTTTGTTTTTCGAACATTCTATTCTTATATAACTTGGCCCAGTCTCTTCTATCCATCATTTCATTCCTCTCCAGTCCTGAATATTTCATCAACATTATTCATAAAGACATTTCACAAGTTATCTTCCATCCAGTCATCCCACAAAGAACCATTTATTATTACAATTACAATACCTCACAATGCATTTCACACGTCTCATTCTCATGGCCGGCATGGCCTTTGCAGAACTGTCTCGCGGGATAAACCTCATAGAACATGGGGCCACCATTGCAAGTCCTGGTGGAATCCAAGACTTCATCATCACCAGAGACAACACTCTCAACGGCACATACCACCATCGTGTCGCGCTAACCAAGTCGTCAAACGCTCTCACTCTACCAGTGAAGCTTGTCAACCAGTTTGACGACGGCCAAATCAATGCCTACATCCAAGGTCTAGACAAGAATGGCGCCATTGTCTTCGTTACTGCAGACGGCGGCCTCATATACCCAAGCTCTGGCGGATCTCGAGTGCCCGTCGAGGTCCGTCAAGACCTTGCTATACCTTTGCCTGCTCTACATGAATCCATCACTATCAACATCCCCATTCCTCTGAACTCGGGAAGAATTTACTTCTGTCAGGGCAATCTTACTTTTGCCATTCTCGATCGGGGCAATGGAGAAGCACTCGTGCAGCCCTCAATCAACCCTGGGGATTCGAATGCTTCTCTCAACTGGGGGTTCATAGAACTGACGTTCCCCCAGGATGGATCAATCTACGCCAATATCAGCTACGTCGACTTTGTCGGACTCGTCCTCAGCATGGTACTCACGACCACAAATAGAGGTGGTACTCAAATCACCCGTGGACTTCATGCCGACGCCGTTTCCAGGCTCTGCCAAGGCCTCCGAGCCCAGAGTCTCAAAGACGACCACCACTGGCTCGGAATGTGCGTCACGAATGAGAGCGGTCGTCCAATCCGAATCATCTCCCCAAACTACTACCATCGCATCCATGAAGAAGCCTTCAAATACTATTGGACAGGCTACGTGGATGAGGTTTGGGAGCACTATTCAAGGACGCCCCTCATCATAGACACCCAAAGCGAATCCGGCAATGTCACATGTCAAGTCACCGGCGATGTCCTCCGCTGCGGCAACGACCCTTTTACATACTCCAAGCCCTCAGCGGCCGACATCTGGGGTTGCAACAGCGGTCCCTTTGCTCGACATGAGGACGAAACCGGCATTCACCTTGCGGTGATCCCCCGTCTCTGCGCTGGATTCGTACGTTCGACGCTTCTCCTCGAGGGGGGACACGTACAGCCCAGCTTGAACTCGAATTATCACTACACCGTCAGCCCCACACATCATTACAGCCGTCTTGTGCATGAACTGCAGATTGATGGCAGAGGCTACGCGTTTTCATACGACGACGTCAATCCTCGTGGGGACGAGAACGCTTCGGGCACAGTTGCTGCTCCGAATCCAGATCTCCTGACGATTTATGTGGGCTCTCCGCCGACAGATGTATGATAAGTTGAGTTGAGAGCATGGGGTGGCACTGAGAGCATGTGGTGCTGATGAAGGCGTAGATTGGCCTTGAGAGCAGAGGTAGGCATTGATAGCATAGGTTGGCAATGAGAGCGTAGGGTGTTGATGAGAGCGAGCATACGTGTTGATGAGAGCATAGGTATTGATTAAAGTATAGGGTTCTGTTGGGAGCGTAGGGTGTTGATAAGAGCATAGGTGTCGATGAGTGCATAGGTGTTGATGAAAGTATAGGGTGCTGATGATAGCTTAGGGTCTTCATGAGAGCGTAGGATGGCATTGAGAGCATATGCGTTGGTGAGAGCATATGGTGTTCATGAGAGCATAAGGTGGCATTGAGAGAATATTAGGGTGGCATTGAAAGCATAGGGATGGGGGCTGCACACCTGGAAAAGGGCATTCCATTAACAGCCTTAGACATCTAGATTGGCGTTCCACGGACAGCAGATGGACAGATGGATTGGAGTTTGGTTTTTGACATCATGGGCGAAGCTAGAAGGGAAAATGTACGCATGGCGATGCAGACGGCAAATCAAGCGAGCGACTCTCCAGTACCCGCCAGATTAGCAGGCGACCACCAAGCAGAGGAGGAACTAGGACATTATACTTGGGAGTTTGGAACATGTTGGACTCTTTAATTGGATTCTGCAATGATGGCTTTATCTAATAACACGCTGCTTTATTCCAAGCTACAAACGCCGACATGGTTAATGTGACAGTACACAAACAATACGGAGTAAACTTGACACGCTATGCTACCCCAACACGAGGGCTTCATTACCCTAACGCCTGCTGTATACAAAATGGTACCTCGGCGAGCGATGTGCGCATCACCTTGCCGATATGCTCGCAAAATGCTTCTACTGACAAGCAGACTGATGGCTAATAGTGAGTCCGCTCCAAGAGTTCAGACCGTATTAGGTACCGTCCGCAGAATTTTTTGCCAAGACGAATGTGTCGTTTTAAAGACTCGCACGTCAGTCACACGACATCGTGTCACGGATACCTTGGCCTGACTTGCATACGCTTGGAGTTGTATAGATAGGGCCATAAAGCCTTGTCGATTCGGATCAGCGAAAGGACTTTCGCATCCTGTTTCCGGTGGACTTATACGGGGGTATCTTTTCAGCTAATCTGCTGCAGGGAGTGACGCGCGTTCAATTCGGATGTGCTCAAATGGCTTCAAAGACTCTCATTGGTGCAGCTGCAAAAAACTGCACAATCGTGCCGTGCTTGGCGGAATGTTATTTCCATGGGCGTCGCCAGGGACTATCTCGGGGTTTTTCAACAATTAAAAAGATAAAGTAGCGAAAGGATGAGCATGGCAGTATTTCATACCAGCAATACAAGAAACGGCAATATACATAGAACAAGGGTTGGGCTGCCACTCCGGAGAAGAGAGGCAGCTCCTGAGGAGCCAGTGGTCTGAGTGGGCTGAGCTACGGTTGCTGTCTCTTGGCCGCTGAGGCCCATGGCGGGCTCAGTCGTGGAGGGGGGTTCAAAGGTAGCTGTGCCGGTGCTAGCTGCAGTAGCAGAGGCGATGCTCGTATCCGTGGCTGTAGCAATACTTTTGTTGCCGGTGGTGGTGCCAGTACGCTTGGCAAATCCTGAATCAAGTTAGTATTACGAGGTTCTGACAGGTCATTTATTCGCAAAAAGTTACTCACCAATTCGCGTCTGGTCTTTGTCGAAGACGGCGTAGACGTTCTTGAGAAACGTGTCACCAAAGAGCCAGGATCCAGAGACTACCTCATAGCCGTAGACGTTGCTGGTGCACTTTCCAGTGCTATCCTTGGGGGAGACCCAGTCCTCGGGGGAGATGGGATGATCAACACCAGAAAAGGTGACGACGATAGGGGTGGTAGTATCACAGGGAACCGTCCAAGTGACGCCGTCCGAGCTCTGGGCTCCATCAATGACAGAGTGCAAGGCCTTGACATTCTTTGCTGGGCCAAACATGTAGGAGGTACCGGTATCGATGTAAGCATTGATACCACCAGCGCTAGCTTTCTTGCCGTTGTAGGACATGTCGTCCAACGGAATGGACCAGTCAGTACCAGCAGGAATGGAAGTATAGGTGATGGAGCCAGTGTATCTAGAAGGGTTCGTGGCACCAAACGTGACTTCGCCATCATTGTAGCCGTCAGATGCTCGAGCCAGGGCGACGGAGAAGATGCTCTTCTGCAATAAGCCGGCACTCTCCAATGCCGACAGGAAGTTCTCATTGGCGCCACTGTTCATGGACATGCCAAGGATGCCATCAAAGGCAAAGTGCACAAAGTCCGAAGAGGTATTGGTGGCCAACCCAAACTGATACGGCAAGCTCATGCCTGCCACCTCGATAGTATCGTTGACCAATGAACCGCTAACAGATCCAGACCCGTACGCGATGGAGAAATCCTTTGAACTGGTCTTCAGTGTACTCGAATCTTTAGGCCCAAAGGAGTCGTGCAGAGAACACGCTTGAGATATGCAGTCGCTGCCCATGACCCAACTCGAGCCAGCCCCGGTATCGAGCAGCATGTAGAGCTTGGTCTTCTGAGAACCAATCAAAGCCTCTACAAAGTACGAATAATCGGTGCCATCCTGGTCGAGACCGGCAGTGTTTGGAGTCTTGGGGTCAACGGCCTCCATGATGTGGAACTGGTTGCCTCGTTTTGAGAGTTTTGAATCATGGCTGGGATTCGGGGGACTTCGTTCGTTGTATTTGTGAGCTAGCAAGGCTGCTTGCCATGCCGCTTTTTCTTCTTGTGACGCAGGAGCCTGGCAAATCATGGTCAGCATATATAAGCGCCGGTATGAGTTTTCGGTTGGACTTACACGTCTAGATGCTCTTCGCCTGATGTCAAATGTCATGCCATTTTCCGTACTCCTCTTTGCCTCACCAGCATTGTGCTCTTCAAGCTCCTTCAGCCACGGCGGCGTATACGGGTAGAACGCAAGGGCACCCGAGGCAAACAATGCCAGCGGCGCCAGCAAGACTGTATTTGGGCGCATGTTGAATCAAGAAGCAGGGGTTTTGGGCTCGAGAAATGCCCGGGAGTCAAGTTATTAGGTGATTAGAAATTACGCATATAACATTGCCAGATTACTGGAGAGGAGCAAAGAAAAACTGGAGGAGGGAAATGGGCGATGACAAGTGCGAGGGTGGCGATTGGAGCAGATGCAGAGTAAAATTTCGACAGAGAGGAGGAAAATCAGATTCAGACAGGAGAGAGAAGATGCTGCAGAAAGATTCGAATCGGATTGTCGGTTCGGTATCGCAAGCAGGACGAGGAAAATCGGAATAGGAAGCCGACAGCTTATGCAAATGCCAAAACAAGCAAAAACAACAACGATGCGCTAATATTAAGGATAGACGATGAACTGCAGCCCGCTAAACGCGACGGAAAGCAATGGAAAAATAAGATATAAAAAATAAAAATAAATAAGATAAAATAAGATGGGAAAAGACCAAAAGGAAACGGCAAGTCTATATGGTAGAAGGGGGAGGGGGGGAAGAGGGTAGAGGAGGAAGAAGAGGAAGAGGTGGAATGGCGATGTCGCGAAGAGGGGAGGCGAAGAAAAGACGCTGGAAATTGAAGAGGCCCTTATCGAAGCAGTGCAACGCTAAGCAACAGCTTGCCCTGGATATCGACGTCGATTATGTGGAGAGAGTTCGAAAGGAGGCCCAGAGCTAGGGAGGGAAGCGAGATGTCGAAATTAATGAAACCTCGGGGCCTTGGCCCAGTACAAGTACTAAAACGAACGAGCGCTGCTAGCAGACAGAGTTGGCGCGGGCAGGCCCGTATCGCTGTCTCTAGCGCGGGGAAGAGAGCGCGCGGGCTTGTACCGCTACATGCGGCCGTGGTACCACTGATACACACTGGTATACACACTGATCCGTCTTTTTTTCTTCCATCTGGGCTTCTTGGACCCTGATGGTTGGCTGCGCACAATCTGGATGCATCACCTGCTGTTCTTTGCTGCAAGCCCTGTCTCGAATCGGCCGTCATCGCCATTGCCATTTGCTCGACTATCGGATGTGCAGGTTTGGCTTCTCTATCTCGCCTCCTCGTCCTCGGTGGCGCTGATGGATGATGCGCCATGCATATGCGGGTGAGTTTGCCTGCTTGCGATTACCTCACGTTGCATCCAGTGGAGAGGACGCATGTCTGGGGGGCTGGGGGGCACCTGGACTGGACTGGGACTGAGTGATATATCGTACATTAAGTTGGTTGATTGATTGATTGAGTGCAGCACAGACCCGGCTGCAACTGAATCAGGTTGCATCGGTCGAGGCTGCTAACCTCGAAGCGGCGGCCCTGCGTTCTCCATCAATGACATCCGTTTCGTCCATATCAACGAGTAAGTCGAGTATTATAGTGCTGTATTATAGTAAGGAGGTAAGTATCCGTTATACTAGCAGCGTGTCCCAGATTGGCTCTCGGTCTGCTGCAAACCATCCTGTTCATCCGCATACCAACCAACCGCTTAGAGCCAAGTCTACGTCGCTAAAACAAACAAGACCGCGAGAGAAAACCACCGCCCGAGACAATGGCAAGGATATCGCTAGCAGAGAGGGTCCAACTCACCTCAAACCCTTGCACAGCACAGCAGCCCCCCAACTGGCGTCAACACTTGCAGCAGACTAGAGACGCAGACGAGCCCAGAGGAGGAAGCTTACATGTCCACTGGTAGCTTTGGCTCTGCAGTGACGTGGAGGGTTTTCAGTTTCTTCCATCCATGGATCCTTTTCTCTCAATCATGTTGGTTCCTCTGCCGCAACACATGACAGCCTGTCTTTTGTCTCTGGGCGTCATCGGGGCCGCCGATTGGCTTGCGGCAACACCTCTTTCAACGTCCAGAGTCCAATGTCCAATGTCCATGGAAAACATATTCAGACATTTACTGCAGCGTGAATCATCTGATGTCTGTCTCTCGTCTCTTCGTTTCGTTTCACGCACAACACAGCGGAACCCGCCCTGGAACCGCCGCTGCCGCTCGGCTTTTCGCCCTCAACTCTGGAAAATCGCAGCAGCAGGGAGATTCCTAGCCGAGCGGGCCGCTAATAAACGAAAAGCCTCAGCGCTCGCAACCGCCAATCCCAATCGGTTCCAGCACCCGCCACGCCTGGCCTAGCCCCTAGCCTCAAGCCCCAAGACCAAAACCGCCGCGCCCTGCACGTTCCCGATGCAAAGATCGACGCTCTGCCCATCCATTGGAAAATCGAATCGCTGGCTGCTGCACGTGCTAATGTATGTATGTGCGCGGTTTCATGTGTGTCCATCTAACGGCGCCAAGGGCCTAAATGTGAGTACATGTGTGAGTAAATGGTAAATGTGTACTAATATCCAGCTGCATGTCGCACTTTGACTGGACATCCATCACGTCTGTTGTACAAGTATCAAACGTCGATGTCGATGTGGCAGCTGGCAAGTATCTGCTACAGCAAAAGCAGGGAGTCGAAACGACAGAAAAGTCTCCCGATCCAGGCCAGGTGGCTTTGAGATGCCGATCGCACTGCAGCGTGCTTTGCCGAGGAATTACCAATCATGGCGATACACGTCGACCTGCTGTATGTCTTCAACTTCTTATTCCCAGCTTCCTTTACGATAAATCCCGAGTCTTCCATGCGTAGGATCACTTGTATCAATACCTCTACAAGCCGTACTCGCTCGAGATAATACCACCTTGCCTCCCAAGTCTGTAACATATTATCAATGACGCCTATTCGGGAGCTGCTCTGTACGGGCAAAGGCACCGCAGATCATGGAGCTAGCCCGAGATTCATCTCCAAAGGGCCGATGACCACCTGGGCATTCGACTTACACCCGCGTCCGCGCGCTACGGAGTTATGATGCTTCAGTTTTCCGCGATGCTTGTACATTGACTGACTGGTCCAATGTTCTCAATGTTCTGGCCATTCGTCCTTTTTTTCACGCTCAAGATAATCTCGTTTACATATCGATCTCGTCTATGTGTTCCTCATCTCCGTGGCTTTTTCCAAAATAGCAGCATCATAACTTAATCCTTTTTTTAGAGCCTCAGCTCCATGCATCTGCAGTTTCGCTTGTTTGCTCCCCCACCCTCATTCTCGCTTCTCTTCTTCAACTCTTCCCCCCCGGTCACCTTGGCACCGAAAAGGGTTCCTCAACGCCGCTCGCCATCAAATTCTAGATTCATGCAACTCTAATCCTTCCATCTGTCAAAACCCATCCATCACATCTCAACTTACGTAAATAAACCCGGCACACAGTCTCATAGTCTGCCAAGTTAATATACTCCTCACCACCATCTTCGGCAGTTTACGGACATCAAGCTCCGGCTAATGCCCTCCCTCCTCCCCCCCGGCTTTGGAATGCGGCCGATGTTGTTCTTAATCTTCCGGCATACCTACCTGAATCCAAAATCGCCGCAGCTACAGTGCAAGTGCTGGTAGGCGAAGAGAGCCTTGACGTCGGCTGCAGAAATCAAGGATCAACGTTGCCTCAGTGACCCCGGCATTCAGCACGGTGCACCTTATTAAACTAATGGCCATATGCGGAGATTCTGGCCTTGCTCACAGCCATGCGCCCATGCTCATGCCCCCCTGAACGCTGTGGCTCGATTCTTTCGTGCAGATGGTATCTATGATGGAAAGAGGTTTTTAAAGTTCTTACTGAGCAGGACAAAATAACCGATGCTCTTCCCAACTCTCTTTGCCATCGCTTATACAGGTACGGAATATGTCTGGATCCAACTCGACGCCTGTTCCAAGAATCTCGCTCCATCCGTCTTCTCCTCAACGCCGCTCAGCAACGCCAGCCTCGTAGACTCAACCCCTTCTCGACAATCCCTGTCACACCAAGGCCTCGCTGCAATGTTTCTAAAAAAGTACCATACAGACTCATTCCGCCAGTGAAATGAAGCCGCCAGCCTCGTCGCCTCGCTAACAACTGACCCAGCGTATTCCGGGTGCCGGTCCAAGAAGAACATGAGGAATGCCCACCCGGAGATGTCATCGTGGTGAGCCAAGGCCCATTTCTTCGCCGCTTCCAGCATGCCCGCGACGTCTTCTCGCGACGCCGTCTCGGACACGGCCTTGGTCAGATACCGCGCGTGAAGCCAGGCGTAGTAGTTGCGAGGATGTCGCTCAGCGGCTACCGAGATGACCCTCTTCATGGTGTTCGTAGCATCAATCTCGAGGCCGTGATCTTGGAAGTGTTGCATGAGCCATTGGCGGTGACTCCACAGCGTGGGCGATTTCGTATGCCGATGAAGGCGACTTGTAAGAAGGCTGTCTATCAGGTATTGCTCGTCGTAGAGTCTTGATTCAACATCTTTGCCCGCCTTGATCGTGTCTTGAAGCAGCCTCTTCCGCGTGTTGGCAGCGGTTAGATGCTCAGGGTCCATCAAGAGAATCACAGCCGTCGCTCTCAACACAGGTCCTTCCCCATTGATCCCATCCCGCACTCCTTCTTCCACGTGTTTTTGAAGTAGCCTGCGTGCAAAAAGAAATGCTTGCACCAATCGTAGCTTCGGCACCGCTATTGCCGGTCCATCTTGTAGGAGTATCGTCTGCCCATCGGCCATGTGGCTTCGTCCCAGCATCTCAATCTCTAGCAATTCCGGCAGTTGCTGCGACAGCGCATCCGCGATTCTGCCAAACACCTGCTCATAGTCGCCCTGCTTGATTGCCCTCTTGACATCGTCATCCAAAGCTCTCGACATTTGAAAGCCCAGCTTGTTGTTGATTTCACGCGTGTTTTTGGATCGCTTTCAAGGTTAGTGCAGGGTAAGTGCATGGTGGAGTCGGCCAGCGCTGGCCAACAACTGCAGACAGCCCACATGCAATCTTTCGGGGTTATGACATACGTCGTCTGTCCAGCTGGCAAAGTCAAGCTGATAGTCACCTGTCCATCTTTCACCGCGAACCACAAGCCAAGTTTCGCCTTTGCCGCGGATTGAGAGAAAGCGGCAGGCTGAGAATCAGCATCACCTTCTATTCTTTGTGCAAGCTACTTCGACGCCGCCAAAATGGCTTCCCTCATGATCATCGTGTTCCTCGTCGAGGTCACCGTGAGCTTCATCAACGCAGTCGGAGCCGCAAAGATCAACGATCTGGTACGACCCAGCCACAGCCCCTGGATCTGCCTCGTGCAAATTATCTCGTTCTAACAGCTTTTGTGCAGCTCTGGACCCTCATCAACTTTCTCCCCGTGCCGACCTCCAAAGCCGCGGCCGAGCAGCGAAAAGTCCAAGCCGAATACCTTGCTGTGCGGCGGGAAATGAATGCCACCAGCAGCCAGGACGAGTTTGCAAAGTGGGCAAAGCTGAGGCGCAAGCACGACAAGCTCCTCGAGCAGCTCGAGGCAACGAGTGCGTACATCTTTTACATCCCCGAGACATTCTAGCTGCCTTCGCATCTACGACCAAGTTACTGACCGGTGTTCCGTGCGTTTACGTGTATAGAAAAGGGACTCGATTCAGCCCGCTCCAAGTTCGACAGCGCCCTGACAGCCTTGCGTTTCCTCGTTACTCGCGCCCCGCAATACATTATCCCCTTCTGGTACGCCACCGAGCCCATGTTCTGGCTGCCGCATGGATGGTTTCCCTACTACGCCGAATGGATCATCTCGTTCCCTCGTGCCCCCTTGGGAAGCGTCAGCATTGCGTCGTGGCAGCTCGCGTGTGCGGGCGTTGTCACGCTGGTGAGCGACATCCTGAAGTTTGTCTTCAAGCTCGTTTTGGGCTCCAAGCAACCGGAAACGCCCATCAAAGCTCCTGGCGCGGAGAAGAGCAAGGAGACGAGTACTACGGACGAGAAGAAGACTTCATAGATGGCGATCGAGGTAGTTTGATAATAGAGAATAGCCCTACGCCCCACATGGTCTCGACATGGGCAACCAAAAAAAGAGAAGAAACAAAAAAAAAGAAATTGTGCAAAGGAGAATGTATCTCGTAGAATTTTGACGCAAAGTTCCTCATTGCAAACGCTGAGACTTTGTAACACGACAGAGAAAAGGGTTTATATAGGCATCATATTGACTCTGGCGACCACGGAGAAAAGAGGATCGCTAAAGCTTCGAATGTGCCACCAAGAAGAAGAAAAATTCACGGGTCGCACGAGGCACGAGATCGGTCAAGCGCAAAGGGGAAAACATGTAGTATATCTCATTGATGAAGATACTGCTGCTAGCTGTAGTGGTGCTAATAACTCGAGTATCAGGTGTTCACACAAAGTTGAACGAGTTTGCAAAAGAAGAGGTGAAGAAATTGAGAAGATGAAGAAAGCAAGAAAATGAGAATTGCGAAAAAAAATTCTGGATTCATAGATAAAAAGTTGGCGGGGACCCGGCAATAGTTAATCCCGCTCCCGTCCCCACTCGATGCCAAATGCTATGGATGCTTGAAATGCTCCCTCAAACGCCGAAACGATGATCGTGATAATATGTAACCAAGACAGTAAAAGTTGACCAAAAAATTACCAAAACACCGAAACGCCGATTCGGCGACTCAAATCTCCAAGAAAGCCAAAACCATCTTCCCATGCAAATCCACCATGAACAGCTTCTAGTCTGCCCAACACCTCGACCAAGATAGACGACAGCCCAGCCACAGAAAGCACATACAAGTATCCATCATAGGACAGTCCGGAGTACAATGCCATGTCTTTTTATCCCCTCACTCGCCGTACATTTCCTGAATGCTTCCAGCTATCCGGCAAGGGGTCGACTTGCTAAAGACTAGGCTTACATGTGACTGCCAATATGGATCCTGTGGCGTTCCCTCAGGCCCAAAGTCTTGCCATACGCGTACAACAACTCCTTGCAGAGATGCATTGACGGAGAAATCCGTGCTGCAAAGCTCGCAACGGCTGGAAATCTCCTCCCCTGGCGATTTGAACGCTGTCTCGACGGAGACTTGGAGTGCGTACCGCCTTTCGTCCTGACTCGTCGTATCTCTAGACAATTGTCCTGGTGGGATGACATCACAGGCCCGGAAGGTTTGATGTAGGCATATTATAATCTTGTCCAGATGTTGTGGTAGCATTCTGCCCATGACCTTCTGAAAGTCACGTACAGACTGAGAAGATATCTTCCTTCAACAACCTTCGGGTAGGCTAAATACCATCCTTTGACAAACTGTCCATCTATGATACTGTCATACGGGGCGAGAAGTTTCTGGAGATGTGTTGTGTTCAGCGCGATCGAGTCGGCTAGCCTTGTATGCTTGATCGTAAGCTGAACGTGCCTATGGCTCAACTGGAAACCATGGTTTCAATGGCTTGTTAGGTCGATTGCTTCCGACTCCCCGAAAGGACAATTTTCAGACCAGGGACGTCTTGGTGTGTCTTGGTCGTTGGCCTGATGGAGCTCAAGACATGCGCTGCAAACCCACTTGTCAGGGTGGTCTCGAGCGATGAGATGAAGAAACTCTTGGCGTTGTCTCCTGGGGAGTCTCTCCGGTAGATGGTTTTGTTCGCGGAGAATGTATTTGCAGAGGCTATCTCGCAGCGCGTGGCAAGTTTGCGAGACTACGATCTGATTGAGCCGTGGAAGCCTAGAAACGATGGCTATCGTTAAGTCGAGTGGTAGTTGGAGAAATGGCAGGTGTTGCTCTTGGCTGGCGCTGCTAGCTGAGCCGTTGGATGCTGGTTGAGCAGATGACATGATTAATTATATAATATAGCTCTCTGAGTGTCGAGTTGTCTGAATATGGATGTCTGAGCTTGTATTATGGTGAAAATGGGGGCGTCAGAATAAGTATGAATGTGTCTGAATATTGTAGATGAGAAAGAATGCTACGGTCACAACAAGAGTAGGGGAACTGTTTATATATATATTTCTCTTTTCTGAGTCCAGCCATTAAAGTAAAATCAGCATGATCTCCTTTATCTCGTTTACCAGACAACAGCGCATTCGTGAAGCTTAAAAACGTAACCAAAGTATGTATGGTTCAAGTCGGCAAAGACTATCTGGAACATATTTAGGAAGAATCCGAGGGAAGGCTGAACCTTCTCAAAATATAGAGCGTCGTAATCACAGCAATTAGCACCTTTGTAGTATTGATTTGAAAAGTGCATCTGGCGCAATCTCCGATACATAATGATAAAAAAACTCAATTGTGGAAGCTAGAAATGCCACCGATCCTGCATGCGTTTAAAACAGCATATTGTACGCAGCAGCAAATCCATGGCGGACATATGGCATAACAATGCGTTAGGGTTTCACAAAAATTCTGCAGATCCTATTCTTCCTGTTGGTATATCGCGCCAATTACACGTTCCTATAGGAAACAAGCAAGGACAGGGATAGTTGGAAAACTCCGCGAATAAGGCTGAAGGAAGAGCCATGCTTGTTTCATACATTGAGGTCTTGGATGTCACATGCGACTAGCACCGCTCATGAAAATAAAGGAACAGGATCATACTACAAAAATACAATGCTACTAATGTACGTTAAAATATGGTGTGCACATGAAACAGACACAGATCTGCAGTGTTGTGTGATCTACATCTGTTGTACCAATACCTATGTACTAGGGAATTCGACATATCAAGTAAATGGTAGACGGATGGCAATTGTCGATCATAAGAAAATAGTCAGACTTTATTATATGGCAGACAACTCAAATACACGAAGGCGCATATACCGACACAAAAGGCAAAGTGCAATCGTGATATTCCGACGAAAGTAAATGTATTGCGATCAAATGCCATCTGAAAACCTAAAATCATCTCGGCCGAAACAAATGCTCCCCCCTACATGACATATCGTATGCAAAGCATATACACGATATACTCGTAAATTCCCGAATTCATCTTATAGTTTAGATTGCCTTAGCCCTACAGAAGGAGGCGCAATGTCCTTGCCTTTGTCACTGTTCCTCGGCCTCCACATCAAATACAGCGGCTCAGATAGAAAGTCTTCCATCAGGTCCCTGGTTTCATCGCTTGGGTTCTCAACTTTCATAGGGAAATTGATGACGTTTAGAACAATGGAGCCGGCTCTTTCGAGCGTTCCCTTGCTCAGCTCGACACACTCAGTATACCCTTCGACGTCGTACTCGTCGAGGATGGATTCATATTTGCTTGTAAGGAGGGGAGCGGCGTGAAGATTGCGATACTCGGGGAGAATCCACATGGCTTGACCATCTAATAATTTTAAAAAAACCGTAGAGTTAGTATAATTTATCAATGTGAAGATAAGATAGTGACTTACAGATATGCTCTCGTCCCTTCATTGCTCGGCGGTGCCACACATCCAACTGTCCGTACAGCTGCTCAGACATCAGCCGAAGCTGTGACCCCGGCTCAAATCCGTAATGAGGAGTATCAGGCATATTCCTTGGATTCTCCTCATCCTTCCAATGCGTCACGCAACAGCCTCCCACAATGAGCGGCGGCGATTTCTCTGTATCGACGAGCTTGAACCACATCTGCCCAGGACTCGTCCGTGCAGCAGCAAGGTACTGGGCCTTCTTGACTGCAAAGGCTGCAGCTTCCCTTGGGCCACCTTCGCCAATGTGAGGGAATGTGACTACCATTGGAGCTTGTCTTGGGATGCTCCATGATTTCCAAAAGCTGCCAAAGACTCCATCCCAATCTTTATCAAGATCAACGGGAAGGACTTTGAGATTGCTTAGAGAAGGCATGATGAAGATGATGACGATGATGAAAAGAAGACTGTTGCCAAAGTGTATAAGACTTATAGAGCATGTAGAACAGTTATTGAAGTGAGCATGCGATGCCCATCTATTTATCTATAATTTTTTCAGGCATTGAGGACTTGCACCGCCTCTCGGGGGAGACACCGCAACGAGTTTGGCTTGCGTTATAAACGCAACGTCTGCTGGTCCATATCGTATGCTGCTTTAGTGACTGCCTCTGTGATGATTCGGACACACATTAGGCAAAGCGGACTGATCTGTCCTACGTTTGTGAAGCTGAAGATGACGGCCCCCCCGTATGGTGCCTGTCAGAATGCCAAATAGTGGAGAAACCGTTGCGATTTTCTACGGATTCAGTCAGACCGGTGGATCTTCACATGTACGAAAAGCAGGCAGCAATACGAAATAGGCCTGCATAAGCTAAATAGGGCGACAGGTGCTACCTTTTTTCTACATTGGCTCGGTGAAGAGGGGAGCTGATCTACGAGCTGACCTGGCGGTTCTCGTTTCTGACTGGTGCATCTCTTTACACAAGATTAGGCAGTGTTGCGGAGTGAAGGACAACCAATCGTTCAATTCAAGGATGCTGGCTGAAAATCCCCCACTAGCTGTATGCGTACTAGCAAGCATGCCAGCAATTGTCCAATTACCATCAGACTATACACTTGCTTTTACAGCAGCAACTTCCTCGTCCAGAGGCAGGATGTGCGGAAGTGGACCAACAGGGGTAATTGAAAGAGGGTTAATAGGCGTATGACTCTTGGTATAGTGGTTCTTGATGTGCAGGAAGTTGGTGGTTTCTCTGAACGCTGGGACGTTCCAGTAAAGGTTTCGCAGCCATTTGTGGATGTGCGGGTAGCCAGAGCGGATGTCGCGAATATTGCACTTGAAGTGTTGAACGTATACAACCTGCAGAATTATTAGCTACTATTGCATCGATCGCTGAGAAATCAACTGAAAAGGGAACAGGAATGAATAACAACATACATCGAACCGGATAAGTGTGACATAGCTGTAATTAACAAGTCAGCATGTGTTTCGGTTATCCCAGACACGACATATTGGATTATCAACTTACAGCCTAACATCAACTTCTGTAAGAACCTTACCAAACCAATGAAGGCCTTCAGTCGATGCAAAGTGCTTCTCGCATTTATCCAAGGCCTCGAAAAGTTCCGTAACGGCACGCTCATAAGCTTCTTGTGTGGTTGCAATGCCGCATTTATAAACGCCGTTGTTTATGTTATCGTAATGCCAAGAATGGACCTCGTCAATCTGGCCCTGGAGCGCTTCGGGATATAGCACGACATTGCGATACTTTTCGTCGATGATGTCGTCAAACTGGTGGTGAATTGTGTTAGCTTGTGTTATTTCACACCGATAGAAGATTGCGATATGAAACCAACCTCTGTGCCAAACATGCGAAGGATTTCGCTGCTTTCGTTGTTCACAATGACTTTCTGGATCTTGTCATACAGCACAGGGACACTGAATCGGGCTTGGTAGTCGGGGTTAGATTCATAGTAAACTTGTCGTAAATGAGTAAAGTCCTCGTGGAGCGGGTCAGGTGTCACATTCTCTCCCTCGGCGTCTGTATCCTCGGCAGTCGCAAAGCGCCATCCTGTAGAGTGATTAGTTTTTATAGTGCCTCGAGACCAAGTGTCGCTATATACCGCCGTCTTTTAGATACCAGTGTACAGAAGTGAATGGGATGATGTCTTCTAGACCCTTGAGCTTTCGAGCAATCAAAATCCGATGTGCCTATACTTTGTGTGAGCTTTGGTATGAAAGTATTGGGAATCGAGAAAAAGTGACATACCCAGGGACAAGCATAGCTGACGTAGAGGTGATATCTGCCCTTCTCCGCAGGGAATTTGGCTCCAGGCTCTTTGGAGATCTTGTCATGGAGGACGGTGGGAGGGCGCTGGAAGTTGCCAGACTTGTCGGAAAAGCTCTTCCAGGTACTAGTAATATTGCTGTTGGACTGTTTCAAATGTGGCAATGTTAGCAATGTTCCTTATTGTGGTATGGCCGATATAGATATATTATCCCACAGGGCGGGTAGTGATGGAATGTCACTTACCATTTTGGAGCAAGAGATTCACAATGAATAGATATAATTGCCACAGGGAAAAAGATCTCTACTATGTCATCTAACAAGAGGGGAAACAAGGTGGAATATGAGTGTTTGAATGCACCCTCTCTTATTCACTTATAAATCACCAGCGCGTGCTGACTCATGCCGCGCGGTAAATCGCCTCATGCCAGAATCGTATTCTACTAGCAAGTAGGGGAGTTACTCCATAGCCTGCGCACATTCATTGGTGAAATGTGTATGTCTTAGTCGCTACGGGAGAACCCTTTTAGGGAAGTGGGCCAGATTTGAGAAATACCGAAATTGGTAATTCGATCCGTCTCAATTTAGAGTTATAAAGCATAGCTTAAGTACATAGAATTAAAGCCAGGGAGCGTCTCTTTGAACTGGTTCGACTAACACACAACTCAACAACAGACATTCAGCTCCTCTGGCAGGTCAGATGGTTCGGAGTCTCAAAATTCAATCTCTGTACGAGCCGGAGCTCAACGGGTAGTTTCAATCACATTGTGTAAGTCAGATGGATAGAGCAGCAAGGGCCACACACGACATCCTCGAATTAAATGAAGTTAGGGAATTCTTTTGATTCAGTCCTTTACCTCGACAAACTAGCAGTCTAAGCAGCCTCGAGTAGCAGTGTCTCAAGGTTGGCGTTGCCGAACATGGCTGCTTTGTGCCCCATGGCTGTAGGAAAAAAACTGTTTATCTGTGTCTACTTGTTTAGGTGGTTACAGAATACTGAACTGAACCGTTCAGTGGTAACTCGAGCTATTTAGATCCCTAAAGCTCCCTCGGAAGGCATAGGAAAGGGCCGAAATTATGCTGGCCGGTGGCGTTTACCCAAGAAACCAATGCGTCCCATGTCCACCCAAGAACCTTCACTCGACCAGCGTCTATGCTGATACAACAGACACCAGCGCTTACCACCTCTAGGCTCTCTATGACATTTGTAGATCTTTTTTTTTCATAGTTTCGGAAGGATATTTTCTGATATTATTATGCACAAACCAGTTATTTATTTTGATAGGAGATTCTGCCATTGGAGGTAATAGATACGGCCAACTGTTAGGCCAGGCAGACTCATGGTGAGAGTGTGATATATGTGTTCCCCCCCTCTTCTTTACTCCTCTGCTTAGGATGACACGCACCTAGTTTAAGGACTTATAATCTTCTCCCTCTCCATAATGTTGGTGTGTCGGCAGAAGCATGAAACTGAGGCAAGTATGATAACGCAAAGATGTTGGCATGCCATGGGCCGCGAATATATATTGACATAATAGACCTTTGATCCCTAGTTTATTTAAGTTCGAAGGTGTTCAAGAAAACCTTGGCTGACTCCCGGTTGAAACACTCGTCTAATCTAGCTAGAGCCTTTAGTAATGGGAATGCCCTCATATTCTGCGAACCCAAGCGCCAGATTCATGTTTTCTAGTAAACAGTCGTTAGCAATTTAGAACAAGCCTTAGATAACAGAAAGACCTACGAAGGCACTGAGTACTGGCTCCCTTGTTGAGATTATCGATCGTAGCGCAACTACACATTGTTAATACAAGAATAGCTCCAGGGATGCTATGGGGGAGGCACTTACACGACGACTCTCTTGCCGGTCTTATCAACAGCAAATCCACCGATTTCAACATTGTGCTTATCGGCAATGGTTTTCACATAGGGGGTTTCTCCCACGACTTCAACGAGCTTCTCGCCAGCGTATCTGTCCTGGTAGATGTTTCGGATATCTCGAGCGTTCATCTCCTTATTAAGGGGAATGTTGATGGTAAGGTGAATTCCGCGGAACCAGCTTGAAACTATTATCTGATATTAGCTAAACCCAAATAAAGCATTACTTCTATTTGGTCCTAACCGTGAGGAATGAACGCCACGTTTGTAGTGTGATGGCTGATTTCACGCTCGTGGACGTGATCCGTGAGGGAATCTGTAATGAGGATCAGCGGCAGAATTCATAAGGTAGGGAAGGGCTAGAACATACAGGGGAGCACGCCTCCAGTCAAGTAAGAGACATCGTTCTTCAGGCTCTTCTTTGTGCCGGCGCCTGAATAGCCACTGATTCCCATGATTGTGGGGCTAGACGCAATGAAAGGTACCAGGGGAGCAATGGCAAGTTGAGCCGCGGTTGCATAACAGCCTGGGAATGAATGTATTAGAAACAGAACGAATACTTGTATACACTAGAGAAAGACGAGCAACACTACAAAGCAGAGATGCCACCACTTGATGTGTGTGCTATCCGGATTTGTGTGTTGATTGCTTGCCAAGCCTCAGTATTCTGGACATCCACTTACCCGGGTTGGAGATGCGGGTAGACTGGGCAATCTTGGAGCGCTTAGTGAGCTCGACAAGGCCGTACGTCCATGAGTCGTCGAATCGGTAGTCGGCAGAGAGATCAACAATGACGCTCTTCTTGTCTTTGCCCTTCTCTGCCTGATCGATGGCATCGACGTATGGCTTGCAGACTCCGTTAGGCAATGCGAGGACATACGCATCAACGTCAAGCTCCGCACACTGCTCGGCGCTGAGATTTTCGTAAATGACATTGCGCTTGGTATATCCCTTGAGCTCTTGTCCGGCAAGCTCTCGCGAGGATACATGGCGAAGATCCATGTAGGGATGGTTGTCGAGGAGCTCGATCAGAGCCTGGCCGGTATATCCTCGAGCACCGATCAGGGCAATGCGAGCGGGAACATCGTTGGAGAAGTTCTTCTTGCCGAGAGGGGGATTCGGGTTGGTTGTCGCGATCTGGCCACGGCTCTGTGTTGTTGCGAAGCCTCGGGCGTTGAGGTTGTGGAATTGGCTGGAGGAAGTCTGGCTCGAGCTGGGATTCGGGCATCGGCTGGGCGCGATTGAGGCTGCTCGGGGGATCGTTCGCAACGCGCCGGAGCGCATCGCCCTGCAGGTGATGGAGAGCATTGTTGCGGTGCTTGTGGGCGCAATTGAGTTGGTGGGAGGGAGGAATATGGAGGGATGACTCCAATCGATTGTGGTGATGTCGAGCAATTCATCCCGCCCTGGGCTAATTTTTTAGGTGGGGCCTCAGCGCGTTTAGAGGCGTCTCTTGGCTTTTCGCCGACATCGCTGGTCCTCTATGCAGTTTGACGTACCTGACTCTGTTGAGGTAGAGTGGCGGGGGATTTACTTTGCTCTAAGCATCTTACATAATCAGAGTTGTTGGAAGGGATAGCAACGACAAAACCCGTGAAAGGTTCGTATAAGGGAAAATGTTGTATAGTAAGATGAAATTGATTCAAAGACCTGATGACAGTTCATGTGATGGGTGCTGTGCAATCGAAAAGAGCATAACTGGAGCTACGCTCATTGAGCCGAAACCAGCCGAAACCAACCATACATTCTAGCAGCAAGTCTTCAGCTAGAGGGAAAATATAGCTCATCTGCCATATATAAATTGACAAGTACCCATATTATAATGGAGAAGAGCATATAAAATGTCTCATCCTCATGTATAAGAGAATGAATGCCTGTTTGTTACACTGAATAGTTAACAATTAATGAATAAAGAGCATCTATACAGCAAAACCATATTCACTTGATATCCATATTATCTTCTTCAAAAACATTTCCTATGTTCGAATGAGCTAATTGAATAGGAGAAGTGACACGGAAATGCACTGCTTCAAGCACAGGCTACAATTAGTGCCTGCACATTACACTGGTGAATCAGAAACAGGTATTTCATAACATTTCCATCGTCGCATTCCCATGGATATTCCCCACAGGGTAAACAGTTATCAACATTCCCATATGTAGATAGTATCAAGGCTTATTGTATCCGAGGTTGGAACTTATACAGAAAACAACCTTGGATTCTGCCCCCAATACACCATCCGTACTACATATCGTATGTACCTGTGTTTACACACCTATTCCCTAACATGGTTAATAACCAGCTGCCTCAATTCCTCTGGAGTTACCATCTTGATTCCGAGCAAAGCGTTATCTCTGCCATATGGGACTCCAGCCTCAACCTCGAGCCCATAAATAGTAGAACCAAGAAAGTCTCGCACCACCTCAAACTCCATAGATCTCCCCTCCTTGTCAGCTTCATAAGCAGCAGCAAGTGAGCTCTTACTGTCTTGGTGAATTATAGTAAGCTTCAAATCAGGGCGACCTTCCTGGATAGCAGACAAGATCTCATTTTGTGTTGTCATAGCGGAGCTTGTGTAAAGTGCTTTGTTTTCCGTCTCTTCGGAATGGAGTAAGCTGTTGACAACGGCTCGACCAACGTCTGCAAGAGTTGATATACCGACAGAAATATCACCTCCGTTCCATACGTTGGCTACTGCATTTCTGTAGTCAACAAAGAAGTTATCGAGGCCCCATTCAAGGAACGGCCCAGTATATAAGACTGTATATGTCATGCTCGATTTTTTGAGCAAATCCTGAATAAGACCCTTGGCGCGTAGGTAGGGAACTGCTCGAACTGCTGGGATGCTCACATCCAGACCATATTCCGAAGGAAGAAACCTCTTGACACCAGCTTTGTCTGAGGCCTCAACAAGAGCCTTTTGTTCGTCAAAATACAAGTGGTTCATGGCTGACACAACGGCATCCTGGCCTTTGAGGGCATCAACCAGAGAATCAAGGGATCCGTAGTCTATTCTTGCGATTTTGACGCCGTCAAACGTAACTTCAGAGGAATTCGATGCTCGTAAAAGAATAGTAACATTGAACCCGGCTTCTTTCACAGCCTTGACGACTGCAGGTCCCAGGTAGCCAGTTGCACCGGCAATTGTTACATTTTTGATGGAGCTCATGGTTTTGTGAGTTATTTGAGATTTTTGAAACAGTTGATCAAAGATGGATGTAGTTGAAATTGCGATGGCTTTTTGTGAATGAATAGAACAACATTGAGTTAATGGGATTGATCAGCCTTCTTATATATTTCTTCCAGTTTGTCTGTGGACATATTTCTCAATTTCAATCTTTCTCGCAGTTCTATGCAACGATTTTTTTTTATTAATACTGATTACTTTTTCAGCCCAAGAGAGTCAAGTTGTGTACCATTTGGAAGAAGCGACAGGTAGCAATGTATGATTACAATTTACATTCATAGGCTTGACTTATATCAAAATGCAGAAACTAAACAGTTGAAAACGGCTCAGCAAGCAAAAACGGATTAGGGAACTGCTCCATCTACAATTCAGGCAGCCTCTCATGGCGAAAGACAAGCACATGTCCGTTAGGAAAAGAAAGTTGCTTCATTGGCCAAGCCCCATAGCGATACCCCGTCTTGTATTTCCAATCAAGCCATGATTGGCTGTTATCCGTTCACAGCTGCGCATAGCTCTCCAAGAATAAAATTGCTTTGGTCTGGTGGACTATGATTTATCAGCAAGCCCCCCCTTCACGACAGAGTAGCTCAACATTGTAGGTTGTGGGCACCTCCTTTCAGCGGGCTATATTTCTCTTCTGAGCAACCTCAAAGTTTGCACGTTAGCCCTATTCAGAATTATGTTCCATCTGATTAATGCAAAGGTGCGCTTGATTTGTCGAGACGCCTCGTCGATCCTTGGGCAAGCGAGCGGGTACTCAATACCCTGACTCTGCAAATGATCAAACATCCAAACCTGGATAATGCAAACAAATGGGGGGCGGAAACTCATTGGAGGCGCTGTTCACACTTCTTTATTGTATGCACTTGTTTATTTGCCGTCCCTAGGTCTTATGTAATGTTCCCTTAGTAAGATCAAGTACGACTATCGTATCAGCATAGAGGTTAAATTGTCCGGCAGAGAATGGCGCTATTGCGCGATGGGTCCCGTTCACTAAAGTAGTTGAGTGCATTTTCCTGAAATGGATATTGGTGGATGTGATCACCAATTACATACATATCTACAGGCTGGTTGAAACCCCACCAGTGAGATATAACGTGAAGTTGAAATCCTTTTTCCCCTTATCGGATCTCCCTTTTTGCACTCTATCTTGTGTATGTGGCTGACGGTGCTTGACTTGATTACCAATCTGGCGAGACCAATCTGGCGAGACCAATCTGGCGAGACCAATCTGGCGAGACCAACGGCGACGGTGCTTCTTTCTTCTCCTGTCCGATACACCGAGAGCATGCATTCTGATTTGGAGTCTTCTCATGAGCCCTGATTAGTAGTAAGCTTATAAATGGCAATGGGCTATTGATCAGTATTCAATTAGTGTTGGCAGTATTTTATTAAAGCCTCAGGTTTTGATCACCTGTTCATCAGGATCGCAGCCATCAGAAGCGTCCTCTACATCTGAAGGGCATCAATTGGTTTGATACAGCATCCGTCTCCAACATTTCGACGCCATGGACGAAGACGGTGAGGTGGCGTCCAAATCTATCTTGGAGGACACTGCTGAAATTGAAATGAAGCAGGGTTCGCCGTTAGATTCGTCTTCTCCTGACGAATCGCCTCCAACACCACCCCCTGCGACCACTCCAAGCAGCCCTGTCCCAGATGGCGGACTCAACGCATGGCTTCAAGTTCTGGGAGGATGGGTGGTGCTCGCAGCTTCTTGGGGCCTCGTGAACACCTTTGGAGCTTACCAGACATACTACCAAACGGTGATGCTCACATCCGAGTCAGCGTCTACCATCTCCTGGATCGGCTCTCTACAAGCATGCCTCCTTTTCCTTGGAGGACTTGTTGCAGGACCTCTTTTTGACGCTGGATACTTCACACCGACTTTGATTGGGGGGTTGCTGCTCATTTGCTTCGGAATGTTTATGACATCTCTATGCTCAACTTACTGGCAGGTTTTACTTGCTCAGGGAGTCTGCGTCGGTCTTGGGATGGGCTTGACGTTTTTGCCCGCTACAGCCATTCAGTCACAATACTTTGCGAAGCGACGAGCTTTTGCAATGGGCGTTGCTGGAACTGGATCTCCTGTTGGGGGAATCATTTTCCCTATTATTTTCAGCCACTTGCTTCCAAAGATTGGCTTCGGCTGGACTACTCGAGTCATTGCGTTCATCATACTAGGCCTTTCTGTCATCCCAGCTGTCTTCATGAGGCCCCGTTTACCAGCGTCGGGCCGTATTCGCTCTCTTGTAGATACCTCAGCCTTCAAAGATATGGCCTTTATAACCTTCATCATCGGCACGCTGCTGACCTTTCTGGTCCTCTACACTGCGTTTTTCTACATTCAAGTGTTTGACGAGCTCAATCATTTGTCAAGCATGGAATTTGCACCATATACAGTCACTTTGCTCAACGTTGGAAGCGTCATTGGTCGGCTGCTGCCTATGTATCTCAGCGATAAATATGGCGTGCTGAATGTTACAATCTTTTCTACCTTTGCGTCTGCAATTCTGGCATTTAGTTGGATGGGAATTAAAAATTTAGGCGGCATTGCCGTCTTCGCAATTCTCTATGGAATTACTTCAGGTGCTACTGTTGTGGGAACGCCTGTCGTCGTCATGGTCGGGTCACCAGACATATCGCGAATGGGTACTCGTTTGGGGATGGCGTTTATATTCTTCGGTATAGCTATTCTTGTCGGCACACCTATAGCAGGTGCTATATTTGGTGACTTTACGCGCGCTCGTTGGCTGGGTGGTATTGGATATTCTGCAGCAGGATTGATCTTGGGAGGCGTTTTCATGAGTTTGTCGTGGATTCCTATGAGCAAAAAGAAGGGGACATGGAAAATTTAATGGAGATATTGAACTTAAAAATTGAAAGAACTATGTCTACTCTGTTTCAAATATCTGGATGTATTCACGCCGATCCCAGAAATCTCTAGAGTTCTCTTTTTTTACATATTTACAACTTTAATGGTCTACATAGGTATCTGCAACCCCCAATTGAACACACAAAGCCTTATTGCAGTATTCATAGAAAACATTGAAATGTCGTCAGGTAAATCGGCTTGGATACAATTGCTATGTTAACTATGTGTCTATATAGAAAGTACATCTGCTGCTTTAGACCATTCAGTCCTGAATCACCGTGTGAAGTTATGAAGAGCCCAAGAACAAGGAGGCATTTTGCTTCTTTAGTTGCTATTGGCGATCCAAAAAAATGGTTAATTAAAGCTGCGAATACATCAGCATACTGATAGAGGAATCTATGTCCTGCGTCCGGGAAAATGTGCAGTTCGGCGTTAGAATGGCTTATTTTTTCCCACATCAAGATGCTGTTTTTAGTTGGGAGTATAGCATCATCACAGCCTTTGCCTTGGATTAGCGCTTATTCAGTCAACCACCGGTGGGTTACTTACCAGTCGCAATAAGAACAGGCATTTGAAGTTCATGGAGCCGATTATACGATCCATCCTTTGCACTGTTAGGATCGATGAAATTGAAGTATGCGACGCCTTGCTCTTCAGCAGCCTCAAGGCTTGCGTAGTCGCTACGATTTTGACGCGCAGCAGTGATTCTCTCCCACGCCGCATGTCCTGCCGCTTGGCCTCGAGCGGAGCTAGTGAAGAATATTGAGATAAATGCATCTTTATGCTCATCTACTGTGACGGCCGTTCGGAGCTTTTGCAGTGCATCGGCGGGCCCAATTTGAACACCTTCGCCGATGCTTGGTGTTGTAGCCGAAAGGATAAGATGGCGAACAAGCTTGGGAGCATTGAGAGCAATCATCTGGGCATTGCAGCCACCTCCGGAAAATCCCATAACATCCACTTGCTTCAGGCCCAGTGTTTTTATAATGTTAATAAAGTACTGTCCGACTTGGGTCATGGTTGATGGAAAATGCCCTTCAGATCTTCCGGAGCCCGCAGTATCAATCAGGATCACCGGCCGCTTTGCTGCTAATGGATCAATAAGAGCTGGGTCCCAATGATCCATTGTACCCCTTTGATGCCTTAGCAATTGAGATTTTTGTGAGTTTCTTGCGAATGGACTCACCTGTAGTGCATGATCAGAACGAGAGGAACTCCATCTCCCGCGCCCAGCCGTCTGTAAGCAAATTTGATGCCATCGACATTCACAAAATCATCTTTTGCCGTTGAATATGTCGACATTTTGATACTGTCTTTCTGTGACATAAGTAGTGTGATCTGAGACGAGATCTCAAAGTATTTAACGCAAGTGTGTAGAGGAAATGGCTACGCTTAGAGAGTGAGAACATAATTGAATGATTTGAGGCCATTTATTAACAATTTACTTATTTTGCTTTTGAATTATGGATTTATCAGCAATCAATACTAATTATTGATGCTGAACAGAATGCTACTGCCTCTTGAGCGAGGATCATGACCCACAGGCCCCCAATTACGGACCGGACCCAACGGAGTGATCTAGATTACTGATCGAAATAAAGTAAAGCTTAGAAAAGGACAATCTGTTATTGCCTTTCAGGTAGGATATATTGATTACTATTGCCTTATTAGCACAAAATATACTAACATGATATGATGCTGCAACCTGATGGTGGTGAAGCTAAACTACTGAATAGAGACACTGGCACCCCGGCCTTAACTACTGCCAACTACGCTAATCGTATGGGGGAAACGCACGTGGGGATCTGTTAAATTTAGTTTTGGCTTGATGTCGCCTTATGCTAGTGTACTTATTGGTTACATGCGCAGACTACATGGGTACTTAGCTTCTCGTCGTACGAAGGATATATAGGATATAGACTCCGTAAGATAGGTGCCGATGCTGTTCTAAAAACCAACCTATTGATATATCAAGCTATCTTCCCATGAGTTTCCAGAAATTCTTTGAACAAGATAATCGAAATGACAATCAGCAGCCCGTTGTTTTCTCTCATTTGTCAAGACTTGATGGAACGAGCGTCATGAATGAGCTCTGCAACCAGCGAAGGAAACGTATGATCGGATAGCTCATTTAGAGAGTGCGGTTTATCATACCCCGAATACGCCATACTCCATTTAGCCGTCATTAGAGGGGTTAATAGCGCTGCATTATGTTTTACGTAGCTAAAGATGGCCGCAAGGCTCTGTAAACAAACGAGCAACCTTTGCGGGGCAGCATCATCGCCAAAGCAAATCGCTTCAATCGCGGTGCTATTTTTTTTTTTTCCTTTTTTAATTTTTTCAGCTGGAGAGTAATCCTAGGGTAATTTCCAATACTTTCTTTGCTTTTTGTCTTTGTTACGTGTCAAAAGGGCGTGGCTGCAGACTACATGGATGTTTGTGTGCGGCTGAAGGGAGCTGAACCGGTTGTGAAGGAAGCCGAAATGAGCATAAAGCTTCGGATAACCAGAAACCATGAACGAAATAAATGGATCAGCCTTGAACGCACAACTAGCCATCCACATTATTCACAGGCGATGTACTTGTGAACGACGAACGACATTTGTTGATGCTAGGATTCTGTTCACCAGCAACATAGGAGGAGTTCTAGACACAAACCCCGGCATAACAATCCGTCTCTTGATGTAGCCACGTATTCTGAGCCTCGACTGATTGGTTCTAACCCCTCTTTACATAAATTGCCAAGGCCACGTAGTAGGCCAATGACACCTCGGCTCAGCTCGATCTCAGTCGTTTCACTGGATGCGGTAATTCAGAGGATGTTTGCTTTAACACACGCGAGTTTCACCATTCCAAAAAGAGGACAATATTGGAAAGCGGAACAGTTTGCTATCGACGAGTACGAGTACACGTAGGCAGAGTTGATGCCTATTCTCTGCACGACGAACGTCATAATTGCGGTGTGATGAATCCGTGGCTTGCAGTAATAGGCGGGAGAATGTATCTAGGAATTATATCGGTAATTGACAAGATGGATAAGCTTAAGCAATATGAAGAAGTCCTTCTTCCTACAGAGATATCCATACCATGGCACGCGATCACTTTTACCGGTACTCGTAGGTAGCTTGAGAGCGCTACAAATAAGAGAAATAATGATATGAAAACCAAGAGACATTTTGCAAAAGAGTCTCTGGCCTGCGAGGGAGTACTTTAGCATGTGAATGCTTTGAGGGGAGGCGCTCCATTAATGATGACCCCTGATTTGTTGTTACACTGCAACTAATGCGAGCCAGAAAAAGAAAATAAATAAGGCGTCCAATAGAATTCTGCTCTTTTCGCATCATTGCATACGGTGAGAGCTACGTCAGCCATACCTGTGCGCAAAGCCCCTGAAATCATGGCTTTGTTGAGCTAGGAACATTTCTTTGGTCTCGCTTCCAGCCTCACTTGCAGCTCAGTGGCCCAACAATTGCGGGAAATCTAGTTGCCTAGTTCGCAAACATGCCGTTAACCTTGATGAAGTTTGGACTGTAACTTCGTATATATACCTGGCAATTGCCGACACTTTTGTGTGTTCACATCTGTTTGCGGCAATTTTTCCGGATTTTCTTTTATAATTCTCTCACAAATCCCTTCTTCTACTGGATTCTCCTCGTGATATTTTGAACATATATCGAGATGAATGGGGGGAAGGGGGACGCTTTAATGCCTCGATGCAAATCTGAGGCATTGCGTATCCGTCAACGTAAAGGACGTCGCAACCAGAAAAAGGGCCACAACGACACATCTCAATGCTCATGTCATCTGAAGAACAACAAAGCCAATCACTATGATAGCGAATACCATATTGTGGTAGAAACTGCTGATTTTGAACCGGAAACTGAAAATTCAGCCAAAAAGCATGACAAGAAAGTCTTTGGGGTTGAGAGTAAAGACTCTGGTGACGAGGACATCACTCAAGATTCATTACAATACCACATCGCCGAAATGTATAGAGCTTCTGAGAAAGCTGGAGAGACAGAATTGGATTCAAAATACAAGCAGTGCAATCGCATCCAGCAGCATGTCCAAAACACCAGGCTACCTCCAGAATGCCGGCATTCAAGCGATTTGTCCGACAAGTCCTCTCCGATTTGCCACGAAATAAAAGAGCGAGCAGGGCGGATATCTAAGAATTATAAAACTCTTCATGAAATATTACTTCGCCATGAACCGATTATACAAGCCCGCTGGGCAAAGAAACGACTTGGCCAAAGGCAAACGTTTCTGCTTCAACTATGGCCTGACATGCCACAAAATCATCGCCCCGACTTTTACGTCTTTCGGAGTTCAAGAGCCCAGAGAGGCAATCGGAAATACCGGCACTGTTATATGTTGCCACATATCAACCAGAATGATCTAACTATGCAAGATTCACTACCACTATTGATCAATTCTCGCGCATTCTACACGCCCTCTCATTTTGTTGACATTGATTTGCAATCCATGAAGCTAGGGCTGCAGACGGGAATCCTGAAATCAGTCTCCCTCCCTGGGTATTCAATGGTTCTCTTAGACGCTGAGACCATAGATGATTATGGCAAACTTGTCGATATATCAAAGTATTCAGAAGAGGAAATTTTGGATCTCGACAAGACACATATTACCCCATATTATGGAATTCTCCTTTTGGAGGCGCAAGACAGGCTTATGGCATTTCTGGTCAGCTGTTGCAAACAAATATTGCATGACATTCCAGAAGAAAATCTCGTCTCTGAGAAATTCCCAATCTCAATTGGCTCACCAAAGTTCCTGAACAACAGTGGTGTATATGGTCCAGCCGTGATGGCGGCACAGGCGCCCTATCGAGTTCCGGGGAAGCCTAACTTCAAGCAGATTGGATTACTGCTTGGCGCTAAAATGGAACAAATAAAAGACCATCTCTTGAATTTGCGAGAAGACCCAGCTTATTTTGCTAATACTATCAAGATGATGAAAGACTATTCGGCAAAAGTCTGGGATGTGCATACAAACACTCACTTCCTTCTCAGCGGCAAGAGTAAGACTAATTTGTTCTCCTTTCTACAATATATGATTGCAAAGCCTTACGCGGATTTCGAGTTCTTTTCGGACTTGTACGAAAAAAACCAGCAACTAGAAAGATTGCATACCGAATACGAAGCAGACATAATACCGTTCAAGGGTGTGCCTGATGAGATTTTGAAGGCCCTGTGCAAGTATCAGATGAGTCTATGGGAGAGCATCGACTTTAGGCGATTAATCCTCATACGGGTCATCCGAAGCTCTTCAGTGTGGTTCCGACATTTTAATGATAGTGCAGATAGTCTGAATTCTTTCAGGCGCGACGTGGGCAACTATAAGGCGAGTTCAGTTCGCCGTCACTTGATATGGTTGCTCCAGTGTGTAACTGAATGGGACCCAAAATTGCCCAGACTTATCAAGCCTTATCATTTAATCTTGCCTTTATTGATGGACGGGATAGAGACCCTTCGAGAAAATGAGCCAGAGGCATGGGAGCTCACATCTTCTCTCATAGGAGAGATTATAGATGAGCTAGCAATTCTCACAAAATGTATGGAGAAGGTCAATTTGTATCTTCTTCAGACACGAAGATACGAGCGCCCTACTGCAGGGGGAAAAAGCATATACACAAATTTAGTCAACGATGAATTGGATTACCTTCATCCTCTACTCGCGTTGGAACATGAGGCCTATTTTAGTGTTACTGAATTTGAGGAAATTGCAACCAAGACATTGGTCTATCCATGGGATAAGCGCCGGACCAAAGAAAATGTGAGGGCGATGCAGAAAGCTGAACGAGACTTGGACACATTTTGGGACGCAGCCGATTCATTTATATTCAACAAAATTAAACTGTTTCATGAGTTTCCTGTCGGGAAGCATATAACAAGCATAAAAAAAACCCTTCAACGAACGCCAGATTGGATTGAGGAGGAGGGATCTATAATACCAAGGCCTGTCAGACAAAGGAAAGCAAGTCAGGGTGATGATGAGGACTATAAGCCTCCATTTGCACCTTGCGATGACCAAAGCGATAGTCCTGGAAAATTCAGGCAAGACAGTCGTCATTGCCTTCAAATCAAGGTCAAAACAAAGGGTCAAGCTCACAAAGCTGTTGCACAAGTTGATGTGAGAGCTATTGAGGAGGTTACATCTGAATCGATACCCCTCATTCCCGTTGATAAACGAGCACTTAAAGTGTTTCGTGTTCTGTTCTACAATCCAGATGTGACTTCTTCACCAGGAGAGGTTCCCTGGAACGACTTCATCCACGCCATGGTCTGTATCGGGTTCTCCGCGCAGAAATTGCAAGGATCAATTTGGCAATTTAGCAGGTTGAATCATGGTGGGCATCAGACTATTTTGTTCCACGAGCCTCATCCACACAAAAAAGTGCCTTTTTGTGCTGCAAGATCCATTGGATGGAGATTAAATAGGCATTTTCAATGGTCTTTGGAGAGTTTTGTGTTGAAAAAGAAGCAGACGGAGGTTTTGGAGTGAGGTCACTTCAAATATTGAGTAGCTGGACAAAGAGATGAAGCCCAGTCTGCTATTGTTTATCATTCTTTCTCTCGTTTACCTATTTTTGCTGTTTTGCTGTTTTGCTGTTTTGCTGTTTTGCTGTTTTGCTGTTTTGCTGTTTTGCAATTTCATTCAGTCTTTACCGTTTATCTTGGCTGTCCTGGTCGCCGTTATTATGAGAATGTGATTTAATGATGGGACTTGACACTTCAGACACTTTCCACAAATGTCTAGAACTGCTGAACCAAATTTCCCGTAACAGTAAACTATGTTTATGACTAAATCTTGAATCACATTGACAATGTTATTCAGAAGAGGTAATATTTAATCGTGTTTGATGCTTCGAAGCCATTAACGTATGGCATAGGGGCAAGTAGATTCCATGGCCCTTCCACTAGCCTTCTTTCCGCCCCCCCTAAAAAGATGGGTTAGATACGGAGTACAGCAGTGAGAGTAGCCGGGTACCCGTAGGATGGCTACTCGCTTGTGCTGGCCACCCTCGCTAAATTTACCCATGGCTACCAACAAAGCCTGCCATTCGTTGAGCTCTCAGTAGACTAAGTTGAATCCTCAAGCGAGACTTGCTGCTTAAAGGGGTTTACGTGAATATTGTGAGCTATGAAGAGACGAGATTGATGTTGAATCAGAACTTTTCGCAGCATTTGGTTATCCTCATGTTACGATTCTGCTTTGCCCTCTAAGTAGAAGCAGAAATTTTTATTATACAATGTATGAGTCACAATATCATATTGAACTTGGTATTCAAGTATTCGTCTTAAATAAATATTCTCGCTATCGAGCGAGAGCCAACATGGCAAACCGTTTTTCTTTTTTTGCCCCATGCCTGGAGTAGCAGCAGAACCTTGGGCTCAGCCTCAAAATTTGATGTTGGAATGTTTGGTTAAAGTGCGGGAGAAGATAGTTGCCTCTGTATCCGTCGTCGTTGCCAGCAAGGGTCTTCAGCACATGCCAGGGTCCCTGTAATATGAACTCTCACCTCTCATACACAGAACTAGCAGGGGCGCGGAGCTTTCACGCGGAGCTTTCACGCGGAGCATATCTGCCGCCAATAAAGGGGTTCTGGTAACGCTTTGGTCGTCCTTGGTCCTTGGCTGAACTCATCGAGGATCCTTGTGTGCTGCCGTCGATAAGTAGCCGATTGATGAAAGCGCATGCGGGGTTCAGTTGGAGGCCATTTCTGTATTTGGCGCCGGTATATTATGGTTTACACAAGGGCCTGCTGGATACAGGAAATGGCTATCGACTGTTTTGGGAAAGGCAACCCGGTCATTGGGTAGCCGTTTCGCAGACAAATAGAGTGAATGGTGGTACGGGGCAATGTTCAATGAATACTACTGCACTTTGTGGCTTACAGGGAGCGGCTCCCGGCTTGTGAAACACGTAAATCAGAGCCGAACGTTGAACAAGGTGCAATCTACCTGTATACGAACGTGGAAACGCGCATTTGGTCATTGGTGCAGAATAATAAGACTTCGCCCGTGAAGTAAGTAAAACTACCCGCACAGGGGGATGATAGCACAAACTAGGAGAATACCAAAGAGAAGGGTTGGATAAGGCAAAAGAATATTCCGGATTATTTTTAGGCTGTCGGCTTGTAGTTTAGTGTGGCGTACATCCCATGGAGGAAATCATTCCACTTTCGCACATTTACGGAATATGCATGCCGGATTTTCCCAGTATCCTGGAACTTTTTGGTGACCGGATACATTATCCCGTTACGCCCTATCGGAGGCCGCCATTCAATTGGCGAAACAGACTGCATTCTCGTTGGTTATCATTTCTGATATATGAGTACAGGTGGAAGTTCAGAGGATTCTGCGGACTATCTAGGCTTGCTAGGGCTCATTTCCACACAGCTCCTGCAGATCACTTCCCAATGCTTTGTCTAATTCCCTGGGATCAATGCGCGATGCCGGGGTACGCCGACCTTACACTTCCCACATCATTAAATGCTGTTCCCTTCTGTCACTCATCCAGAGGGGGTTTCAGCCGTTTCGTGATCGGCGGTTTAAAAAAAAAAAAAAAAAAAAAAACGGTTCCGTGGCCGCGGAATGCGGCTCACGACTCTGCTCTAAGAGGTAGGAATGTTTCAGTGCCATGTTGATGCAGGGATAGAAGACAGCTCTTGGCGTCAGACGGCTCTTTGCAAGCGGGCGTAAGTATTTTGTGTAGAACTTCATACCGGTTACTCGATACGTAAGTTTATTAATGAGAATTACAAGTTTGGCCAAAGCCTGCCTAGCGGATATGATATCAACAATACCCCCCCTCCCCCCCCCCCCCCCCCCAATATGATACAGAAAACACCTAAAGACCGTTGCTACGCGCTACTGCTTCTCAGCCAACTTCTGTTCCTCATCCGGGTTGGGTAAAAAGTTCAGCCATGGTCCTTCATTTATATATCCAACGAATCCACCGGCCTTGGTCTTGTCACTGACCCAGGGAGACATACGGCGCAATAGCCTCAACCACCATGTCTCCATTGCTTCATATCGTGTGACATACCCGGACATGGTGACGATGGTGTTAGCATGGGGTCGCTGCTTCGCCTCATAAGCATCCAAAGCAGCAGTGATCTCGCTCTTGGTTGGATTTCTTCCACCATCTGCTTCACATCGTCGCACCAAGGGTACCAATTCGTTCATTAGGTGAACAACACCCTCAACGGCCAAGTTGCCTCCAAGCCCAGGATTGATGGTCGCTTTGTGAACCGCGTCACCCATAAGTGCAACTCTACCACCGGAATTCCACTTTGGCTTCAAAACTCCCTCTTCAAGGGGTAGCATGTTCGCTCTGACTCTGCTCTCCCACAAGTCTTTGAACGTGTAGCCTGGGCCAACAGCATAGTCTCCGTATTTGGCGATTGTGGCCTCAGTCTCCTCTTCCGTGAAGCGCGGTGTATTGGGGGTCTGAGTTGCACGGTCACTCTTCACAAAAAGAAACCAGAAGACAAGGCCAGGGACGCCGGCAGCAATGACGCCAGAGAAGCCCGAATAGTAAACGTTGTGCACGGCCCCATCTGGCAAGAATGGTTTGCCACCAGCTGACTCTTTGGCGTTTCTGGAGGTTGCAAAGATACAATGATAGTTGCTTGTGAAGCCACTTTGCATTTCTTTTGATGCAATGGGATCAGTAGAAGCAATCTTATCAGCCATCAGGTTTCGTATTGTGCTGTGGATGCCATCGGCACCCAGAAGGATGTCTCCTTTGATGGTTTCACCTTTATCCGTAACTACCTCAATGCCATCATCTGTTTCAGTGAAGGAAATCACACCAGTTTGAGCTCGAATTCGGGACTTGTCTGCAACCTGGTTATAGATGCAGCTAAGCATAAACCTTCGCTCCATGAAAGTAGTCCACCGATTTAGGGTCCTATCAGGAACGGAATGGTCATCAGTCGCCTTGTCACCTTCGCTTATACCTTGAAGGCATAACGTAACATGTCAGGGGAAGTAGAAAAAGAAAAGAAAAAAAGGAAAATACTACTGCGTCGTAGGATTCGCAATTTTATTTCACACTTACATCTTGGAAATCTCTTGTAGGATGGCTGAATCCTCAAACAAGCTACCGTTCTCATCATAGTGTTGTCGAGTTTCTAACGGCACAACGCCAGCCTTGATCTCGGGCCAAATGCCGAGCTGCTCCATAACTCGTTGAGTGTGTGGATGAATGGATACAGAGGCGCCCAAATGAGGAGTGATCTCTCGCTTCTCTAACAGGACATAGTCGATCCCAGCCTTTTCCAGCGTCACCGCTGTCGTTAAGCCGACAAGACTGCCACCGGCAATGATTACCGTGAACCGCGACGGGTTGGATTCTGCCATGATATCAAGAGTAAACCGTATCAGTTTTATTGTCCTCTGATGCCGTAGCTGTTGATGTTCGCCAATATGGAGTCCAGCGGGCGTAAACCGAGCGTTTGAATGGCTGCGAGATTTAAGTCTCGTAACAGCAACGTGTGTCTTTAATAAGCCACAGAGTACGAAGTACATGCAGCGAGTATTAATATACCACTCAGATAGCATTACATGATTCGATTCGCGTCCGTATTTCCTTTGCAACTGGGGTAGTGCCGGTTTCCCCGTCGCTCGGCCGTCTCATACCCCTACCTTGGGCACTTTAGCCTGACTGCTCTGTCTAGCCTATCCTTCCCGAGATGATGGATCTCCCCTCTGAAATTGAACCATTTTCAACTGTTGGAAGCATCCGCAACAGTTAGTTGCCAAATTTTGACAGGTCATATCATGCGGAAAGGCGGATGTTCAATTCTGCATGCCTGAATCCTTTCCTAGGAACGATTATCAGGCTGAACTTACAAGGGTCCCTTGACCAATGGATAATTAAGCGCATGGAGGATATGTGCCCTTCAGATACACGTTTGATACATGGTTATGGGGGAAATGTCAAGTGCGAACAAAGTAGCGAGAAGTAGGCAGCTGTCAATTCGACAGGGCTTATGATCTTTGTCGCCGACGTCCGTACTCCGTAGTTCGCTACCAAAGCGGGTGGCGAGGCAAACTTTTAGGCTGCGCTAACTGCTATGAGGATGCATGTACGGAGTACTTCTAACGGGCTTTGTAACAAACCGGTAGACTTTCAAGGATTGAATCCATGCAAGGAACAAGAGCCTTTCTCTTGTCTCCTCCGTATTGCTACGGGGTACCTTGCTTTTGTCGTATGAGCATCCTGTTTCGGCACAGGGACTTTGCTTGGTGCGGCTTCGCCGTTGCTATTACTATCATATATAGCCAACAATGCCGTCTCAAGATACCGGAATCATGTGTTGTGGGCGACTTTCTAACTGTGTCTCGGGCTCTACCAAGATTCCGAAATGGCGACCTCCGCACCTGTAGACATGACGCTGCAAGCGGATGAGAGGTATGAGATTGCTGTCTCGTACGGTACAATCATTGGTACGGGTGCCTTTGCCATTGTTGTTTGCAGCACGAAGCTCTACATTCGCAAATTTATGCTGAATTCTTTCGGAATTGATGACTGGGCATGCCTGATTGGATTGGTGAGTCGATTCAGAGAGAATGATCTCAGCTATCGTCTGCTAGTCTTTAATTCTAACAAATCATTGGCAAACAGTTATTTGTCACGACATTCAATGGTATTGGATTGGCAGTGGTTTATTATGGCGCTGGAAAACATATCGAACATGTTACGCCTGACGAACTTAAACATTGGTTCATGGTAAGTCGTCTTGTCCCTTCGATCCCGCCAAAGACAAAAGGTAGCTTACAGATCTTCGAACAATTAGCTCTACTACGTTTGTATATGCCTTTACTTATCGATCTCTTTTGCCGTCAAATCAAGTATTCTTCTGTTTCTTCGACGAGTCTTCCCCGTCCGTAAGTTTAACCCTTAGGCATCCGTTCCAAATTTCGTCACATTAACATGAAGCCTTCCCAAAAGCATACGTCCAATATACTACTATGGGTCTTTTAATATTCTTTACACTCTTTACTATATCTGGAACTTTCCTTGCTGCGTTCCAATGCAACCCGCCCAAGTACACATACGACATTGTGTTTCTCATGTCTCCCGATCGGTCCAAATTTTGCTTTCCAGCGATGACTTCTTACGCTGTTTTCATGTATCAAGCAGTTCTAATCTTCTGCTGCGATATCATTATGTTCTTGTTACCGTTTCCTGCTTTGATGAGCGTGCAACTCAACAGCAGGAAGAGTCTTGCATTGCTGGCGGTCTTTGGAAGCGGCGTCGTCGCCTGTATCGCCCCTGCAATCAGATTCAAAAGCTTGAATTTCTACAAAACAGGAAGTACTGATACTACATGTATGATGATTACTTCCATTCCCCAAAGGGTTAGAGACAAAGCTAATAAGATTCACAGTTGAGGGTGCATCATCTCTGTACTGGATGGCCATTGAGTATAACATGGGCCTAGTCGCCGGCTCTCTTCCAGCACTTCGTCCTCTATTCTCACGCCTCGGCGTCTTTGGTAGCAGCAATGATCCCTCCTCAGGAAATCCGAATCAATTCTCACCGTCGTATCAACTCGATGATCAGAACAGCAAACAATGGGGGACTGGACGACGAACCCAGGGCAGCAAAAACAGATTCCAAGGAGACAGTGTGCTGGAAGCAACAGTTATAGACCGAGACAACTCGTCCCGGGATAGTGAAGATGCACGAATCATGAAGACCGAAGTCTTTACTGTGACTAGCGAAGCTCGAGATGCAAATTCGCGAGGCAACCAGCAGGCCTGGGGCCAATTCGAATAAAACGGTGTCTTCAGCATGGTATCTCTAGGGATATTGGCGCTCCTATGATAAAAGGTGCAAATACGATGGGGTGTATTTGGTCATATTTCATTTTTAAAAGTTGGGAACTTATTGTGCCAACCAGCTGCAATGCCTGGATGCGGAGCTACTCGGGTGGTCATTTGACTTTATTCTACACTAGATAGCAAAATCGGATGCTAATAATTCGGCAATGCGATTTAAATGATAGTGAAATATTGACTGACAACTTTGTAAAACCTAACACATCTTCTCTAGGCATGTGCATGACAACACATTGAGAAGGACGCTGCCCCAGTTTAGCTGGCACTGCACCCAGGCGCAGTAATGCCCATGTTGCATCTAAACTACCAGTAGTTAACCAGTTTCGATATAAATTAATCTCTAAGTTACTTCTAGGCGTAACACAGCAGATTTGTTGCCCTAATTTTCTCAATCAAAAGAAAACACAGGCCAATTGTACCAAACTGATCTGCGTGACTGTCCGGGCATGTCCTCCTTAAGCAGCGGCACTCATTACCCCCTTGCCCAAACCCTTGCCAGCCTACTATAGTACGAAGTACAGACAGTACTTTACGGGGTACTTTGTACGGAGTAGTTTACCACAGAATGCAAAGTGCGCCTACGTTTCGGGGCCATTTCAGGAACGCGTGGGCAAACAGAAAATGGGCTTTTCTTTTGTATCAGTAATCAGCTTTCAGAAGTCACTGGCGGCCAATACAACACAGCCACTCTGAAGATGCCTTGCTCCAAAGTCGTCCAAAAGAGCAATGTTGAAGACTCATTGCCGCCGAAACTTCCATATTCAGTGCTCACGACTCCGGCTTAGTTCCCAAAGGTACAAAAGAAGTAGTCTAGTCTCTGCTGATTCAAATGCGGAAAAAAAAGCAGAGAAACATATGATTTCCGTATGATCGCGGGACAAATAAACCCGCTGTAATCACCGAGACTCCGTGCTGACAGGCGGCAACTTTGATTTAACCGAGTCAGATTCACAAACTGAAGTGGATATGCAAGAGTCAGTGCGGGGTTCATTAAGTCGAAGAAGCATGGGGCCTGTCTGGCCTTGCCGAATTGACCAGGGCTATGGACAATACCGGAACCATCCAAGTCATGGGTGTTTCGAGATCCCTGATGCCGTGGAAGGCATAAATCTTGCTTGTCGATCATTCCTATGATGATTCACTAACAGTATCATGCTTCTCCTTACCAAATGTATTTCCTATCTAGCTAATTCTTTTACCTCCTGTACTCCAAATGGAAAACTGGTTGGTTCGATGTTTACACGTGCGGTTAGCCTCTTATCATCATCATAAGCCCTCTGTTAGAACCTATAATTGTAGAACAATGCTTTGCAAAGAATGACACAAGAATTTTGGCTAATTTTAGGCAATAAGAGGAAGCTTAGGCTGGCAAGCCAGCTTGCAAAGCGTGTCAAAGGCCGCTGGAGGGTTCAAACTTCGAAAGAGATCCAATAAGATAAGCACGCGGGTATGAAGAAATATAACTACAAATCTCACATTGCAATGCGAAGGATGAGTTTCTAGCTTAAGGTAGTATCGGGAACCTATAGTAGTAGCAACTGAACATATGATGGGAAGGGCTCTTTTCAGGTGAACTACATGTGTGTCGACATTTGCTTTCCGACTCGTTTCAGTTTCTGTCATATTGAATGCAAAGCGGAACTCGTTACCAAAAGCACCCATTTTAGGAAAATAAGTATCTTATGCACTTCCTATTAATAAGTCTTGCGCAAATGTGTATTCAAGAAATTACACAGACATGTAGTCACCATAGGCTTTCCTCGGCGGCTGCTCCGTATTGCAGATATTGGACAGCAGCTACCTTGCACAAACTGTAATTCTGAAGAAGGTGGGCATATACTCCTCTTTGATGTTACTTGATCTCAAATCGGATTTAAAACGTAGCTTTAAGTAAACAAAGGACCACATGCAAATCGGCTGCCTAGTAATAGAACTTAATACAATATCAAGACATCTTCAAGTTCAACTGGGTCTGACAAAGATCTCGACTCGTAACGAAATTATATAGTTACCCATCAATGATGGTAACATTTCAGATTTAAGAGAAGCTAAATAATATCGAAGCCCAATGGCCGCAATAATTGAAAAGCTTCCATATACTAGGTAGTACAACAAACAAGCCCAAGTCCAAGCCAGTCCTGCTTATCAGTCAGTAACAAAATGCAAGCTACACGTCATGCTTCTTGAACAACTCATGTTACTCTTTGCTAACTTCCCATGTATCTTAAAATTGTGAGTAGTGGTAATGAGAAATTATAATGTGAATACAGCAGACATTCTTACTTCAATGGTGATTGTAATCTTATTCGAAGATACAGAGTACTGCAATGCAGGTGCACGGTAATGTATTTCTCTTAAGTGTTGCACTTAAAAGGTTTCAAATAAAGCGGCAGATTTGAGCAAATAATATGAATGTAACGATGCGGTAAAGAAAATAACGCGTGGATTAATTTGCTTCGCTATAAACCGAGACCAACATAAATATAAAACAGGACCTAGACGCCATATACCATCATTCTTCGCTTGCTTGTATCATAATTTTAATAAAAAGGCCATTTTCTTAAGCCTCAACTGCAGCCAATTTTTGACTGCAAGGATTTTCAAAAATGAGAGGGACCAGTGCTGAACCATCAGCCTGTAGATGTTTGGTGATACCATATCGCTCTGATGACAGCATCCATTCCAGCAACCCTGTTGTGATAGTCTGACAGTTCTGTATATATTTCTGGATATCTTCTGATAGATTCGGATCAGGATATGCCAGTGCTTTGAGAACTTGGAAAGCCTCCTCGAAGGTGGTTACCGAAGTCTGAAAGATGTGCATAAATTCTTGTGTAGCTGTGCTGATGTCGTCTGTTCCACTAGCGTAGGCTATAACAGGAATTATGTTTTGGATGACACCGCTTCGCTGATGAGAAATCTTTGTTAGATTATTGTTCATTCTCTACTTTGACGTTGGATTTCATATACTCACCAGTTCTTTTTGGCAGGAGTAGATATCGTTGATCCTTTTCAAGTTAGCACACAATCAGTTTTCTTATTCATCACTGTTCTCTCTTACATCATGCAAAGCCGGGTGATTTCTCTCCAGATTGTTTTCATGGGAGCTGATTCAACGATTTCATTCGGCAATGACACATTCCTAGTGAATCTGAAATAGACATTAGTATTGATCACCTCAATAGCCAAGCCAAAGACTGATACGTACTCGCATATAGCAATACCTGGAGTGATACCAGATGTCCCAAAGCGCATCTTTGTAAATTCTTCTTGTGAAGGAATGGAATCATCCTCTTGTTGGATATGCTCAACCAAACAGCAGTTTACATAATGTTCAATTTCATTATATAAACGCTGTGTTTGTGCTGCACGAGTCTCATTAGCCTCTATTGAAACGACAATTTGGGTTGATTTGGATGTAAAAATGAATACGAACTCTGGTTCCATGTCGCTGTTAAGGGTTCAGCCACATGGTCAAACATGGTCATGCTGGGTAAAGGTTGAGCCAAGGCTCTTCCTTGATAACAATCATCCAGTTCGAGTTTGGACTTGATATGATCCAGTGATTGTTCGCAAAATATTCGAGCTAGGTCTGCATTTGAAATGATGCCGCTGTCATCTTCTCCATGGTCAATAATATCGTCCCATGTGAATACCCAGACCAGAAATGCTGCTGCGGCCTTTAGCTCCTCCCATTCTGAATAAGGATAACAGCTGTAAAAGATCAGTTAGCTGATTCTAGGAATTTCGAGGTAGCTCCCGTTACCAAGCTGCGAGATATCCAAAATCACAACGCTTGACACCAGCGGATTTTCTTCTATCTTGAATGTTTCTGTGTCTATTGTGAGCAATGATAACTTTAGAATAGGCATGTTTTACTGACTCGTCGATAAGCCTGTCTACCCATCGCCTAATCTCATCCGAATACTTGTTGACCCCCTTAGGGAAGTTGGCAAGGGGCAGCTTCAAGTTGGGAATAGGAAGAGTGCTTCCACTTAGCATGGAGGCGAGCTCATTCGCTCCAAGATCGTATCTGCTAGGAGCCATTATTTATTTGGTTGAGTAGCTTCTGATTTGGATTGAATGATTTCATGGCTGCGAGAAGGCCATGGCTCTTTATATGAAATGGAGCCCGGAGGCAGCCATTATGGCTTTCTGAATTCACTACAGATATCGGCATGACTTTAACAGGGAATAGCCAAGGCTGCCTATCAAATCTCATGCGATGTTTCACGATTCTATTCAGTCCTGGGCAGTGCAGTGCTTCAATGAGGGATGGATTCATCGACATACTCGCAAATACACCTCGATGGGGGGATGACCCACCGTGATGGTACATCAGCGAGGAAAGATATCGTCTGCATCCAACATCAGACGATGGTATTCGCTTCTTATTGGATAAAAGTAAATAAAAAGCTGTGGCATCCTTGTTCTGGAGAAGCTGAGCATATCCCAAATGAGGATAAATTGCGGACACTGCAGCATTTGGCAGTAGTGAGATCCACTGCGCCCAGCGACTATTGTGTGGATTTAATGGGTATGTTGTATCTGCATGGGGGACTACGCATCTGTAGCTCCGATGGTTGGTAGACATGATGGAACATGATGCCCACTACTGAGCAGGCTACTGAGCGAAACATAGATAGTCCAAGGCTATAGCAAATACATGCGCAGCAGGCTCGGTGTATCCGACGGCAAGGCACACACCAATGACGCTATTCAGAGCCTTTCGCCCTAAACGTCTCTAAGAAACACCGCTCCACAGGATCTTTATCTAGAATGTCAGATCAACGTGCCAATCAGGTAAGACAAGACCCTAGCCTGATGAACAGCATTCGAACGACTCAGCTCGCCACGTTGCATATAGAAATCTGATATTCAGCTTTCTATACACGGCTGTGCAGTGGGGGTGTAAGCGCTGCAAAAACCTCGTATTTACACAAGTCATTCTCGGTTTTAATTCGCGTGACACATGGTCATTCTTCAACACCGAAACACCTCAACACCGAAACATATCTGCTTGGATTACAAAGCGGACACCATGTCATCTTTGACTCATGATTATGAAGATAGTATCGTTTAAACATCAACCATGGTCTTTATTGCCTCATGGATACTGATGCATGCTTGAAGCGCGAAGTGAACTCCCTTCTTTGCTAACAATGTTAAAACAAAGAATGTAGCTGTTGAAGCAGGCGGGCGAAGAATAAATATGGACGGCCCCGCCGGCTAAAAGTGGAATCATGAGATGAATCTCTAATAAGAGAAATATAGCCCTATATGAACGGGCTAGCCCGCTGAGAGAGCCAACAATGTGGATAAAGTGGCACTCGGTCAGATACCTTTCCTGGTAATAAAGTGAGACATTTACGTCAAAATATCTGCATTTGGAAAATGCATGTCTTTACACAAACGGATGCCTGGTCACACTGAAATCTTAGTTTGGGGTTTCACTCAGTCAATTCAACTTACGAATCAAGGCAAACAACTGTTTAGAGGCGAAATCGAAGCGCTGGTGATGATAGTTACTCAAAGGTAACCATAGCCTTAACGTTTCATCCCGCCAAGCAGAATTACACAAGTTCAAGGTAATATGAGATTTACTACGTGAACTTCTTCATGAGATGACTTGATTGATCAATCTTCCATGCAAAAAGGGGTATGAAGATTGTGCATATGGGCCCTAGAGGTTAACACTTACATCCTATTCGACAGATTTCTCACGTGCTCGTCTCAAGACTATTCGATGTACACGGGCCTTGTACCTTGCATCGTGAAGGCAAATCCTGCCATTCTGTACCGTCGCACTACCCAGTCAGTAGCTTTTTATTGGATACAACGAATAAATGACGCGCATAATTGTGGCTAATACTCAGTAATGTAAAATGAGCATGATTATGCAGGTTAAATACTTCGTTACATGCCTCGGGCGTAAATTACAAGTTACCCGTACTGGGGTACTCTTGGATCCTCATTGACGGTGAAACAGCTCGATCTGTGAGCTAAGGCGGCCGTCAGCCTCGGATAATAGCAGCCAGGTCAGTGTTAGAGATCCAACTTCTTCCAAAGGTTCAATATCCGGCACATGGGGCTGCGAGATCTGTAACGTTAACATGGCCAGGGCCAAAACAGACGTGGGGAGAACTGCAAAATGCAGAGCGCTTAACCTGCATCGAAGAGATCAGTCCACACTTAAACGATTATGATTCGAGTTTCACATTGGATCCTACAAGATGGGGTGGGGTCTTCCTTGTCGCCTGGCCGTAGAGAACTCAAACTCGGAATACCATTGCCAGCGGCCTCGCAGCCTGAGGCGGACTCACTTGAGTTCTTAGGCAAGAAGAATCTCTAGAATCGAAAAATATCTACGCCTCTCTTTGCTAGACATTGAACATTAGTAGTAGATGAGAGAGCGGCAGCAGAGATATTCTCAAATTTGCTATTCTGGCGCCTGTTTAATTGCATGTTTTCAAGCAACCAACATCCAATTGCCGTGGTCGCAAATAATATCAAATCGCCCAACGTACCTATATTCTTTATCCTTTGCGTAAGTAGTAAATGATGAACTTTGGATTTGAAATAATGCTTTGGTGTTTGCGGCGTGCCTTAAACAGTAAGACCTGGGATGCATTGTTCAGGCTCGTGAGAGATGGGAGCCAAAACGACGTCGCAGCAATGCCAAACTACTTCGATTTATTAAACCAGCTTACAAGGATAAACTTGACTATTTAGTCAAAATCCTGGGCCATCAACTTCCACCCATGATGCAAGGTGCGACTAATAATGTGGCGAAATGTTAAAATGACCTTCGTAGGTGACGGTGATGGATTCAAGGTGCTTAATCACCTTCCACTATAATTGTGAAACCAATTTCCCAGATCCGATTGCCTATTGCATTGCCATTTCTCTACTATCCTGGTTTGACTGCCATTGCAACGGCGTACTAAGCTGTACATATTATTTTTGGTGGTGAAAATACGTGTTCGCAGAATCAAGCCTGACAGGTGTATAGAGAGAGAGCCGATGGCTGAGGCACGATAGATTGGTCAATAAGCGCCATTTCAACAATAAGAGTCATCGCAAACTGGATCCTACCACAGTAAGTGCGAAAATTCTGGATTAAAAAGATATATGAGTAATGGAAGATTGATTGCTCTGCGCGTGATAAGCTGCGGTCCGTAGGAATGAAGCCACGTTTTACCCTATCCATTGAAACGGTGGATGTGTGGTGCCTCCGCTACCTCTCTCAATTCCTCATGTACCGCCTGTGGTATTAAATCTATGAATTTTGCGGCATCTGCGGATAATGAATGAGTTGAGATTCCGCCCAACGAGCAACGCGTTGGACCCCTCGCACTGGTTCAAGGCCGCTCACGAGGCGGTACGAGTGAGTAACAGCAACCCGAACCACCAATATGGAAGCTCCCCTCGCTAATGATGCCCTCTCCAGGGGTATAAACCATAACCTGAGAAATTTGCGCGTCTATCCGCGCTCCTGCTGATTCTTTGCGTTTCGTGACAATCACCGAGCAAGGCTGGCGGCTAATGTTTCATTTACGCGCCCGGGCTTCGATATTTTTGGTTAAGTGATATTCTACCGCGGCCCAGGATGCGACCATTTTATGCATGTTGGTTCTACTGTTTCTAAATGCAGGTGTCTGCAGAGAGCAGCCATTTGCTTGCAAACTGTTGCATTTAAGATGCCTTATGCGCTGTTTACCAAGACCCGAAACTCCCCTTTCATTTGTGTTGCAATTTCTCAGGTCCGCATATATGTATTTTTTTTTATTCTATTCCTTAGCCTTATCCCTATCTTTCTGTTTATCAATTTCTAGTTTTGTGTTTCATATCGGGTGTCAACGAATAGATTTCGTCTAACCCCAAAAATGTCTGCACCAGCAACAAGCCGAAAAGACGCATGCAAGCTTGTGAAGTCTATTGCCGAAGATCATGGATACGTTCATGAAGACGACTGGAACTTGATGCCCTCTGCAGTTCGTGAAAGAGTGCAGAAGGCATTGAGAAATTTGGAGGGCATCGCAGCCGTTGCTGTTTCTACGTTCGTCGCCTTTGGAGCTTACTACATGCATGTTTCTCTGTAAAAGCTAACCTATTCTTTCTCTCAGCTTGGCCAAGAATTTATATACGAGCGATGCGCGATTTGTATTTGAGTTGCTGCAGAATGCAGAAGACAACTCTTTTGAGAAAGCCATTGAGGCTAACCTGACGCCATATGTTTCCTTCGAACTTCATCCTGATCACATCATCATCGAATGCAATGAAGATGGTTTCGAGCCCAAGAATCTCAAGGCCATCTGCGCAGTTGGTCAAAGCTCAAAGTCAGGAGTGCAAAAAGGATATGTTGGTGAAAAAGGCATCGGGTTCAAATCCGTCTTCATGGCCGCGTGGAAGGTCCATATTAAATCTGGTCACTTCAGTTTCTTCTTTCAGCATAAACGTGGAGACCAGGGATTAGGGATGATTTCACCAGTGTGGGAAGAACCAGAAAATGATCAACCACACCCAGGGACGCAGATGAAGCTGGAACTTGGCGATGGCTACACGCCGATTCCATCCTCTCAGTACCAAATTATTCTGGACCAATTCAGCAGTTTAAATGAGAGCATTCTTCTTTTCATGCGAAATCTAGGAGAAATTCGGATATCAATATTTGATAACGAAGGAAATCTGGAAAAATCAAACACTTTCTCGAAAGAGCGGATCAATGCAAATCTCACCAGACTTACTAAAGTATCCAAAACAGCCAACAACGTGGATAGCTCTTTTAAAGACTATTATATTTTCAAGCATACCGTTGGCAATCTCGACAAAAATGAAAACCGAACATACTCTGAATACGAAGAAAAGACCAAAGCATATGCTACAGCAGAGATCGTCTTGGGTTTCCCATTGACTGAGGAATCAATACCTATCGTGGAATATCAGGACATTTTTGCATTCTTGCCCATGAAAGAAGTGGGATTTACAGTAAGCTAATTATTTTCCTTACCAGATGCATGTATACTAATGCTGTTCCAAGTTTCTTATTAATAGTGATTTTGTGACCCAAGCCAACCGGCAGGACATCGTGACGACATCTAGCAGGAATATAGGCATTCGACAAGGAATAGCCGATGCATTTATCCAGGCTATCCTTGAATTTTGCAATCATCCTAAGCTGCAATATACTTGGATGAGATTTTTGCCAAATAAAGACCAGCACTTTGACGCTTTTTGGTCGCAACTGGTTACGTTACTGGATGATAAGCTGAAAGAGACTGCGGTTCTGAGACCACGAAGCGAAACAACTTTTCGTTTAATATCTTCTCTCCGCTACTCCGTGGATTCCCAGCTCGATCGCCATGGAGAGCCATTGTTCAGGGACAACAATCCGGAAATGCATATTTCGAAACATTATGCGAAGGAGGATGTCAATATTCTACGCAACTTTTATGGCCTAACAGAATACACCGCGTCCGAAATTCTACTTGCTATTTCATTAGACCTCGGAATGAGCGATTCCAGAATGAAATCCGAGGATATGGACGATGATTGGCATACGAGATCGGCAAATTACTTGAGTTACGTATATCTGACAGGAGATGCGTCTATCCGGTCCAAGCTGCGCAGTTTGCCATTCCTACCACTCCAGGATGAGAAATGGATTGCAGCTGCGAATCACGACGTGTTTTTTTCAGAGGCTGGCTCGCTAGATGTTCCGCCCGAGCTCGACCTAAATATAATCATCCCAAAAGCCTCGCAAAATGTCCACCGTCGGCAGCTTTTCAGCCGTTTGGGTGTAAAAGAGGCTGAAGTTTCTTTCCTGCGTCGATTGATATTAAATAGAGGAACCAAAATGAAGTGGATCAATTCGTCTGTTAAGCAACTCAAGTACATGTTTTTAACGGACAAGCATAAACAAAACTCAGAAGACAGTGGAAACATCTGGATAGGGGACAGCAACAACACTTGGCGAAGAACACATCACGTGGATGTATTTATGCCTGACAACAAGCCATTCGGTCCTTCCAAGCTACTTGAAGAAGCTAAAGACATTGATAATTTATCCGTCAAGTTTATCCATCCGCTCTACATAAATGGGGTTTTCGATGATGATGCTAGCTCGCTTACTTCGTGGAAGAACTGGCTATGCAGCTATGCTGGGGTACGACGTCATGTGCGAATCATCTCTAAAGAGAAAAGGAACGAACTTTCGAATGAATGCCTATACGTGGCAAAAAATCATGCTGATAAATTTCTTGGGTTTTTGAACTACAGCTGGGGCCAAGAAAGCAAAGACATAGAATCATCTCCCGCCTTAATTAAACGGCTTAAGGAAATACAGGTCCCCTGCCATGGCGGCCTATGGTACTCAATCGGATCGACATGGCTCCCACTACCGAATTTACAAACAGCGTGGGAAAGATTTTCAAGAGGGCATGAGACATTTCCACTTCTCAAACTGGACAGAGAAGTTACGCGCGAGTCCTACGCCAAAGATTGGGGATTTCTGGTTTCATCTCTTGGAGTTGGTACTGAAGAGGACCTGGACTTTTACCTATCAATCCTATATCATATTGTGCGCGATTTTGAGGATGAGGGTGATGAGGACATATATGATCTTTCCCGCATATTTGAACTATATGGCGTCATCTACGGCAAGTACATTGCATCTTCTGATAATGCAACTAAGGACAAAATTCGGTATGTTACTCATTGTGGATACTTATCCTTGATTCCAAATACTGAATATTTGTTATAACAGAAGTTTTATCTGGGATTGGAAGCTGCTGTATGTCCCATGGAGTAAATATCCGTATACTGATCGACCGTCACCGGCGGAATGCGTATGGGACGGCCCTAAATCTTTGACTATTAAAGCACCGTTGCTGGCTATATATAAAGCCATACCAGTTGAAAATTTATCAACTATCACCCCTTTTTTTACCGAAGTGCTTGGTATAGGCAACTACGACGAGAAAATATTATGCGATCAGCTCGATGATCTAAGAGAGTCAGGTTCAAACGATTTTGACAGAATCAAGAGTCTCTACATTTCGCTCCGGGAATTGTTGGGCAAAAAGACGTCGAATGAAACTAGGGAACTAATAAGGTAGGTTTGGTGAAAATGGGTTTTGCAGCTAAAAGCAGAACTAATGTTTTCTTACAGAAGAAACTTTGCGAGTAAAGCTCTGATTTATACAAAGTCCGATGAATGCTGGAATACAGTTTCACAGTGTCTGTGGTCCTGTGCAACGACTATTCGCAGCAAGAAAGTTCTAGAGAGCGACTACAAAGAAATGAGATCCTTTTTCGTCGGTATTCTGGGTGTAGAGACACTCAATCTTGGGCTGATATATACCGAGCTCTCGAAACTGGGAGAATCGACACCCACGGTTGAGTTGGTGAAGGAACAACTGTTTGCTTTCAGAGATCACTTGAACACTATAAGGGATTATCCGGACGTCAAACCGGATTTAATGAGGAAATTCAAGATTTTCCCGGTCAGACAGCCTGGCATCAACCAGAATATACAGTTTTGTGACGGGAATGCAGAGTTCGCGATAGCAGACAGGCGTCCTCTGGAAGATAACTTTCGGCAAAAAATCAGAACATTGGGTTTCACTTTTGACGAAATCCATGCCTTAGGTCCTGTCATCAGATGGTTGGGTCTTGAAGAAAGATATCTCTCACGTCTGGTCACAGAAACTTCAAAGGTCGAAGAGAGTGACCGTGTCTTGAACTACTCTCTGAGTCGTAACATCGAATCGAGAGCGCGTGCTCTGTGCCGGTAAGTCATATAGAGCCCTTCATCAAATATCTGCGAACTAATAATTCTCTTTAGGGTTGCCAAACACTTTAACAGCCCAAAATGGCGTACAACAGAGGAATTTCAAGAACTGTACGACATGCTTAAGAAGGCCAAAGTGTTTGAGACAGATAAAATATCCTGCCTACAGATCGTACAACAAGGCGGCAAGCAATATTCGCATGAGATAAGTCGCAGCGAGTTTCATTTAGAAGAGACTGACGTGGGTCTCGATATTTTTGTCCCCCAAGAAAAGAAGTCTCAAGCACTCTGCCTCGCCCGCGCTTTGCCAGCACGACTGTTTGAATGGATGACAACAGTTCCTTCTACGAAAAATTCCAGCTCTATCAATGACCGAAGTCATTCACTAGTGAAGGATATTTTAAAAGAAGACTCTGACATCTATAATCAGATTCTTCTTGCAGAAGGAATAGTCGATATCGACATAGAAGACGAAGACGTTTCCGATGAAGAAGACTCAACTACAGCAAGTTCGGCAAGGGGGGAAGCCTCCGAAACATATGGTTCAACTGAATTTGGATCAAATATGGCGACACCCTTGACTGATATTTCCTCTCCAAGGATGGATTTTGATCAAGACGAGATACTACCTACTGTTGCACATCAAGCTATCATTGGTGCCAACAGCCGCTTTGCCTCTTCGCGGAGTGCCACTAGAGTTCTTATACAAGAAACGCCATCAAATGCCTCAGCAGGTAATATTGAACTATCTACCTCTATACGGAGAGAAGCTATTTCGGCTAGCATTGGGTATACGGGTTTATTAAGCCAGGTTGTCTCTGCGGCACGAAGAGCGTCATTTCCCACAAAGGGTATTTTCGACCTGGACGCCCTTCGAGAATCTTTGCCATCAGTTGCGGCCACCAATTCCAATTTGTATGAAACCGACGGTAGCGAATTTAACTCCGCCCTCGGCCTTCCACAGATGGAAAGAGACAAGATGATCGGGGCTGCTGGAGAGCTATATGTGAGAATTCCCAAAGACACAACGCGGAAATACCTTCGAATTCTGTACACTAACAAATCCCTCTAGGTATTTGAACTTCTTAAAGCGTGCAATCCCTCACTACCAAACTTTGGTGTAGATAACTGGAAGAGCAGGATTCGGTCGTACGCGAGGAAGCATCCGGAGTATGCAACTATGGAGCCTTGGCACGGCATCGAGACATCCGACCTTGTCTATCATGACAGTATGGGAGCATTTACCAAGCTGCTAATAGACAAGTGTTACTTTGATGCTAGTACATGGGGAAATAGGAGACCAAAATATCACTTTGAGGTAAAAACGACAGCTTCCTCCTGCGAGACTCGCTTTTTCGTGAGCAAGAAGCAGTACAAAATGGTACGGGCCCCTCAATTGATGTATTTTACTGGGATTAAATGCTAACAAAGTCTTTCAGTTACACGATAACCGTGGAAAAGAAGATTCTGTTTACATCATTATGAGAGTGTTCAATGTCGGTAGTGGCAACATCGGGCTGCGTATGTATGTAGACCCGGCGGAGCTAGAGGCGAGAGAAGAGCTTTTGTTTACGGCCGATACGTGGTCTGTTGTACCTGCAGCTTAGATAAAGATGTGGAATTTGTTGGCTCGTTAATTCCACAGAACAATTTGAGGATATATAAAGATCGAAAAGTATGAGATGAGACCTTGATTGTTATCTAGATCAATATTATGTCCTAATGAACTCCACTACTTCTACTAGACTAGAATTTTCTATCAGTAGGTCAACGTTTAAGACTGACCCTGAGCCTTCACTCCAGCGTCTCCAAGAGGAACAATGATACTGTAACTCTGGCCGCTGTTTTGCTCTTGCACACCCGTTGACAGTAAGAGCGGTGTCATTTGTCCATCATCCGAAAAATAAAGCTCTGGTCTCTCTCTGCGGTTAAATTGGGTGAAAAATCCATCATCCCACTGGACATATGTGCTGAATGCCAGTGTTCGGTTGCCAAACTCCCATGGTCCTGTGTAGTTCCTCGCATAAGCATGGCGACCAACTTGGGGTCCCCAGCCAAAGCCACCAGCAGGCTCAAGGGAATGCAGAAGCATGTGGAAGTTGCCTCGCTTGTCGCGCCATACAAATGGATCCTCGTTGCTTTCCTCAAAGATTGGCTGGGACTGTATCTTCTTGTATGGGCCCTCAAATCCAGACTCTGAGAAAGCCACGTTGATCAACTCGTTGCCAGGGCAGTTAAATGGACAGCCACGGTAGACCAAAACCATTGCCGCCGTGTGGCCAGGACAATGCCCGCCATTGGCAGTTGCCTCTGCACGCCCGCAAGAGCTAGAGTACAGAGGAAAAGCAGTAGGGTTTGTCAAATCAGCATCCCAGTCAGTAGTGTTGTCGCCCTGCATGACCTGTCCTTTGAAAGACCAGTTGCGGAGATCACGGCTGCTCATGACGGAAACTCCACTCTCTCCATTAACGTTGTTGCCTGGTCCGCAGGTGAAACTCTTTGATTGGCATGTGTCTGACACGCTCGTAGGGCATCCGATGTAGTACAGAAGCCATTCTTTATCCGCTGGGCTATAGACGACTGTCGGGTTGTGGGCAAAGGTTCCCACAACTTCAGCAGCAAATGTGTAAGGGCCAGCAGGACCCGTGCGAGATTCAGCCCGAATAATGCGGCTGTAAGGAGCCCAGTAGTCGAGGCCACAGCCGTGAGTAAACTCGGACGCAAAGAGGTGGTACAGATCGCTCTCCTTTGGATCCTGAACAATCTTGGAGCACCATGACGATGTTCCCTGCGGAGTCAGATTATAACCACCACCCCGCTTAGCTGGACGGACGTCGAGAACGCCGCAGTCGGTACCGGTCCAAGCCGGATCACACTGGCACACGCCGTTTTCACCACAGATACCGTTAAGACTGCAGTCTTCATCGGTTGAGCATGCCTGGTGGGACAAGCCAACGAATAGGCCGACTAGAAGGAATAAAAGCCGGGTCATTCTGGACGAGGAAACCCCACAGGGAAAGCGAAACAAGCGAGATAGCCGACGAATAGATTCACTCTCCTTTATTTAAAAAGACGATGAGAAAAAGGTCAATGTTCAGAATATGAGGTCTTCATACTATCAAAAGTATTGCTTTGGCGATCATGGTATCATAGCAGAAGCCAGGTCTTGAAGAATCAATGGCTGATGCCAGACTTTTATATGTCATCCCCTGGTACTACGGACGGTTACATAGCTTCATATGGAAGATCGCGACGGAGACCAAAATCTGGGGATGCGGGGTGAGACCGACGGGTGAATGCTGAATAGTTATTAGCGACGGGAAGAGCAATACATTAAAGATAGGTGAAAATCGAGCTATCGGAATATGAGGCCGCGTTGAGATCGCCCAGGCCCCATCTCGTGTAGGGGAATCCGACGGATATATTCCTTGCCAGGTGATGAGGGGTTCTTGTAGGTGCAACTGCTTAAAGATCATCGTATTTATTTCTCTATTGAGCCGAGTTCGATACCGACCATATCTCCGCATTCCAGCGATTTCCCGCGGCTAGCAAAGACTTCGGCAATTGATATGCGTCTCGCCCAGCTTCTTTTCTAGTTCTAGCACGAGGGGATAGCGTGAAATAGGCATACAAAGCTATTGACTAGTTAGAGCTCGTATAATTCTGCGGGAAGTTGGAAGAGCTATAGACGTGTGTATAGGTAAATGATATGGTAAGCAGCTGACGATAGCAGACTCTTCTGTATGCTCGAAAGTATTGTCGGAGTAATGTCGCATGTGTGGATAGGTAGGTTTTGATAAGTCATCTAAACACCCTCCGAAGAAAAGAAAACTCTCAAATGAAGCCAAATACAAGAGACAAGATACCTTTGTGTAAGCAACTTCTAAGCATCAACCCCAACTCTCGGTCATACCAATCGGATCTTCAACCCCCAAACTACCGAGCTCTAGCTAAGCTCAATCAGGATATACATACGTTCTTAGTTTGCTCCATTTGGGTAATCCAGAGCATTAGTGGCAAGATTTCTTGGTAATTATACCACTATTTACGGAGTACACTACCAATAATCTCTTTTTTTAAGGGCTTCGCCAACTCATCAATACAAGTAATGAGTCTGCCTACTGTAGCCGACTGTCACTAAAGAAAACGTGGGATTACCGAAACCAACACAACATTCCATTACAGCTTAGTTGCATGTAATCTCTACTACTGGATGTCAATTTCTTCAGCCTCACCCTTCTGCTCCCGAATAAATTTCCTTGCAGAGCTAAGGAGATTCTGGATGAAGTCTCGACATTTAAAAAGTCCGACGGAGCAATTGATTTCTCAATGTTGTTGCTCTAAGCGGCATTGATGAAGATGCGAGAACTTATTCTATCTTAAAAAAATTTGCCCACTCTATCACGAAGAAGTGTTGATCAATGATGTTGACGAAGACGAAAATCACCTATAGTCGGCTATATGATCCTCTCTACACATAAAAGCTTAAAATCAAGTATAGCTCTCGGTATGCGGATAAAATCACCGTCGAAGATTCACATAATCACGAATGTCCTTGTCGGGCCTTCAGTGGGCATAGTTGAGTCTTTCTCGTACAGCAACAATCTGGGATTATGGAAACTCATGTACACAATCCGTCTTTTCGATAAATGAATGAAAATTCATAGAATGGCACATTTTCAAGGCAAGAGAGCCAAAATGTATTGCCCTTATCATCTTATGGTATCGGTCCAGACAGGTCACCTAGGTATGTGATATCAAATAACGAAATCTAATATAGCTTGGAGCACAGTTGGTAGAAGTTTCTCCTGCATTACTAACACTGGCAAATGGTGATGGCATTAATATTTATCCTACAGTCTGGATGTGATTAACAGAGATTCTACTTATAGTGAGCAATACTCTCTATATCTACCTAGTATATTTGTTTATTTATTTATTTTATTATTAACGTCCATTAAGTAAACTAATTATATAAGTCCTCATCTAAGCATTAAGACAGTAGGAGCTGCAGTTATTTAAACCCTATATTCGCTATATTTTAATTTAATAAAAGAAATAGGGGGGGAAGTGTTAATTTATATCTACAGAAGGGGGGTTATATAAGCTTATTTCCTCTATTAATTTCTAAAACTCCTTATAGCTTTTATAGCTTAGGAGATATATAAAATATATAGCTTTAAATAAAAGGTTTTTTTTTAAAATATTAAGGAAAAAAGGTATAATTATTTAATACTTTATAAAATATTTTTAAATTTTAGGTTTATTATATTTATAAATAAATCTTATATTATAGTTAAACCTTTTATAATATTTTATAAAATTACTATATTTAAATTTTTTAATTAAAAGTTTATAAAAAATAAAATATAAAAAGTAAAACTTAAGTAATATTATAAAAGTATTAAATTATTAATATCTATAATATAATAAAAAATTATTATATTAATAGGTTTTTAATATTAACTTTTATTTTTTTTTATTTACCTTTTAATATAAAAAATTATAATATAGCTATTTATATATTTTAAAAATTTTAAATTTTTTTTAATTAATTTATTTACTTTTTTATTATTTAATATATTTTTATATTTAAAAATTTATATTATTTTAATAATAATATATAATTATAGTTTTTTAACTATTTTTTTTAAACTTATATATATATTTTATAATAATATTAATATAATTTTTAAAATTTTATTTATTACTATAAAGTTATTTAAAAAAAAATATTTCTTTAATATTTAAGTTTAATATAATTTATATTTTAATAAGTTTTATAACTTTAAAGGCTTTAACTACTTCTATATTATAAACTTTAATATTTATTAAATATCTATAAAATAAAATAAACTTATAATTATAATATATAATAGTACCTTATTTTATATTTTTTATTTTATTTTATAATTTATTTAAATATATTAAAAATATAATTTAAAAAAAGATATTAAATAGTTTAAAGTATTTTTCTACTACTTTAGCTTTAAGTAAACTATAGAAGTCTAACCCTACTTAAATTACTTTATTATTTTTAATAAAAAAAGAGGGTTTAACTATTTTTTTAATTAAAAAGACTATATATTATAATTTAATTATAAAAAGTTTAAATAAAAGCTTTTTATTAATATATCTATTAATAAAGTAACTCCTATTTAAGTTAATAAACTTAATTAATATTTAAAGTTTTACTTAAGTAAATACTATAAATATAAAGGAAACTTTAAATTCTTTATATACAACCGCTATATTAATTATCTTTTAAATAAAAATAATTACCCTAACTATTATTTTAAATACTTTATTTATCCTCTTTACTAAGTTTAAAATATTAGTAGTTACTTCTTTAAAAAAGTAAAATATACTCTATCTCCTATCTCTAAACCACTAGGCCTCTATACTATATAAAGCTACTAAAGTAACGCAGGCTTTAACTATAAATATAACTACATCTAAGGGAAAGCCTTTTTATATTTTATTAAATAACTTAAGGAAGTTCACTGCTTTAAAGGCTTTCCCAGTTATTACTTTTATATATTTCCTAAAGAAAAGTTTAAAATTAAAATAAACCCTTAACTACTTAACTAAATCCTATAGTATAATAGTTCTCTTTTTAAAGTTTATATTTTCTTTATATATCTATTTTTTAATGTAGTAAAAGTAAATAAACTCTGCCTTATTTAAGTTAAAAGATACTACATTAAGTTATCCTTAATTTAAGGTATTTTAAAGCTTTTATTAGAGTTTTCTAATTATCTTTTTAATATTAGCCCCAACTGCAAAGATTACTACATCGTCGGCATATCCAAAGCACACACTGGGGTTATTAATTTTTAGGATAGGGGAGAAGTAAAGCATAGAGACAATTGGCGAAATGGGCGAGCCTTAAGGGGCCCCGCATTCCAGTTTCATCTCTGGGAGAGTTATGCCATATCATATATCTACCTAGTAGATGTAACTTATTATCGTTAAAAGTAATCTCTATCTTTAAGCCTTTCGATGAATATTTTGCTTCTCAATATTAGAAATCAAACGATATAAAAACAATCTCAGACTTGTGTCCAATTGCCACTACATTGTCATGCACCGCCATGGCATTAGTTCTGTATTCTTTGGGAAGCCACAGAACATGTTTTCCACCTCTCATTATCCACTCTCCAACAACCAGTAGCAAATTATGTTCCGGGGGGGTTGCCTCTGGCTGGAGCCAACTTATAACGCATTGATCGTTCATGCAAATAAATTGTCCACCCGGCAAAAACTTGACGGACGGGCATATAACAGGCCTCTGATGGCCGCTGTTGAAGTTGTGTAAACACGCACCGGTGGCTACATCCCACACTCGAATTTTCTTTCCCTCATAATCTAGTTCCGTTAGCATTTTCCCGTCTTGCGAGAATGCTATGGCAGTAGGATGCCCCCCCTTGTATATGAACCGCATCTGAACCTCTCCTGTTGCTATATCTCGTAGCTCTATTTCACCAAAGATAGAAGAAGCCCATGCCAGTTCTCTGCCATTGGGAGAGAATGTAATCGCTGTACATTTATTGTATCGACTACGAGTTTGTTGACAGGTATGCTGGCCCGTTGCTATCTCCCACAGCCATATGTCACATTCTCCTACTGCCAGAGTCCCGCCTTTTGGTGAGAATGCAATTGCAGTAGGCCGCCGTGAAGGTAACTGAAATGCCTGCCAGCGAGTTCCTGTTGCTATATCCCATAGCTGTATTGTATCAGACTCGTAATATGTTGATGCCAGTATCTTGCCATCTGGCGAAAATGCTATCTTCCAGATCGTGCCGCGGACACCGGCATCTTCCAACGTCTGCTCCTGCATGGCTGATTGCGCATCCCATAGTCGTATTGTATTCTCGCCAGATGCCGATGCTATCACCCTACCGTCTGGCGAGAATGCAATTGCGTTTCCCGCCCCCCAGCCATGACCTACAAGGGTCCTTTGGCATGTGCCTGTTTCTAAATCCAGCAGGAACGCTATGTTGTCCTGCTCCTGCTTCAGCAGTGCGAGCTTCCTACCGTCTGGCGGGAATGCACAGGCATTCACCCCATACCCGATGTAGAGTTCCCGAAAGCAGGCTCCAGTTTCTACCTGCCAGAGACGTACCATCCCGTCACCGGAACGTAGCATCGTGTCACCGTGACCTGATGCTATCATCTTAGAATCCGGCGAGAATGCCATACACGTAACCGATTCATCGCTTTCACCAGTACTTTGGAATATCCGCAGACGCTCACCTGCTGCTGCATCCCACAACTCTATTGGGCCACCATTAACTGTTGATGCTAGTGTCTTGCCATCTAGCGAGAACGAGGCGGTAATATGTCTCTCAAAGAAGGGGCTTTCGTCTTCCAACATGTGCGACTGCAAGTACGCCGGTGCACCATTCAATTCTATAAAGTCATCGTGGAGGCGTGCCACTGCGTCTTTGCCGTCTAGTGACACACTAAAGAGACATGTCTGATAATAGCCAGCCAGGGTTCCTTGGGGCGCCACAAACAGGAGTGTCTTGCAATCAGGAGATAATGAAATGGCCTCTATTATAGAGTAGGTATGAAAGGTAAGCGTATGTTGAGTCGCACCTGTTGCCACGTCCCACACTATTATTGTCCCCTCATAACATGCCGACGCCGCCATCTTGCCACTGGGAGAAAAACCGATAGCTATAATAGTTCTATCATGAATCTCAAGGGTTTGTAGAAGCACATTGCCGGAGTTAATTTTTCCCTGCATATGTTCAATGAATGGCAGTCGTTCTTTCCAGTTTCTCTGTTTTATGTCGCTCAATGTCTGACTGAATACCAATGCTGAGCCATATATCTGTAAGGGGGCGCGATCAATAATCGACCCGTTGCTCATTATAAACTTCTCTATGCCGCCCAGGAGCTTCAAAAGCTGAGAATTTTCCTCAAGCTGTAGCTGATCGGTATCATTTAGCATCTATAGCACATAGATTGCAGCTTCTTAACACATACCTCTCGTAGCATCATTTGTATTGAACGTAGGCCATCTGGAAGCCCACCTAGCAGACAAATGCTCTCTAACCAGCGGAGTGCGTAATCCTTTAAGAATGACCACAGCATGGCCTTGAGTGTTTTCGTGAATGTATTTTCGGATTGAGGGTTTGCACCATATGCATTACAAAAATGGTCAGGCCAAAAAAAGCAACAGTATCTCATTGAAGTCAACGCATTTGCGCCAGGAGGCGGCGCACCCCTTGGTCTAAACCCAAAGTCTGTAAGACAATAGATGTTTTTTGGTAACTTTGAAATAGCCGTGATTGAACGATGGTAGACATTCGCATTCCTCTGGGCAGCATTTAAACGGAATACCTCGGTAGAGAAAAAGTCCTTTGCTGACTGGTGGATGAAGTAGACAATGCCCTCGCGTATTGTGAGGAATGAGCCACACATGGCTATAAGATTTGCAATAGACCTGAGATTCTCTAAAATGTTGCTTGGTAGGCCAGAGAGGGTTCCTAGTTCAGCCAGACTGAGTGGATTATATGCCGTAAATATTGTCGAAAGTATACTCCAGCATAATTTGGCATTTCCTCGTCTTAGATTTTGGATCTGACCTATCATCCGTTTATAGGCTGCTGTCAAGTCTGTTGGTATCTCCTTAACTATCTCCATTATTTCCCAAACTTGGGCATTTTTAAGCTCTTTCATTACAAGAGATACCCATAAAAATGTCCCATTGGCTTTCTGTCTCATTGCATCTTTGAGTTCCTCTCGTTGGCCTTGGTTATATTGTATTGAACGTAGCTGTGATATCTCATGTTCGATATATGTATTCACAGCTTGTGATACAGATTCCGCGTTTGCTTTTAACTCAAGGCTAAGAATTCCTTCAGATATATGAGACTCTAGCGTTTGTTGAATGCTGAGTATATTCCGACTGGATAAAATCCATTTAACGCGAGGTAATGATGCGTTTCTGGTAATGAAATCCAAGAGTTCAGGTAAATTTATTTCGCATTCGTCTAGTGCATCGATTACAAACACTATTTCTTCTAGTTTTGGGTCGTGTAGTATATTTTGGAGAATGTCAACAACAGCTACCCATGCATTTTCGTCTAGAAAGAGATTGGCGCCTGCATGATTGTACTTCTCTTGAACATGCGATATAAGTGAGGGCTCCTGGATAATGATGAGGTATATAAGACCGCGCAGAACAGCGGTTGCGGTGTTGATGCGGGAATCGGTGCCTTGGCAGAAGAAGTAGGACAGGAATGTTTTAGCAGTCTGACCTAATGGTTTCGCTAGCTTCGTTTCCGGCAACAGCTCGTCGATAATGCCACAGAGCAGCATCGTCTTGCCCTTTCCAGGATCTCCTTTGATCCATAACATTCTGCTTTGATCATTCTCTCTCCACTGTTTGAAAGTTTCATTCTGAATGATCCAATCATATGACTCTTTGAGAAGCCCACCCTTTGTCTGCTGGATACGTGCTTTATCATGGCGGGGGTCGGTTGATCGTAGATCTGCCAGGCACTGGTCGGTTTGGCCGGCCGCTGGGTGTATACAGCCCTGATAGATGGTGACGTTGTTTCCAAAGTTATTGTTTGCAATATTGCGTGAGCTTAAATCTGCGGAAGTCATGGTTGAAAGACTGTAACAGAGAAAATTCATAAATCCATGATAACTGACGTTGTAGGGCGCAGCCTGAATGCAAGGTGGTCATGGATGTATTATTGCCCAACCCCTCATTTCCACGCAACATTTACAACCAATCATACACTCTGAGGCTTTTTGGACCATTCAGCTGTATGTGTGTATTATCGATCACCATAATAGCGAATAGAATTTCATGCAGAAATTATTAGTATCTAGCACCCCAGCGACTAGGGTGTCCAGTAGCATAGAGATACAGAGAGATTACATTCCACGTGAATATAGGATAACATCCCCAACCTGGTCGATAGCCATGATAACAGCAGATACTAGAGAAATATAGGCAGCAGCAGTGGAAATACTAGACTGAAGTAGCAATAGCAGCAGATACTTCAAGAACCAGGTACCTACCTAGTACTACGTTAATAGACATAATGTATTGCTCTGCATCTTGTTACAGCATTTGGACTCCACAATGTCGCTTGGGTGTTGTAAACAGGGAGCCAAAATGGAGTGCTGGATGCATGCATGTAGCTTCAAGGTATGCAAATAAATCTACATATGAGTGATTTACATATAGGAACATGGAATTTGCCTCGCTGAGCCAGCGAAAATGGTATTGCGTGGGCGAGCCACCACAACCATGATATATAAAACTTAACCTAAAATAACGAATTGATAACTGAAATATAGTCTATATCAGCCTCCAGCAAAACATGATCCTTCAAGCATATCCGGCATCTTTCGCAATTCTGTCCAACAGCCTATGCAATCTGATACCGTCTTCAAAGTCGGCAACATCCTTATCGCCACGAGCATAATCCTCAAACAAACGAGCCGTGTTCTGTCCCGGAAACTGCACAACCTCAACATGAGCCGGCGTGCTAACTTGCCAGTCAACAATCCTCGGTTCCTTCTCCTCCTTGGCCGTCTTGATGCGAATTTCCCGCTCAGTGTGGCCCATCTGCAGTGAGCCGTTGACGGTGAGCTCGATCTCTCCCTCGGTGCCGGAGATGATCCATTGAAGGTTCTTGCCAATGAGATGGCCTGGTCGGTGGTAGTTGACGCTGGCGAGGGCACCGCTCTCGAGGACTCCTTGGACAAACATGTGGTCTGGGGTAGACTTGGGATAGGCTGGGTCAACAATCTGGCCAGTTTTTACATCAAAAAGCTTCATTATGGGATACTGCTTGGAGAACGACGCATTCAGCGTAGCAAAGTCACCCAGTACGTAGAGGAAACTGTCCAGGACTAGTATACTGTTAGCCTCTTTCATTGGACATCAGATCAAAACCGGACTTACAATGGCCAAATGCAATGTAGAACTCGTTACCGCCGCTCTTGAAATCCAGGTAGTAAGGGGCATCTGCCATCCAAGTATCGGGAGGACCCCCGAAGGTGGGTGAATACTGAGCCTGTGTGCTTGTCACCTTACCAATGGCCCCGCTATCAACGAGCTCCTTGACCTTGAGCAGCGCAGGGTCATTGCGGAATTGAGTGCCAACAATTGTCTTGACATTTGCCTCCTTAGCCAGCTGCGCTAGCTCCTCGGCTTGTGCTGAGGTAGCTCCAAGGGGCCACTCGACAAAAACCTGCTTCTTGGCCAGGAGAGCAGGCTTGGCCACCTTGTAGTGGTTGGTGACGATGATGGAAACAACCACCAGCTCAACATTTGGGTCGTTGGCGATATCCTCAGGATTACCGTATGCCTTGACGGTCGAGGGCAGCTTGTGGAAGTCGATGGATCTTTGAGCAGATTCGACCGAGGAGTTGCAGACGGCAACAATCTCATAATAAGGGGAAGAGACAAAAGAAGGCAAATGGGCGGAAACAGCCCAAGCTCCGGGACCAAGAACAGGACCAGTGGCGCCGAGGCCGATGAGACCAACTCGAATAGGAGCCATTTTAATAGTCTGTATGTTTATCAGGGTAGGATGTTATTCAATGAAGTTGATGATGATGATGGCAATGATAGAGCTGATATTGATCTCATTCAACTCACACCACTCGAGGGCATGCGGACTATTTGTACTTGATTAACCCGAGGTCATTTCCCTCTCCGTGTCCATCTTCAAATATTCGTACTCTATCCTCCTAATCCTCCGAACCATCAGAAACGTGCTCCGTGCCTTGTTCCGTCCCGAGTCCTCCTCCGGCTCACATTACCAATGACACCATTCGGAACTCCGTTGCCCAAAAACGCGAATGAACGGCAGAAGTAAATTTGTCTATCCGGATGAATAACGTACTCGACTCACCCCATCAGATCTTAATCTGGCGCCACCAGATCAAGCCAACGGCTCGTCCTCATTTGCTCTTAAATCAAGACCCCTAGCCGTCTCCACTTGAACTCCGGTGCTCCACCCCAACTCCGTAGCCAGCGACAGCTTCGGAGGCGCAATCATCCGCCTTTTGACTAATACCGAGATCCTTTAGACCTTCTCTCGCCGCATTTCCTCTTCCTCTGCCGTGTAAGTCATTTTCACAGGATACAGCAGTTTTCAAGTCTTTTTCTAGAAACATGCCCATATCCCGGAAAAAGACGTGCGTCCAGTGCCGGAAAGCAAAGACCCGCTGCAGTCTGACGCTCCCGCGCTGCACGCGATGTATAGACAAGAGCCTCTCGTGCGACTATGCGCGCATGGCCCCTTATCCCGTGATATCTCCTACTACACCCTCTCCTAATACCAACACGCATCCCGGAGATCTGCGCAATGCAGCGGCGAATTTGCGGGTCCTCGCCGCTAGACACGAGCAGCACGGCCAAGTTCCCCCGGGCTACGTCGTGATGGATTCGCTCGGCATGGTCTCATCCTCCTCGTCCTCGCCTCCTATTTCATCTGATGAACCAATTCCGGCTTCCAGCCGCTCAGACTGGCCGCTTCTGCACGTCGATCTAGGCCCTGACGCCGGCCTCGACACAATGGCTCTGATCGAGCCCTGCCAAAACATCTTCAGTTTCCTCAACAGCCTCAACATGGCGGGCCATGCAGCCCCTACCAGTGTCCAAGATGAAGATACTCGTCTTCGTAATCCCGCCACCGGCTCCGGCACTCAATCCGACTTTCTCATCCACGACAAGGCGTCACGGATCCTTACTAAGCGCCGCGGTCTCACTGCCACCACGGTGCTCTCCACGAGGACAATCCTCGGCCAGGTGTTATCGTATCCCTCCATGTTGCTCAGCGGACATACTCTTCCTCCGTTTATTCACAGCCAGTGTAACCTAGATGACAGCTTGATGCATGATTGTGCAAAAGCCCAGAAACATGGCTGCTTGAGGAGAACGCTGAGCATATGTGCATCTCTGGTGGGGATGTGGATGGATAGGACCCCGGTTAGCAGTCCGTTTGTATGGGAGACGATATACAACGAGATTAACAGGATACACAAGGAAGTAAGTACCAGTATCTCATATCTCATTAGACATATACCAGGAACTCAAAGGGGACTGACATTCATCATCCAGCATGAGTCATTCAATTCGGAAACACTGCTTGAATCAACACAGGCAATGGCGATATACCTACTGCTTCAAGCACAGGATACAGAGACTCTAGTCAAAAACGACGTCAAGTTTCTCCTCATCTCACTAGGCGTACGCTCATCCTTCATGCTAATAAACTCATCATCTCTAACACCATCACTCAACTTAGGAGGTTGCCCAGAAGCTTCATTCAACCCTTGGATACAACACATTCGTCGATACCATCGAAAACCCTCTGTGCCGCCCAACATGGACACTCTACGAAAGCACACGAAGGTAATCCCCCCCACTCTCCCCTCATTCTGCCACACCAAACTGATCTTCATCCACAGAACACTAGGTCTCCTCTACATAATCGAAATGTTCCTCGAAGTCAACCTCCGCCAGCACGAATCCCGCTGCTGCCAAAGCTTCGCCGCCGCGCCCCTCCCCTGCATCCGCGATCTCTGGGAAGTCCCCTCTACCTACGAATGGGGCAGGCGTTACAGCGCATTTCTCCGCGGTAGGACTGTCGACAAGATCCTCACGCTCGCTGACTATAAGCTGTCGCACCAACTGACGGCCGAGGAACTCGTCAACGGGTCCGGTACTGGAGAGATGGGTGCGGGGATCACCAAGGATATCATGAAGTGGTGTGAGGGCTTGGATCAGTTTGGGACTTTGGTTTCGATAGCAGCGACGTTGGTCAAGTATGATAGGCCGTTGACAATGGGAAGCAACGGATATAACAAGATCGCATAGGATGCAGGCATCGCATTGCAGATTTAACACACTTCGCAACAGTCTTCCTTCTGGGGAGTATTTCACAGATAATGATTAATGATAGAAAACCAGTCATAATATTCATAAACTCTAAAACATGCCATGTCTCTTTTCTGGGAGTTCCATTACTCCATCATGGTATCTTCATCCTGTCCGTGAACCTCCAGAGCAGCGCCAGCCTCCAACAATGACCCAGTAACAGGAACGGCGTGTCTCGGCCAAACTCTCTTATACAAACTAATGCCAACAGAATCTTGGGGATTAATGCGACCATCAAACGTTGCCTTGAAGTAACCGTGAGTTCCCAGAGGCTCCTTGATGAAACCGCTGCGTCCGCGCTTAGTCCACAGCGGCATCGCCTTGAACCACTCCACATCCTCGCGGTTGAAGAACATGTATCGGATGGTAACAATCTTCTTGTGGATGTGGTACGGGTGACCAGCCAGGATGACCCGCTTGGCAACAACGCGAGATGTCGATGGCGGGAGGGCTGTGCCAGTAGCAACCAAAGACATGCCAGCGGCTGAAGTGTCCTCATCCGCGGCACCCTCGCCAGAGACGGTTCGCTTGAAGAACAGGACCGGGACAGCACCCCATGTAATTGGTCCCATGAAGGTGGCAATAGCCGATTGGCCGGGGTGGAGGTATCGGCAGTACTTGTGCACATCGTTTGGCGTCGAGCCAGACTGTGAGAAGAGGGGCTTGATAACCATTCGCCGGGCACCACACTGGGCAATCAGCTCTTCCTTGGATTTGATGGAAGAAGTGTGATCAGAGCTGAGGTTGATCAAGTAGTTGACAGCAGTCTTCTTGTTCTCATGTCGCAGCAGGGAAACAAGGGTGACTGGAGAACTAGGCTTGTAGGACTGCTCTGCAGTGGCAGGGATGCCTTTAATGTAGACGTGGACGCGGGTGCCAGGCTGAACTCCTCCAACCAAAGCCTCACGTGTAGCCCTTGATCGCGAAGAGTTGTAGTCTGGAACCTGCAGGAGACGACGCCATTCCTCCGGTTCGTGAGCTCGATCCTCGTCTTCCATCCAGGGGCTGGTTCGGAGACTCTTCAAACCACGGTATCTGGCTAATCTTTCTCTAGCCAGAACATTAGGATGAAGTTCAATCTCATCGGGGAACTCCTTGTCATCCTCCACCTCGTCCCGCTTCCGTGCTCGGTACTGCTCCAGCTGTGCGGCGTCTTCTTCCTCATCCGGCTCCATCATCTCAGACTGGGGGTACTCCGAAGGACCAGCCTCCGTAGGCTCGGGTTGAGCAAAACCCTCCATACCGTCCTCAGGCCCAATTTCCTCCTCTTCATCATTTTCATCATCCATCTCCATGTCTTCCATATCAGAGCCTGAGTCCGATACATCTTCCAGATACCAAGCTGACTGGTATTTTGAAGTTCCCTTTGGCACTTTCTTGGTTCCAGCCGTCGCTTCATCTTCCTCATCTGAGAAGTAGTGGTGCTCGTCTAGCAATACGCCCTTCTTTTCTGAAGGCGCAACTGACATGGCGGCGTCATCTTCGGCGTCCATCATGACGTCTTCGGGAGCAAGCTCGTTCAAGTCATCCCGGTCGGCAGAAGGCTCCTCCAGGATTTTCTCTTCCTCAGCTTCCATCGATACCTCCTCGCCCTTCTTCTTGATATTTTTGGGAAGAGGGGCAGCAACAATCTTCTCGATTTGATATGTGCCCCAGTCACCAACCTGAATGAGACGATCCGCCTTCAGCCCCTTGCCTCTGACCACTCCGGTAATGACTGTAGATTCAGAGTCGTTTGACGCAAACTTGACACTTTCTGCCAGCATCCAGCTCCTCTCATCCCTCCACCTGATACCCTTGGGGGTTGTGCTGCACAGAGATCGCATGAGATTGGCACAGTCCTGTCTGTTATCGACGCTGTAGAGCTTCTCTTGCTCGGGGTGGAAATGCGTAATGAAAGACTTGAGCGAGCCCATAACGCCAGGCCTCTGCTTTGCAGGTTCAATCTTGTCAAGACCCTGAACCATTGTAAACAGTGTTGACAAGCCCTGGCTCTCGACGCTTCGAAGGATGAGTTCTCCTAGTTGGTCAACCTCAACGGAGGCTGAGAGGACGATGACGACGAAATCAGCGGCGCTGGCGGCATCCAAGCAGGCGGTAAGATCTCTCTCAAGGGCAACATATTGCAGCTTCTGCTTGAAACGATCAATCGACACCTGAAAGTTGCTGCTGCTGAGATCGGTTTCGATATCGAGGCTGCTGTTGAGTGACTGAATAGCTGCCTTGGCGTCGCCATCGGAGCACAGGGGGATGACGGCAACAATTCTCGGGGCGGCGTCCTTTCCAGAAAAGATGGAATTCTCCTTCAGGTGCTCCTTGTGTTTCGTCAGGCGAGTCTGCTTCGCCTGGTTTCGTCGGTCGAATTTAGACATGACTTGCTGATGGGGAGTCTTGCGCGATCCTTTTTCGTTAGGGACACGGCCTAGATATCGCAGTGTCAGAGGTTTATTCGACTTCAAGATATGCTTCACACAAATGCGCAATCGAACCTTTTGCGCGATCCCTCAGCTCATGCTTAGAGGCGGCCTTGGATTTGAATGGCTTGTGGGTGACTTTCGTCGTGGGCCGGTGCGAGTGCACGGCAGCAGACATTTTTCCGTCGCCACCAGCCTTGAACCGGAATGGAAGAGATGCCAGCTTGTAACTTGCGAGAACAATCTTCGTCTTCCCAAGTTGAAGCCCGGAATGTTTTGTATTTGTACAGAGCGCAAGACAATGCAGAATCGCTGGGATGGTGGGGTTTTCGGTTATCAAGAATTTTTTGTTGTGGCACATTATCGATAAGCGCGGTGGGCCGGCAGATCAGGGCCCTGCCAATGGCGACGCTGCGATAGGCGGCGCCAAAGTCTAGGCGGTGGAAATTTTGTCTGCTGCATCTTTGATAACAATTGTTTTCTGCGAGCCGTCCAGCGTCCGATTCTCGAGTTCTGCCATCCACGAAAATCGCCCAAAAATCTACATCGGCGCAATGAGTGCGGACACTGACGTTGTTCGAGCGCCTACAGCGCCCACAGCGCGCAAGAGCGAGGCAATTATCACCCAGAAGCCTCGGACAGACATTGCTACTCGCGCCGAGAGAGAAAAAGCTCGACGGATACGAGAAGCAAACCAAGCCTATGGTCGAGGCAAACAGATCAACACCAAGCAGATCAAGGACAAGAAGCTGCGAAGAAATCTGAAGGAGCTAGAGAACAAGTATCAGAATGCGACGCTGAAAGCCAGAGATGCCGAGATCCTGCTGGAGAACACGCCTGGATTCCTCGAGGCCGAAGGAGAGCTGGAACGAACTTACAATGTCAAGCAAGGCGACATTGTGGCCAATGTGGCAGTCGAGACGGCGAAGAAGCGATTCGAACTCAACCTAGACCAGCTGGGGCCCTATCTGTGCGACTACTCAAGAAACGGACGAGAGCTGCTGATTGGTGGCCGAAAGGGCCATGTCGCGACAATGGACTGGCGAGAAGGCAAGCTGGGATGCGAGATTCAATTGGGAGAGACGGTTCGAGATGTCAAGTGGCTGCACAACAACCAATTCTTTGCGGTAGCGCAGAAGAAATATGTCTACATCTACGATCGCAACGGTGTCGAGTTGCATTGCCTGCGGAAGCACTCCGAGGTCACACACATGGAGTTTCTCCCATACCACTTTCTCTTGGCCACAATGGTAGGACCTCTACATGCCTGAAAATGTAAAAAGGCATGAATTGCTAATGAATTTACTTAGAACACTGGTGGTGTTCTGAAATACCAAGATACTTCAACTGGTCAAGTCGTTGCCGAGATCCCGTCACGCCTCGGCCCTCCCGTCTCATTGACTCACAACCCCTACAACGCCGTCATACATGCCGGACACCAGAACGGCACAGTCACCTTGTGGTCACCAAATACGGCAGAACCGCTTGTCAAGCTATTAGCACACCGAGGCCCCGTGCGGTCCGTCGCCGTCGATCGAGAGGGCCGGTATATGGTCTCGGCTGGACAAGATGCTCGCATGGCAGTCTGGGACATTCGAATGTTCAAAGAAGTCAACACCTACTCGACATACACACCGGCATCTTCCGTCGCCATTTCAGATACAGGCCTCACAGCCGTCGGCTGGGGCACCTCGACGACCATCTGGAAGGGCCTCTTCAACAAGAATGCCGCCGAGCAGGAGAGGGTACGGCACCCCTACATGAAATGGGGCCGCGAGGGCAAGACCATCGAGCGCGTCCGCTGGTGCCCCTTTGAAGATGTCCTCGGCATCAGCCACGACAAGGGCTTCTCATCCATCATCGTCCCCGGCGCCGGCGAGGCCAACTTCGACGCCTTCGAGGCCAACCCCTTCGAGACCACCAAGCAGCGCCAGGAGACCGAAGTCAAGGGCCTGCTCAACAAGCTATCGCCCGAGATGATTGCGCTCGACCCCAACTTCATCGGCAACATCGACCTGCGGTCCGACGCCCAGCGCAAGGCCGAAAAGGACCTCGACGCCAAGCCCGTCGACATTGCAGAGGAGATCCGCAACCGGGCGAGAGGAAAGAATGGCGCGCTGAAGAAGTATCTGCGCAAGCAGCGCAAGAGGAACATCATCGACGAGAAGAGACTGCGGGTGGACGAGCTGTGGAAGGAGCAGCAGAAGAAGAACGACAAGAAGCGCAAGGAGGTGGAAGAGGATCTGGGGCCGGCCTTGTCGCGGTTTGCGAAGAGGGAGTAATGTATGGAATAGCGGCAGGTACATATCAAAACGCATATACTAATACCCATAGCATGACCAACTCAGGCCTGTCCTAGTACCGTAGCAGTGCATGTAACTGTTGTAGCCATGTGTATCCATTCTGACTTCTGTGTGATAAAAGCATCAAAACATCCATTCTATATTTTTTCTGTTCCCAGTGTGCCGTTTTATAAACTCGCTCATGTCCCATACCAGCAGCATAGCATCTTACTATGGCCCAAACTCGAGCCCATCACCTAGACGCCGTCCATTCAGCCAGTCCACAGCCTTGCTCCAATGAATCGTATTACTGCATCATCCAATGGATTCCTCACAACAACTTGAGGTGTCCCGTCACCTTGTCCACCAAGCTCTTGGGGCCTGGACCAACGCCCAGCACCGTCATGCTACCCGCCTCGATCTGCGTCCGTCCAGCATCCTGAATGACCTCTGCCGTAAGTCCCATAGCACGGGCCTTGCCTCGCAGCTCCAACATGTCGGCCTGGCTCTTAATCTGCACCGCAATCTTGGCCTGGCCGAAACGCTCCCATCGAGCGAGCACCTTGCGTTCGGGGGAGGCCGGGTCGGCGCGGGCGAGGGCCTTGTAGCAGGCGAGGGTAGCGTGTGAGCACTGAGCAGCGATTTTGCCTGTTTTTTCAAGTTAATCCTCTTGTTAATAGCACCCAAATTCCAAGAAACAAAACGCACCCTTTGTCATGCCCAGATCCGTCCGCACAACCAGCACCAGCTTGCACTCCTCGCTACTGTCCATCATCAAGCTCTTCCTCTCCGCAGCGCCCGACTCGCCAAACTTGAGGCCCTGTCTCTTATCCGCATCGAGTCCGTTGGCCCAGTTCGGCGCATGGTCCAGCAGCGTATCGTCCTCATCCACGTCGCTCTCCTCGCTCTCGACAGGGTCGTTGTGGTATCTCCGGCGCTCCTCTGCCAGAGCAGGCGAGATGAGGTACCCTCTCGCGGTGAAGATGCCAAACATGTAGCCCGTGACGAGACTGGCGAGGGCGGTTGTGAGGATGACGCCCGTCTGCTGGGCCTGTTCGGCGGAAGCCATGGCGGGATAGTAGCCGGGGTTTCGGGTTATTCGATAGCGGGGATATGCAGCGAGGAAGAGGTGGAAGAAGAAGAAGCGAGAGACTAGGAAAAGTGTAACTGTGAGGCGGAATCTGAGGCGGTGGTGGTGATGCTCAGGAGTTGAAAAGAGAAACAATTAATGCGACATGCAAGCTTCCCAGTCGCTGCAGGAGAAAAAAGAACCCGACATGCCCCTCCTAAAGATCCAATGCCCTGTAACTCATCGGATTCCGGCGATCTGCCCGCCCTGAAACCCCCCTCCAACCCCACCTTCAGCCCGCTAAACCCAACATCGAACCGCTAAAACCGCTGCGTATCTGCGCTCATCCAGTACGAGCGAGTGAGTGAGTAATACGGCCAAAGCCAAAATACACTCCCAGTCTGGTATAAATCCATTCACTCCCACAGCAAAACCTCGTCTTATCAACACCAGCACTAACAATCTTGCATCCCCAAAAGCCTCACCTTTTCTCTCCGCCCATGGCAGACACAAAGGCCCTCATTGTGGCCCTCTCCGGCTGCTCCTCCAGCGGCAAAACGACTCTCGCTCGCCTCCTCCGCGACATCTTCCCCAGCACCTTTATCCTGCACGAAGATGACTTTTACAGGCCCGAGACTGAGTAAGATCTCACAATTCATCTTAATAGACAAGATCAAGCCTAACATACAACTACAGACTCCCCATGAAAGACGGCCTTCTCGACTGGGACTGTGCCGAAGCCATCGACATCCCCGCCATGGCCGAAGCCCTCTCTTATATCCGCCAACACGCATCATTTCCCGTAACCTCACCCCTCCCTCCCTCTCATCTCAAACCACAGAATTCAAAACAACTCACTCACTCATTCTCTCAGCCAACTCTCGACTCCAAAGAAGACCAAAACTCCGTCGGCAAATGCCCCGTCTCATCCACCACAATCTCCGCCCTCAAGTCCAAAGTCTCCTCCCACCTATCTTCAACCCACCCCCTGAGCGCGGCCACCATCCGCCTCTGCCTTCTAGACGGCTTCCTCCTCTATCCACCCTCCATGGCCGCCATCAAGCCCCATCTCGACGTCAAAGTCTTCCTGCGTGCGTCCTACGAGAGGGCAAAGGCCCGTCGTGAGGCACGAGACGGATACGTCACGCTTGAGGGCTTCTGGGCCGATCCCCCTGGCTACGTCGACAAGATTGTCTGGCCAAACTACGTGGCGGAGCATTCGTGGATGTTTGAGGATGGAGATGTAGAGGGCAAGTATAAGGCTGATGTGCTCGAACAAGAGACAATCAGAGTGCCAGACGGAGGGCCCTTGGATGGCGACATGGACACGATTTTGGCATGGTTGGTAGATCTGATACTACAAGAGTTGGACAAGCACGCCTAGTACATATAGAGATAAAAAAACAAAAAACCTTCTTTCGGTTCTTGTATTGATTCTGAAAATGGCGCAAAGGCAGAGCACTGCTCTAGAAGTGAAACACAATCTGATCTATCAAACTCATCCATCAAAATGAAACCCAAATTCCAACATGACATAGCAAAAAGCTGCGTCCCTTGATCCCTTCTATATATTTCCAAAACAACGCAATGCTTGTTGAACCATCACTCACGCAGCATCCTCAAAAACATCCTCATCCTCATCACTCACTCACTCACCCATCACAACATCCCCCTCCCCATTCCTCTTCTCCAGCTCCAAAATCTTCATCGCCTCCGTCGCAGCCTTCGTCTTCACCTCCTCCTTGTTGATCCCTCCCCGAACCGACACCACCTCTCTCTTCCCGACAAGAACCTTGCAGAAAAACTCCTTCTCCCCAGTCAGCTCGTTGTCCATCATATCAAGCTCATACGTGACCGTCTCCGTGTTTGCCCATTTGCCCAGCTCCTCTTTAGGATGCTGCACATGGACTTTATCCCGGAGCAGTCGATCCATGTACTTCAAAAAACCAAACCGAGTAGCAACCTTCTCACACTCCACCATCGATCCAGAGTCAACCCACACAGCACCAAGTATTGCCTCAAACACATCAGAGAAAAACTTCTTTGGATTCAGTGCAGCCAGGAGTGCCCAGGGGTAATGCGTGCCATTCTCCATTTCATCAAGAATCTCCCCTCTCAAGGCCGCATGTCGCTTCATCGTCTCCTTCATCTCAATTCCAATATGCATTGAATTGTGTCGCATAAACGTCCACAAGTAAGACATCATCTCTTCGCTTTTCAAAGTGCCATCTTCTGTCACAATTTTTTCAGTCAACTTCAAGCCGCGCTCCATAGTCATAAAGGCAATGAAATCGCCATTTACGAGCCCCGTCTTGAGCGTATGCATCCTGAAATGGGGTAGCTCCGGCTTCACATTGAACAGCTTTGTAACGATGATGTTGTCCAAGACGGCATCTCCAATAAACTCGAGTCTTTCGAGGGATCGCTTGCCCGTCTCCGCCGCATATGAAGCATGCGTCAAGGCCTCGATCAAAAGGGCCTTTTTCTGGAATGAGTATCCAATCAACCCTTCCAGTGGCTCCAATGTCGGCGGAAGCGGTTCGTCCGCTGGCACCTTGTCGAAAATATTTCGTCTATCATTCTCCACACTCGTCCAATTGGTTTCAGGGAGAAACAGGGAGATGCATTTGACAGCCTTGTCGAGGTGCCCGTCCACGTATGAGACTCCAATGAGTGCCTCCACCATGTCTGCAAGTGTTTTTGTCGATATTTTTCTCTTCTGTGAAGTAGGCTCCAGACCCTCTTGGCGAACCTCGTCCAGAACCGCGTCCAAGTATAATGGGCGCCACTTTTGGCCCGTAAAGGGCTTTGTATTGAGGAATCTAGGCAGCTTAAATTCAAGGGCCGTTTTGTGCAGTCTAGCGTTGGATATAAGTCTGTCCCGCTTGTGCGAGAGATAGCCCTCGGGGTAATCAGGATCTAAGTAGCATCAGTATGGGCAACAGAAGAACTTTGAAACAAAAAAGAGGGCAGAGATTGTACATGTTTGCAACGATGGGTACTCACATTCGGCAGCGACGCGAATACAAGTGAAAAACTTGAGGATGGAATCACCCAACAATTCCACTCTCTCATAATTCACCGGCTCAGAGGCACTGCGCGCGCATATCGCCTGCCTGACCAGATCCATATTCTTAATACCAACTTTCCGGAGGATGTTGTTAGCCAGCTCCTTGGCCATGATCATAACACCGAGCTCGTGGATAATGCTGGGAATCAGCATGCCAAACTGCGCATGCCTCACCGGAATGGCATCGACCGTCGCCCATGGCAATGGATACACTCGTGCGTATGGTTTGCTGGTGGCCTGGTCCTTGGAGGGATCCCCCTGGGGGCGATGCAAGAAATCGGTTCTCCGCGTCCACTTGGTGAGCACAAGATAGGGGACGTTTTCAGGTGCCTTTTCATACTCATAAAATACATTTTGCACCTGGCTTGTAGCAGGCTTGAATCCGATGGTATCCTTGTAAAGGTAGGGAGCTTTCGTATTGTCGCGGATAAGGTACTGCCCTCCTTTCACAATCTCATCGTCGGGGTCGTATGCCCGCTGACCCATTTGGTCCATCGACAAAGATTCATCCTTTGCCCAAACCCGTATTACGTGCTCGGCTTGTTCAACTGGCCATCGATGGCCGAAGTGAAGCGCCAGGAGAGTCGACGTCTGGTCTGGTAGATCTGCAACCTTTTCATGCGGGACGGCGGTTCCAGCAGTCATTCGCAGTTCCACCGTGTGGTTACGATCGAGATGCATTTGCAGAGGCCGAGGCTGGTCAAGCCGGACGGGTAACAACATCTCATACTCGCCTTCCACCTGGCCGTTCTCCCCGATACAAGTCAAAGAGTAGAGCCACTTGTTGCCAGTTTCCCGCCACGCTTCAGCAACGTGGTGCCATGGCTTCATCGCCAGGTCAACTAGCACTTCAGATGCCCGAGTATCCATGGCACCCATATCGCTAGACCTGAAGGGCTGCAAATTGTCATTGACCAGCTCGGCATCGTATAGAGCGCGATAGGCCTGGTAAGCCGCATCCTTTGTGGCATTCTTCTCGGATTGCCATGCAGATGCACTGCTATGCTTCCTCAGGCTGACTGGTAGAAACGGTGGAAGCAACACGACGCAAGTCAATGAACCAGAATCAGGCTCTTTATGGATAATGTAGTCTGGTCGGCTGTCAACAAACTCTCCGGGGCTCAAGACTCTGCAGAAATGCTCCAGATGCGATTTAGCATTGTCGAACTCGAGCCTCGCCCCAGTGGACGGGACGATGAAAACGTCGTCGCTCGGGCTCTCTGAATCCTCCAGCTGGCTGAGCCTACGAACCTCTCTCTGCTCGTCGTCAAACAACTTCTTCATTTCCTCTTCTTTCGTAATCCATTTTTCGAGAGCCGGGCTTTCCAGCTCAAAGAAAATAACCAGTTTCGAGTCCCTCTTCCGAGCCCGACCACGCCTTTGTATAAACGACTTTGACGTCGTGGGGGTATCAAAACAGATGACGAGATTGCAAGCAGGCACATCAATACCCTCTTCCAAAACCGACGTTGCAATGAGCAGGTTGATTTTGCCATGGCGAAAGTTCAACAGATCCTTGTAATCAGTCTTGTCGCCGAATTCATACATGGCCTTTCGCCGTGTAGCATAGGCCGCGGTCCCAAACATGGTCCCGATTTTGTATTTGGCCATGATGGCCTGGTTTACGCGCAAGAGTTCGGCCAGCATCGTCACTGTGGCCCGCTCCTCGACGAAAATGATTCCCACAGTGGGTTCCTCTGCAGACAAAAGCTCGATTAAGAGCTTGTCTACCTTGTCAGAGATGTCATCAAAGGTCTGCGGTGTCTTGGGAAGAGGCTGAACGTTGACTCGGCGATAGACCTGGCCCAAATACTTCTTTTCTTCATCAATCCACCATTGGTTGGGAAGTTCATGATCTCCTTCCACTCTATTCAGGTGAGCCGATATGGCCTTTTCGATGTAGAGATCAGCAGCCCAGGGGCCAAGTTGTTTGCATATCTGTTTAGATCGAGTACGGAATGACTTCATCTGATTCTGCGTGTAGGTGTCGTATTTTTCAATTGCCTCTGCCAGCGCACGCTTGTTCCTCTCAGTGGGATCACGTAGCAGGTAATGTATGTAGGGGTCCTCTTTAATATCCAGTTCAAGATAGACCTGGTTCAGGGAGCGCATGGTGGGAGTCATGACATCTTCTCGGCCAGGATTGTAGATGACGTGACGGATGGTAGGTCTTTTGACGCATTTAAGCAGCTCGTCACGGTGGAGAGTGGGCGAGATGCATGTTGCATCCAACAACAACTCCAAAGCCTCAAGGTCCTCTGGTTGAGACTGAATACTTGGGGTTGCTGTCAAGCCCAAGATGGATGGGACGCTTCCACCAACTTGCTTGCATGGATGGTAATGGTTAAGCATGACCCTGCCGCCAGGGTTTTTGCCAATGCAGTTGTGAGCTATATAGATCAAGCAGACAGTGTCAGCAGTTTTATTCCTCCTCTTGGTGAATGCAAAAAAGAAACAGCAATCAGCACTTGCCTTCGTCAAATACAAGCAGCGCTAGGTGATTCATGGTAATGTACGCATGGTCGAGAGCATCCAGCAGAACCTGAGGCGTCGAAACGACGACTCGAGTTGTGCCCAGAAGGGTATGCCAAATCTCCGGGCCCCAAGCATTGATGGCGGAATTACCAGCAAGCAGCGTCATGGGCACGGCAGGGATCTGCAACTTGAGTACATCCTTCTGCTGGGTACACAGCGAGACAGTTGGTGCCATGAACCATACGATCTGACGGGGCGCCGCGTTAGTGCTCCTCCTCGTCTCCGTTTACAAGGAGCAGCTCACCTTTTTCGGGTCGCAGGATTCCAGTTCACTCTTGATACGAAGCACGGCCCTGACAGATAACCCAAGTCAGCATGGATTGAGCAGTACGTGGCAAAGGATGCCGACGATAACCTCAGTGACGTATAGACGGCACACAAGGGGGGGGTTATGCGACTTACACCTGGGTTTTGCCACTTCCAGTATCCATCTAATACACAATACACCCCCTTTGGTCAATGGACATTCAAAATAACATCAAGAGGAAGACAACATACAGCCACAATCACATTTCGCTCGAGGCTCTGCTCGAGCATCTCAATCTGGTACGCCCTAGCCGCCATTACTCCTGATTGCTCTCCATCTTCACTGAGCAGTGCTGCCTGGGAGCCTGAGGAAGTGCAATCTTGGGTGGACGGAGGCTCCCTGATATCAAGTCCGGGCCCGGGAGCCTCGTCGACGGCAACGCCATCCACAGCATCAGCATCCTCCGGTCTAGTGCCTGCCCACCTCTCGACGCTTAGGCCAGTCACCTCGTGGTCCAGGGGTGCCAAGGAAGAAGCCCCAGAAGTGCTCGACGACCTGGAAGCGGGCCTTTCCGCTTGTGCTTCTGCGTCTGCGTCTGCATCTGCGCCTGAACGAGGCCGCCGCAGCACGTCACCAGGCGACAGGCCCGGAGCAGATCCCGGAGCAGGGCTCGAGCTGCCGGATTGTACCCCAGCGGCCGCTAGTTCTCCAGTCACCCGCCACATGGGACGGCGGTAGTTTGGCGCTCCCGCTGCGGATCTGGCAGTGTGACTCAGGCAACGACTCCAGGGTGGCAGCCTGACGTGTCGGGCAGACGCAGACGAAGCGAACAAAAGGCGGTCTCGTCGCTGGGCAGGGAAACGGGCCCTTCGCAAGATCCCGGCTCGAGATGCTTCACGCCGGGCGCGACGACGGCGGAGCTCGTGGCGGGGTCGCCTGCGCTCGGGAGACGACGATGGGGCTGCTGGATATGGACTCATGCCCTTGCAACGACGGGATTCGTATGACTGGAGCTAAGAAGCTAAGACTTTAGCCAGGGCTGCTGGTAAGCTTAATTAGCATCGATGGCCCAAAGGAGAGAGACGCGGCGTCAACAGCTGAGGCGTCACCGGTTCGTAGTTCGTGGTCCCAAGCAGGTCGTCCCGCAAGTGGGACAAATCGCTGTTCTGCTGTTGGTTGCTGTGGGTTTCTCTCGATGAACGGCAGAAGGTGTAGCAGGAGGAGACGCAATTGGGTGACGTGTGGGGAGTCGCTGAGTGTGACATGACGACGTCGAATCACAGCAATGGACTTTTGGTAGCAGCAAACAAACTTGAAGTCACCAAGGCTCAGTCAGTTTAGGCGATAGAAGATAATAGCAAACATAATTAACTTGTAGATCTTTGTTTTTACGAAGGTCTATGCAGTCATACGGTCAAGCGGCAGGACAACAAATCAGTTTAGGAAATAGGAGTTAAAGGCGATAGGAGATAATAGTAAACTCAATCAACTTGCATATTTTGTTTTTTCAAAGGCTCATGCAGTCACACGGTCAAGCGACAGGGCAACAAAGCCACGCAAGGCTCCGCAGTAAGTTTCTTGTAATTCCGAATGCTTGATAATTACCTAGGTACCTACATATGTAAATACGACTTGGCTAGCGTTTCTCAAATTTAATGTTCATAATTTCTCACTCATCTTTGACTAGGTACCAATCAAGATGCCCAGTTTTCGTAATATTGAGAAATATTTACATGATAGTCATGACACTTGAAAACCTGTATACATTCTATTTCTGTAGCCGTCCAGCCCCACGAGCGCTCGATGCTTCCCAACTAGGTCATGTCCCAATTCAGGGCCAATTTACTACCAAAAAGACAAGGGCGTAACAAGGCTTTACCCGGTAAACCAGACCAATAAACCGCCGTGGTCACAAGGCACGGCATCCGTTGCGACAATTTTCAAAGAAGCCGCGGAAGAATCGGTCTGGAAGGATTCGGCTACTAGGCATCTAATTCAATGCGTGTATTTTAGGTTGCTTCTCGTATACTACTTGGTTTCACAGCGATCGCCATGAACAGATGTGATTGATTATGCCGGAGCCTAAAAGATGATACCCGCATCAATGCGTCTTGGACCCAATTGACAAGGCCCCAGCTCTTGAATTGACATGGCAAACGTTCTAGTTTAGTTCTTCTGAGACAAAAAAAAAAAAACAAGAAAACAAAAGTGTTGCCTCCCAACCTGCCAACCCACCTGTCATCAAAGCCTTGAAATCCCCCGATATTACAAGCCACACACCGGCAATTCCCACAATAGACAGACAGATCGGGACTTGTCGACCCACCATCGCGGATCTCGCTGAGTTACGGCCAAGTCCGCAAAGGAACTTTTGTCCAATTTCCCATCATCACCATTGGAGTCATAATAAGAGTCACAGAGGGATGTGGCTTGGACACTGCCCAGGCTCCAGATGCTAGTTTGCATACAGTACTAATGGAGTGGTTTCCTTAAAAGGGATTTTGTCCCCCAAGTGACCCCCGAATAATTCACTCGGGCCCCCATAAAATATCGGGGTAAGCCCGATGCTGGAAACTTTAGCAGACTTACACGTCGCCGTTTCAGAGGCAGATGACTTGGATGCTTATTAGCCTCACGTCAAAAGGAAATTGCAAAGTAGGATCGAGATGCCGCAACGAGCACACGAATGATCAGCTACAGGAAGCCGCAACGAGTCATCAGTCACGCAGCGGCATAAACCTGCACTGTCCAATTGGATGTGAGCCGTTAATCTGCGTGAATGAGGACCCATGTGACCGCTGGGCCCTTGTACGGACGGCGAGAACTTCTGGAGATGGCTTCACGGCTGCAGAAAACTGGTTTTTGTTGTGCTTACCAATATCTTTGTGTAATAGAAGCAGCAACAGCAAAAAGCAAAGACTTGTCCTTTTCAATCCGAAAACTGTCCTTTTGCATGGCTGAAGACAGATTGCCTGCATGGCTGCAAACCAGGTTTGTGGTTGTTGCAGTATTAGTGGCTAATAGTAGGTTAGGTACTGTACTAGGCAGCCTGACGTTGAACGGGCTTCTACCTGGGAGGATTCTTTGTAGTGCAAGCAACAAAGCAAAACACCGAGCCAATCGAAAACTTCAACGCCAAACGCCAAAATCCGAAACATCTGCTGTCTAATTGCCATGTAATTCGCGGATCCGATCTCTCCATCCCCATGGATCTTTTCGCAACAGGCTTCAACGCCTGGAACCAACTCTCCGTAGCCCAAAAGATCCTCCCGCACGAGCCTCATGACCTCTTCGCCTTTACAAAAGTTCTTTCAGCTTCAGCCATTGAACGGCCAGTCTCGCGCCTCACTTACACCATTGGTACTTATATCATCACATAACATATCATATCATGCCACATCTGCCACTCACACCAAAAAAGAATCACATAATCCCCAAGCCCTCCGATTCGCAACAAAAAAACCCTCCGTACTGACAAAAGGCCCTGCTGCAGTTCGACAAGATGGGCGCTTCGTCGTCGCCGGTCTTGGTCCCGAGCCTCAGCATCTCGAGCTGCTCTACACGTCAGCCGAAGCTGCCTCTGGGCAAATCTTGACCATTGTCCAGGACCAGGATAGCCATGACAGCAACAAGTTGGTCAAGCATTCGTCCCTATCATCTCCCGAACCAGACGCCATCTTCACCTGCACGCCTCCAGCTACGCAAATCGCGGCCTTCAGCACCGGTTTCGTCATCCTACACACCAACGGAACCGTCTCTACCTTTGGTGACTCCCGCTTCGAGGCTTGTCTAGGTAGAGACATTCATACGCCAAACCGGTAAGCCCCTAAAACAAGGCTCCCCCCCTCTACAAACGACTTCGGACCTTTTCCCGAGCTGACTGACCCGGTTACGGAGCCCCAAAAAAGACCTCCTGAAGTCCCGGGCCCGGTACCCGATCTCCATGAAATCGCCTCGGCCAACGATCCCGTTAAATGCGTCACGGCTGGCGGAAGTGTCGTTGCAGCACTGACGACGAGCGGCAGCGTCTACGTCTGGGGCTCTAGCACTTCATCAACAGCTCCAAAGGCGTCAGACAGTTCACGTCGTCACCGCCGAGGACATGCTTTCGAGCAACTCTCTGGCATTCCCAACTATACAGAAATCGATAATGGTAAGGATGTCGAGGATGTTGCTCTCGGAGAGTCGCACGCCATCGCCCTGACAGCTGACGGACTCATCTATGTCATCGGTGAGAATAACAATGGCCAACTTGGAATTGGTAATGCTATTGAAAGAACGGAAACATGGATCAATGTTCCTTTCAAGGCTGCCAAAGGTTCCAAGATTGTGGGCGTGGCGGCTGGCCCGCGGGCCTCCTTTATTCTAACGGGCAAGATATAGATGTGGCCGATATCAGTAGATTTTCAGGCCAGAATTCAAAAGTAAAGGCGAGTATTCAGGTGTGAACCGCATCATATAACATTACACTACACTGCACTGCACTACTAGCCGCCATAACTCTAAGCTTCAGTCTGGTCTTGACCCAGTCTTCACATCAAGCAGTATTGTAATGTGCCAAATTCTTTTGTTTATTAAGCTTTATGCCTCATTATTGTACATCAAAGCCTGCTTCATCATCATTCCGCGTACCGGCATGTCTATCATAGACTTGACAAGTAATCCTCAATCTCCTGAGGAGTCAGCTTTCTAAACCGAGGGCCCGTAGCACCCTCCACTCCCTCGACGCCCAGCAGGTGGTCAGCTGGGGGGCCAACAATGCCTGAGAAAGGCACAGCAAGTTAGAACAAGTACCACTCATTATATATAATCATGTGAAGAAAAACAAAAACTTACCAATCTCAATGGAATCCCCGCTCATTTCACCCTCAATGTTGTCCTTGAGCGTCAACAGAGCAATGTGGATGGCGTCTTCCAGCTCCAGCTCCTCCGAGTATCGCTTCTCCAAAAAGGTCTTGGCCTTGGTCGCACTCTTGCCAATGGCCGTGGCCTTCCAGGGGAAATAACTGCCTGTTGGGTCGACCTGATACAACATGGGGCCTCCCTTGTGGATGCCGCCAGTCTTTTTTGTCTTCTTCACCTCCTCGCCCTCCTTGGCCTCGGTTTCCTCCTCCTCGGGGTCGATGCCCTCGTCCCAGCCGGCAATCAGCATGCTGACGCCGTATGGCCGAACACCAGCCGACTGAGTAGCCTCCTGCATGACTCTGGCCACATCCTGCACAAGTATTCTGGTGGGAGGGTATTCGTTGTAGATGCGCTTGTAGCCTGTGTGAGAAACCTTGCGCGCTCGGTCGACAAGTACTCTGTAGTCTGGGCCCATGCCGGAGTAGACGGTGCCGATGTTGGGGGTGATGTGGCTAATCTTGGACAGGCTGCTCTGGTCGGCGAGAGGGGACGACGACTTCTTTTCGGTGGCGAGGACGATGCCATTCGTAGCTGCGTATTTGAATTTGCGTCATTAGCCATCCTGCCATGGCATGTCTTCCCCAAGGATAGAGAGTAGTCGAAGTCTCAGCATACCTTTGATACCCAGAGCAGTGATACCCTGGTTGACCGCATTCAGAGCATACTCTGCGGGACGGATTCTACATGTCAGCCTTGTTCGACGCCATTCATGTCATGATATCTTCCAACGAATCGGTGCCATAGACTTGGTTGCTCCAGGGGAAGTGCGTACCGATTTGCACCAGCTTGCCGCTATCAACATGGCCAGTCAGCAGAGGGGTCTTTTGGGGCTGGAGAGATGACATCAACCTGCGTACCTGGGCGAGAATGTTGTGAGGGAGAAGGAGTATCTGTCCGCCATGGCTGGATGCTTATCGACGGTCTACCAGCGGATTGTTCTGCGTGCTCGTTGCGTGTGAATCTGCGGTGCTCCAATGCTATGCTTTGCTAGAGTCGAAGCTATTCTGAGCTGCTCAGCCATAATGCAATCCCACCCACAGCAGGCACACTGAGCTGCGCGTCAAGCTTGGGCCAGGCAGTTGGTGGCGGACTTTGGTTTCGCCGAACTCCGGTGGGGAGCTCCTCCGCTGTCCATCTCCGCTAAGCCTTGGCCAACTACGAGTACTAAGCCAAGTAACTCCGTAACTTGTACCACAGTTTTTTCGTTTCTGGTTCGACAAATTTCCACCAGCAAAAATATCACCGCTGCCACCCAGCCGGAGATTTCGGCTAGCTGGGCTACATGCTACATGTTACATGGAATGTGACGCGCAGAGCGATGAAGTGGCCTCTTCTCTCCCCGTCTATGTGAAGACTTGACGCGTACCTTTTTTTCGTTTCTCCCCCACGCGTTTCTGCCTAACCGAGACAGTTTGAGTTTGCAAAGCTCTTTGTGCCATGTGAAGCCACCAACAGTCTTTGACTTCCACAGCTTCTTTGTTGTTTCGTCGGCTATTTCTTGCCCCTGCTGGCGCATCGAAAACGAAACTTGGGGCATCACCTTTTTTTTTAATCCTTCTCAAGTATCAGCCGCGATGGAGTGGTTTGGAGAGAGGGTTCGGACACCGTACCAAGCAACGGTTCACGAAAAGACATCTACAGCTTATGACGAGGAGCCAACGAGGTCTGACCACGCCAGAGAGTATGCATCTGCACATGCTCAACCATCACCAGATGCTACGCACAGACATGGGCGGCGATATAGGCCACGAACATGTCGGATTTGCCTGGATGTCGTAGAGCCAAAATACCCTTCCAACTCGTCCAAGTCGAGCAAGCCAGTATATGTGTCTGACGACCCCGAGCTGGGAAGACTGCTATCCCCATGCAAGTGCAAGGGATCGCAAAAATATGTCCACGAGGGATGCCTCAATTCTTGGCGACTCTCAAACCCGACGGCCAAGAGAAACTACTGGCAATGCCCGACGTGCAAGTTCTCCTATCGGCTGGTCCGCCTTCATTGGGCTTCGATGCTAAGCAGCAAATGGGCTCAAGCTGGCCTGACACTGTTTATCCTTGTGGCGAGCATCTTCCTTTTGGGATTTCTGGCTGACCCAATCCTCAACCTTTGGGTCGATCCCTTCGGTACCGTCAGTGACGCCGTTACAAGCGTCGTCACGGATATTGAAGCCCTCAAGGAGCCCGACTGGGAACCGCCGACGACCTGGGCCGAGCATTTTCTCAAGGGATTCTTCTCTCTTGGGCTCGTTGGCATCTTCAAATCCATGATTGCCATGTCACCGTGGCATTGGTGGAACTTGCGCAGCTTGACCGGAACCAGCAGACGCCAGGGCGGAAGGGCCAGAGTGGAAAACATTAGCCTCGTGTTTGTCATCATTGGAGCCTTTACCGCCCTCATGGGAATATGGAAAGGAGTCAAGAAGCTGAGTGAGCGCGTGCTGAAGAATGTGAGTGAGAGAGTATTGGACGTTGGCGGGGATGATGGTGATGTTGATGATGACGGCGATGAGGGAATGCCGGATGGGAACAAGGATGAATGATGCATTTTCACAACAATCGTGTACTCCATGGACTGGCGCTGCTTTCATGTTGTCGCCCCTCTGCACACTCTTAAGTTGCCTCGAACTCGCTCTTCCGTGTCAAGTCAACTAGTCTGCGTGCAAATAGCGACGCTCCACCAGCGCCTTGAGCAGAGGCCGTCTTGGCTCTTTGCTCGCTGGCCTGGTGTGAGTTGCCGGTGCGATTTGCGCGCGTTGAAGATGCCCGTTTGGGTGTTGGAGACGTCGCCATTCCTGCAGTATCTGCTCCGTACGCTCCAGTACACCATCTTTTGAGCAGCATCATTGGAACAGCCTGGCACATTTTCAATGACATGATCTATTTTTGGCCTGTCCTTTTATTCTTCTTTTTTTATTCCCCCAAATTTAATTATATAAAGATATGGACAATCGTAGTCTAAAGCATAGATCCCACCAATACCATGGCATCTTTACATTAAATCACAGTTGCGCCTAGCAAACTCTGTTACTCGGCACCAGCCACGCTGTTATCAAATCAGCCCTATTTCCTCGATAACACCTGAATAACATCGCCTGCTTGGTACTAGCCGCAATCAACCAAATCAGCTCCGTATGCAGTAATACGAGAAAGGCGCAAGGATGGCTCGCCGTTTGCAATGATATTGGTTGGGCCGGCGATTCGTACTCCCGGCGCCGGGTCCAGCGCCTCGTGTTCTAAAGTGAAGGTACCCAAAAAAAAAGACCCCTAGCAATGGGCCACCAATGTCATAAGCCATAAGGGATCGCCATCGCCTCACCGCGCGCGAACGCCTTTCGCAGTGGCCCGTCACTGCAAACCATCGCCCGCCACTCGTTTGATTGATTATCGAGTCGAATCGTCTCGCTCGCTGCGGCTTCACGGACCTGCTCGGACCTGCTCGGCTCTGCTTATCGGGTGTCGCACAGCTGGCCTCAGGGATCTTAGATCAGATCAGATCAGGAGAAGGACCTGCTCCTCAGCGCTGCATCCCGCCCCCTCCGCCTTCAACCACAGCGCGACTTGCTGCTATCGGCCCTTGCAGGACTGCGAAGAGACGAGAGGACAAGGACGCAGAGAAAAGTTGAATTGGCCAGGCCGATACCCTTGGCAATCACGCAGCTGAGCCACTATCGCTGTCTTGAATTTGTGCCGCTTTGGGGCAAAGACATCTCCCCCAGACGACAAGATGCATTTCGCATATCCTTCCCGCAAGAGCTCCAACCCACCGCCCTTCCGACCTCGATCCACACGGCTGCCCGGCCTGCGGAGGAGCCGCATCAAGACCATTGGCATTGTGGTCTTCGTGGTGTTTGCGGCACTTTGGTTCTTCTCCAATCCAAGAGTGCCGCGCCCCGACCATGAGCGCGTGCCTTCTGGCCAGCCGCCCGTCGTCATTGTGACCGTCATCGACCCGACCCAGTACCCCAATGCCTATCTGAAAACCGTCAAGGAGAACCGCGAGCAGTATGCCGCCAAGCATGGTGGGTTGCCCCTCTGTCTCTTACGGACCTGACTTGTCCCCCGCTGACACGCAGAAATCACAGGATACGAGGCATTTGTGGCAAAGGCCTACGACTACGACACCAAGGGAGCGCCGCAGAGCTGGTCCAAACTCATGGCTATGCGACACGCGCTGGCCAAATTCCCCGAGTGCAAGTTTGTCTGGTACCTCGACCAGGACGCCTACATCATGGACGTGAACAAGTCGTTGGAGGAGCATCTCCTGGGGCAGCGGAAGCTGGAGAGCCTGATGATCAAGAACTACCCCGTCGTGCCGCCGGACAGCATCATCAAGACATTTTCGCACTTGAGGGCAGAAGAGGTCGATCTCATTGTCAGCCAGGATACCTCGGGCTTGGTGGCCGGCAGCGTGGTGGTAAGGAACAGCCAATGGGGCAAGTTTTTCCTCGAGACATGGATGGATCCTCTTTACCGAAGCTACAATTTCCAAAAGGCCGAGAGACACGCTCTGGTGAGTTTTGATACCAACTGAAGCCAGGGAAATGGGAAGAAGCAGAAGCTAATGCAGATCACAGGAGCACATTGTCCAATGGCACCCCACCATCCTCTCGAAGTTGGCGCTCGTGCCACAACGCACCCTCGGCCCTTACACGCGCACCGACAAGGGAGACGCCTACCAAGACGGCGACTTTGTCGTCATGTTTTCCGGCTGCACCAAGGAGGGTGTCGTGAACTGCGAGACCGAGTCAGCAAGCTACTACCAGAAATGGAGCTCGTCGTTTAAGAGCTAGAGAGCCCATCACTACCGGGCGAAAGTGAGAAAGACGGATTGAGAGGCAACTTTGGGCATATCAAATAAAAACGAAGAAAAACAACGGAAAATGAAAGACATAAAACGAACACTGGGAAAATATGGAGGGCGGGCGACGGCGGCGGCGGCAAGGGAGCAAAAACACTTGCGTAATACCGGCGTTCGTTCGGAGCATATATCCTCTTGGAGTCTATATCCACGGCGTTATCTGGGTTGACAACGTGTTGTGTCGTTGACGGCTTTTTGGAAGTGAATCGGCAAAACCTGACATAGAGGGGCAAGCGAGTTCGAGTATCAAAGAGACGAGGATGGCTACTTGGACGTACAAGGGGTGGAGGGAAATATAAAGCAAAATGGTACGCTTCATTTTTTGTATTACGCTGATGAATTATGTCTTTCTGTCTTGTCTTGTGTCGAGTATAGTTGGCATTGGGGAGGCAAAGTACCTTTTTTTTTTTCATTTTTGATAATCTATTTCAATAATACAGCCTACCTAGTAGTAAGCTACGCTGGGTATGAAGAAGTGGGAGAAATAAGTAGGTGATGTCCTTGGTATGGTGGGAAGATGACATGGCGCGGTGCTATATACAGTATTCAGAGTTATTCCAAACATTTCCATTACTGTGAATACTATTCATGACTAATTACCGTATTAAAAGAGATTTTCTATAGGCATGGCTTACCAGTTCCCCGCTATCCTGAGGGATCATGTCTCAACCTATTATCCAATACTTCTCTTACATATTACATCCATGATCTAGAGCAAACTCAACCTCAAGCCCGCACTATTAAACCTTGATAATGCGGCATTTTTTTTTATAAGCAAACGGTGCCAATAATTGCTCCATCACGCCTTTCAACCTCCCGCCCAACAATTACAACCGCATCATCTCATGTCATCCTGCCCATTCCATCTTCCAGTTTCGATGCTTTCCTCCGGTTCCGTCTCCGGATTCACGGCGTCCGCGGGTTTACGCCCTCCACCTTCTGCCCATCCAGGTTTAGCGCTGTTCCCCGCCAGACATGTGAAGGTGCGCCCCATCTGTGCGCTAACCCCGATGGAGACGTCTTCTGGCAACTTTGGAAGCATCTCATTGGCCCACCGTCTGTACTTCTGCATGTATTTGTTTTTTAGTTGTTGCAGCCGAGGTGGCAGGCTGGCTCTTTCCCGGAAACACGCATCATGCGTGGAAATAGCTCGACGGCTGTGGCCTAGCAGGTGGTGTGAGATGGATGTACTCTGCAGTAGCAATCTGGCAGCAATGGTACTTGGGTCTTACGTAGCTCGTGTTAGTGGCAAGTTGCTTCAACCTTTGTTGCTCAAGCAGCCAAAAACTTGCCTCCTCCTCCATCCACTGCCGTCCATTCATCTTCTCCTCTTGACAGGTGAAATGCTGGCTTGGAGGAATTGACCTGCTGCTCCAGCATCCTCCGATTGTATGCGTCTGTGAGGAGTCGATAAACAAAGCAGAAGGAAGAAATAACCAACCGCCACGATGCCTGGCAGCTCGCGCATTCCCCAGAGCCTCCGCGGCAGTCTGGAGAGCGTCAAGCGCCGGAAACAGGCGCTGTCGCTCAACATGATCAATATCGAACTGTGAGTCGGTGGCTGCGTAGGCCAATTGCATTGGATCGTTTCCCGCTGACGCCTTGCTCCCACGACAGCCTCAAGAACATCATCTTCTTCTACTTCGTCCTCCGGTGGACCCGGCGCCTGTGGTGGAAGCTCAAGGGCCGTGGCATCATCGGCGCCATCCTCGAGCTCTACCGCGACATTGAACGAACTCTCTACGGCTACTTCTTGCGTGCTCCTGGCGTGCGCGGCCAGGTGCAGAAAAAGGTCAAGGAATCGCTCGACAAAATGTCCAACAAACTGGTGCCGGCCGGGCAGACAAAGTACCTGTCGCTTCCCAAGGAGGGCATGACGGACGAAGCCGTGCGCGCCGAACTCGAGTCGCTGGCAAACATGGATCATACCCGCTGGGAGGACGGCTACGTCTCTGGCGCCGTCTACCACGGCGAGGGCGACCTGCTGAAGCTGCAGACGGAGGCGTTTGGCAAGTTTACCGTGGCCAACCCGATCCACCCGGATGTTTTCCCGGGCGTGCGCAAGATGGAGGCTGAGGTTGTGAGCATGGTGCTGAATCTGTTTCACGCCCCGGTTGGTGCTGCTGGCGTGACGACGTCGGGCGGCACCGAGAGTATCCTCATGGCCGTGCTGTCTGCGCGTCAGAGGGCTTACAACGAGCGCGGGGTTACAGAGCCTGAGATGTAAGTTGCGTTGATTTTCCATATAATTCACGTAGTGCATCGAGTACACCAGGAGGCAAACTAAATGCTAATGCCCAACACTTTAGGATCCTGCCGGCGACTGCGCACACGGCCTTCCGCAAGGCCGGCGAGTACTTCAAGATCAAGATTCACTACGTAGACTGCCCTGCTCCCACCTATCAAGTAGATGTCCGCCGAGTTGCCCGCCTCATCAACCGCAACACGGTGCTGCTTGTAGGCTCCGCTCCCAACTTCCCCCACGGAATCATCGACGACATTTCGGCCCTGAGCAAGCTTGCGGTGCGCAAGAAGCTCTGCCTGCATGTGGACTGCTGCCTCGGCTCCTTTGTCATTGCCTGCCTCGACAAGGCGGGCTTCGAGACGCAGCCGTTCGACTTCCGGCTCAAGGGCGTAACCAGCATCAGCTGCGACACGCACAAGTACGGCTTCGCGCCCAAGGGCAGCTCTACGGTGCTGTACCGCACGGCCGAGCTGCGATCATACCAGTACTTTGTCTCGCCCGACTGGGCCGGCGGCGTCTATGCCTCGCCTGGCCTGGCAGGATCGCGACCTGGAGCGCTGATAGCCGGTTGCTGGGCCAGCATGATGCGGCTGGGCGAGAACGGATACGTGGACGCCTGCGGCAAGATTGTGGGGGCAACCAAGAAGATTACCGAGGCGATTCAGAACGGTCCCGTGCTCAGCAGCGAGCTAGAGGTGCTCGGCAAGCCGCTCGTCTCGGTTGTGGCCTTTTCGGCCAAGAACCTGGACGTGTACGACATTGCCGACGGCATGTCGGCCAAGGGCTGGCACCTCAACGCCCTGCAGAGCCCTCCGGCCATCCACGTAGCAGTGACGATGCCCATTGTCAAGGTGTGGGAGCGGCTGGTCAGCGACTTGGAGACGGTGGTGGAGGAGGAGCGCGAGAAGGAGAGGGTCAGGCTGGTGGAGGGCAAGGGGGCAAAGGGCAAGGCCATGGGCGACTCGGCTGCGCTGTACGGCGTGGCGGGATCGCTTCCGAACAAGGGAGTTGTGGTTGATCTGGCTACAGGGTTCCTCGATTTGCTGTACAAGGTATGATGTGACTTGGCGTGCTGTAAGAGTGTGCGTACGGAGTTTTTTTGTTTTTTTGATGGGTTGGTTATACTGCTTGTATGTAACAATGATTTGGGGTCTCTCGAATCGGGCTGTCTCTCCTTTTTTGGTCTTCTTTTTTCTCTATCTTTTTTTCTTTCTTTCTTATATTCACCCTCCTTTTGGAATTGGTTCTTGGCTGTTTTGGAGAGCTGGGCCGCAAAGCAGCAGATGGAGAAGAAGGAAACGGGAGAGAGACTTGCATCGGCCATCTCGATGCCACTGCCCGAGTTGCACAACGGTGCCTACTGCTAGACACAGACACATACATACATACACAAGCTTGGACACATGCATGAGTCCCCAATTCGATCGATTGATTCCATCTGCATCTCCGGCTGCAGGTGTCCACGGACCCCTTGGCATCGCCCTGCCTCACTTTGAGTCTTCGCTGTAACGCACATGCATCTCCCATCGCATAATACGAGTACAGCGTCGGGGGAGGCAAACAAGCCAAGCTCCATGTCCAATCATAGCGGCACGCACGAGACAGCCTCACTTTTCTTCTTTTGCTGTTATCAACCAGCCCGCTCCACTAGCTCACCGCCCCCTCTTTTCGCTGTCTCGACTATTGATTGATCCGATGCTTGTATTATTTGTCATGGGGATGGAGGTGGGAGAGCGGCGTGACTGATTTGTCGGCTGTTGCAAACAAACGATGGCATGCAGCTCTTGTTGTTGCCTCCCTTGCAGGCGATGGATGCATGAACTGTGTAGTATATGCGAGACTGCATCCTTTCTTTGCTTTTTCGCCCCCGTTATTCTGGCTCTTCCCCCTTGGTCCTGCATGATGCTGCTCTGGTGATGTGCATGTTCATCTATCTACGTGTGTCTATAGTACTAGTATAATACTGCTACTAACCAACATGAACTAACACGCCCATCGGCACTTGTTTAGCTGGTCCACGTAGTCGTACATGCTAGTCCAGCTAGTCCAGCATCTGCTGTACATGGACAATCACAACCTCGACACGATGCAACATGCAACGAGATTACCAGTGCGCTCGTCTGGGTTGCATCGGCCCGGGCGAACGATGGGAACGGGTGGCTGCACGCCGATGCCCGAAAAGAAACGACGAAGCGTCCTACGTGGTCGCCTGAGGACGAGGCGATCGGCGACGTGCAGGGCAAGGGAGGAGGAGGAGGAGGTTTTGATGCGGATGATGAGAGGCGAAGTTTGGGCTGCTGCATGATATGGTTATGGTTTGGTTTGGGTTGGAGGTGGCTAGCTGAGGAGGGGAAGAGATGAGCAGATTGGCGGAGGATTGGAGATGTTGATGATGCCGTGTAAGTGGTCTGTCTGTCTGTCTGTCTGTTTGACTGGCTGTTTGACTGGCTGGATGACCACTAACTTGTACAGTACATACAGCAGGAATTATACAAGGTCCAGGGCGTAATGCCGTATGTACACAAGTGCGGATGCATTGATGCATACCTACATGTACGAGTACACAATGATGTGCTGGACATGAAGGCAACGAACCGTGGAGATGTCCAGACTAACCCCGTCTCATCCAGGCGCCGTTTGCCGAAGCCAAAACAAGGCAAAAAACCACCGTCATGACGACATTGTCCCAAACCAGAACCCCCCTGTTCTCACCCCGTCCGTCCGCAACCCGAGGCCACTAAAAAATTGACACCCAAACGCAGCCAAACAGAGCCCGTCGTGAGATATCGTACTCGTACCTACATGTACTAATAGGAACTTGCCCGGCTTACTTCATCGTTACACCGGCTGCATTCTCTCAGCTAAAAACAGGGCCAGCGGTGCCGGCTATGCTCGAGTTGGTGCTAGTGCTAGACTGATCAAGACGCCAGCAGGGGAGCAGCATAAGTGAGGCTTGCAGATGTGGCGAGGGGCTCGAGTGGACGGACCAGCTGCTTTTTGCCGTCTTGTTACTGGATCTGCTGCATTGTGTGTGTTTTTTATGTGAGGAGAAGGGAGAGGATGGTATCCCTGCATCGCTGCTTTTCATTGTGTTGTTGCTGCTGCTGTTGTGATGCTTACAGCTTATACCCTGCTTATACACGCAGACTCGTATAGGCACAATTCAGTGAGCCGTGGTCTGATATACACGTCCTCAGTCCAAGCAGCAGCAACTGCATAATGCCCTGAAACAACGACTCAACCTATCAAAGCATCAATCCGCATCTCCACCTGACTCATCAACCGTCCTCAGCCTCTACCAAGCCCTCGTCACTTACATCACCTCACATGCAGCTCTACCCAACTCCCGCCACAACAGCCCAACCAACCCAGATCCTCCACGCATCACGTTTCGAAAGCCCATGATGCAAATCTCTGCCCCCCAGTCCCACTGCCTCCTCCCCTGCCGCACCCAAAGAAAAGGAAAAAAAGACATCCGAGACAAAAAAAAAGGCGTATCGCCTTGCTGCCAAAAACAGGCCACCCCTGTCATACCCTGTGATACCCTACGCTTTGTCCATCTCTGCTCTTTGGTCTTGGTTTCTGTTTGGGTAATTCGCCTCAAACCCTTGCTTGTTCCTTTTCTTGTCTCAATGGGGACCCTGCCTGGGACCACGTATGTCGAGAGAAACCCAAGTGGCCAATGCACAAACCGGGTTCTCGTCCACTTGATCCATCCATGCCAGGGCGGGGTGGGGGAGGGAGAAGCAAGAGCAGAGCACATAGCGTTCTGCTTTCGCGCCGAGGCCGACAGGGTGGACAAATGGACGTTGAGAAGAGCCCATGATTGATGAGAGGCCCGCGATGTCATCATGTTGTGCCTCCCTCGTTTTTCCCTGCTACCGCCTTGGAATTTTTCCTTTCCCCCCCTATCCAGCACGGGCTGCGTTTCACTGCCCCTTCCGTTGGGGACCTGATCTGACTTTTTGACACTTCATCAATCATATAATTTCCCGTGTCCCTCCCCTTGTGCTTGTGCTTGTGTTTGTGCATCCCGTGCCTTTGTGAAGCCTCACAGCTGAAAATACTCTTAATCTCATAACCTCCCTCTCCATCTACCCATCATCTCTCATCTCTCACAAAGAAACGCAAGGCAACTTCCCTCTTTGCCTCCATAACGCTGTGTCGTCCTCCTTCTATTACCACCGCCTCCCATCTCACACACTCTTTCCCACCCTCACGATAACACCACAACCAACCGGCATCCGGCGATAACCAAAGAACAAAAACTAAACGTTTCGGCACGGCAACTCCAATTCTGTCGTGAACGTGGTGCCATAGGAAGAAGAAAAAAAATCTGCCGTGTTGCCGTAAACCATGACTGCCGAGACGACCGTCTTACACGACGCTCTGCCGTCGGCACACGGAAACACAGCCTCGCCAACGCCGCACGGCGGTGACGAGAAGCTCGACAGTGCATCCTTGGCATCAAGCTCAAGGCATCGACGAGACAGTCGTCGAGAGCATGATAAAGACGATGCCTCCCGGAGAGGACACTCGTCAAGGTCGTCGTCGTCGTTTCCATACAGGGACGTTATCAAGTCTGTGCTCTCACACGTCATGACTAAGACCGAGGCGCCGTCTTCACAGAGCGACATGAAGGACAAGCAGGTCGAGGATGTCGTTAGGGGACTTGCTATGGAGGAGTGGAATTCGCGGTGGCTGGATGAGTTGGTGGCCAAGGTCAAGGGCGAGCGTAAGTTTGACACGAATACCTCCTCTTATAAGAGGTGTTATGAGAGTCATGTTCAATATTCTGACAATGATATGATATGAATAGTCAACGATGGAGCAGACCACGGCGACGATGGTTCAGTCTCTGATGACGGTTCCGCTACTCAATCAAGCACAGCTTCATCAAAAGACACCATGAAGCGATATCAGCCTACAGTGGAAGATTACAACGAAGATGAAGACGAACCATCAGATTTTGAGTACGGCTTCACACCAACAATATCTCTAGATGACACCCAACCCCTCACCCGCACCTCCTCCCAACTCTCCAATTCCTCCGCAGACTCCTCCTGCAGCACCCCAAGCAACTCATCCGCAGACTCCTCCACATCCAAAGACTCCCTCCCCACCCCTCCAAGCTCCGTCTCATCGGAATCCCCTACCCCACGACCAACGGTTCGCTTCGCGGAGAAGCAGCCTCCAGTCATCCACTACACCCCGGAGCCTCCTGAACCCGAACCTGAGCTTGAACCAGAGCCCGAACCATATCATTCTCACTCCTCGGCTTCGCATCTGAGACCTCCTGCGGCTGAGAGACAGGGGCCGTCATGGACGTTGCTGTTCAATGAGAGAGATGAGCCGACGCCTGCTTTGGGCCGGTTCCTCCGCGGCCTGGCAAACCATATTGTGAGCATGCCATTGACACCTTCCTCCCCCCATTTCTTTGTCCGTAATGCTGATGGTGATGAATATAGATTGCCGAGTACTCTCCAACAGACTCTCTCGTCATCACCCCTGATAAGCTGTTGAAGTTTTACTCCCGGTACAAGCTCGACAACGAATTCTTTCCCTTCCAACGTACGTCTCTCATCTCTCTCATCCCATCCCATCTCAAGCAAACCCAACTAACATCCCCTCAAAAGGCGTCTTCGACACCCGCTACCACAAATCCCTCCGAGGCCTCTCCTTCCTCTTCTCCGACCTCCGCTGCGAGCACCACTTCGTCCAGTCCTCCATCGACTCCAAGCCCTCCATTCCCGCCCTCACCCCGGCCGGCTTCGAGGACTGGATGACCCTCATGGTCCGCGCCTTTCCCGACCGCGAGGCGAAGCGCCTCGACCTCGTCCTCGCAGACATCCCGCTCCTCGCGGACGACAGGCACGCCCGCCTGCCAGCCGCACAGAGACTCTTGCCGAGAGAACTTCCCCGCGAGTTGTTCCCTGAAAGGGGTCATGTGAGGGTGTTTGATCTCCTGGCTTCGTCGTTTGCAGAGTGGAACACCATCACTGCCGTCGTCGTGCCCCCTGAGGCCGTAGCGTCCTCTCATCCTCAGCTGCACTCCCAACTTCACGCATACTCCCTCTCCCCAAGCCTCCCCTCCTCCCTGCAAAAGCTCCCCCCCGCAGCAAGCAAGGCCCTCAAAGAAGACACCCGCCGCCACAAAGACGCCTGCTACATCGACCAGACCCGCCTCCGCCCATCCTCCCTGATATACCCATCCTCCCCCGCATCCCCCACCTCCTCCTTCTCAACCACCTCATCCGTACCGCTCGACGCAAAGCCCCAGCCCGACCAGCAATCTTCCGCTTCCTCCTCATCATCATCCTCATCCTCCTCCAAGCACCGCGCGTCTCGGTCCCGCGAGCGGGATTCCCGCCATCGCACCTCGGACAGATCTTCTCGCCGGTCGCGCGAGAGGTCACCTCCTGGTGGACGACGCCATCACAAGAGTCGGCGGCACAGGGCTTCGAGCCCAGACTCGACGGAGCAGAGATATAGTTCTGGAAGGGGTGATGAGAGACGAAGGGAGAGGGAGAGAAGGGGAAGCGGCTGATTTTTATTTTATTTTATTTTTCCCTTTGTTATAAAGAACACATGAAGCGAGATTTGATATTGGTGATGGAAGGAAAGGGGGGAAGAAAGGGGAAGCGACATGATGTCTGGAAATTAATAAGGAATGATTTGACAAGGCGTGTAAGAGAGATTGATCAGTCACAACATCGGGGTTATGCAAAGGCTCAAAGATTGAAATAGCATCAAATAGCCATATCTTTATTCACCTAGATATTAAATAGCCAAGCAGAAAAAAAAAAAGGAAAAAAGAAAAAAAAATATTCAAAATGAAATGGAAATTTCCAGGTTCGGTTGCTCTAAAGCTGCTTTTTTTTTATCTCACTCTTGGCCTCCCTCACCCCCCCTTTACTGAAATCCCATTTCCCCATCACTTTCTCACCAACAAATTCTCATAAAGCACGATATAATTAAATTTCTTATTCACCGCTCTCCCCTGCCTCTACCCAAATAAAGTCACAAAAAAGAATCCTCAGCAATATGTGTGGATGTGTAATATGTAAGAACGACTTACACGTCGCCGCAAAAAAAGAAAAGAAAAGAAAAGAAAAGAAAAATTCATATTCCGCCCGCAGACACAAACACTTTGTTGATGCGTAGCCCATGTGTAGTTAACAAGAAAAAGAGACCACAAAAAAGCACAACGCACACTAAATACAAAAAATAAAATGTTTAGGAAGAAAAAAAGAAGCAAAAACGACCTTGGGAATAAACAGCCTTGCGCCCATCACTATGCCTGCCCAGTTTGTGTTACTTTTCATCAAGCCGAAGGAAAGGACTCGCCATGACTTCTCTCACAGCCCATGGTGAACATCCTCGACAAGAAAAAGAATGTAGAAACAATAAGAAAATAATGGAGACTAGATAATCTCACTAATCGCTCTGGGAGGGGGAGCCGCAGAGCGAATATGTTGAGTGGGTGGAAGTAGAAAAGAATAAGAAACGAAGGACGCCATATCGAGATATCGCGCGTGTGATAGTTTTCTTTCGTCCATACACTAGACTCCCATCGAGTTGCATTCCTCGGCAAATAAAAAAAGAGAATGGATCAAAGAATGGATCGCAATTCAATCAATCTGTATGCTCGCTCGCTTTGCTTGGGCCATGGGTGAATGCGTTGATGCCCAGTCGAAAAGAGGGGGCATTGTGTTTTTTTTTTCGGTGTTTGTGTCAAATTTCCCTGCACAAAAGAAAAAAAAAGAGACAGGGGAAATAATCAATCGGTCAAGGCAAAATAGATGCGTGAACCAGAAAGGAAAGAAAAGGTCTCGTGAATCATGGCGTGGTGGAAAAGCGCCGTCGTCGTGTTCCCCGTGTATCATTCCGTTGCATCCAAATAAAACACCGTTGCCGGGCGTATCATCGTAAAGTCCTGCTCGACATCGTTTCCCGTAATGCTCCCATAGCATGCGGCTCCAGTCCCACCGGCAACCGCGGCAATGCTTTTTAAAAAATAATGCTCATGCAGCCGTCGTCGTCAGTCACCTCGAAGCCGAAGAGGCAGCAATGGAAGAATCGTAGCCCAGGTAGCTAACCATATTAGATCGCATGGCACGCTTCTTCTTTATGGCCTTGTATCCTTCTTTGAAGACGGCAAAGCATCGCTGCAGTTCTCTGTCGGGGTGCGGTGGCAGCTGGATCTCGACTGCTTTGAGGCAGACGCGGAGATGTGTTAGTTCGGCGTCATTCTCTTGCAGCTCTTCTTCCCTGTCAAGGTGTAAGCCAATGATGCAAGAAGGTGATGAAAGGGCTTTGTGATGATTAAAAAAAAATCGAGGTTGGGGGGAAAAGGAAAAAGAGGTCGCCTACAAGTACTGAATGCGGTTCTGGAGGAAAATGATGCGTTGGGCAGCACGCTCGGCACGTTCCACTAACAACCTATGAATGTGCTGCACAGAGTCCCTGTTAGCGATACGATATACCATGGAGATGAATTGGATGGGTGCATTGATAAGAAAGAAAAAGAAAAAAAATGAAGACATAAAACATGACTCACATCCGATTCTTCCTGGCGGGCTTTGAGATTGGTGACAATGGTTTCCAGCTCTTCGTTCAGCTTGACCACCTCGGCAATGATCTTGTTGGCTTGCGCCGCCGTCATTCCCTTCTTGGGTGGGGGAGGGTCCTCTTCCTCGGATTCATCGTGATGCATCATGGAGGTGGAGGGGGTGGGAGACAATTGGTCTGCGAAGCGGGTTCGGAACAGAGACGACGGCGAGCTGAAAATGGCGCTGCCGTCCATGTCGCTGTTCCTGTTCTTGCGGACGGGCGTCTCCAGACTCAGCGGGCGAGGCTTTCGCGACAGCGGCGGGCTCCCATAGACGCTCGGGCTGATGCCGCCGCCCAGGGCCTGCTCAATCTGATTGACCTGGTTGTCGAGCGCGACGAGTTCCTCCATGCTGTCGCCATACGTCAGGCGCTGGGCGAGCATGCTTAGGCGCCGTGCCAGCTCCAGCTTGCCGGCCCTGATGTCGCCTCCGTCGCGGCTGAGCTCTCTTCGCAGGGGGCTCAGCACACTGCTTCCGGAAAACGCATAGCTGGAGGAGCCGACGCTGGGACTGGACCGCATGAGTGGCGGCGGCGTCTCAGATCCGGCGATGCTGTCTCGCCTGGTGGTGCTGCTGGTGGTGCGGGTGCTCTGGCTGCTGATTCTGCGATTCAATCCACTGGGGCTGGTGCGGTTGCTGGAGCTGGTGCGCCGTCGCAGCGCCTCGAGGCCCGAGGGCTTGTCCTCGTCGTTGTCCCGGCGGCCCATTGCGATACGGATGCGGATGATTGGCGATTGATTCGATTCGTTGGCTGTGCTGACTGGACTCTCGAGGCTGGACTTGACCGACTTTGCCGTCCCAACGACGCCCGAAACACGATCAAAAAAGGGAAGCAAGCGAAAGGAAAAGAAAAGGGAGATCAATCAGGCGGCAAAAACTCGTCGATGTCGGTGTCGGAGTCCCGCCTCGTCCTGTCGAAGCCCCCTCTCTCTCCTTGTTTTTTTTTTTCCTTGGTCCTTCGTCCTTAATTGTCGGCGCTCCCCTCGGCACGCGTCACCGGGACGCCAGACGGGCGCTTGAGCAGAGGCTGGTCGTCGGAATCGAGGGGCGCGGCGGTGGATGATGGCGATGGCGATGGAAATTGGAAGCCCATTGGCAATGCCCAAAGCTGGCGGTTCCTTAGGTATGGAGCTCTCCCTTATTACTAAAGAGTGGCAGCCCTGATTTTTGGGGGAGGAGTTTTGGCGGGTGCAGGTACCTGAACAGTACGAGTACAGGCACAGTCCAGCTGCCAGTTACGGGCGTCAGCGCAGGGCCGGGTGTGGCGGCGGATCAATGGGGCCCCGTGGCTCCGAGCAGAGCCCAGCACAGCACAGCTTAGCACAGGCTGGGGTTTGAACAAGTCATCCACATCACGTTTTTGAGGTGTGTTTTTTTCGTTGGAAATTAATTAAGCTGCCAGGTTTCGCGCTCGGACTGGTTCGCAAGCGGTTCGCACCGCCACTCGCGCCACACGTCGGACGATGAGAGGCCAGGCGCTTATAATCGCGCATTAGCATCACGGTAGAGGGTGAGTTGAGTGTGTGGCCGTGATCCAATGAATGCCTGGCTGGAGATTGGGTACGGAGTAGACTGCGTCTTGCTTCATAAGCAGCAGCAATACGGCGCCTGGTTGGACGACGGGCTGGAGAGAGGCAGAGGCAGCCATGTGACGTTTGCATGCATCAATGCAGTAAAGCAGCAGCCGTGGATGGATATCTGTACGTTGGCGTAAGATGGATGATGGTGATGATGATGATGATGATGCCGAAGAGTCGCCAGCTTTATGGGGATGGCGTATAGAGAAAGCACGACGAGAAAGAAGAAATAAACATGAAAAAGAAAAAGAAGAAAAAAAAGGAGAAGCGTGAATGAAAGATGGACAAGGAAAAGAGCACCTAAGGATAAAATCAATAGGCACCAGCACGCCGTCTGATCTCCCGCCACCCGATTTCTTTTCCTCTACGCAGCTACATGTACCTCCTACGCTTGCTGGGTTCCCCTCAGAGGCGGTTCTTGCGCCAGCTGCCATCGTGGCCTTGGGATACATGATACATGATACTTACAGACACACACAGACACACAAACACGCGAGGCGAGCCATGGATGCATTAGAAATCCGCGTCTGAAAAGGCTGGCCGCCCCTGACTGGACGAGGCGAGGCGCTCTCCCCAAGCCACCATGCAGTCCATCAGCCATTCCATCACGATGCGAGGGGCTTAGTGTCCGTGTGTTCCATTAATTGGTGCGAGATACGCGGGGACCATGGCGGATGGTATGTACCTTTTCCCTGCCTTGCTGGCTGGCTGTCTTGTGAGTTGTACGAGTATTCGTACCTGATGTTAGGTACAAACACGTCGCGACGTCTCTCAGCCGCATGTACCAGAATCGGGCTGAATAGGTACTGTTCAACTCCCGTCGCCTCTCTTCGACATGCCGTTAAAAACAGTCGATTCTACATACTGTACGGATACAGCAAAACCCCCCCTCCCCCTCTCCTTATCGAAATGGGGCATCTTCAAGTGATGTCGTGTCGCCGCAGGTGGCCGCATGAAGCCCCCCTATGCCCACACATGGAAGCGAAGCCTTTGCAGACGGACCAGGTCGACTAGAGACCGCCCGGGCCACCGTGGAGAATGACGGTGCAGTAGCTCGAGCGTGGCACGTACATCAGATACTGTCGGTAGTCCCTTGGTCCCTTGGTCCCTTGGCTCAACTCAACACCGCTTGTTTGTTTCGCTGCGGCAGAGGCGGATGCTTACATAGTACCTATGCTTGTGCTGATGTCGACGCCTGCTCGTACAAACTTGAAACGTACATTAGCACCGTTGTCGTGCATCGGGCAATGGATGATCCGTCGGTCCAATGAGAAGACATCTTTAACTGCACGAATAGCAGCTGAGCGCTGCTTTATATATGTACATGATCTAATATTGAATTGCCCCTATACTACTAATACATCTTCAAGCCAGTAGCCGCCTAGAGGTTACTAATTGCACCTGCTAATGCTTTTCGGTCACGCAAAGGGTCAACCAAGATATCGAATATGGATCCAATCCGGTCCAACTGGCCATCTGCAGCAGATTCTTTCTTCTCGTGCCATGCCACTTTCAGACGACAATCATATGTCTGCCATGGGAGTCCCTTGGATCGGTTTATGACAGATGACGATAGATAGCCGTCCCGGCATGGTCGTATCGAATCGTAAGGTACGTGGGATATATACAAGAAAGAAAAAAATAGAAAAATAATTCTCCGAGCCATGGATTCTGACTCCAGGCCCCTACCGGTGGCGGGAGCTGATGTAAGGGCCGCCAGATGCGATCAATGCGCGCAGATTCAGAGGACTGGTGGTGGGCTGACCAGCCGTTGGCAAGTTTTTTTTTTTTTTTTTTCTTCACATCATGCCATTTCCTGCTTCCTTATCTATCATAATGTTGCAAGCTGAGAACCAACAACCGGGTATGCAGCTTCATCTCGATTTTAGGTAATAATACGGCACGGGCGATAGGCGTGCCTATATGTATCTTACGTACCTGGCAGCTGTCAAAATACTACATATATCCATAGAAACGTCAATGTCACTGCATGTGCGGGCTCTCCCGTTTGTCCGTGCCCCTATTTTGGCAGGACTGGGAGATTCGCTCCCTCAGACCGAAGCGATGGGCCAATTGGACAAATGACTGTTGAATATTGGTTCCTGATACTTGGTAGTCTACTATACTAACCATGCAGGTATTAAAGACCGACAGAGTTGCTGTTTGGTTGCACAACCTGCTGATCCCTGCTGTTCTGCTGTGTCAAGAGGGGCGACGCAGCAAATAGGGGACCAGAGCCAGACGAGATGAGATACGATGCAAGTGCCGCTGCATTGGCTGATGGGCGGTGGATTGTGGCTCCAGCCATGACATGAGAAGCTGATGGTCCAGTCCATTCCTAGTTCTGTATGGAGTGACCGATCCAAAGAGCATCAATCACTTCACTTCACTCTGATGTTGTGGTGGTTCAGCTTCAGCTCCTCCCCCAATCCCCGTATACGAGTACCTGCAGTGACTGGGTTAGCCGCCTGGACCGCCGGCAAAGCCCCCAAAGTCCCCTAACTCAACCCCCTCGCCCACTAACAGCATCCCCTGGCCACCACCGCCGTTTGCCCAGAGTGGGGGCACCCGGACCCCGAACGACGCCGTTTGTGGTGAGCTCCGTTCACGCGACTGTGATGGGCATGAGCACGAGCATGAGCATGACCACGACGTCACATCGCCGAGCCTCGAGAGAGCAGGGGCGGGCTCTAAACAGATGCTGTGCTTGTCTTGTAAAGAGTCTACATAGTACCAACCTCACAGAAAGAAAGACAACCTTTAGAACAAAAAATACAACATAAATACCCACGTGCCCACGCTTCAAACCCCCCCCAACCCCCGGCCCAGCTCCAGCTCCAGCCCTCCTCCGGCTCTCGATCCTCCGTCCGCACATCCTCGGCTACAGCCATTTAACCTTAGCAGCTTCCGCGGGGCCGCAATCGCTCGCCACTTGAGTCAGAAGCGCCTTCACTTACTGCATCATCCCATTTTCTCACCTTGGACCTCACGCGCCGCATCTTACATGTGCCGATGACGAGATTTCTCTCTTTTTTCCTCTCTAAGCAGCAGCCAGCTTCACGTCGTTGAGCCCCTCAGCTTATGCTCCCTTGCGCCGGCCTCAATCATCTGCTGTCCATCTTCTGATTCGGCTCCTGTGCATCGCCCTCCCTCCCTCCCTCTCGTCTTCTCTCCTCTGCCTCTTCCGGCTCCCGCGCTCCCTCGCCGAACCGCCATTGACCGCTGCGGGATTGCGCAAACCCCCAATCTTGCTCCAAACAATCCCATCCCGCCTTTGCCATTCCCGGGGGACGAGCGCCCATCATGTCATGGCGGGCGTCCGAGACCCTGATGGACACCATCCGGCACTACGCCAAGTTCCCAGCGACTGGCGTGAGCTTGCGCCAGATGGTCCAGTTTGGCGATAAGCCGTCCACAGGTGCGTAGTGACTGATTCATCGAGTGCGCGCGCCTCTTGGGAGAAGGAGAGGAACAACAACAAGAGGAAGACAAGAATTGGATCACCAAAACTCTGTCTGCGGCACCAAGGCTGACATCATGGCCCCCTCGGCCCCTCTAGGAACCCTCTTTCGCGCCTCACAATTCCTGGCCGAGGAGCTGCCAATCCGCCTGGCGCACCGCGTCGAGGAGCTGGAGCTGCTGCCCGACGGCCTCAACGACATGCCCTCCGTGAAAAAGGTCAAGGACTGGTACGCCCAATCCTTCGAGGTACGTCAGCCATGCCGAGCATATGCAGCCATGTCTCGCCTCTTTGCCGCCCGCCCCAGGCTAACCTAAGCCTCCTGCAGGAAATCACCCAGCTCCCTCGGCCGCGCATTGCCAAAGACGTCAAGGAGCGCCTGATGAAGCCCGCCAAGTTTGGCAGCCGCGGCGGCTATGCGCAGCTCTCCGAGTCAACGCCGAACCCTTCCATCCACGAGGACGAGGCCTCGGGCTGGGGTGGCCTTCACCTGAGCGGCAACGGCAATGGGAACGGCAACGGATACGCATATGGACACTCCAATACATCAAACGGCCACGGCAAGGCCCGGTCCGTTGCGCGGAGATACTTTGCCACGGTCGACGACACGGGCGACTGGCCGCCCGAGCTGCAGCTCTACAACCAAAAGTTTGCCCAGTGCCTGCACAAGATCAAGCGGCGGCACGACAGCGTCGTCACCACAATGGCCCAGGGCATCCTCGAGTACAAGCGGCGGCGCCAGCGCATGCAGATTGACTCCAACATTCAGTCCTTCCTCGACCGCTTCTACATGTCGCGCATCGGCATCCGCATGCTCATCGGCCAGCACATTGCCCTGACGGACCAGAGCCACCACCGCGACCCCACCTACGTCGGCGTCATCTGCACAAAGACCAATGTCAAGGAGCTGGCCCAGGAGGCCATTGAGAACGCCCGCTTCGTCTGCGAGGACCACTACGGCCTGTTCGAGGCCCCCCGCATCCAGCTGGTCTGCAACCCCAACCTCGACTTCATGTACGTCCCCGGCCACCTGTCGCACATGCTCTTCGAGACGCTCAAGAACTCGCTGCGAGCCGTCGTCGAGACCCACGGCATGGACAAGCAGGAGTTCCCCGTCACAAAGGTCATTGTCGCCGAGGGCAAGGAGGACATCACCATCAAGATCTCTGACGAAGGTGGCGGCATCCCTCGGAGCGCCATCCCCCTGGTCTGGACCTACATGTACACTACCGTCGACCGAACGCCTAATCTGGACCCGGACTTTGACAAGAGCGACTTCAAGGCCCCGATGGCGGGCTTCGGATACGGCCTGCCCATCTCACGGCTGTACGCCCGCTACTTTGGCGGCGACTTGAAACTCATCAGCATGGAAGGGTAAGTCTTTTTTTTTCCCTTGCTGCCCCTCCACCATTTTTCCCTTTCCTTGATATCACATGAAACCCATCCTCGCATCAAAACTCCCTCACCGCTACTACTCCTAGTCCTGAAGTGCCCTAGTACTGACCCTTTTTTCCCCCTCCAGCTACGGCACCGACGTCTACCTCCACCTCAACCGCCTCTCCTCCTCCTCAGAACCTCTCCAATAGCAATTAAGCACCGCCCACGCTAGAACCACCTCGTCCCTCAGCATCCGCAGCAAGCTCAAGAGCAACAGCACGCGCGAAGTCACTGAGCGTCGACAGGTGGGGGACGCAGAGGCGGTGGTGAATGCGCCTCCGAGCAGCTTCCTCCACAAGGACGACAAGGAGCTGTAAGAAGAAGAAAGAAAGAAAAAAACGCGAATATATACGCACAAAAAAAGGAGCATAACAATGAAGCAACTTTTTTCTTACAAAAAAGAAATAGCTATATGCAAAGTGTGGTCAGGGGGGGGGCAAGTTGCCTCGATGTACCAATTTTTTTGTTACGAAGCATTGTAGAATCTACAAGCAACAGCAACAGCAGCCACCACACAGGGTTATAACAACAACAACAAAGTCACGGTTTTTTTCCTCTCAAGTAGGGAGAGAGAGAGAACCCATTTCACGAATTCTCATGTTTATTATATTGGATATGACAGGACAACATCAAAAACAATGTTGGTATTTTATTGGAGGACTTTTATTTTATTTTTATTGTTTTTTTTTTCTTTTTAACCACATCAAGGGGGTTACTTTCGATTCAAAGGAGCCAAGGACGATGCGTGTTAAGAAGGTGCTTGAAAAAACACACGGGAGGAATAAGGCAAAAAAGTATACACGGGAGAGTGTTGTGTGTTTTTTTGATGTACAAGTGTAAAGTACGAGTACAGTTGGGATGCCTGCAACAGCATAAGTAGGTTGAGTTGGGGTGTTGGCGATTAGGAACCTGGACTGGACTGGGGTGCATTTGATAACATCCTCCAAGCAGAGGCTCTTCAACCCACCGTTTGGATGCTAGGAGTGGAAACGAAATGTATATCATCCACATCATCAATTTTTAGACTAAATCTGAAAACCATTGCAATCATGTCCCCCCTGGCCGTGGCGTGTTCCCTCGATATTGGCGTATAGCTAAACTAAAACGACTAGATGAAATGCAAGAATCAAAAGCAAAAGATTTTCTTCCTCCGGGAAAATAGCCACACGACTTGATTAGAAATCGTCGTCGTCGTCATCATCCGGCTCACAGCACCTGGTCGTGTCGTGCTGCACCGGGCGGTGATTCACAGGACCAGCTTCTCGAGCCGCAATATGGTGGTTCGTGCCGATCTGGCGCAGTTCTGTCTGGGACATGCGTGCCTAGAACATGGTACGGTCAGCTAACATATTGAGTGCGCGAGTGAAGCAAGACATACAATGGTCGGCCATTTGCCCTTGGCCTGGCCTGTTGGGTTTTGAGAGCCGTTTTCTTCATCACCCGCGAGCGAGGTTCCTGTGGCTGAGCTGTTGGTAGCGGATTTAAAGGCTCGATGCTGTATTCCGCTTGGGTCCCAGGCATTGAAAGACACCCGGCGTGGTTTGGCTCCAAATCTGGCCTCCCTCGTCGTCGTAGCCGTCGAAATGCTGCTTGGATGATCACCAAATTCGCTATTGCCCGTGTAGTCGGACGGGGCATCTAGTTGGTGGCCTTGCTGCATCAGAGGTCGAAGATGAGGAGGCAGATGCTGTACAAACGAGAGTCTGTTCGACGCTTGCGATCCATCGGTCGAAGGTGTCAGAGGAAATCTCTCTTGGCCAACTGAGCCTCTCAGATGAGGAGGGAGAGCGCGGCTCGACGACACCTCGGAAGCAGAGTACTCGGAAGAGGCACCAAAAATGGAAGCCACTTCGCCATCCTCCAGGCCAAGAGATGACGGTCCAGTAACGGGAGCCTAGTGTCAGTCAGTATATGCGGCCGATTGTGAGGTCAAGCAAATGCGCACCTGAGGATAGGCATCGTCGGAAAAGAAATCGGAGCTGTCGATAAACCTGGCTGGCCACGCTTCTCCGCGCTCCTCTTCGATAGAAATGTGGCCAGTCTCAAGAGGCGCAGGCACAACCTCTGGCTCCTGGGTTTCAACCCAAGCAGTGCATCTCTTGCAATTCTTCAGACAAGTCAGCTGGCTTCTACGCATATATCATTTGGTTGAAAGGGGCGGCCAGCATACAATACTGGCATTTCTCTTGCTGGAGCCGCTGAACTCAGACAAGGGCTTGACGAGGCCACACATTTCGCATGTCATTTCTGTACGTTGGCCAGATGAGTGCTCTCGGCAAGTCATTCCAGAGTTGGCTGCATCGATGCGATGTCGGCCAGCCGAGTCGATCTGGATGAGCCGTTGTTGATTCTTAGAAAACTCATCGAGAGACTTCCATTCGCCGCCGACTTTGCATCGAAATCTGGTGATGGAGGTAAAGTCAGCGATTAGGGACTGCAGGGAAAGAGACGGGAGTTGTATCGTACCTCGTTGGAATGCTTTGCCTGGTCGCCCTAGAACAATCAGTTAGTGTTTGCGCCTCGAGAATTCCCAAACAAGAATTGAAAATCATGATTCCTCGTCAAAAGGAAGACGACACTCCAAGAGAGTTGATTTGAAGTGAGCTGGCGGTTTACTCACAAGGTAAAGTTGGCATTTGCCTTTTTGCTGGCCATGGCTCGAGTGAGTCTCTTGATCTGCGCGATCAAGGCAAGGAGATGAGAGAGATGTTCCGAATTCTCAATGGAAAGATAGAGAAAAGAAAAAAGGCTGTGTGTATGCGTGTGCAAAGATCAGAAGAGAAGTGAGAGAAGAAGCAGAGACTGCTTTATAGGCACTGCTCTGAATCACGGCAAGAGCCAAAGTCGGTCAAGGTTGCTCCTTCTATAGCCCTTTTTTCTGCCTCATGGCAAAAATGCCGTCAAATTCAGGCAGTCAAAGTTGCAAACGGCAGCTGGCGTGTCTCAATAGCAGGTCTGCTATTGTTCTATCCGCGGATGGCCGCAGGTGGTTGCAGGCAAAGAGTCAATGTGGAGAGTGAAAGGCACATGACATATCCAACTATTACGTCAGTTTTCATCTGAAGTTGCAGCAATTCCCAGGTGAATGCATTTGAGTAGATTTAGGAGTTGTGGCTTAGCTATGTTCACAAGTGAATGCAGATAAAATATATGATGCTGATATCACAAGCTATATTCACTGAAGGGCAAGTTGGTCACGTTGGAGATAAATGACCAACGAGTACCAAAATGCCAACTCTTGGCTTTCTTAGACTTAAACTCCCGAAATATTCAGCTGGATATCAACATTGCTAAGACATGCCGTTTGTCTTGATGTTGTGCGTTTACACGGCATAGTTACAGGTAATCATGTTCTTGGCTGCCAATTAGAAACTGCATGTCAGGACGTTCACCTGTTTACATGCAGCATCAACCTAGAATTAAAATATGCATGATTCTTTTTTATGCAGCAAGGGGCCATCTATTATAGACTCTTGGAGAGTACCTATGCTGGATATTACATCAATCTGAGCATGCCGTTTGCTATGGAGCTTGAAGCAACGAATGGTGTTGAGCTACCCTGCACCAAGCAGATGATGTCACGGATAGCCACAACAGCTCGCTCTCAACGGCAATAGCATATTTCATACGGAGCAAGCCAAATTCTGTCTTGTTTATGCAAGCTGTATCATCATTATGCCCCCCAAGCACTGCTGATGCATAACACTCTCGACCAAGGGCTTGTTTCACCGCGGCATATGCGCTGGGTTCAGGCGCATGCATGTATGTGATGCGTCCAAGAGACGGCAGACATCATCTCCCCAAAGCCCAAGATCAAAAGCACATCACACCAGTAATTTGCTGCAACAGTCGACAGGTCGCGTTTACCCGCTCCCCATGTCCCGAATACCGAGATTGATACACACGTGCGGTGCGATAGACTGCTGCTACCTTGCAATATACAGGCATGCTCGGGGCTCGCCTGAAATGGGTTATCCATCGTCTAAAAGCACTTGATACGAGACGAGTGGCTGTCAGCTACGCTCAACGTGAAAGCGCTTGCAACGCAAAAAATCCCAAATCAGCCTATCAACTGGTGAGACGAAGCTGCCAAACTCGCCGCATAGCCCAATGCTCAGGCCACAAGACACCAGGTCTACGACAAAGAACGCCCGGAGCAAAGATAGGGGCATCGCAACGTCTGGCACCAAGACCAATGTCAACGCGGGACACAGTATCTGAGTGACTGACAGGGCTTATATCCCGTCCCATGTCGGCTGGCCATCCCGGAGTCTCAACAAAGCGGCCACTCCACTAAAAATGATGGATTCCCGAGCTCTCAATGCCAGGCGTCTACTGTATCTGCTTCATTGCCACGCTGACTTGGGACGGGCCGCGACTGGCTGTGCGAAACATAATATCAACGCAGAGCGGCGCCCGACGGCTATAAACGAGACCATTGCTTCTGAATGACTCGATGAGGTCTTTTTGGCCTGTCAGGAAGCTACTGTACTGATACTGCATACCTGTCTTGTACTGTACTGCAGGTACCATCATGGATAGCCTCGATCGGATCACCCTCATCCGGCCATTGGAGTAGCAGGATAGGGGGCAAACGAGTTTAGCCTCGTCAGAACTGCCAATTGCTCCTGTCTTGTTCTGTCCGGCCTTTGAAGCTCCTGATCCAGCTCCTAATCCAGCTCCTAATCCCCACTCCACCAACTTGAAGGCCAAAAAAAAGGGAAGGAAAATCGCCACCATCTCAGGCACAAAGGATGGATGACAAGTCAGTGTCCCTAACCAACGCCACAGCGGAAGGGCCCAGGCAGGCACACCATGCACGAGTGTGCAATGCAAATGCTCCAGGTCCAGGTACCACCTGAGGCGCCTTGTGCAACGGTGGGATGGCCTTCATATTGTCAGCTTGGACGCTCCCCAGGCCGATGACATGCAGCTCAGACATGCGGCGGGATGATTCCCCGGGGGTCTCTCGCACGGTTCGCTTGTCTGCCTCGCTGTGTTTCCGTCTTATGGAGTAGAAGAAACACGAGGGGCTCCCTCATGAGAGAAAAAAATCGCTTTTCTTGCTTTTTTGAGCCGCGGGGAATAAAAAGCAAAAAGATTCAGTCAGGGGTTGCTGGGACCGCGGTCTAATAGTGGGAAAAAGAGAGACATCAGAGTTGCAGCCGCTGCAGCCCAGATGCAAGGGGAGAAGTAGGGCCCTGGCTGCAATACCGGCCATGCGGAACTACTGGCACAAGGATGGAGACTCTTGCAGCTGGGCTGGAGCGAAGGCGAGTCTGTGCTTGATGTGTGCTAGCAGGAGTTGGGATGGGATTTTGCATCCCATCACGTCGAGTGCCTATATTCGAGGGATGCTATAGGTACATGGATGATGCCGGTGGTGGCGCAACAATTGACAATGCCTCTCTTCACATGAGATGAAATACCAAGTCAGTCACCAGCCGAAGCCCTTCAACTTGAACAGGCAGTCCGGTTCTGGCCGACGACAATGTAACTGGAATCCTGCCCGGCGCAGTCCGTAAGTAACCAACTGAATACAAGTACAAAGCCCTCTCGCTCTGTCTCTCGTCAGCCCATAACACATGCTTCGCAGGAGTGAGACACGGCACTTTTCAACAGAGTCCCTCGGTCCCCCTGGGCGCTGTAAATGCTCTCTTCACCTTGTTTTTTTTCGCCTGAGCTGCGCGGCCAACGGCGTGCCACTGGTGACCACCACGGGCTCATGGATCGATGTGACATGAATCGCCTGGTTGCCGCCACCCTGTTTTTTATTCCTCATTCTCGCTCTTTGCGTGTGTGTGTCCCTGCATTACGACCAGAAACCGGTCAATGCATTAAAGCACTCAAGGAACGTGCAGTAGCAGCAGTTCCAAGCCTTCCTCAGGCGTTTCTAGACCGCGAGGCTGCAGAACTGGAGGACGGCTACCAAGGTACACGACATGTAATCGGCCCCTCTCTCGGACGACACGCTCCTTTTCGGAGATGCAAGATTTTATATATATTTCTTTTGTGTGCAGCTCGTACCCGTATTAGGAGCAAAGGCATTTCCACTGGCCCGAGGATACTGTACATGTACTGTAGCTTTGCATCTCGGCCCCCAATACCAAGCACGAGTACAAGTATCTCACGCAACAGGAGGCTAAAAAAAGGGTACAGTACCTGTTCCGCGGCCGCCGGTCACCTTGATCCGGAGACGAAGCAGCTCTTCCGGCGTATCCATGCTGGAGGGATCCAGTGGATTTAGTAGCGATTCGTGAACCCAGCCTAGCTGCACTGGAGCATGTACTGCAAAGCAGCTCTGCATCGTTCAAGCGCTGACAAAGACTGCCGCTGCCTGGTTTCCGCATGTACTTGTACAACTGAGCATGGCAAGGCGTGTCATGGCATGTCAAGGCAAGGCATCGCCGTGATGCAACTCGCGCCGCTGGAAATATAAGGAGCTTCGTTGGGGCCAGATCAAATCACCCAATCTCGCTCTCTAAAATGCGGCAATCAGAAGTACCGACCGGCTCAGCGCTGGCGAGAAATTCGCACATGCACAAGTACAAAGCACGCATGTACACGGCGCAGGCTCGGCCGCTGTCGAGGTACTTGGTGCTGGGGCGCGAGGCATGTACTGGCGTCCTGAATTGAAACATGGCAGATTTCCCATTGGAATCATCTAGGCCCGGCTCGGCTAGACGCGTTGGATTTGCTTCTCATAGCGGACTAGCGGCGGTGGGGGCCCCTCTCGGCGTTCCAGCAACGTCGCGTGTGAGTGCCTTCGCTTATGCAGCAGGTGGGAAAAGAATGAATGAATGTGAAATGACTGGACAGCAGGTACTCCGTAGCAGGTACTCACGAATCTCGACAAATGCAGTGCCCATCCGGCATTGACCTGCTTACTGGGCACGTTTTGTATTGGCGGGACAAGTACCTACATGTACTCTCTGCTTGTATTCCAGCCGCAAGCCAGACAGACAGCAGACAGAGCCCCCCCGGCATTTCTTACTGGCCCGTGGACCCAAAAGCGACCCTGGCGCTGGGCACAATATTGGCGAATAGGAGCACAGCAAAATGTGCCCCGGGGCGCTGGTGCGTCCAACTGTGCTGTGCTGGCACCAGGACGGCCGCCCTGTCTGGGCCCTCATCTGCATAAACCTCGTAGTAGATGGGCATATCACGGAAGTACTAGCGCTGCGATTTCTGGTACAGATGCTACTTGTACGAGTACATAGGCAGTACTCCGTACTTTTTGACAAGCATCCATTGCATGTTTTTCTCCGATGCTGCTCCAGCCCAGCACCGCGTATATTATCAATGGGCTCTGGGTAAGCAGCGTTGAAAAATTTTCACCGTGAAACACCTTGGACGCGGACGAGTACCAAGTACTCCGTAAGCCGTAGATGTGTCGAGTTGACGAGTATAGGAGTCGAGGGCTTGCACGTGTTGGGCTGCGATATGAGTTGCAAGGTTGACGAGTTACTACCTAATCATACTAGCTAGCACTGTATAGCAGCCGCGTGCCTACAGTACACTGATGTAATTTGATCCAATGTCAAATAATACCCAAGATAGGTTATGTACTAACTTACTGTATGGATGCTCGCCATCAATACCTTATTTACTCTCTTATTGGCAACAGACACGCCCAGCGGGCTACAAGTCAGTCG